CCCTTCCGAACCTACTTTTTTTTCGTTCTTTTTTCGCCCTATCTCTCATTTTTCAAACGGTTATGAACTTTTATTTGTCCCAAGTTTCTTTTTCTCAAAAAAAAGGACTTGGCGCCTTTTCATCGGCTTTTCATGCTACTTTTATTGTTTCAAAGATTCTTTTTTGCTCTTTTAAGTAATGAGGCTTTTCATTTTTTTTTTCCGTTTTTTTCCGCCGTTCCTAAGCTTTTATGAACTTTTTCAGTTACAAGCTGCTTTTGTTTCAGAAAAATTTCAAATCAGTTCACAAATTTGGTCCTTTGAGATTTGCCATAAAATGAATTTTTTCTATCACAAGTTTTATTCAATATTTTAATTATTCCTATGGGGTTTTCACGAATTTTGTTAGAACCCTGTAATTTTAATCTTTGAAACTTTTTTGCTGTTCTTACGGATCAACACTGTCGAGCTTTTGATAGATCTGACAAGCTTTTTCAGAAAATGTTTCAGATCAAAAAGGAATAAGATCCCAACTTCGGTTCCAATACGCGTCATCTTTGCATTTACTTCTCAAAAGACATTCCAAACCACCTTTTTTTCCCGGTTTTTTCTCACTCTTTTCCCGTGAGTTTTCAAGTATTTATGACCCATTGAAAGCTCTAGAAAAATAGACGGACGGGTTCAAGCACGCTTTTCGACGGCGCGCGAGGCCAATAACGATTGTTTAAAGGATCATATCGAAACTCGGAATTGTTTGCCAGTGATATCTACCGGTATGTTTGTCGACTGTCGCCGGGGCTCCGTGCGTGGAGCTGTCAACAGGCTCCGTTTCCGCGTTTTACGCCTCTAATTGGCTCAAATTTGCCCTTTTTTCGTAGTTTTTGACTTCTTCGTGCTCTGATTTTACTTTCCTTTGACAAGGTTTTTGGACAATTTGAGTTCTTTTGAAAAAAGCCTTTCAAAAAGGCCTAAGAAGTACGGAAAAAGGGTCAGGAAAAAAGGGCCTAGACTAAGTTTATTTTGAGCCTTACCGACAAAATTTTGCTAAAAAAATTTGTTCTTTTTCTTAGTTTTTGACCTCTCTTTGCTCTGATTTTATTTCCATTCAAAAATTGTTCAAAAATATCCCACCGGTCAGGAAAAAATGGCCCAGTCTAGTTTGGTTTTGCGCTTTACTGATAGAATTTCGTCAAAAAGCCGCCCTTTTTCCTACAATTTGGCCTGTCCTTGCTTTGATTTTACTTTCGGTCGACCTCAAAGTTTAAAACTCTAGAAAACTTGATAAAAAGTTACTTTTAAAGGTTCAAAAATCAACTTTTTAATATTTTCAAGGCTCGAAAAAGGATCAGGGAAATATGGCCTAGACTAGTTCGATTTTGCGCTTTGTCGATAGACGTTTTTCTTAAAAAAATTTGCCTTTTTCTCTGAGTTTTCGACTTCTTCTCGCTAGAGATTTCAAATAAACGAATATTCATGCTCCGTTGATCATTTTTCGCTAAATTTTTTTAACTTGAGAAAAAGTTGCAATACCATTTTTCTTCTTTTTCTTTTGTTTTCAAAATTTTCATATTAGAAAGTTCCAAAAATGCGAAAAAGCTTATTTTTTTGTAGGGGTTTCGAGAAAAAACCCCGTTTTTTTCGCTTTGATGATAATTTTCGCCTAGTCCCACTCTGATTTAACTGATGACCGTTCATGATGTTGAGAGAAAGATTTTCCAATTTAGCCGCTAATAGAACCAAGAGTTTGAGAACGCAATCTCTTTTGAACCAGACAGGAAAATTTCCGGGAAATTTCTTTCTACCATAATTCCAACTAACTAACTCTCTTTTTCCGTCTATCCCTGTACGGCCTCAATTAACCTCCGGCCTTTTTTGTTCCGCTTCTTTCCCTATCGCAAATCCGTTCCAAAAACGAAGTAGACCCATTAATCCACTCCTAATACCCTCTCATTAGGCGGCCGGATGTGTTCCGACATTGTTGAACTGTTGAGAAATTGAATAAAAAACCGTAAATCTCTAAGGAACTCATGGAAAATCAGTGCATCCTTCTGAGGACCTTTAATCCTCCAACAATCATTGAAAGATAAAGATCGCGTTACGTCACACTTCATTAGAGCCAATTATTACTGTGAGAATCGTCTGGCTGTTGTCCAACTGTTTTGAGGAAGTTCAAAATTCTTATCTGTTTGAATTTTTAGCTCTAAATTTCTTCTGAAATTCGTTTCGTATCAATGAAACCCATATTGGCTGCGTATCATCTTTCATTGAATCTTTAAAAGATTTTTTTCCAAGCTGAATCTATAGAAAAAAATCCCACTTAAAAAGCCCTTTTGACTTCGCATCAACTCATGAACACTTAATTATTTAAAATGATCAAAAAGTTTTTTTTAAGTTCAACAGTGACTTTCAAGTTCAAAAAGCACCTCAAACCCACTCCGTATCCTCAAAAACCGTATTGGCTGCGCATCAACTCTCATTGAGTCTCTGAAAGCTTTTTTCAAGTTGTATCTATTGAAAAAGGGGCGCACCAACCCTGATATGCTCATCATCAAACAACCATATTGACTGCGCATCGACTGTTCCCGACAGCCGTTTGTCAGTCTTCAAGGTGGCACCGTCCCGCAAACCAACACATACACAGAAAAAAAAAAAACCAACGCCTTCATTTGATGCCATTCTCGTCTGACTGTCTGGACCATCTCAGATGGCCGATCTCTCTTCGCCTTCTGACCGCCACCAGGCTCCGCCCACTTTTTTCTGCCGCTGCCGCCTCGGCTTGTCCCTTCTCCGCCCCCTTTGAACATTGCGTTGCACTGTCTGCATGTTCTGTCTTTGAGTTTTTACTACGTATCCATAAATTTATTTGGCTGAGCGTCGACTGAGTGAAAAGATATGTTCGTTTACTGAGTTTTCCTTCCTCTTTTCTGCCGATCTACCAACCTAATTATTCATTCCCATTTTCCCACGCAAGATTTCCGCCACGAAAAGAAACATCCTCGCTAATTTTCATTCAATTCTCGAGTGCCGATGCGAGAAAAAGAGAGCTCTCCCTTTTCTTTCGAACTTCATCTGGTTTTTGGCCCATTTGCTCAATTTATACCGAGTTTTATGGGCTCTTAACCAATTTTTTTCTCGTTTTTCTTGTGCTTTCTTTGTTATTCTTTCGATTTTTTTGTGATTAATTTTTGATTAATCGGTCTTCGATTCTTGATTTTCAGTTCTCGGCTTCAAAAATTTGACCGAAATTTTTTTATCTTTCTCACTGAGAAATAGTTAGAAATTGATTTAAATGGTTTTTGAAAAATATTTACACAAGTTCGAAAAAGGATTTCTCGTTCAAAATTGTCTTTTAAATTTAATATGAATGGTTTAAACCTTATAAAATCTTTGAAATCAGTTTCGGTCGAAAATTTCCTCTTAAAACCGACTTTTTGAATTTCCATCCAAAAACAGTGTTTTCACTCCATATAAATGTTATCATACAAAGCCGATGAAAACGGGCATAAAATGGTTTTTTCCCAGTTCCGGTCAGTTCTTATCAATCTGTAAAACTTTTTAGTCGATTCATCACAATATCAGCTGTTGAAATGTGGAAATTTCTCACAAACTGCTCAAAAAGCCGTAAAATACAAGCCATGACCAGCAGATATGTGGCAATAAATCAAACTTTTGTCGCTGGTCTCGGGCAAAAGAAACAAAATCGACGGCCGTGGCCCAACTTTACAGTTTTTTTTTCCGTTTTGCGTTCCCCTTCACAGCCAAAAACTGTCCAATGGACGAGGTCCATTGTTTCCTAGTTCACGCAATTTTTCCTAGCCCCTTTTTTTGCCCATTTTCACTGAAATTTGAACTTGTTCCAATTATTTCATCCGTTTTTAGGAAATAAAATTAGGAAATTTTTTTACTTTTTAGTGAATTTTTAAGGAAAATATATGTACATTTCTTGCAATTAGAGCAGAAAAGAGGTTCATGCCGTGTTCAAAGTAATTTCCGCGAAATGCAAAATGGTCTCTGACCCTCCAAAATTTAGTTATCTTTCTCTTTCTCTGACAGCTATTTTGAATTTCGCGGAATCACTTTGAACACGGCATCAATTATCCCATTTTCACAATTTTTTTTGAAATTAATGTCCATAGAAGTTTAAAATTATATTTTTCCTGTGTGTGAAATTTAAAAACTTGTTTTAAAAATGTTCAAAAAGGCATAAAAAAATAAATAAAATCCCAAATTTACTGTTTCTGATTGTATTCTGCGATTTGATGTTGAAAATTTTTTTCTCCTTTCAAAAAAAGTTCACAAGGTCCATTTTTTTGAATAACTTTATCCCAATATCGTTCGATTTGAACAGATTTAAGATTCAGACGTTCTAATAAGTTTAAATTTGATGGAATGTCTTATATACTATTTAAAAAAAGTATTATTATTAAAGTAGGAAGAGGAAAAATACATGAGGTACTTCCCCTTTTTTTCCAAAAAAATAAGTTTCTTTTTTCTTTTTTTTATCATATTCTATTACAAATCCTAATTTAAACTCGAGAAGTGATGGAAAAAGAGCAATTGAACTGAAAGAATGGGCCTTTTCTCTTCTTCCAGGCCTCTTCAAGACACCTGTTGCAGCTGCCCATCACTTCTTCTTTTTTTTCGTCTTCTTCTTCTCTTTTCCTTCTCTGATAAATTTCCCAATTGATACTAGGCCCACGAAAAATGTTCTTTCTTCTCTTTTAACCGGTTTTTTTTTCGAGAAAAATGTTTAAAGCCCTATTTTTACGAATATTAGAACATTTGCGCGCCGATGCGAATGGCAAATTTCGAAAATTTTTCAAATTCTCTCATTTTGTTTTCCTGTATGATTGATTGACGTCGACTTGGAAGTTTTGTAATCGAATCAATATTGGACGTTTGTTCCCCGATTTTTCGTCATTTTTCTCTTCAAAAAATGTTTTTTTTTCAGGGATCCGCCCCACTAAATGCGACAATAACTTCATATTTTCGTTTCAAAAACGCACCAAGTGCTTCGAAAAATGGCAAATCTACTAACTTTACTGACATTTTTGGCGACTTTCTTTGGATTAAATGGAGCTTCGTTGAATCTGCGGCCTAGGCAGTTCGTCAATGCCGGTACGTTATTTTTTCTTCTTGATTTTTTTTTTCGGTTTTTCGATGCTCTTTGTACTGTTGCTATAGTTTCTCTGTTGATTCCATCAGTATTTAAAAACGAAATTATGTTTTAGTAGATTTTTATGTTATATTTTCGTACTTTGTACAACTGCAAGGGTATTTTTCCAAAGTCTATCATTATTTTAAGACAAAAATAAGCTTCGAGAAGATTTATCGAGTTTTTCCTAGCGCCATGTGTTCCTCAGGCGTTATTTTCGCGGTTTTCTTGGGTCAAAGTTGGGTTTTCTTAAGTTTATGATATTTTTCAAGTAGTTTCTTGGTTATTTTGTTTTTGACAAACTCATTGGGTTATATTGATAAACTTTTTGAGGAGTTTTTCAAAAAAATGTAACTGGACAGAAGTTTGATTTTTAAGGCTGCTTCGATCGTTTTTTGGTTTTTTGGATCATTCTTTATAATTCCTCCTTTTTCAAAGATCTTGGTAGAGAAGCTAAGAGGTCACTCTAAAGTTTATGAAAGGCGTGGGCTGTTTCGATACTTTTTCAAAAATCTTTTTCGGATAACTGCAAAGACACTTACAACCGTGTCTCTAGAACGGTTTTTATCTCAACCGGCCATCGTGTTGTTCCAATCGCGATCCCAAATCTCTCTCGTCTTTTGCACGGAGCGCTCCTCGCTCCATTTTGTGCCGACCTCACTTTTTGAGGTTAAGAAAAATAAGGTACAGAAGTTACGATAACCATGTTGTTCGGCCTCGTTTGGTATCTAATCTTCTTTCCTCGCGGTTTTTGATTGGAACCTGAGAACGGTTCTTGTGACTTTTGATGAGTTTGAAAAAGGGGCTTTTTGAGACTTTTGATGCGTTCAAAGCTGGATTTGAAGCTGTTTCTTCGTTTTGGTTTTAGCTTGAGTTTATCGGTCAAGAATCCAGTTTAGTGGTTTAAAGGAGCATGGGTATTTTTATAAAGGTCTTGAGAAGAAAAATTAGTACCATTCCGAGTCGTGCTAACTTTTGCGTCTTCCAAAGTCTTCCTAGAACAGACTGTACCTTCAAAGTTCGCTCCAACAGTTCTGCACCTTTAACTTGACAAACCTTTTTTTTCGAGGTTGCGTCAAAACCAGCCGATTCTCTTTCTCTCGTTTTCCGTATCAAAAACGCATCGGCACCATCATTTCCGCTCGATTTGCCCACCCAGCGAACGGGTAAAAGGTGCGGCGTCTTGGAAAAGATTATGGAATCGGAAAGGAACGAAAAAAACAATAATCGGTACGTCTTCTTTGATGCCCTGGCAGGCGTGATTTTCACGCCTCCTTGACGGTTCAGACGAAAGGACAAAGTGTGATATTGTTAATTTACAGTTTGCCGGGGTCTTTCGAGGCTAATTATCTTTCCTTGCATCCTACAAAGCAAAGGAAAAGTTTTGGGTTGAGGGCATCTGGCAGAAAGGGACTTAAAGACGTCCTGATTCAAGATCAGCTTAAAAATCTGCTCCCCTTGTATTCCAGTAGTATTATCAAGCCTGAACAGGTCAAAGTTTTCCTTTTCTCTGTAATCGAATTTGAAATTTCACAACTCTACTGAAAGATAAAAATAGTCTTTTTTATTGGTTTTTCTTTTCTCTTTCGGATTCAAGATATCTCTAAATACCTTCCAGTTTCAACAAATTTTTGAGATTTTCCTCATATTTTTCATGAAAATCGCAACTCAAAAGGGTTAATATGTTCTTTTCGGGCAAAGATTTCAAATTAGCACGTTGACTTTTAAGATACAACCTTGAATTTCAAAAAAGAAAACATTTTTATCATACACCATCAAGTTTTCCAACTTTCCAAGCTGAGAACACGAAGCAAAGGGTGAATAATCACTGATGCGTTGACCTGAAAAGAACCAAGGAAAGGAACTCGGAAGGGTCAGCGCACATTGTGACGGACAGAGCTGGTTAGGAATGGTGTAACAATGGACGGGGGAGAGCTGAGGTTAAACGGACACGCTAAGTGTGACCTGCGCCTTTTTTCTTGCTCTTTTTTCTGGGGACATGCAACTTTGGCTTCGTGGAGAAACCGCCTAAAGTTGAGAATTCGAAAAAGAAATAGGTGTGCGACCCAAAAAGACTTTGAAGCTTCTTAAGGGGGTATTTCCATTTTTCGGAGAATCTATCAGACTGAATAAATTTTTGAAAAAGTTTCTTCAAATCTAAAGCCACTTAGAAAGTGCAATAAAACCTTCAATAATCTCATACAGAAATTTTAAGTTGAATCGATCCTACTTAACGGCTTATTGTGCACCTAATTTATTAGAAAGTTCGAGTATACCTCCGGCAAGCACTCGAGTTACACTATCCCCCATTGATTGAACCTTTAAGAGTCGCAAAAACGAACTTAAAAGTCAACTGCGAACAAGTTTTCCTTACTAAATCAGCTGTCTAGAATAATGGGCCATCTTTCTCGCCTTATCACCTCCTTCAAGGAAGTTTCCTTTCTCTCCTTTTTAGCTAGGTTGGAAAAAAAAAGTTTGACTTTTGTTTCGATCAAACGGAAGTGATTTCATCATTTATTGTTGGAAAATACTGAAAACGTTCACATATCACATATTTGTCATATTCATCCTGCTTGTACAGGTTTTGAACACGTCGGAAGGTGAAAAGGCGACTCTTTGTCGCGGATTTCGAGGGTGAAAGGCTATGAAAAGGAGAAAAAAGGTCAAGGATTGAATTGGACCACTTTTTTTGGGTTATTTTTTTATGTAGGCTGAAAAACTCAGAAAGCATTGAATCCCAATATTCTGTTTGAACCGCTTTAATTTTTTCGAATACGCTCTCAGCGATTTTCACGTCCTGATTCGGAACCAGCGTGAAGAAACTGGATCTCGCGATCCTGGTTTCATTTCAAAGTCTCAGTTTTAAACCCTAAAAAAAGGAAAGTTTATTAGGAACGTTTTTGCTCGATTTTTTGATTTTTCTTGGCGAAGAACAAAAACAGGAAATCGAAAACTCAAAAAACTAGAACTTCAAAGCTTGAAGGGGAATCGATTCCAACGACTCCGATTTTAATCTCATCGAGAGTATGAACTTCTCACGTTGCATACGTATGTCCACACACAACAACAAGAAGAAGAAGTTTGCTTTTGGGCCCAACACCCGGCGGACCGAACAAACTAGAGGGGTTCCCACCAAAACGAAAACGCCACACCTGTAACCTTGAGGAATCGAGGTTAAATCGAAATGAGAAATTTTAGTCGGATTTGTGAGGCGGGTGTAGAAAATACAGAAACGGCTCTTGGTGATGATTGTTTTGCGAAATTTGATCAGCTAAGTTGGTCTAGAGAAAACTACACCTCCGGAAAAATAGTTTGCGCTTCATTGATAATTATTCAGTTTTGAGATTAAGGCAAAAGGCGTTGATATTTGTATGGGCATTTATTTTCACCCGCAAACGGCTATGAAAGAAAAAATAGGGTTTGTGAGCTCTGCTCAACAATAATTTGAAAAGTGATATTTTTATTCCTTTTTTCCTAGTGATTTCACGGGAGTTTGTTAAGAAATCCCTGAAAATCATACAAATCAACTAAAAAAAAGCAAGATTTTTTTGCTAGGAAATACTTCCATAGGTTTTTTTAGAAATATGTCAAAAGTCTTTGAAGTTTTTTTCCATTCTTCTCCAAAACCTGTTAGCTTGAAAACCGCTTACCCACCACATTGTTTAGGTTTTAGGCCCAAAAACAAAGATGAGAATGTCGGCAATCTTCAAAAAGCCCAGGGCCGCTACCAGATGTCTCCTTCCTCCTCTTATTCCTCCTTCATTTCTTGCGTTTTTCCATCCGCACATTCGAGGGCGTTTCAAGGTGGTGCAGATTGACCTTTGAGTGGCATTGGCCGCGTGGAAATGGGTCTTTTGCGGTTTTTGCCCAAGAATTTTTGCTTTTCTCATTTCACATTTCGATTTGCATAGCTTCATTTCACGGCGAAATGAAAAGAATACATTTTCTCGCTGAGAAAATGGAACTTTTTGGTTTAAGAATCCTTGAGCAAATGGTTGAGGTTTTTTATATTTTTTAAAAACGACAGGCTCCGGGACTTTAATGGAAACTTTCACTTTAAGGGGCCCGGAATCAAAATCTCAAAAAGGCTGTCTTTTTTTTGTTTTTCAGCCGATTTATGGGATCTCAAAGTTCCTATGCTACTCATTTAATGGAAAAATGATGACTTTTCATAACTTGGCTGGAAGGCAAAAGCTGGAAAAAGGCGTTTCAAAGTGGTGCAGATTGAGCAGAAAAGGAGAAAAAGCTTTCCCGTGTTGGAATCAGGGACAAAATTTCCTTACTATTAGAAGAATAGTCGAACCGGTCAGGTTTTCTGTAGACCTTTCCCACATCCTCTATAAGCTTCAAATTGCTTCCAATATTTCATCAAACGCTATAATTCGCGTCGAAAACCAAAGTGATGGATCTGAATTTGGTAGCCTACATAAATAAGCAGCTGCCTTGTGAGAAATTGGAAAGCTGTGGCATTTGAGGAAGGGAATTACCATTTATTTATTGGAACCCAAAATGGAAAGAGTGGACATGATTGACAGGCTGTGGGGTGTGACAAGTGACCGTTTGCGCAACAGTGCACATATATTGCGATCCTTCTTGGCGATTTGCCAACAAAAACGATGGGAAGAAGGTGTGTCAGCATTGGTTGACATTCTCAGGTCACCGATGTTGTGTCTTTTTGTTTTTGAGTGGCCTTTTTGGTTTGGAGCTAGGTTGAGAGTACTTTTTCTCGTCTTTTTGTTTTTTTATAAGTATGAATCGAGGAGAAAACTTCTGAATGATGGAAAAAAAATCCATAGAGAAAACTTGCAGTTAGTACAAGATTTTAAAAGTTTTTCCTTCAAAATTTCAAGATCATGTTGTTACAAAAATGCTGAGTTTGACGTAAATTAACATATACAGAACTGCAATAAGAAGCTGACACGTGTGAACAGACTGTCATTTTTTGAAAACTCAGGCAACCATCGGAGCTAAAAAAAAAAAGGACAACTTTTTGATTCGTTTCATAAATCTGCTATAACCATCGACTTACTAATTTTTCTAAGATTAAATTTCTCGGACTTTCTGAGCTTTTCTTGTGGCAATTTAAGCGGCGTCAGCACTTTTAAGTGATCATTTCATATGCTCTGAAACTTTGGGACGCACCCGGTTTTTTTTTCCGAACTCCGAGCTGGTCAAAAAGGCCAATTTATCCACTAACAGTTGATTCTCCATTACCTTACTCAAATTTCTAAAGATTCCATCATCAAAACAACAAGAACAATCACACAACCTAATGGTATTTGTTCCGTGGAAGGAGACCCCAATACATTATATATTTGGCGTTGTTTGTTTGCGGGCGACAACACGGTTTCTTCTTCTTGTGTGTGGAGACAAGTGAGCTGAAAGTGGATCTCCGAGGAGCGAGCCTAAGTCTTCTCCTCCCCTCATGCTCGACAAAAGAACGTGTGCTCTCGGTGTGAAGATGGTGATGGTCCTGAGCCGATCCAATTCGAATACAATCGCAATGGGAACACAATGTCAATACGTAGTTCTTCCTGCGGGGCGGATTATTCCATTTTTATTGTTTGTCCGTAATATTTGGCATCGAGAGAAGCTTGTGGAGTTCGGAAAAAGTTTATTTAATTTTTTCCTCTGCTAATAAAGTTTCCAATAAAAAAATCCCGGATACCGGCAATAAAAAAATCCCGTCAGTCTTACTTCATTTCTTGCGGTTTTCTGAAAAATATTTTTCCTTTTTGGTTTAATTTTCTTCATGTTTTCTTCTTTGGAGATCGTAAAATAACCAAAAAATTACTTCATTAGAATTGAACTCGCCACTTTTTTTTCTGAAAAGCACACATATCACTAAACCATAATCCCTCAAAAACATGAGAAAAAAAAAACCCAAAACTTTTTTCTTTTGCCGACGCGGCCTATTAGAACGCCAAACGACAAGGATTCGGCCAATAAAGGCAATGGACCAAATGGCTTGGCCGTTAAATGTGGGAGAACCTGAAGAAGAAGAAGAGCCAGGACAGTTGCAAAAATCTGTCTTTTCGAAACTCATTACGCGCCTGAACGCTTTGTACGACGCGCTAAGACTCCTGGGAGGCCATCACAATGGCATTTTAATTTCGAGCCGACTCAGCCTCGGTTGATTTGATGGGGAGAGAGTTTTCGTAAAGTTTTTGATGGGCGTGGAAATAATTGAGAAAGAAATTATGGTGAATCTTGAAGTGATGATTTTCAGGGAAGAGTTAGGTTTGATGATGAATCTGTCAGGAATTTTTAACTTTAAAAGCCACCTTAAAAATTCCAAAAATCTGGTAGATACTGGAATTGAGTGAAGATGAAAGGTTATGCTTTGAAAAACTTTTCCGATAACTCTTAAATGACACGAACTTCACAAAAGTCCCAATTTTTGGTGTTCTAAACTAATATGACGCCGTTAGTCCTTAATATTACCCATTTGATGGCCGCAACTTGTTCGGATCTGTATGTTGTGTACGTTCATATCGGTGTGAAATCTTCTTCTTTTTAATTGAACGAGTTTGACTGGCGACTTCCGACAGGGATAATTATTTGGAAAGGGATGAAAGCTAAGGAATTTAAAAAAATCTTTGGGGATGCTGCGAATAAACTTTTTCATCCTTCTTTCGGGTTCCGTACCAAAATACGGTGGTTTTTGGCGTTGCGCAACACGGAGACGATCCTAAAATCTAGCCTAAATACGAGGCAGATTACGCACTCGATGGTGGCCATCGAGGGACGAGCTTCCGGAGACGATTGCGCAACGTTCTCGCCGGCCGGGATCCTCTTGTTCCGCGCAGATCAAAGGAATCCGGCCGCCTGAATGCCTACAAACGAACAAGGCTATCGGAAAGATTGCGTTGAAGTTGATTTGATTGAGCCGAGCTTTTTTGCTGGGCATGATGAAGCACTTCATCAGAACAACTCGTCCGATCTTCGAAGACATCAAGGGAACGTCTGCTTCATATAGAAGCTCTCCAAGTTTTTACAAGGCAGGTCATTTTACTTTACGATGGGGATTTTATTGAAAATCGGTCAGAAAATTCGTTGGGATCATGACAGATAAATATCCTGAAAATGTTTCTGGAATAAGGCGTCAAAGTCCGTAGAAATAGGCCAGAATTACTTTGTTCAGGTTTAGATTTCCAGTTTCTTCGACTAAAAAAAGTCTTTTTTTTGTCTGGAAAATCAAGGTGTATCATGACCAGGAAGCTTTTGATAGCAAAGTAAACCTACCTTCCTTGTAAGGCTTCCAAAGCACCTTACGGCTTGAATCTACTAAACCTGGCCTTCAAAGAGGATATATAATTATCCCTCTCGGAAGTCGCCGGTCAAACTCGTTCAATTAAAAAGAAGAAGATTTCACACCGATATGAACGTATACAACATACAGATGCGAACAAGTTGCGGCCATCAAATGGGTAATAATAAGGACTATCGGCGGCGCGACTCATAATTGGTTAACACACCTAAAATGGGGACTTTTGTACAGTTTGATGAAAGAATTTGGGGTTTGAGTGGTTTCAAGAGCCTTCGGAATTTATATTTTGTCTATTGAAGTTTGGTGCCTCCTTTTCCTTATTCTTCCTCAACTCGAAGCTTTTTCAACTTTCAAAAAGGTTTCTGCCAGTGAAAACATACACGAGACACGTGCGACAAGTGTACGGGGAGATGGATTGTGTGAACTTTGGAGGAGAAGGAGAAAATATTTTTCTCCTGCCCGATTGCTTACGTTTTGTGAGCGTATGTGTGATGGTCCGTTTACACACAACATTTTCGGCTGGACAGTTGCCGTCATTTGAATTTATTCGTTCGCATTTTGACAAATTAATCTGCCTCCCGAGCGGCGTCTGCTCTGTTCTGTTGCAAAGCGACAACGAGAAGTACATTTACAGGATTTTTAGTGCCCGGGGAGAAGCTTAGATTTTTCTGATTGAAATGATAAGAGTGGAATTTAGAAAGTTTTCTCAACTAGAGCTTTTGCTTTGGTGGAATTTTATTATTCAGAAAGTTCATTAGACTTTGTGGTTTGAACTTTTTGAAAATTTGTCTCCAGAAGCATTTTTTTTTTTCATCTTCCAATTGAAAAAGTCAATAATTTTTTTACAACAAGGCGCTTATCATAAGCATTATCAACCTGCAAATTTAATTTTCACTACGAAATTTTTTTAAAAACGGCTCACTTTTTTTGATCACTTTTTTTTCTTTAGAAAAAGACCGTTCAGGTTTGAAGAAATTATAAAAAGCTATCTTTAGAAATTTTTCAGAATTTGTCTACAAAACTGAAGTTTTTAAACTTGAGACTTTCAGGCTCTTGATAGGTACACCATAGAATAATCTGGTCAACTTTCAAAAAATAGCAGAGCTCAAAGTATAATGACCTTCCATGTGGGAGAAAGAGAAATTTTCGGAGAAATTTCGAAAAAAATCTTCAAATTTGAGAACACGGACCTCTCTCAAGATTGACAGCTCTGCTGGACAGACAAACCGTGATTTTGACAAAAAGAGGCAGATGCCGATATGCTAATCAGAGACAGTTTGGTGCGACTCGACGAGAACCCATTAATCCACAACAAAGACAACAAACGGCCTTGGCTCTCCGGCCACCCACTGGCTCGTGCCATATTGCACAGTAGCCGAGGTGACCTCGGCCATTTATCAAATCAAAAAGGAGAAGGATGCCTTTGTCGTGTTTCAGGTGAAAAAGTGGTCATTCAGGTAAAACCTGGGGTTTGATTCATTGCCAACTTGAGAAATGTGTTTTCTACCGTCGAGAGGGTTTTCGGAGGTTGCTCATTGAAGCCTTAAAACTTTTAATTGGTCAATTTAGGATAGAAAACTGCTCTGATTTTTTTTTGGTAAAATCTGTCTGTAGGGCAAGTCTCAACTTTCAAAACTCTTTCTTCTCTGATAATGACATTTTAAAGGTTGAGAAAGATTAAATGGAAAAACCTGGTTTCGCAGTCTCTTTGTAGCTTAACAAACCAACAATAAAAAAAGTCTGAATAGACACTTTCACTTGGAACGAACACGTTGGATAAAAATCTCGTTGTTTTCTCACCGAAAAGGGTTTTTTTGCGCCAGCTTTTGTCTTGTTTGAATCGAAAAGAAAAAACGCACGTTTGAGTTTTTCTCTCTCTCTGAATGAAAAATTTATTAATGGAGGTGCTGTTACATTTCTCAAATTTTTTTCTTCAAAAAGTACAAATTTTCGTGCGATTTTGAGTAGACTCTTGTCGCATTGAAAAAATCTTGAAGATGCTCTGTTTTCTGGCTCTTTGCCTCGAATCAAATCAATTAGACTCTTTTTTTTGTTCTGAAACGGTTGAAGTTAACGCGAAGTCCAGTTTCAAAATAAGTTCGTCCAAGTTCCAGGACGTTTTTAAATGACCAAATTAGCCGAAACCGTTCCTCCCTGGAACGCTTATCCGATCCAGGACCTCCGAAGTCCGTAGCCAATCAGAAGCCGCTGATTGCCTACGTTTGAAGAGTTTGTCCTCAAGAGGACGTGGACCAATTCACCGTTAACCCACATTTTTGCCGTCATCTTCAACTGAACCCCGAGACACCCATCAAATACACATCATAAACTGTTTTCTTCTTCCTCTCGAGATCGAGGCTACGGTCGGGTGCAGCAGCAGCAACAGAGATCGGGACAGCCGACAAGATTCTGATCTTGATCGCAATAGGCAGTACAAATCCTTCCGCGGTCGTTCTCTTTGCGTGTTTCGCGCCATGGCGGCGACGCTCTTGAGAGGGGCTCTAAAATAGATAGTTTTTGAGATTGAGTTTAAAGACTGGAGTATTTAACACACGTTCTCTGAGAAAGTCGATGAACTGCAGTGAAGCCTTGGTACAAGAATTAAGGTTTCGTTTGGAGAGTTGAAATTATTATCACAGTTACTAGTCATAATGTGGTAACTTTGAGGCCGGTTCTGTGAGGCTCCGCCCTTCGCTGGGTTACGGTAGGACTTTTATTAAAATTTTCTAACTTTTTTTCTAGTTGAAACATTCGTTTTAAAGGTGCATGACGAGTTTCATGTAAGGTCTCGAAGCGAAGAGCCGTTTTCAGGGATTTCGGCCAGACTGGAAAGTAATTTTTTCTTCGGTATTCATCGAGTACAATGTCTATTAGAACGATCAACACGAGATGTGGTTATAATTGAAATAATCGAGTTGGCGGCATTTCTTGACGGGGGGCTGAAGTGAGGGCGCGTTTTTGTTTGAACAAGTTATGAGGACCCGCTGAGAACTTCCAAAAGTAGCCGCTATCCTCCCCAAAGATCTGGTTATTCGAGGCGACGATTGGACAATACTTGTGCGCGGTCTCTCTCTGTGTGTATATGATCCAACGGGGTTGTTCGTGGCAATATTTCGGTTTCAATAAGAAAACATGAGGTTAGGGGCTGCACTCAAAGAGGCATGTGATGAGAAATTTCGGCAGGAATTGAGAGAAAGTATACAAGAACCGAATTTGAAGAAAGCTTCGAGCTTCTTCTCATAAGAGCAGAAATTTGTGAAAATCAGAAGTAAGCCGTTATAATTTCGAAGTTTAATAAGGCGTGCGCTGTTTCGGAGAAGCTTCTACGCTCTGATGACAAAAATGATCAAATCGAAGGTTTCTTTTTGAGGAAATCACTCAAGTTCACATTCTGAGCCTTGCTAGAATAGCAGTGGGGAAAACTATGGAAAAAATGACAAGGTTTTTGATTTTCGAGTCGAAGGTTTCCAAAAGTTTCAGTTGGAGAAATTCTCTATAATATGAGCAATATCGAAGTTGTCTACAAACTTTTTGAACAGTTCAAATTAGAGAGTTAAAAAAATTGATTTCAAAAAAATCAGTTTTTGTAAAAAGTTCTGAAAAAAATTATTAGACCCTTTTTTTCAAAGTTTTTTTGCCTTTTCTTTCCGTAGAAACTGCAGGCTATTTTCAAAAAATTTTAGATTTATAACTTTAGGGATCGCTTCAGATCACTTTAGGACTATTGTAACAGCGGAGCGCGAAATCCTCTGAAAATTAGGCTTTCATCTTTCGTGCCGCCATTAATATGTAGCTTCTGACATTCGGTGTGGCCATTGTTTTCCCTCGAGAAACGTTTGGTTTGTCAACCATAATTTCCGAACATTGCCTCATCATGTTCTCTAATCGATCGGCCGAGACTCTGGCCGAAACGGATTCCCATGGGGTTGAAGCTTTGGACCAACTTTGGCATCTTTGATTCGAGGGCATTTTAGGTGGATTTTCGAGGGATTTTCTAGAAGTTTGGGCTCGAAAAAGTTTGAAATGAGTTTTAGGCCTGAAATTCGGCCAGGGAATAAGTAAAGCTCCTTTGAAAATCACTTGATTTCCAGTTAACTCAAAACTTTGAAAAAGGCTGACAGTAGCTCGGGTTGAGTTATAGGGACCTCTTCTTCCTTGAAATTCCGAAAAAAAAGTGAGCTCTTGTGGTCAAATTAGATATGTCCTTTTTTTAGTTTTTTGGATGCGGCTTAAAAAAAATCAGGGATTTTCAAAACTTAAAATATTATTTAAGGACAAGAAATCAGTCCTGAGACTTTTGTCTGTGAAAATAGGTCATTTAGGACTGCCTAAATGCGCTCCATTGATGAAAGGGAACCTAAGCTTATTTTTGCTGAAATCTAAAGTCAAACTCGGCTTTTAAGGGGTGAACGATGAAAAATAAACAACTTTCACGATTTGTCCCTGTCTAAGCTTTTCGAAATTTTTTTCCGAGCTTGAGATGGCTTTAAATAGATGGCAGGGTAATCCAACTCGAGCCATGCTTTTGAACCATAAACTCGGCCAATTACAAGTGATTACCGACGATTTGCCGGTTGGCAACTGGACAAAAAACGGTTTTTGTCGGATGAAAAGCGGCGTTTCTGTGCGAAGAAGAGAGGGCAAGGCCGTCGTATAAATCGTTTTACGATGCTCTGATGCGTCTGCCTCCGTTCGTCTTTTTTCAACCCGGTTGACGCCGCCGCCGACGTTCGAAATGGGTGTCAGGTCTCGACTCGACGACGAGGGCAAATTAGACCTGTCTTTAACGGCTGTTACGCTTTTTTCCGTCCTTGTTATTTTATGCCTGGTAGCGTTGAAATAACATTTTGGCGGGGACCAGTGGAGTTTTTGGCTAGAAGAGGGCTTTTGGATAATTCGATTGAGCTCGTAATTTTAGAGATTTAAAGGTTGGATCCAATGAATTTAGAGCTTGAAAGATAAGAGCTGCCTTGCAAGGCTGTAATGGCTTTGGCTCTGATGATTCCTGCTGTAATTTTGAAACTTGTACCCAAATGTTCTGTCTTCATGACACTGTAAAAGAAGGTGTCACCGAAAAATTTAAGCAGGTTCAGTGTCTTCAAATACGCTCCAAAGATAATCAAAGTCTGGAGAATTCAAACATTTTGAGATTTTTTCCTTTTGGAGTTTTGCTTTGCTGATAAATTTGGGATCTTTTTCGAGCTTTCTTCGAGGAGGGAACAAAGTGACCCCAAGCTTGAATGGCAGGAAGAAGGTTGTTAGAAAGCTGTTTTATGCTTTGAAAACGTGTCATCGCGATGAAATTCTAAGGTTTTTATGATAATTTTCAAGCTCGGCATGGATTTTTAAGAGTGGTTTTAAACTTTTTATTAAATTGAGGAGAATTTTTTTCTATCTCAAAAAGCCATAAATCTACCATCTCTTCACAGCCTACCGTAGCCGTGACTAAAAGCCATCAATTCCGAAGCTTCCGGCGCAAATCAGTGATAGAACATGGCCAGAACCAGGCCCATATATCAAATCGGTATCAGCACTTCTCGCGCCGATGTACAGTAATTTACGGTCCTCAGAAAACCCAGAAACGGTCATAAATTAAGGCGAGAGGGCGCTTCGGCCTAATCTATCAAAATGCAGGGCCAAAGTTGTTGCAGTTCTTCTTCTTTTCGCCTTTTGGGTTTTTGGCGCGTTGTAAATCATTTAGGTCGTTCCATCGTTCGGACCTTGAAAGTTACAAAATGCGCCGATTTTTATCGTTGGAGCGCGTCTGAACAGCTTGAAACAACTTCTGACTTCAAAAGAAACTTGAAAAAGAAAACCATAAGAAAAAAGGCTCTCAGAGATTTTTAACATGGCGGTATGTTTATTTGGTCTCAAGAAAGTTCAGAAGATAATTTTCCTCGGAGATGGAATAATACGATTTTTGCGTCTCCTTGCAACAGTACAAAACGTTGAAAGCTTCTCAAAAAATTCAAATTCATGAAAAAATTTCCAACTTTATGTTTGATTAGGCCATATTTCAGTCGAAGTTGATGCATTAGAAAACAGATCAAAAGATCAATTTTTCTAACTTGACGAAATTTCCAAAATTTCTCGTTTGCAGTTGGTTTCGGCGACCGATTCGGCAGCATCAACACGAATTCTGAAGAATCGGACCACTTCAAGCTGCTCGCCGCCGACGGCGACTCGTTGCTCGTCGGAGCAAGGTAGTTTTTTCAGATTTATTTACCTTCCACCGACTCATTTCATGCCGGAATCGCACCCCAAAAACGATAAATGGAGTGGTTGGGAAACATTTGTTTGCCTGTTTGAATATATATTGAATAGCGATTTTTTGCTCTCTTTCCCGCTAGCCGTTCCTCCATTATGTACTCCGTTTTTTTTGTTGTTTTTTGGCGAACCGGAGCTTTTTGATACCTCTGCCAAGGAATTTTCTTTCCTTTTTATATTTTATTGAGGGGATTGAGAGTTCCGATGATTTTTTAATCTTCAAGTTAGGGAATTTTTAGGTTTTGGGAAGCTTTTTTAGTGTTTCTTTGTGAGGGAAGACAGAATTCTCTCAATTTCCTAGATCTTATCAAAAGGAGAAAAGAACTAAAAAGGTCAAAAAGATTTCTTTTTTTCGAGGAAATTATCCATGTTTTTACTTTTTTTCTCACATATGTCAGTTATTTTTGAGCCGTAGTTCGATCAAAAATTTAAAAAAAGAAGATTTTTTTACGAATCTTGAAATAGTTATCAGAACAAGATTTAGACTTACAACGCATATTTTGAGAGAGTTGTACCAGTGACACTCCCATATTTGGCTGAGTGATGTCAGTACAAAAGCGGGGAGGATGAGTCGTCGTGTTGTTTCTGGTGGCTGGGAAATCCGAGATGCTGAGGTCGAAGCACTCGACCTCCGGCTCGTCACCCAAAGACTTTTCGAAAGCCGGGGGATCTTGAGAGTTCATAAATATTCACAAGAAAGCCAAAAAGAGCCGTTTTCCCCAGCAAGGAAGGTGATTCTGAGTTAAATTTGGGAGTTTTGGGAAATGGCCAAAAAAAATTCCCGAGGTGTATTTTCTAGAAAATAGAAATTTTTGTCCCTTGAGACTTTCAAGACCTTTATTCGAAGAATGGAACAATTCTGGTCAACTTTAAAAGAAAGTCTTGACCGCAATTTATGATGGCCTAACAAGGAATTTGATTTTAGCTTGACTTCGGCAAACTCCAGAAAATGGGCTGAACCCACTTTGATAAATCAAAAGGAAGACCTGAAGGTCTCAATATGCGGAAAATCTTAATTTTCGAGAAAGGACATCTCGAAATCGAAGAAATTCGTCAAAATCTGTTGAAACGGACCATTTTGAGACTTGAGCCTTTATTTCTTGGAAACGAGGAAGTTTGGCAAGTTGAGGCTTTCAAGACCATTATTTGAATCGACAAATACTCTCAACCGCAAAGTGAAATGGCTCTAGAGAATCCTCTTCCTTATTTTCTTCTGGACAAACCTTCTTTTTTCCTTACTTTTCGCTCTGATTCCTCCGGTTAGAGGATCCCTAAATCATCCAAATACCATCGTTTACATAACTAATGTGTCCGGAGGAGCAGATGTCCTGACGTGAAGACAAACTTTTCGCCAACGACGTCTGGCGACGAATCAAAACAGTTTTTGAGTTACGGCCAGCCACTCTCATTGGTTTATGGCAGGATGACAGGCGGAAAATAGCTCAGTGGCTTAAAGTAGTTTCTGGAGTTTGAAAGGTCGCTGGCTCGGGTCCTGTCGAAGTTCTGCCAAATTTGAGAAGTTTTTTCATTCTTCCGAGAAGCTGGTACTGCCCCTTTTTTGAAAAATTTTAGTCAAGGGGCTAAAAACTCACTTCTATCTGAAAATTTATCGGCATAACCTGCTTAGACCTCATTTTTTTTTAGGAAATGAAAAAAGGCTCAGTTTTCAGTCTCCATTTTACCAAAAGCCGAAAACAAGGGAAAATGGTTTTTTTCTGGACAAAATAGAGAACATTTTTTCACATTCTTAAAGCTTTCAAGAGTTTAGTTTTCAAGCCTTCATAATTCCACTTCATCCAGTTTCTGGTCGAAAAAAGAAAACGCTCAAATCACAGCCTACAGTCATTGGAAGGCCGGAACTGTACAACAGTTTTTTCTACTTCCATTTTTTCACGCTGTCCTTTTAACTATCCATGTAATTGGATGGCTGGGCAGAATGGGGAAGACGTGGCATTTCCCACGACGACGACGACGACAGCGTGACTCAACCTGCCGCTTGGACAAACACGGCCAAAGTGGCGGTTTGAACGGCCCCACAAGAAGGAAATGGCGGGTTTCAGCTTCCGGTTGAGAGTTGAGGAAACGGATCTTACCAGGGCAACTTTTTTGATCCTTGGAAGCTTCTCCCGGCTGTAAAAGGGTTTAACAAGGAGCGTTTTATTCGAATTTTGCAAGCTTCTTTGGGTTAGAGAGCTGAGAAAACGGACTTTATTGGGGATTTTTCCAAGTTTAGAAAATTCTTGTGTTAGAAAGTTGAGGGAACAGATCTTAGAAGAAAAGAAGGCACTTCTTAATTGGCTTCTGCATCTGCAGATCATAGCTCATCTGAAATCTCCAATTTTCTTCGAGGAGATTGACCAAACCGACTGGTTTCCATCCAGGAAGCATGTACAGAGAATCACTTTAGGCCCCCTTAATTAATTGCTTTTGCGAAATGAACCTTGGAACGGACGGATTTGGGATGAAGAAATTGCCTCGGACTTTTGAGGTCGCCAAAGGAAAATGATCAAAGATTAACTTTCGGACGCTTTAGTGGCCATGTTTCATTGCCCAAGAACACAAGAAAAATAATAATTAAAAGGAATTTCCACAATTACTGCATTTTTTGGTTTCCAAAAGAAAGGAGGAATGTCATGAATTTTCTTAGTTTCCAAGGCCATTTTTTTATCCTTGTTCTCATGTTCGAACCTTTTCGTTTTTTTTGGCCACGCCGGAAAACGCTTCTTGGAAACTTTTTTCTTGGTTCAGAAGGAAAAAAAGTTCCGACACGGAGCATTTGATGCGTCGGCCCGTTTTTTGCCAGTTTTTTCCCCGCTGGTCTGAAGAAAAATCCACTTGGCGCCTCCTTGGTACAGAATCTTCAAGGTCGAGAGATGTTTTTGGTTTTGAGGGACTCTTTCACTTGAGATAACGTTAAAAATACTTATTTTTTGCTCCATTTTCGTCGTAAATTAACATAAATCGAATAAGTTTTCGAAAGTTTTCGGTAGCTCCTCCGACATATTGACGCCGTTCCGAACGACTTTTACGAGCTATCCGGCCGTCTGTTGAGCCAATAAATCTTCACCAAAATTACCATGTTTGTGGTTTTTCTGAAAAAAATTTAGCACCTTTTATTGTTGCTCTAATTGCCTTTTGGCAGGTGGCTTTGGGATACCCTGTGATTAGGGGAAAAATAAGTTATGTCAATTTTTGAGAGACATTGACTCGTTTTTGAGGTTTTACTGAAACTAGACCGTTTTAAACTGAAAAAATGCAGTTTTTCACTACTTTTCTCACTTTCTTTGAATTGAAAGCCTTGTGGTCATACCAGAAACAAGAAACTGTTTGAGAATCATGATCATTTCATTTTAATATGCTGCTGAGGTTTTTAAAGGAGCATTGGAAGAACTAACCAAAAATTTGCTTTTTTTTTAACCTAGCAAAAATGTGAAAGAATTGGAAAACCTCTCACTTCCCATTATGAAATATGTATGTACATGGCGACCCTCATAAACATTCCCCTGAAGGTCGAACTCTAATGGATTTAGCACCGGAAAACGTGGTCCCGTCCTTCCGCCGCCAATGGTAATTGGCGCCAACTTGTTGTTCAGTTATTCGGATGGGTTATGGGTTTTAGATGGAGTTATGGAGTTTTAGGGATTAAATTTTGATGGGATGGGAAAGAATTGCGAAAAGAGCTAAAATTTTGATACCGAATCAAGGTAGCAAAAATAAAAATTCGTTAAAAAAAAATGGAAAAATTGGGAAAAATTGGAAAAATAAAAAAATGTTCCGGCTCTGAAAAACTTTTAGAGTGTGGGGGCTAAATTCTATCACAAAGGAATATGGTAAAAAATTGAAAAAAAATAGGTTAAAATTGAAAAAAAATAGTTAGAAAAAATTATTTTTACAAAAAAATAAAAATTGAGTTGATCTTCCAACGAAAAGTCGGTGCAAGTCAGAAAAATTTGAAAAATTAAACTTTTTTTGATCGCTTTTTTTGTCAAGTCATCATTTTTTTCCTTTTTTTCCTTAGTATTTCGTATAGTTTCCATTAATTCCTACTTTCGGTGGATTATTTTTCGAACGAATTTACGAACGAATATAATTTAAGAAAAAAAAAATAGAGCCCCGAAATTGGTTTGAACTTTGGACAGAAACGGTTCGCCCCCGATAATCTCCCTATAATGATCCCTTGGCCTTCCTTTCATGACCCCTATAATGACAATTTGTTGCATCGGACTGTAATCCTTTGATTGCTCCACTGTTTCACCACCACTAGGGGGTCTTTTTTGTAAAGAGCATTTTTTTAGAAGGAAAAGTCAATAAAATTTGAAATTTTCAGAAACGCCGTCTACAACTTGTCGCTCGCCTCCCTCAGCGTTAATCATGTGAGATTTGGGGAAAATTGTTGAAAAGAACGATTTTTTCCAGAGAATCGATTGGAAGCCGCCGGCGGAACACATTGAAGAATGCATTATGAAGGGAAAATCCAAGGTAATATTGTACGGAAATTTTGAGAAAATTGAGATTTTTGGAAGGGTTTGGTTTTATTTTTTACGGTATAAGGTCTTTGAAGAAGCATCAAAAAATATTTTTTGATCATTTGAATAAATAAAGCTCCAGAGGATCTTTAGTTGAAAAAACTGCCGAACTATAAATTTTTTGAGCTTTTTACTAGGGTTTTTGGTTCATTTTGTCCAGAACTCTGAACGTTGGCGCCTCAAGGCTTGCCGAATATTTCTCTTGAATAGATAATACTAATTTTTTTTGATCTGAAGGAGGAAAAAAACGTCGATTTTCAGGCCGACTGCCAGAACTACATCCGAGTGCTGGCCAGGAAGTCCGACGGCCATGCGTTGGTCTGCGGAACTCATGCGTTCTCGCCGAAATGCCGCGAATATGCTTACAATTCGCAAGACGGCAGCGTCAAAAATACGCGACAATTCGACGGGCAGGGCATCTCGCCGTATGATCCGCGCGACAATTCCACGGCTCTTTATATTCCCGAATCGAATGAGATTTACACGGGGACCGTTACCGACTTTGCTGGGAACGATGCGCTGATTTACAGGTTTGTGTGCAAGAAAATAGAAAAAAGTACGAGTTTAGCATAAAAATTGATGGTATTTCGTTATTTCTTTTTTAAAGATATTGCGACATACGCAAAACTGATATTTCGCAAAGATTGGGTCTCAAAAGGCGACTCCGAACTTCCAACTTATTTGGGCATTTTTCGAAGAAATTTTCGAACCGATTGCGATATAAAGTTGTAGGTCCCGTTTTTCCTAACGTTCCATATTTACCAGTTCAAAAGCTCCAACAGAGTTTTGAACTCATGAGGTTTTGAAGGGAAAAAAATCTCATGACTTTCCTGTTTCTTCCATTGATTATAGTGGATTTCTAAGCATTCGACTAGGTTGGGAACTGTTGTAACCAAGCTTTAAAATTTTTGTTTCAATGATAAATTTGAAGCTTAAAAAAATACTATCATTTTATCATTTTATCCACGAAAAACCGAGAAAAGAAAGCAATCTTTTTCAGAAAAAGCATCGGAGAAGGTCAAGCAGGCCGTGGTAACGTTCGAACTCAAAGAGACGACGTCAGGGTTCTTGATGGTGAATAAATAATCAATAAATTGAACAAAAATGATGATTTAGCACCGAATTTCGTCGCCTCGTTCACTTACAAAGAGCACATTTATTTCTGGTTCCGAGAGCAGGCCGCGGAAGCTGTGGACAATAATGAAGAGCGAGTGGTAAGAGAGCTCTTTCTCAGAATGTCCTTTAAAAATTTCTTTTGGTACATTTTAGGTCACATTTATCTCACAAAAATGAGTTAATTTATTTTTGATCGTTTTCGAGCCAGGGACTTCAGATAACTCTTTTTAGGTCTATAACGTTTTTTCCTTCAAATTCCTATTTTAAGCAAATCATGGTCCTGGAAACTTTCCTGATTTCAATATCCAGGTGTACGCTCGGGTTTCGCGAGTTTGTAAAAACGACCGAGGTGGTGCGAGACCGGCAAACGAACGGTGGACCTCTTTCTTGAAAGCCCGATTGAATTGCTCCTTGTCTTCGGCTGCTCCCTTTTATTTTAATGAACTCAGTGAGTTTTAGAATTTCTGCAAAGCTGAGAATGAATTTTGAGTTCTAAGGTTCCTCAAGGACTACTTGGAAAGGAAACTAAAGTGGCCACTAGAACCACCTTTATAGAATCCTCTAAAATTCTAAGTGATCTAGTAGTACCACGGAGACTTCTAAAGAGATCACTAGCTTTTAAACACTTTAAAGGCTATGTATTTAACTACTTCAGTGGCCACAAAAATTCAAACCCCTGAAGTGGTCACTAAAAATGTTGGGCTTCCATATATTTTTCTAAAGTTGAATATGAATACCAAGTAAAAGACCAAAGATCCTACGATTCATATTCCAGAAGCCGTGTCGGAACCGATTGCCGCCGGCGCCAACGATCACACCGTCTACGCTGTTTTCTCGACGCCTTCCTCAGAACTTCAGATGAGCGCCGTCTGCGCCTTCTCGATGAAAAGAATCCGCGACGAGTTCGAATACGGCTCCTTCAAATACCAACGAACTGTCCAATCGCTCTGGCTTCCCTATGGACGCAACGAGATCCCGAAGCCGAGACCTGGTACCTGCGTACCTGACTCGACCAAGCTACCTGAGGCGACCATTTCGTTCGTCCTGAGGAATCCGCTCATGCATAAGGCGATCGAGTCGATCGGACCGCCCTTGCTGGTCGAAGGGGCCGATAGAGCGGATTTGACGCAGATTGCAGTTTTGCCCAGGGTTTGTTTTTGATTATCTAAGTAATCGATTTAAAAAAATAAAGAAAAAAAGTCAATTATTTTCTTTTTGTGAGAGGTAAGCATGGAAGAGCGCTCAAAAATTGATTATAAACGGTGTTTTTGATTGAGGAGCTTTTTCGAAAAAGGTCTTTCATAAAAAAGTTATTCGCTCAAAGTTGATTGATAGATTTTTTTAAAAATGAAAAATTTTTAATTTATTTTTTTGCTCAGAACCTTCATATTAAAAAAATTAAATTATTCGGCATGAGTAATTTGATCGTCACCAAAAGCCTCTCCTTATATAGTATTTCATGCCATACGGCTCCTCAGCGCAAATACAGAGCCATATGGTGGAATGATGATGGGCGACACGTGTTTTGTGACAATTCCATTTGTATTACCAGGGATTTCCAAAATCTTTGTTCCAAACTTTGGAACGGAACATTTTTTCAACGGAAAATAAATGTTCGTTGGCCCGTCAAAGTTGCTCCGAAGATGCATTATTTTTTATTTTTGAAGTATTTTCATTGCGTTTCGGAATGTTTTATCTTGTCGCATAAAATCGCCAATATATTTGTATGAAAAACGAAGAAATAATAAGAATCGTTTGAAAACCTTCAATACCATAAGAACGTTCATATTCCAGGTCGATTCGGTGAGCGACCAACGCTACGACATCGTCTTCCTCGGCACTTCCGACGGCCGAGTTCTAAAAGTCGTCGAAATTGCTGGAAACGCCACTGTCATCCAGGCGACCTCCGTTTTCAACAAAGGAACTCCGATTGTAAGTCTCTTCCAGAGCTCGAAAATTCCCAACAATTTACTTTTGTAGGTGAATCTCCTGACGACGCCGACCCATCTCGTCATCGTCTCCGCTGATGAAATCGCCTCTCTGGCTGTTCAGAACTGTGCCCAACAGAGCACTTGTTCGAGATGTGTTCAGCTGCAGGATCCGCATTGCGCTTGGGACTCGAATTCTCATAGGTAAAGGCAAAAAAAAAATAAAGATCAAAAAAAATTTATTCCGTGGTATTCGCAATCATTGATAACTTTTCAAGACTCTGTTAACTTTTCTACTCTTTGACTGTTATTGCGAACTTAAAAATGACAAATGAAATTTAGGCCCAAAAAGCAATGATTTTTTCAAGTTTATTTCAATATTTTCTTCTTACGAATTGCGGGCCTAAGGAGCAACCTTTCAATGGGAATTTTTGAAAAAAAGGTTGAAATATTAAAAAAATCAATCTATTGAAGGCAGAAATCGATTTCTATTAGGATTTAGAAACTGTTCTCCGTTAAATCTGAATAAAAAACCTACATGAATTTCGAACTTCATAATTTTTGGGAGTATAGCTCGATTTTTCTCAAGAAATGTAATTTCGATAAACAATAAAATAAAACTTGAAACTGTCAAGATTTTGCAGATGCGTGCATCGGGACTCGTGGAGCGGCGGTCATTATATCCAGAACATGGTTTTTGGTCAGTCGGAGCAATGTCCTGAAGGAATCGTGGTCAATGAAGTCTTCGGAGACGATGGTTCATCTTTCGAATGGATCGATATAGACGATATTTGATTTCAGAAGTTCAATCTGAACGGATTATGACGAGTCGAGTCGGTCAATACACGGCTCAGATGCTTCTTTTGGCCGTCCTCCTTGCCGCCGTCATTTCTGGCGTCGTCGGCGTTTTTGTGAGTTTGGAAATCCCTTCAGTGAGACCTTGAAGACTTGGATTGCTTCATTTTTTTTTTTCGAGAACAAGAAGAGTTGAAAAAAAAGTAATTTTTTGGAAGAAAAGGGAAAAGTGACTGGCTGAATATTGTAATGAACATCACTTCGGTAGTTGGCGTATATTTGAGGTTAAAAATTCCTTTATCAATCGCTTTTTTGAAATTCTCGTTCACAAAAAGAACCTTAAAACTTATATGGTCTCTGGGGTTCTATAGGGTTCTTTTTAACTTTTTTTGAATTATTATTCAATGAGTTTGGTGAGACAAAGTTCAAAAAAATTTCATTTCTGCACTGGTTTACTCTCATTTCTCGTATTTCCAGATCGGATTCCGGTTCTCCCGCTGGTTGACCGCATCAGAAGCGCATCGGTCGGCGAGCTCGACCAGCGGCTCGGACTACGACAGTTTCGGGAGGGCGCGACTCACTCGGCACGACTCTCTGACGACGGCTTCGAAGATCGACCACGCCTACATCGGACAGCAGCCCAAGGCGGTTGGATCATCTCCGGCCCTCAAGACCAACAAGACGTTCCAGTTTCAGAGCATGGACGCCACGTCGTTGGTGCTGTCGATGAACCAGTCCGTTCATCAACCCCACCATCCGATGTCGATCAGCCAGCACGGCAGCGGCATCAACACCCCTTCGAGGGACAAGAACGCCATCTTGACCTCCATCAATCAGAATACGCTCCCGAGGGACTATAAAGTTAAAAAGGTGTACTTGTAGCTGGAATTGATTGGCTTTTTTCTGGGAGATGAGCGGTTTCGAGCCAACTACGAGATCAAATAATCTCTGAAGAGACGCCAGAGAAGTGAGAGTTTTCTCTGGAGTCTCTTCAATGCTACTGGTCTCTCGCTTGTTTTTATATCATGTCTTGGGTCTATAAGCTTTAGAATGGAAAAAATCAAGATTTTTTTCAAAGCTTTACAAACCGCTCTCTTTCAAAGCTCCTTTAAAAAATTCTATTCATTCCCTTTTTTACCGCCTTTCCCTCATTCAGAACGTCACAAATTTCATTTTTGACCTCTCAATGTTCCCCAAGCCACGGTTTGCTCTCGGTGCCTCTTTTCCGTTTTAAAATTTCAAATTCAACCGCCAAACTCTACGTGTATTTTTTTTTTGCTTCTATTCGTTTGAATTGTATTCGAAATACGGAGAAAATGTGTTGTGAAGTTTGAAAAATAGGAAAAAAAGGGGGCGTAGACAAAATTTCTGCGTCTCTTTTTTCTCCAGTTCTGTTTCGCTTTAATTATGAAACGGAATTCAAGTGATCAGTTGAGGGTACTTTTTCAAAAACGAGAACCAAAGAAGCTAGAGAGTTAGAAAAAGATGGAAGCGCAGAGCCATAAATGCGTCTCACTTTTCTACAGCTTCCACTTTTGCAAGAGACCAGTCAATATTTTGAGTCTTATTTTTGATCCAATAGGAGGCAAATTTCGAAAATAAACCCTAAGTGGCTACTAGACTGGAAAAAGGGATCACAACACATTTTTCTTGTTCAAAAAAATACATACCGGTCATTACGTGCGAAATTTCACTTTCAATTTTCTTTTCATGTTCCCTTTATTTTTCTCTGTCAAACTGTTTTTTTTTCCTCTTTTCGAATATATAGTTATGTATTATAACTCGAGTCACAACAAAATTTTTCTTTTCATGAAATCTTTAAATTTTCCTCCCCTCCAAAATGATCTCACTCATCGCCGGCATAATATAGAAGATTAATAGATTGTCTGGGATTTTTTTCTACTAATATATAAATATATGATCATCAATCTTAATGAATTCAGAAACAAAAACCCGTCGAAAGGAAAAATCGTTTATATCGCCTCGATCCTGCAGAAACAAATGAACGAAAACACAAGAAGAAAAAAAAGTAGACAGATTGGAATCCTTGAAAGGAAAAAGCAGAAAAAAAAATACAAACATACAAAAATACTAATTTTTAGCCTGTCCAAAAGCGAGCAGGGTGACGAAAGAAAACAAAGAACAAAAAAAAAACAAATATAGGAGCAAGAAAAGTACAAAAATATAAATTTGCGAGTTAGTTCAGGTTTAGTTTATGGGAATTCTGGAAAAAAAAAGAAAGAAGAGGAGGATCTTTTAGCGGACATTGAAGCCGACGTTTCTGGGTTGCATGCGGTCCAAAATGTTCGTGCTCTTGTCGACCTGGAATCCAAAAAATGTGGCAATATTCAAACTTCCTCAGACGGGCACAGGGTGTTTTTCCTTTTTTTCGTCTTTTTTTCGTATTTATATAAGCTGAAAAAAATCGTTTTTAGCATCTTTTCTTATATGATGCTTAGATTTAAAAAAATTTTTACCCACAAAACTCAACCATATCCCATTTTCATTTAAAAAAATGTTACTTCAAAAAAACTTGCACAGAGGTTTTAAAAGTGAGCCAGGAGGTACCATGAAACAGGAGAATACGCATTTTAAAAAGGCCCTTCCCACTCAAAATGCAAAAATAAGAGACAGAATCCCGGCGCAAGTTGAAAGAAACGCTCTAGGAAATCGGACAAACCTGGAAAAGACGATAGACTTTGAGGGTCTCCTCCATGTCCGTCGTCAGGATCTCGTCGTTTGGCGACGCCACACAGTCCATCAACGCTTCCGCCGAGGCTGACAAGTTGGATATCAATAATAGATCGCAAAATTGGTCTACATATTTCTCAGACTTTATTTATATTTTCAAGAAGACAGTTATCGAACTCACGATGGGTCTTCTTATTCTTCAACTGAATATATGATTTTCAGAGTTTACATGAAAAAAAAATGAACAGATTCATAGAGATGTTCAATATGAATCTGTGAATATATTCAATGTTTTCACTGGAAATATAGTCCATCCACAACAACTCGACATTTTCCGAGTGTCTGCGTCTCTCTGTTCCCTCTTCTACGAGGTCAGAGATACATGAAAAAGAGCACTTCAAAATAAGAGGGTCGCCGAGAGACGAGCAGAGAAGTTCTATCAAGTCGCAGAAAACGGACTACATTAGTTTTAAAAGTTATGGAAAAACGAATCGAAAAGTTTTGTAAAAAAAGTGATTGAGAAATTCATGAAAAGATCCTAACAAAAACATTAAAAAAATTAAGAATAATTTTTTTTCCGCAACGGCAAAAAGGACACTCGAAAAAAATTGACCCGATGAGATAATGTCTCATCTGAATGTGGAAAAATTCTGTTTTCACGGAGATCAAGCTTCAAAGCACGCTTTTTGGGGAACCAATGTGGGAAAATATATTCTTCAAGCTTTACTTCTTTGGAAATTGGGTTTTTTTTTACTCTTAAAAAGTCAAAAACTACTTCTAATAAACAAACATTGTGGTCAATTTTCAGAGCATTAAATTTTTTGTATATATCTTTTTTTTACCTCTAGGGAGCACTATTATGTCCACTTAAGGGGCTATTTTTTCTCTAACTCATCTAGGGATCACTCTAGCGCCTAAGATGTCTTTTTTATTATTTTAGAACATAGAAAATTGATATATTCAAGTCTGAGTGTAATGAATACTCCCTTTCATCCAGACCTTCAGGAATGATATGTAAAAAAAATCTGCGAAATTTCGAAGGTTTCACTAAAACGACTTCTCAAGATATATCCGATTCACGGCCAGCTTGAGACAAAAAGGGACGTGGCCTGTCTGCGCTCTCCACCGTCCAGACACTCTCTCTTTTATCATCGTCTCAGGACCCTTTTTTCGATGGTTCAAACAAGCCGTGAGTCAGCTATATCTTAGACAACAAGTCGTCAAATGAAAGTGCAAAAACTTGCAGGTTCTGTAGCGAATCGCGCAAAAAAGCTCTGTATACTGTGGATTTCCTTTGGAAGTTTTCAGCCAACTTCTGGTTCATCTTTTTTCTCAATCTCTTTTTAGACGTACCACGAATCTCGTGCGAAATCTTATAGCTGGCGTTGAAACGGCAGATTCGCAGAAGGCCGTCGTCGCTGGCGGTGAGCATCTCGCTGTAGGCGCGGTTGAAAACGATTCCGCCGACGCCGCCGCTCGCGCAAATCGAAATCTCCTTGAGCTGCTGGAAATTCCGCTTGACGTCCCAGAGACGGACGGTCCCGTCTCCTGTGCCGCCGCCGGTCGCCAGGATTCCGTCCCGGAAGTTGCAAAATTGTACGCACCGCACTTGGCCCAGGTGCTCGTCCATCGTGTGTAGCGGACTCTAGAAAAAAAAAACGATAGAAAAATTGAATTTCAAACAGTTTCAAAGTCAAATAATATTAAATATAGTCTATACTGCGCCAGCTCCCAGCTACAGTACCCTTTTCTTTGATGCGCGCGCCTTTGGAATAACAAAAAAATTTGGGCTAAACTATAGACGAATGAAAAAAGAAAGGTCGCGCGAACCTGAGAAAAGGAAGTTAGATTTAATTCTTTAAGTCTTTCCTAAAGAGTCTTAAAATCATGCTCACCGGATTGCGTATGATCGAATTATCCGTGGAGCGCACAAACCGCTCCTCCCAGACTTTGGCTGTGCGGTCAGCCGACGCCGAAGCGCACATCGACTCGTCGGCCGACCATTGCAAGTCGGTCACGTCCCTAGAATGTCCCGCTTCGCCGCCCCAGGCCCTGGAAGAGCAAACTTTCGAAAAAATGAAATTATTTTCGTATTCGACAGTTTTCTGATTTAAAAAGTCGAAATTGGGAGCGCAGTTAAGCCGAAAAACTCATAAATCTAACAAAAAGGAATTTTCGAGGAAAACATTTCAACTCAAGTTTCTACGGAACTTTCTCGAAAATTACAAGCAAAAAATGACCTTTTAGACTTCATTATTTATTCGAAAAATCATAAGATTGAAAAAACTTCGAGAAAAACTAACGAAACGACATGATTATGAATGCGAACGTCGTGGTTGACAATGTCGCCCGATTTGTAGCCCGTCGTCAAAATCCCATTCTTTCGCCAAGCCATCGCGGCTGAAAATATCGAAATGAGCAATTTTTCCACTTCTTTTAGAAAAACCGCATCGCTGTCCGCCACCAACTCGTAATGTTCGCAGTTCACGAACGTTTGTCGAAGTTCTTGGACGGTTCGGATCGTAGATCTGACAAGAAAAAAGAGTCAAAAACGGTGCCAAAACTAACAAAAATGACTTTATAATAGAATAATTTGAAAAAAAAATGACAGACTAAATTTAAAGAAAAACTCTGGAATTTTGAGCAAAATGAGAGAGGCTTGAGAGACTCTAAAGTACCTCCAATAAAGCTCAGATATATCTAAAAGGTATGTCGGAGGTCTCACTATGGACACACTATGGTACCTTTCGATTCGCCTGTGTATGAACCTCATATATGAGGTTTTAGAGGAACCCTTTCAGCTCCTTCTGGGGTCAAAGAAAAATTTCCGTCTTATCTACGAAAACCCATTCTCTGCACCTTAACAGCGCCACTGGCATAACCCAAGGTCAGATATTTGCCGTCGTGGCTCCACTTGACGCCAGTTATAGCGCCCTCGTTCATCGGCGGACTGTCTTCGAAGAAGTTCTGGAGAAAAATCCACTTTTCCACATTCTCTCTTTGAAATTACCTTGATATCTCCCGATTCAGTGTTCCATAAATATACATCATTTGTCATGGCAACGGCGACCCAATTATGAACGCCCCAGTCAACATGGCGACTGTACAAATCTTCTGAAAGAAAACACATTTTTTTCTTCTAAAACTTTTTTTTTCAAAGTTTTTCTCATATCAAGTTCATTGAACGGAAAAAATCCTCTCTAAGATTAAAATCTTCTGCTAGAAAAAAGAAAAGTTTTTTTTTCACATTTTCGAGTCTCGAAATTAATCTAATTTTCCGTTTCATCCGTTTTTTTTTACAATTTTTTTTATTCGGCGCGAAACCCTCGTACTTGCTAGGCCGGGTGCATCCAAAACTTTGATCGCCGTTTGGGAAACGTTTCGAATCGACTTTTTCACCGAAGACGCCGGATTTATAACTCCGCTGACCGAGTAGAGGACCTGGAAAAAGGAAATTTCTAAAGAAATCGAAAATTGACTCAGCTCCGATTGAACAATCTAAGTTTCTTTTCTCACAGTAGTATAAACTGTAAAAATTTTAAATTTCAAGTAGAATGACGTCATTCGAAAACGCTCTCGCTTCTGATTGGTTCATCGCGCATTTAGGGGCGAAGCTCGAGCGACGACTTGACATTCCGAATCGGGACAGACTACGATCCTAACTTCCAGTCACACCTTAGCCTGGTTGACGTAGCCGACGGCCGGCGGCGGCGCCAAATTCTTCTTGTAACAAAGGATTCGTTCGTCCTCCTTGGCGTCGGTGATGTTGCCGGAAGACTTGGCCCGAAGCATTCTTTTCAGTCGGTCGCCCTCGGTCAGCTCCTTTTTCGGGCTGTTCGGCGCCGAGTGAGACGTGTCCAAGCTGTCTTCCTTCTGCGGAAAAAATGAGATTTTTCTTGAGACTTACGCTTTTTTGATTATTCAACCACCTAGCTACTCATTGGCTTTCAAGTCAAAACATGCCAATTGTAATGTACTCTTGACCAAAAACTTTTTCTTAATGCAAAAAAGTAAGAATCTCTCTTTGGTTTTTCAAGACTCAGAAGAACTCTTAGAAAAATAAACAAAGTTTCAAACCGACACCGAAGTCTTTAAAGTAAAAGTTAACAGTTAAGAACTAAATTATCAAATTTTAACTGAATTTCTTCTGTTTTTGATAATTTTTTTTAAAATATAAGCACTTTTCCGTGCATGTGATGGTTGATAAGGTGATTTGCACGGTCAAATTCGTCTTCATTCATCCGAACGCCAAGGAATCGATCGCCGACCATCGAAGCGTTTGGCACGATGTTCGTGTTTCTTGTAGGGGTCATGTCTCTTTTTCGCAACGAGAGTCCCTAATTTATTTATTAAAATACTGATATCTTTAGCTTCGAAACCTGAGAAGCTCCTCCTTTCCTTCCAATGGCCATCGTGGAACGGCCGGCACTTCCCGGCCCTTTACTTCTTCCAGCACCAATATCCAATGCTCGCATCGCTGTGCTCATTGGTGTGAATCCGTTAGTAACATCACGAAAAGCCATTATTCTGAAAAAAAAAAGCTTGAAATAAAAATTTCCGCGCAAAACCAAATTTTAGTCGAGAAAACTTTGAAAAATACTACTACTCAATAAATTTAAACTACAATTCCTCGTTAATTGTTGAAAAAACAAGGGAAGAAGCCCAAAATTGGTTGGAAAAATTTCATTGCGTCGGCCGATTTGAATTTCGCGGCGCTGTGCGATGGAGCACTCTTTAGTCGAGCCGGTTTACGAAAACTCTCTTGAAGTGTTTTTAAGGAAGAATTCTGTATGAAATTTGAAAATGCAGTCGATTCACAGCTAGCTTGAGTCATCGAAAAAAGGTTGTGACCCTAAAATATATGAATTGATCTTCTGATTGGTGGAGAGTGCAAACATCGGCACGTGTTCTCGCATCTGAAGTCAACCGGCACGCGTGAACAAGCTACACAACAGGCTACATACATTTTGAGAAAAGGAAAAAAAAGGTCGAAAAAAAAGAGAAAGAAAAGAGACTGACCTAGTCATCGAGTGGGTTTAGTTGAAATGATCATCAAAAGTTTTGATCTTTATTTGTTGCGAACGTTACTGAATGACATTTTTGCGATCAAAGGCTGGATTAGACTTTCTTGGCACTTGAATACAGTGTATGAGCTTCAAAACTTGAAACTAAAATCACCATTTGTTTTCATGGAAGCTTTTGAAAGCTCTGCCAATTTTTCCATTCACTGTTTCATAACTTTGGATTCTTTCGAAATTTTCCGGTTATTCTGGAAAACGTCCGCCAATGAAAGTAAAGAATTTTTGAAGTGGATAATGAAGGTACGGGTCCTCTGACCTCCTACTCACTTTCGCCGTGGATTTTCGCCCAGGAACAAGTCGCCAATTACCGGTCGCCTCGACGACCTCCGCCGTTTTCACTGACCGACTCCCAACTTTTGCTGCTTCTCACCACTTTTTTTTCAGTTTCTTAGCCGTTTTTATGAGTTTATTAGAGGCCTAACTGTTCTGAAATCGTTTTTTTTTTTGCCTCATATTGATCTTTCGAGGCCCCAAAAATTTTTTCAGAAGGTTAAGCCGAACTCTTCAGACTTGTGCCGCTATCAAACCTTTTTTTATTACTCTAATCTGATTTTAAAAAAAAAATCTTGAGTGACTGTTTGGACGAGCATAGGCCAGTTCATTGAAGGTATAAATAAAAAATTTTTAAGAAAATGAAAAAAACAGGGGGAAAAATAATATGAACATCCTTGACGCTCACAAAGTTTGAAACTTTTGAAACATTTTGAGTCTTATTTTTGAACTTTTTAAACCAAAAATTTGGGTTGACACCATTATTTTTTTAGTGAAATGTTATAACTTTTTTTCTTCCACTCTCCTCACTGTTTGACTTGTTCTTCTTTCGAAGTTGGTCGTACGTGGAATAGGCTGACCCCTATCGACTGTAGTGTGCCAGACTCAAAACGATTTGCGCGTTCGGGCATCGGCAAATATTAGAACAAAACTCTGGTTTTGAAATCGTTTCCGACCTTGAATCGAAGCTCTGAGCCATTCCATCTGCGAATCTTTCTCTCAAATCGCTCTTAATAAATCAAAAAGCCCCCCCCTAACTTCTTAACGACTCGCAAACTTCCAAAAGATGGAAACGGTCGCCAGAGATACCGGTCGGCACGTTCCCGAAGAGTCACGCCGATCCGGGAGTAGAAGCCAGAAATCCAGAATCTGTCTCGAGGCGCGGCAGGGCAATTACGGTAGCGGCCGGCGACGCCGCTGGACAATTTCGGGCCTGCCTGCCCTGACCAGCAGTAATAATAATTTGATTGCACTTCCTCCGCTAGGACCAGCTTCTAGGAGGTTCTTAGGTGACGTTTCTTCGAACTTTTTCCGAGTTTCCACTTCAATTCTGTAAACAAAAAAACTTGTCTTCAAAAAGTTGGGATCTGTTTTTGTTTGTAAACCGACTTTGTGTTTTTTTTCCATTTTCATTCTTCATTTCTCTAAAATCTTAATTAAATCTAAAGTCTAATTTGACACCTCTGAAACTTCAGAATCTGAATTTTCTTCTACAATTTCCTAATTTCTTAATTCATTTTAAAATGCTTAAGTAAAGCGATAAAGTTTTTTTTTCAATTCCATCTTTTCTTTTCATTCGTCAAGCGATTTTTCATCGTCGAACTCAGAATCTCTTTTAGAAATAAATAACTTAACTCATTTCTTCGTTTCCCCTCCAAGCTGTTGTTTCACCCTCCATGCTAATTTTTTTATAAAAAAATCTCTGCTTGATTCGTTTCAAATGAGCTTCAAGTATTAATTTCCACTCACTAGATCTTCTCCCTATCATAGATTTTAGAGCGGAAATAATACATTGAATTTTTTTATATCAACTTGAAAAAAACAGGCTCTAAATCGCAATTAAAAATGCTTCACCGCCGTTTTCTTTGCATGATATTTATTTTTATTTGAATAACAAATTATATTTAAAAACCTTCGAGAAATTCAGAAACAAGATTAGAGAAGCAGCGAAGAACGCCAACGTGTCCGCCGACCGATGAGGTGGCTCAAAATCTTAATCATCGCTTGGGCGGTAAGAAATTGAATTTAATGATTTCCGGTTAAACTTGGGAGTTTGATAAAAAAAAAAAAGACATACGAATTTTACTATCAAGACATTTTTCAGAACTATTTATTCGCCAACGCCATCAGCATCGACAACGACATCGTAGGCGACCCAGACATTGAATGTTTGGAGGACGAAATTCGAGTTTGGGTCAAAACTCGCAAAGCCTTTCGCTGGTCTGTTTTTTTGAATAGACTTTTTGAAAGGCAAAACAATATCTTGGGAAATTCTTTTTTTATAAAAAAATGATTTATCAGGATAAACTTCACTTTACAGTTTTTTTCATTCGAAAATTTTTTTCAAGAACCTGCTAGCAAGCTGAATTGATGACTTTTTCAAAAAAAAAAATTAGAAAGAAAAAAACTGAAAAAATCGCATACATAAAAAGGAATGGCGGCAAGGTTGCTCCAGAGAGCAAAAATTCCAAAAAAATTCTGTTTTTTTCTTCTCCTTTTTAAAAATTTATTCAAATTTATTAATTGTTGTTTTTTTCATAATTTTTTTCATAATATTTTTTTCAGATAATGATCTGTACAGACAAAGCTGTTTTTCATTATTCTTACTGAGAGAATTCATGAAAAAATGAATCGATTTGCTGAAATAACGCGCTCCTGGATTCATCTTTTTTTTTCTGTTTGAAAATAAGATACTTAAAAGTCAATATTCAGGAAGAATATATGCCAAAGGCCGAAGCGAGTTAGAAGAATGCTTCAAAGACGATTTCGCAAGGGATCGAACCAACAAGCCGCATTTCGATCTGAAATTCGGGGCTTGTGGCATGAAAAGCTTAAGATCGGTAGGGCGTAGTTTAATTCGAATTATTAAAAAAAAATCCGAAAAAGTTGAAAAAAAACAATTTCAGGTCGATCCACGCGGCATGTACTACGGCATCACGGTGGTCGTTTCATTTCATCCGGTAAATTTTCATATAATTCATGAAGTTCAGTTTTTCAGAGTTTAGATTTCTATTTAGTATCGATTTTACTAATTTTTCAGTTATTCATCACAAAAGTCGATCAAGCTTTTCATGTTAAATGCTTCTTTGAGGAGGCTAGTAAAGGATTGACGGCGGAACTCGGTGTTAGGTTCGTTTTTTTTTGTAAAACTTAGAATTTAAAGTGAAAAAAAGCTAATTCTGACTGAAAATTATTCCATGAAAATTTTTACGTTTTTGAAAAGATTTAGTGTGAAAATGTAGAATCGATTTTTTTTTTCCTTGTTTTGAATCTTATGTGGACTGCGTTAATTTCATCGTTAATTTCATTGAATTTCGATTGAACCTGAGATTAAAAATAGTTTTTTTCAAGCTGATATCTCTTTCAAAAAAAAGAAATATCCTCAACTTCAAAAGCATTTTTAGGGCTTTTTAAATTCCTAAATCGTGAAATTTAGCTAATATTTTTTTCAAATAAATTCACCTATCGGCTTTTTTTCTCAAGTTATAATAATAAATTATGAAAAAAATATTGAACCGAATTTTTCTTCTCAAATATTTCATATAAACTCAAAATTCAAGAATGTAAATAATATTTTTTTCTATTTTTTTCTTTAATCATTTAGGAAAAAAAGTAATAAAGCAATGGCCTGAAGAGACGACAGAGAAGTTAAAGCACTTTCGATTCTCTGCCCTCTCCTCTTACTAAATCAACTAGAATTTTTAAATTTCTGCTTTGATTTCGTTCACCTCTTACAATTGTTTAATGTTTCCTTTAAAAGTCTAAAAAAATCATGAATCATACAAATCGAAAAAAAAACCGGTGCACTCGAGTCGGAAGGCAAAAGTACGGCTGTCCATTCAAGGGCTCCAATAATTTCCTCGGCCATACGAAAAATTCTTCCTTTTTTTGCCCCGTTTATAATTGCTCAAACCGTCTGGCCAGCTAGCTGGCGCGGTTTTTCTGACCTAATTGGGCGGAGTGAAAATTTCCGACATTTGAAACGTCCAGTTAAACCGGATTTTTTTTGAGTAAAAATGAAAATGGGGCCTTTTTCGGGATATTTTGGGATACAGGTTTTTTTATCAAGAGGAGTGACTAAAAAAACAGAAAAATTTTTTTTAACGCTAATTATTTTTTTCAATGAAAAAAAGTAGTTGAAGTTGATATGCTCCCAAATGCTATCGAAAGGAACTCTAATTATTCGAATTTACTTCTAGACATTCAAAAACCCAAAAACGTAAAAAAAAAATCGGATAGTTATTTGTTTTTTTCTTTTGCTTCATTTTTGTATTCAGCACTGAGAAATTTTCAGTGCGCTCACCAAGTAGTCCTTGAGAAACCTCTTAAGTGGCCACCAAAGTTTTCAGCATGATCCCGACGACGGAAGTCGAGGCCCGCCACGGGATTCCCGGGTGTTCCTACTCGATTCACCTGTCTTCCATCGACAATATCGACGCCGGAAGACCCGCCGGTCCTCCGATTCAGTTCGCCAGAGTCGGGGACAAAGTCCTCCATCAGTGGCATTGCAATGATCGTCAGTTTCTCAACACAGCGCTCACGAAAATGAAAAAATATTATTTCTAATAATTGCGTGGTGGAGCATTTGATCAAAAAGAACTGGTAAAGTAAATAACTTGAAGGTTAAGTAAACGCGGCGGATTGGATCAAAGTAGTCCCTTAAGAGTACGGACGATCATTACAGAAATTATTTAATTTTTTACCTTGGTTATTCAGAAAACGTTTTTCTTGTAAATTTTATCACTTGAAATTTTCAGAAGGATAGATAAGCCTTTATTCGCTCATTTTTCAATTAATAAAAGTTTCATGCAGATTTTCTAAGTTTCAAAGTAACGCTTTCAGAAAGGGGACATCATAGTGTCCGCCAAAGTCTTTCAAAAATTTTTGAGTGGTCCCTATAGGGTTTCGTTGTTTTTGGGACCATTATAGGGGCAATTTCACGATCTTTGTTAGAAAGCGTAGGGGTGCCTCAAAGGGTCCCTATTAAGCTCCCTACAAGGACCACTTCTTCTCAGTAAGATGCAGAAGTCTTTCACAACACTGAAAACGGCTCTTCATTTCCAGGGCTTCATTGAACTCTTTAAAAGCTCCTCTGAACATCCGAGCGAAGATTTATAATTTTGAAATTCTTAGAAATGTACGGGGTTCTCATCAATAATTGCTACGTAACTGACGGATTCGGCAAGAAGGCCGACGTCATCGATGATAAAGGGTATTTCTGAAACGTTACTCTCATGTTTCCCCAAATGAAATCTCAGCTGTCCCTTGGATCCGATTTTAATCACCGGAATCAGATATTCGTCGGATTTACAACGGGCCTACGCTGAATCATCGGTATTTCTTCAGGTTTCAGACAAATTCTTGTAATTTTCAACTTTTAGGTCTTCAAATTCGCAGACAAACCAGGGGTATGGTTCTTCTGCCAGGTGCAGATGTGTATGAAGAAGCATGGGATGTGCGATGGGATTACGGTAGGATTTTACAGTACTTCTGGAATTTCAAAAGTGTAGTGGAAATGAACGAAATTAGGATCAAAACGGTTAGTACCATTCTGTAATTTTTTGAGTAATCACAACCCCATCGTCTCATTTAGAATGTCTGAATTGACTTGCAACCGACCTAAAACGACTTGCGATAGCTAAAGTAAGAGAAAGGTTCTGAATGTCAAGTTGGCTGCAAAAAACCGCTACTCTATTTTGTGTTCTTATTTGTTGTGTTGTAAGAATATGAAATGAAAGTGAATTAACGATTAACCATATCATTCGTTGGAGCATTGAGATCAAGGTCTCGAGACGAAGATTCGATTTTAGAATAGTGTTCTAAAATTCGACCGTTCGACCAGTTAGACCGTTCAACTGATATGACCGTTCAGTTTTTCGAACGGTTATAACATGTCATTTTTCTGACCGTTCGTTTGACCGACCAATTTCTGAAATTTACGAAACCGACCGACCATTTTCGAAGTGACATTTCGAACGTTCGAAAAATGACCGACCATTTTCAGAGTGACATTTCGAACGGTCAAAAAATGACCGACCATTTTCAGAGTGACATTTCGAACGGTCAAAAAATGACCGACCATTTTTGAAGTGACATTTCGAACGTTCGAAAAATGACCAACCATTTTCAGAGTGACATTTCGAACGGTCAAAAAATGACCGACCATTTTAAGAGTGACATTTTGAACGGTCAAAAAATGAACGACCAATTTTGAAATGGCGTTTCAAACGATCGAAATTTGACTGAAAAAAGTTAGAAATGTCTGAAATGAAATAAATTGAATCAACGTTTGCGAAAAGAATGGAATTTTGAGAAAACTCCGCGTGCTTCGTGATAATGAATAAGCTCCTAGTTACTCTGACAAGGAAACTGTTTTTATCCCCCGGTTGAACTTTTGATGAAACTTCGCAGGGGTGTACTTTAAGGCATGCTGATTCCAAATCAAAAATAAAATATCTCGCCTTTTGCCTCGTAGTCAAATTATGACGGCTCAAAGTTTGCACGTGAAAGACTGGAACGCAGTAAGAAGGAATGTGTCTCGCGCACGAGCCCTCACTTCCAGCGTAAGAGAAAATTTTCGAATAGGCATTTCGAACGGTCGAAAAATGACCAACCAATTCAAGAGTAACATTTTGAACGTTAAAAAAATGACCGACCATTTTGAGAGTGACATTTCGAACGGTCAAAAACTGACCGACCATTTTCGAAGTGACATTTCGAACGTTCGAAAAATGACCGACCATTTTCAGAGTGACATTTCGAACGGTCGAAAACTGACCGACCATTTTCGAAGTGACATTTCGAACGTTCGAAAACTGACCGACCAATTTCGAAGTGACATTTCGAACGTTCGAAAAATGACCGACCAATTTCAGAGTGACATTTCGAACGGTCAAAAACCAACATGTCATTCTGAAGTGACATGTTGAAATGTTGAAACTCCAACCGTTCGACCAATGACCATTTATTATGACATGTTGAAAAAATATTGGTCGAACGGTCGGTCGAACGGTCAATTTTCGAAACTATATTTTAGAATCATATTTAACTCTGAAGTATACTAGATCTTTTTTTAGACTTTCAACATTTTGACAGGGATTTTTTTGATCTTTTCCATGCTATATATATATATATATGAAAGTAGGAAGAAATTTATAGCCACCAACTTGTGGATCCGTCTCCACGGCAAGTTCTGGCTCTTCTTCCTCTTCTGCTTCATTTCCAACGAATTCTGATGGAAATGAAGATTATCACGATAGAGATCACGACCGTGATCGTGAATCACCTCCAAGGTACATCAAAAATCGCTAAGAAAAACTTAAAAAAGGATTTTAGCCGTCAAAAAGGCTCCCAGAGACAGACAACCGTTTCTGCGGCCCACGATTACGATTATGATAACAATGTGGATCGGCCCAGCAGACAGAAGTGATTTTTCGAATTGTTTTGCCTCGAAATGAACAAAAAATGTTCTAGAACAACAACAGCCCCAAGGAGAACAACTACAACTTCGGATTATGACTACGATAACAGGAAAGAAGCCAAATTCCACAGGTAAAAGAAGGTTTAATGGATCGTCGAAAAAATTCGAAAAAGCTGGAAATTTTCGAATAGAAGAGTGCTAAGAAGAATGATGGTAGAGGGATAATGAAATGAAAAAATCCGGCGGAAAGAATTTTGAAAGTGCAAGATTTCTGAAATTTAGCCCTTAAAAAAGCATTCACGAATAATTCCTTGTTAAAAAGTTTTCTATGCTCATTTCAACAGAGCAAGCTTTATTGAAACTTATTAGAACTGCGGATTTCAGCCTTAGTAAAAATAACTTTGAAAAAGTTCTTTTTTAGTCCTGAAACGCATTCGTACTCGAACAAGCCGGTGGATTATGAATCTCAGCCGGAAGCGGTCACCGTTTTTGGCCCGGGCTTGAATCCCGATTCCAACAGTATCAGCGCCAATGATCATGATGACCACAAGGTCAAAACCACCACGGTAAGTGCGTTGAGAAGCTTTCGAAACAGAGAGTTTTTCGAATAAAAAAAGTTGAATCTGGTATACTCCATTTTCCGCGACTTGAAACTGCTGTTTTCTCTGCACTCTCCTCATCTTTAGACGGCCCTCTCATGTTGACGTGCTATTTTCGTAGTTCTTTGACCTCCCCGGTGAGGGAACAGAGAGACGCAGACACTCGAAACGACTTAAAAACTGACTAAAATTTGAAAGAGTCGTATTTTCAGACTTCCGAGTCAGTTTCTCAAACTTTCGACACAGAAGACGATTTGGCTGGTTTGGAATCGACGACCGCAGAGCCGAAGAGCAAAAAAATCGGAAAAAGTCAGAAATATATTCGGAAAAAGTACAAAAACTCTCGAAATGTAGGCGATTACAATGACTACGATGAAGTGACGATCCCGCCAAATCTGACCGATTTATTAGCGAATTTACCAGATGATTTGAGCAGCGACAGTATTCAGAAAATGTTGAGGTGGGATGCAGAAAAGGTTTGAAAGAAGATGGGGTGATTTTTAGAGATTCCGTGGATAATCCGAAGGCTCTGATCGCTGAATTCGACCGGATGATGAAACAGAATGAGGTGAGAATATTGAAAAAAGGTCAAAAAAGAACAAAGTGGAAAGTTTTAGGTCGGAAAGGCGAAGAATAAAACAAAGAGCAACAAGAAGAAAAAGCAAAAAGGAAGAAATCAGCGAGAATTGAAGGCTGGAGATTTGAGGACCGGCGATAAGATCGATCAGATTCAGGTAAGTCTGGAAAAAGGAAGATAAAAAAGTTGAGCCCTCGAGGGGTCACTTAAGCTTGCGAAACGGGGTACTATAGGGGTTTCAGTCAGTGACCCCTAAACTACCCAGTTAAGGCCCTTCATAAGGGGGCCTTAACTGCATAAGCTCCCTAAATTTTACCTATTTTCAGTCCCCTTCAGGAATTTTTTCCCTCTTTACCCCTATAGGGCGCTTCTACGTTCATCGAGAAAGAAAACGAAAGTAACTGAGATTTTCTCGCGAGTTTGAAAAATCGTTCTTTTTTTTTCGAAAATCTGGAGTAGAAAGATTTGAAGTTCCGAGTCGATCAATTTCAAAAAAATTAATTTAAACTTTTTTTTCCCCCCTATTAACAGGATGTTTTTAAAGCTTTTTTTAATAGTCTAAAAAAACGATTCTAAATGATTTTTTTAGTTCGAAAAAAAGCTTTTTTTCTGAAATTATATTGATTCCAGAGAGAAAGATCAGCTAAGATGTGAATTTCAGTTAAATCTGACGTCGCTTTGAACCAGAAATGTTTTATTTTTCTTTTCGAAGGCATTATTTTCCTCAGGTCGACTGGACCTCAACTCGTCGACGGGACTTCGTCGATGAAGATGTGCCCTTGAGACAGAGGCCTTTGGGAGTTCGACCGCCTGTTATTGGAGACAAGCCAATGATCGCCGGCCAGCTGATGATTTTCGACCTGGATGAAGAGCCTCCACTTGAGGTCAAACCCACTGGAGCAGGTGTGGAGATTTATCGAAAAGGTGTGAATAAAAACTTGAAGAATCTCAAAACGAGGAGGAGAACTGCACGATTTCCCGCGGCAGTCTGGTGGCCATTTTCGGAGGTTTGGGCGCCCTTTGTGCCGCTCTTCTCGCAGTGGCTGTCACCCTGTTCTTGAGGCTGAACAGCTTAAAAGGTGAGCAAGGAACTGAGGAGTCAAAACGTTGATAAATTATGAACGAGAAAAGGAAATGCACTGAGAAAATGAAAAACGGTCTCGCATCAAATTGACGTTTTTAAATTGACTCCGCGAAACTCAAAATAGAGGTCAGAGAGTGAAAAACATAACTAAACTTTGGAGATTCAGAGATAATTTCAAATTTGGCTTGAAAATCGCCTAAAAACCGAAAAATAATTTCCAGACAAAAACCTGCACGAGGACGATTTACCATCAAAAAGCACCCGATTTTCCTACGCTCAACATCGATTCTTCTAGTTCTATCTAATTATTACCTTGTTCATTATTATTTATATTAGGACGATTTCCAACTGACTCTCTGATCTGATTTCCACTATCTTATTCACGACTTGCCCCAGGGTATTTTTTTAATATCATTATTTTGTATTTTTTTCTCCTGTATCATTTTTTTATTTCGAATTTTCTCCGAGCTTTTGATAAATATAAGTTATTTTTTTCAAAGATCCGTGGCGAGAATGGCAAATTTCGCCGGTACAAATCCTTCCTTTCCGTCGCCGCAACGCTTGGCCCACATCCATCCGTCGACCTTTAAAAATTTGAAATATTTAGAAAAACGAAGATTTTCAGGAAAAAGCTGAAAAAAACGTTTTGTTGAATAAATAAGGAAGTAAGAAAAAAATTTTTTTTTCTAAATTTTTTTAATATTGCTAAAAAAATTGAAAAAAATTGAAAAAAATTAAGTTTTAGAAAAAAATGAAAAAAATAATTTTTCGGAAATGGAAGGTTTGAAGCGCAAAACGTTCAGACTAAGGCGCAAATGGTATAAATAAGAAAAAAACTCGCTGATAAAACAGGAGAAAAAGAGAAAAAAATTGTTCAAAAAAAGGTCAAAATTTTTCAGGTGCTTCTATCCTTATTGGAAGGCTAAAAACCCGATTTTTGGATGGCTTACAAGTGAGGAAACTTCTAGGATGATGAAACTCTCACAGGTTTTCGATATCTTTTCTAGATTCACCGAAAAATTTCAAATCGAGGGCGGCCCTATTCTTATTGGACGAAGAGTACTTATTTATTTCTCAAATAATTATTTCAACAAAACGGAAAAATCAAGCATCACTTCACAACGTTACCATTACAAAGGACCTTTAAACGGCCAAATTCTTCTTTTTCAATGACGTCATAACATTTCCAATCACTTCCGTATATTTCAAAAGTGACGTCAAACCTGTGGAGAAAGTTCTCGGATCCATTCTCCAGGCGCCACTGTCAAATCAACGGCCGATCTACCTGGATGATCTTCGACCACCAATAAATCGACGTCCTCTTCTTCTGCCTTTCTGGAAACGTTTCCGGTTTAGTTTCTTTTTTCTGTCCAGAAATTTAAAACATCAAAGCAAAAATAACTGTTTGATGGTTGAAATATCGCACTGGGAAAATGTTTTCTATGCTTTTAGGAGACACCTTTCACTAAAAGGAATACTTGAATGTTGAGAGAAAGAGAGGGCCTAGAGATTCTCACTTGAAACTATAGTTCCTTCGCAACAACTTAATGAGCGTAACACTGAAAGAATAACTTCGACTTTTTCCTATTTCTCTCTGAAACTTCTACCCAGCTTAACTTAGCCAATTTTAGGCTCACTGAAAAGAATACTCAAGGGCTCGATTAGAGAAAGAGAGGGTTTAGATTTCTAGAGGGAGTGATTTAATTTTTTTTTACATTTTTGGATTTTTCGATTCATTATTTACCAAAACAGTTTCGTTCAGTACAGCTGTTGAAAGGAGTTTTGATAAATTGAAATTGACTCGAATCGTTCATTTTCGCGCAGTTAAAGAAGGTCAAGATTTCTAGAGAGACTGATTCCATTTTCCTCTTATGTTTCTATATTCAGCTTTGTACGAAGTTAGATTCCAAATTACTTGATTCAGATGAGTTTTCTAGCGTTTCTAAATCACTGATTTGTCTTTATTCCGCGTTTTCTGGAAACGAGAAAAGTGGTTTTGTGAGAGATAATTTATTAAATAAGATAGAAAGGAGGAATTTTCGATTCTCCACCTGTTCTGCCCTTTTCCATGCCGTTGCTCGTCAGAAGCACATTCCAAAAAAGTCGATGGTACGAACCCTTGATCATTGTGAATATTGGAAACGTAGGTCCAATCTGGATCCGTTGTATTCAGGACGGTGACCTGAGAAGAGTTCAAGAAAATCAGTCAGATTTGGAATTTCGAGTCGTCGCTCAAGCTCCGCCCCTTATGCCGCGATAGACCAATCAGAGAGCGAGCTATCCGCAGAGCCTTTCCGAATGATGTCATGACATTCGAAGTTCGAACAGACTTCGAAAATAAATAAATAACTAACCGACTCTCCTGCTTCAACTGAAAGATCATCCGTCTTTTGACCATTGAAAGAGTAGATTACGATAGTTTTGGCTTCTGGTTTCTGTAAAATTCGGTCTTTTAGAAAAAATAGAATTTTTTTATTCTTAATTAGAAAAATCGAAAAAAACTTCATCACTTTCTTTTTCATGGTAATTTTTCTGGGATTTGTCGTTAAAATAGCCCCTTTTTTTCTGATTTTTTTAAAATTTTTTTGTACCTGTTTTCAGATTTATTAGATAACTTGAAGAAAAAAATTAGAATTTTTTTGAAGCTTTTTTTAGATTATTTTTGTTCTTGCGTTAAATTTTTTTATTGATGTTCCCTTCAAAACCTTTTCTAAACAGTTTACCGATCTTTTGTTCGAAAATTCCTTCAATGAAACTCTTACCGTTACAAAAAGTTCTCCCTCCTCTTTTTTCACCGGCAAACTGTCGAGAAATCGCTCCAAATTCGACTTTTCCCATCTTTTTTCGACCTTCTCAATGTTATTTTGGGATAGCGGACGTCGAAGCTGAATATTATTGATAGATGACTTGAAAAAAAATGATTTTTTCAAACTGTAGAATTATTGGAAGCTTCCTTTATACGTTTCCGTTGTATGGTGGCGACGTCTCGACGAGGTCTTGGGCCTTCTTGAAAACATATATCAGTTATTTAACGGTGTTGATATTTATAATTCTCAGAAATTCTTACTGTAGTTCTCAATTAGCATTTGATAGAGATTTTGAGGTAAAAAGCTGTTTTTTCGAATAAAAAAAACTTTGCGCCTGTGAACAGTCCAGTAAGAAGTTTTGATCACTAAAATCCTCAAGTGACCCCTTAAAGTGGACCCGAAGTTTTTTTTTACAGAAAATTTGTCGCCTTTTAACAGGCAAACAATACGTTTTGAAGCACTTAATTCCTTGAGTGATCACTTACGTTGAACTCGAAGTTTGCAATGAGATTGTGGAACGAATCCTCGCCGGCCATCAGAAGCTTGAACGTAAATCCATTGCTCTTCACGGTAGAGTGCTTTGATAGTGGTCCCTCTAGGGACGGTTATTTCGTCGGCGACCTGAGAAAAAAAAAATGAAGATTGCTGTTCAAATTTTGTAGTCGATTTACGAGTAACTAGGGACACAAGGGTGGTATGGTCTGTCTGCCCTCTCCATCAACCAGAGACTGTTTCTTTTTATCCTGTCAGGACCTTTTTTCGATGGCTACAGTACCCTACCGTGAAGCTTCCCTCCTCTGCGCCTTTTATTTGGCCTAAAATAATTTTTACGCCGTGAAAAAAACTTTACTTGATTATTAAAAGGTCCCTCAAGGACTACTTGGAGAGGACACTAAGATGGCTACTAAGACTACCTCTATAGAAGCCTCTAAAATTCTTAGTGGTCTCTGAGTGCCACTTAGACTTGTGGCGACTGAATTTCATCCACTTAAAAGGCCACTAATAGGACCACTATAGTGGTCACTGAAACGTTGAAATCACTGAAATGTCCACTAAAAACTTTCCCGGTATTATAAGGGCATGCAAAGACACAGTAGCGCGTTTAGAAGGAAGTCCATGTATGGTTCTGTGGCTAGGAAGAAAACAAAAATTGTGAGAAGCTGTCCCGGAATGAGCTTTACCGTCGCAGTGAAGTGTTTGGTGACTTGTCCGGCGGTGTAGGGCTCAAAATGGTCGACCTGGAGGCCTTCGACCCAATCGCCTTCCGGGGAATGTTCTCAAAATGACCTATTCTCAATTCAAGTAGAAGTCTTACCTCTTCCCGAAATGAGCTTGAGGACGAAATTGCGGAGACCCATGAGATCTAGGCGATCGAAGACATTCCGAGCCTTTCGGCCAATGTTTGTCCTCGGAGCTGTCATCAGGAATTCTTGCGATTTTCTCTTTTTGGAAATTTGTGAGCATCTGAGTTTATAATAAGCTTGTTTGAAACTAATACCTAGGGAATCTTTTTGTCAAAAATTTGAACCACGTTTTTGTGCTTTTGACCTTTTTTCAATATTTATTTATAGATATTCTTAACAATATAAGCAACGAGAATTTGTTCAACAAAATTAGATTAATAAAAAAAACAACAACAAGAATAACAAGGCGATTCAACCGGGAAAAGACACTGACACATTGAAAATCAAAAATTAGACACAAAAATCGTTTAAGAGCATTGGTGTGGTTTTTAAAGGGGTATAGGCGAAATTTGAAAAAAATTCTGAAGTTATAGGCTTTTTTTCAAAAAAATATTTTTAGATATCCTGAGCCTTAAAAAAACTTTAAAAAAAGTTGTTGAACTTGGAAAAATTTTTCAAAAAAATACAGGAAAAAAACGGAAAAAAATTCTTTCTAAATTCAAATTATTTTCAAGAAGGACAAAGCTTCAAAATATCGAAATTACACGAATCATTCAATGCAATACAAGTTGGACACAATAAATCTCCATTTGGAACCAATTCGATATCACAAAAACGACACCTATCCGTCGTATTTCCTTCCTCGGCCCCGTGAATTTTTCCGGTCGTACTTAGAACCGTAGTGATTGTCGACTGAAACATACACAATTCTTCAGTTCGAAAGATTTGAGAAAACCTTGAATCCTTCATTGAAAAGAGTCCCGACGAATCCGTCGGTGAGGGATTGGACCGAGTTTTTGAAGATTTTCTGAAAAGTTCGAGGTGTTTCTTAAGATGTGCTTGAAATTTTGAGGGATTTTTGGAGATATTCTGAAGATTTTGACGGTTTTTCAATCTAAAAGTTATTTTCTGAATTTTTAACGAGAATATCAAAAATTTCATGAAGTTTTGGAAGTAAAAAAAACCATTTTCAATGTTATTTTTGATTCTTTAGAAACTTCCGAAACGATATTTTTGAAGTAAAATTTCAAATACTTTTTAAAGTTCTGGAAAAGTACGAGGAAAAAAACGCGAAATTTCAAACCTCATGTTCCAAATGAACACAATCATTATCGAAACCGGATAAGTGGTTGAAGATTCCGATTTCGGCCTTGGAAATTTCGCGGATCGGCCTCACAAAAACGACATTTTTCCGTTTGTCCAAAACTCCGGTCAAGTTTGAGACGGCTCCTCCTGAAAATTGTTGAAAGTTACTCTTTTCCAGGTCTTGGTCTTCGATAACGCCCTTAGGAACTACAGAGAGATCCCTATAGGGGCAATATTAGAGGCCCTTGAAGGTTCTCATCTAGGGGCCACTAAAGCTAGCAAAAGTGGCCCCTATAGGGCATGCTAGTCGATTATTGATTGTTATGAACTCTGTGGGAAGAAGCATTCACATGCGAAAAACTCAATAAATCAGCGTTACTTGCATTGTTTTTTCATTTTTAACTTGACCAAAAAATTAAAAGACCATATAGGTTTTCGAGGTTTTCGAGGTTCACGGGTCACACCCTAAACCCCTACAGGGAACACCTGAATTATTTCTCTATGGGAAGCAATTTTTGTCCTCTACTTCGACATTCGTAAACAAACCGGACGTTTCTGAGCATTTGTAGTGGTCACTTCAGCGGCACTGAGATCACTTGAATGACCCAGAAACGTCCGATTTTTCGTATAAAACAACAAAAAAAACCTCGTCCTAAACAAAGTTGGGACAAGGCCAAGCGGCCAAGATCGTCTGAATCGTCCGGTAACATTATCTAAATTTTTTTAAGGGAAAATTTGGAAATTTTGAGAATAAAAATACCTTATTCAGCCCCAATTCATTGGCTATCCTCTTTAGGCATAATTCCTTGAAAATCCTCAACAATTCGGTGCGATAAGTGGTGGAATTACAAGACGATAGCATTTCGTCGAGTTGATCAACCTGATTGTGGAAAAAATTTTTAAGCGAAAAATTTCAAGTCATTTTTTTCAAAAAGCCTGACAAAAAGTATGACAAAAAAAGTGAAAAAAATCAATGCTTTTTTTCAAAAAAATTTCAATTTTGAGAATGTGAAAAAATGGATATTCTCTTCAAAAACTCTGTTCTAGAGTTTTTTTGAAGGTTTTTTTCATAATCAAAAAAATTATACAAAAAAACTGGAATCTCGAATTTTTTTCATAAAAAGTTACCCTATAAAAAACCTTCAGCTAGAATTTTTAACTGTGAAAAAATTCGGAACCTTCTCAGTTCCATAGCAATTTCCCGGAAAAATCACTTAAACTCGGCCGAAAATCGTCCAATAGGTAGGAAGCCACGTGAGCGATTGCCCAACTGAAAATTTTACTTGGAAATCTTTTTTTTCGATTCGAATTCTCACTTTATATTTTCTGGTAGAAGAAGTTTCAATTTATCAACTTTCTCGATAACTTTGTTGATTTCTTCGGAACTAGACACGGAAACAAGAACCAAAATCTCAAAGAAAGTTCATTTCCTAGAGAAAAATTTTCCAAAAACTGACTGTTGGCTCGATCATCAGCCTTTTGAAATGAACTTGACGTAGCGCTTCGCCGACTTGATTCAATAAAAAAATGACGCAGAGGACATTCCATCGTACACAATCAGAGCTTTTCGTGAATCCGCGTCCTTAAAAATTATAGAAACTGTGTTACATTCATTTAGAAATAAAAAAACCAACCCGGAACACTTTTTCTCTTGCTTAATGCGGTTCGAAACTTATTTCTGACCATTTGCAAAAAAACATTCCTTGCAATAATACGTTCTTTTCAAGTCATTTCCTAAAAAAAGCCTTGAGACTTTTTTTAAATTAATAATTACCAGAATATTGGGCCGGTTGATCACATTTCACACAGTTGAAACTGCTCCCAACTACTAGGCTTACTTCTTCCATTTCGTAATCTGGAAAAAGAATTGTTAAGAAAAATTTTTGAAAAAAAGATTGAAGAAAGTATTTTTGAAATCTTGGAAAAAAATTTTTGCAAGGAAAAAGGAAAGTGCGCACTAGCGAATCAACGGGGCATTTTGCCAAAAATCTCGCTTTTCAAACAATCCTGGTTTCTTTCTCCCTGCTTTTCTTTTCTTTTTTTATTATTATTTTTATTCATTTTTTTGGATTTCTATGAAGCGTCGGAAGTTAAATCTTTTTGATAGGGTCTGCCGTTGAGTTTGAAAAACGAAAAAAATTTTTTTTAGTGAGAAAAATAATCTTATTTTTTTATTTGTTCCATATAAGTTAGTTCTTTCATTTAGTTTCTTATATAGTTCCTTCTCAGTTTTTAAAAATTGAACCTGTTCGGATAATCAGTTTATGAAATTTTACTTTTCACCATGAATTTTACTAGGAAAAATAATTATTAATTTTTCAAGTACAATTGCTTTTTCGGTCTGTAAAATTTTGAAACTTGAACTTCCTACAAAAGTTATTTTGTTTAGCAAGAGCATCCCAATTTGAGAAAAAAAAAACGTTGAAGCCTCTTCTTTAAGCTCTCATTTTAGCGAATGTGATGAATTGCCACTGCAGGAGCGGGTAAATAGAGGGCCTCCGGACTCTTCTTTCCCATTTCAAGGTTCATTCGGATAGGTTCGCAGCTCTGACGTTCGATTCCTTTTTTGAGCAGTTTTCTTGTGAGAGTAACCGAGTTTTATTTGAGAATTTTGCCTAAAAAGGCTCTTCTTTATGTCTTAAAGTATTTTTTTCAACTAGAAAAACGTAAAATTTAACCATAACGCTCATTTTTTTTTCGAACTCATCCTAAACCCAAATGGCGCAAAACAAGTCTGCGCCTAACCTTAATTTTAAGTAAAATTACTCAAGTCGTCATTTTACATCAGAAAAAGGAACAAAATTGAGACTCACTAGTCAGACAGACTTTTTTGGGACTTCAATACATTTTCTGCCAACATTAAACTTTTTATCTTCCCGAGCGATAACTCCTTTTTTTGAATATGATTTTCAATAGATCTTTCGATTTTCTGTTTCTTAATATCATGATTAAAAAGTGTTTTTTTATTATCATACTTCCACACGGAAATTGAAATCATAGTATAATATTTGTTCTTGCTAATTATTAAAATAATTGATGTTATTAAAGCCCCTAAGGATGTGGCAAAAACAGAAACTTTGAAAAAGTTCATTTTTTTGCTTTTTTTCTGCTACTTACGTTGTCACAAGCCAGCGTATATAATAAAAATTTTTTTTATAAATTACATATCAATGATAGCTCTTAATATTTCAGCAACTTGAATTCTCAATATTCCCCACCGGATTTGTTCAATCCTCTTGTCATCTTCTGCCTTTTTTTGTCGTGTAGACCGAGTTGGAATTCCAGAAATATGTTTGCTTCCGAATATTTTGAAGATATCGGTAAAAAAATAACTCATTTCAAAGTCTCGACTTGATTTTACGCTCTCAAAACTTCCAGTAACTTTGAATCTCAATTTTCTCTTTCGGAACCTTTCAATCCTCCTGTTAACTGCTTTCTGTCTTTTTTATCGTGGAGATCGAGTTGAAAATCTAGAAGAAAGCGTTCCGCGCAGCCCTTGGTCGCGCATTAGCCAAGGACGCCGTCGTCTGTTTTACATGGTCGAGGAGGTTCGGCTGCCCTCTTTTTTGCCTTTATTTTTTTCGTCTCGTTTCTCGTCATGACCTCCGTTTGACTCCTCTTTTTCCCGCATTTAATCGGACACCTTTTGGAAGATTTTTTGGTTCTAGTTTTGGTTTTGTGTGGTCTTTCGAGAAAATGCCTTGAAGTGCTCCAAAATAAAAATTTTACCGTTTGGAGCAACTTTTTTTGAAAACAGTTTTGCCTTTTGTAACGTGCTCCGTTCTTTTTTCCTTTTCAATTAATTTGAATATTTATTTCAACAGAGTACATAGAACCGGATACGTATAACCTCACTTAAACACGTCATTCTTTTGTTTTAATATTCCCAGATTTTGTTCGAAAATCCTTGCCGGTTTGTCTAAAGGCGCAGCATGATGCGATATAATGTTGAGGCTCTCTCTTCGCTTCAAGTCCCTGATTAAATCATTTCAACGACATAAAAATCAACCCCCTTAAAGATTCCATTAGTGTCAATATATTATAAGTTTGTCAGAAAATCTTTGATGAGTAGTTTAAAGGCGCGAAATAATTGAAATCAACATTGTTAGCCTCCCTTCACTTCAAGAGCTTCATAAAATTATTCCATGCACCTTTAGAAACAAATTTTTTTAGAATAAGGCCGATTTTCGGCCTATTTTTAGTACAGTTTCAGTTGTAATAATATTTTTTCCCTTTTCTTTCGTTGGATGATGGATAGGCGCGAGTCGAGACCAAGAACCTATAATTGGATGTGACTTGATTCGGTAATTATAGGATCTAGGACTGTTCTTAAGAAAATGGTCCTGAAGGGATACATTTTTTACTTTTTTCCCACATGTTACGTGTTAGAAGATTTTGGAGCCCAGAAAAATTGAGCTGAGGAATCGCTAAAGTGTTTCCAAGTACCGCAGAGTTCACATTCAAGTCCTAGGAAATTTAAAAAAAGGTTTTTTTTAAAGTTTTGACTTTTAAGCCCGGATGAGGCCTTCCTACCTTTTCATGAACTCATTTATTTCCATTTTTTTTTGGATTTCAATCGCATTTGAAATAAATTTTCCTTTTTTTTTGTTCTTTCAATTCCAAAAAACTGTCTTAATGCGATTTTCGTCCTAAAAATATTTAAGTTTTCGAATACTGTTAAGAAAGTTCCAATAAAATTCCGCAGTTGCCTTTTTTTAATCGTAAGAACGGTTTTTTTGTTGTTGATTACTCAATTAAACTTTTTTTTTCCTATCCTTAGTTATCACAATGAGCATAAAATTTGAAAAAAAAGGGAGTTATTTTGGCCGTAAAACACGCAGATTTGTAGAGATCCTTTTTTTGCCGAGTTTTGCCTGATATTCCCATGACTCATTGATATTAGATTGGAACCGGAGCTCAACAACAAAAATGATCAGTTATCAGCAAACCAACTGGTACACTTGGTCGGAAAGTGTTTGCTTTGTTAGATAGGAAATGAAATTTTTCTTCAGAAGTTTATTTTAATTTTTTTGGAATATTCTGTTTGTCTAATAAATTCACTTGCTGCTGTGAGGGACCCAAAACAACACTGGAAAAAAATGGATTTTCGCTTTGAGACCCCTTTTTAAACCGTTTCCTACTCTTTCAAAAAAACCAAAGCAATGATTTTTAAGACATATGTATTTTTTTAAATACATTTTATAGTTTTATATAATAATGAGTAGTAAAGTTTTTAATTTTTTTCCACTCGGGAAAAATTTTTCCGGTTCTTCTTCACACTTTTTGCTTTTAATTCAATTCCGAAGAACACATAAAGGTCGTCGCGGATAAATGGCTTCTTTTTCTCTCTTCAGGTTGTCCTCCCGACGAAAAAAATGCCACCCATTTTTTTCTTCTCTTACGTTTTATTTTTTTAACTCCGAAATATGCTGGAATGAGTTCCTTGAACTTTTTGAAGAAAAATTCCTGGGCTTTTTCCTTTCAAAGATAAATATTAATCAAAAATATGACTGCGAGAGATCATAATCATAAAAATAATAATTTTCTTCTCCTTCTTACTCCAGCGCAGAAAGGGAAGGCTTGTTCGCTTTCGGAGTGGCTTGAATGGATAAGTTTATAATAATAGGTTTATTCACTGCATACTGTTAGAAAATAATTATCAAAATAGTTCAGAATAAGAGAGCAGTAGAAGAACCAGCAACGGAAATTAGTCCACCCTAATGAGTAGACCCCGGAAAAAGTTTCTGAGAATAGTCGAGAAAAATTCGATTTCTAGAGAGATATTTGAACGTTTTCCGAGCTTCCAGTGTTCAGGAGTCATACAGCTTGCTGCCGAGTTCTCCCTCGAATTTTTAAAGGAGCATGGGCGGAATTACGAAAGGTCTCGAAAGGAATAGCCGTTTTTAGTGTTTTTAAGGATTGCAATTTTTTTCCTTCGAGTCTTTGATAAAATTTTCTCCGCCAGTTTTTGCTATAACTCGTTGTTCTGGCTTCTATTTGAGAACGAAAACCCATCAAATTTTGACTTTTCAAAAGAGCAAAAGCATAAAAATAGTTGCGTTTGGAATCATTTTTTTATTCTTCTCGAAAAGCATAACGGCGGTACGGTTTTTGGGCGCATTTTGTGTGGTCCGATCGCATTCAAGCGTTTTCCAAGAGCTGTTTGCTTTGACGCCTTTATGATTTGCTCTGGGCGCCGACAATGGAAAATCGGAAAGCGAATGGAAAAAGAAAGAAGAACTCCAAACGGCTCTTTCCACACCAACTGTCCCAAAAACCTCTCGCTTTCGTCGGCTCCATTTCCATCTTTTTTCGAAGTTTTTAAGAGTTTTGGTTTTAAAAAACTTATGAAAGTCAGAGCGACTTTGTGTTGAAACGGACGCATTTTCAAGTTTTCATATTTGTTTTTTATGCATTTGAGATTTTTATTTATTTTCCAATTTATTTTTTCAATTTTTACCCGCTTTATCGGAGATTGAGAAGTATAGTTTTGGAATCAACATGAAAACATTTTTGGTGAGTTGATTGTCGAGATTTTTCAAATTTTGAGCGATCTTTTGGACTTTTTGCAGCATAGATTCGGAATCAGCATGAAAAACTGCTTTGGTGAGCTTATGACCATTTATAAGGATTCTTTTGAATCGGGTGCAGTCTCTGATGAGAAAAATTGACCTGAATGCTTATTTTTATTAATTCTAATTCAAGTTTACTGTTTTTTTGTTGATAAGTTTGGGAATTTGTATTCAACTCGAGAAAGAGTGTGTGTCAAATAACTATAGCAAGCTTCATGATTTCTCAGAATAAATACAAACTTTCAAGTTTCTTTTTTTCCCGTTTGGACGTCAAAAAGAGAGGTCAGCTGTATCTGGTCAGGGTCTAGGTTTGGAATAGATCGCGGTGGCGCAATCAGGAAGATGCATATGGGGTGGGGATGTTCCAGCCGACACTCGCCTTAATGTGTAATCCAATTGAGCTCGTATGAAGGATGTGGTTTGCCACACACCATCTACATCCTTTTTCTCATGAATCTCGTCTTTTCGTGACCTTCCTGACTTTTTCGAATATTTCATAGGTCTTTTTCCACATTTTTCTGATTTTGAGAGTTTTCTCTTGTAAACTTTGAATAGGCCAGGCAGGTCATTTATCTCCCGAAATTTCCCGCAAAAATTGGTTCGAAAGTTCCTTGATGTAAGACCAAAAGAAAATTATGAAATTCCTAACCTGCACTATTTCCTAGTTATTGAAGCCCTATGGTAGCCTATGTTAAGCGATTTTAAGGTTTTTCTTTTTTGAACTTTGAAACGTCCTTTCTCGAAAATGATTAAGGTCTGTATGTTGAGAGTTTCAGGAATTTCATCTGATACTCCGAGGATTGTTCTGACCAATTTTCAGAAAAATCCCATCTGTAAAGGATAGTGACCTTCTTTGTAGAAAAAGATAATGGTTTTTTTGTGTTTTTAACTTTTTATTTATCGTCTGATCAGAACATATTCATTAGGTGTACTTCTGTAAAATATATCTATTAATTCTACTACACTAAACAGTGCTTAAGTATCAAAAAACGTTGAAAACTTGGACTTTAAATCTAATATCACGCCTTTTAAGAGTCTTATTTCTAATATTCACGTCTTTTCATCATTCTCGTCTTGTCTTGCCCTTTTTGGCTTTTACGAATATTTTGATAAAACTTTCAGTTTTTTCTCATATTTTCCTTATTTTGGAATTTTCTGTTCTCACTTTCAAGTCGAATAATTGAACTATGAGGGGAATAATGGTTTCTCGACTACTGTCTTTTAGTTTGAAAATGTTTTCATATAATCTGAACAGAAGAAAACATTCTTTTTTTCAACTTTTAAGTCTTATTTTTTTTTTCAATTTAACCGAAACTAATTCGAAATAAAAATTGAAACTGGTGTAAAAAAAAGTTGGATAGTTTCTTGCTTGTACTTGGAATGGTCGATTGGTGTTAAAGGCTGTGAAGCGACTGCCTCAAGTTGCATCCGACTAAAAACGAGCTGCGCGCTTTGGTATTGAAAAAGCAATTTGCAAGTTTCTAGGCATTGACCGACCTTTTGATTTTTTTTTCTTAGTAATTTTTACAACGTTTATACGTTTTGTTCTAACTAGGGAACTACTAGGGAACTGGAAATTCCTTCCAAAAAATTTTTTTGGAAGGAATTTCCAGTCGTAGAGAGTTTCTGGCCAAAGTTGCCCCATGGGAGCAGCGATTGGAAGGGGCGCAGAAAGTGGAGGTCGGAATGGGTCTGTTCTCGCTTCAACTCTTCATATTCCCACAAGAAGGAGAAGAATGAACGGACGAAGTCGGTTTTCCAGAGGAGATAGATCGGATTTGAGCTGGGATTTTTTTTATTTTAGAAAGAAATAGCAGAAAGATGTTTTTAAAAAAAGTCGGTAAGCTTTATAGGTCCAGGAGTTGGATCTTTTCTCAATATTACGAAAAGAGATTTGCGTGGCGTTTTTGAAAGAATAAAAAGTATGAAAAAATGGAAGACGTTCAGAGAACTTGAAGAGAATTAAAGGCATAGGGGCAGTAAAAAATGGGGTTTCAGGTGAAAGCAGTACTTTGTATAGTTTTTCTTTGCGAATCCAACGGTGTACTCAAAAAAAATACAGATGTGACAACTTTAGAAGAAAAACGCGATTTCACTTTCCCGCCTTTAATTTTGAAAAAAGCTTTGGATCGGTATACAGACAAATGTTTACAGTAGCCGTGCACGCGATGTTGCGGATGTCTCATTAGACTCGCATTTTTTGTGAAATAACCGGATTTCTGCTTCAAATTAAGGATTTCTTCTCTGAAAAATTGATTAAGAAAACCGAAAACACACAGTGATAATAAAGAAAACACAAAGTATCGCTATCCCAATCGAAACCTGTGTAAAATCATCATTTTTCACCAAAGAAGCTTTTTTGCGATCAAAGTTTGCAAATTATACATGAATCGAAGGCTTTGGTGACGAAAAAAACTCTGGTGACAACAGAAAAAATTGAAAATTAAAAGAAACGAAGAAAAAAGCGAAAATCCGGAAGATGGCGAAGCCTGTTGTCCATAGAGCAACTTTACTGCAAGGCGCCCTTTTCGCGGGAACTCAAGCTTTCTTTTCTCCGACTTTGAGTTATTTTTTTCTCCAAAACTAGGAATTTCTGTACGTTTCCAAGTTCACCGTTCGATTTGCAATGAAAAGCTCTACAAAATACTGCTTTGAACTGAAACACCGTTTTTTACTGCCCCTATGCCTTTAATTACAAGCATTCCCTCGTGAATTTTTTCGAGAATTACCTTTTCAGTTTGTTTTCAAAAATTTTTGGATGTCCTTTTTTGATTAACCGTTTTGTTTTATTGCAATCTCCTCGAGCTTTTAGAATTCATTTAAGAAAATCGTTATTTCGATTCTCTTGTTTTTGGGTTTTCATCCTTTTCTGGTTTACGTCAATCTTTTTTTTCAAGCTTATAAACTTGAAAAGAAAATTTGCTACTCTGGCGCCCCACAGAGAACTCAGTTTTTCATAATTTATTCCCCCAGATCATTTTTTTGTGAAGGTTTTAATTTTTCCTAAAAATATATTTTGGAGTGATGGTTATATTTATTTTTTACTCAGAGACTTTCTCAAATTTCCTTCATTTTTTCTGATAACGTGAACTATTTTGAAGCCCCCACTCTCGACTTCCCTAACTGAAGTTTATTACAACCTTAAACGGGAAACTCGCCTTTTACTTTGGTCATCATTACCTTCCTCTGAGTTTGAAACTAATTTTTACACTTTGTTCTTCACCAGCTCATGAATTCTTGTTGTTTCAATAATCATACACTCGAATCACCTCAATCTTTGTTCTGCGAATGCCAAACACCATGTACTTTTGCCCCCGCTGAAGTGCAGCTTTGCGGCTCGTTGATCGGCCAATATTTTGGCGGACCACAACCACAGGCGCATGGGAGTCGCCGCTCTAACAACCGATGAAATGATGATAGAGACCCGATTAAACATTTGCAGGAGAGGCAGCCGCCCTTTGGCCCCGCAAGAGAGTCCGAGGAAGAAGAAGAACTCCGGGGCGGGAGTGAAAAGTGAGAAGGCTGCTGGCTGGTGGCTCCTCGGCTGGCCGAATGCCAGCGGAGGCGTGGCCTCCGTGTCAGACTGCCGCCGCCAACGGCGAGTCCAAAACGGCGTCTGCCGTCTTCGACGACGACCCCTGTCAAGTCTTCGTCGCGCCCGTCGACGACGACTCCGAGCAGGTCCTTTTTTGGACTTTTCTCCACTTTTTTTCATTTTTTTTCGCTAGTTGGTAATTCCTTTATAGAGGAAACAGTCGAGTTAGAACGGTCAAATGTTCAAAAAAACAATTCACAAAAAAATTTAAATTCATAATATCTCAGTCTTACGGAAGCCAGAGTGCACCCTAGAGGGCAACCTTGAGGTCCCAGTCTAGTAACCACCTTACCTCCCCTTAGAGGGACACTAAAGCTTGCAAGAGTGGCCGCTAGAGGTTTTAGTTAGTGGCCACTCTAGGAAAGCTTGATAATGGTTCCTATACTTCGTTTTAATTAGTTTTTTCAACTTTAAAGTCATGTATAAAATTAATAGAAGACCCCTGAAGAGACCTCTTGAGCTTTAGGGAGCACTATTATGATCCTCATATGGGCTGTTTTCTAAAACCCCTCTAGGGACCACTCTGGAGTTCCTAAGATCGGCAGTCAAAAAAGACCTCGCCCCAGTCTTTGAAAAATTCATCAGCTTCAAAATCTCTATTTTTACATTCACCGATTTTTTCTGCACCTTGAAAAATTTTTTTAGGATAGTACTGGTTTTTTTACAGGTAGGCTTAGTCAAGAAATCGCATTTTTTTAAAAATTAAGAATTTCTCTAACAAATCCTAAACATTAATGGAAAGGCCATTCTTAAAGACTTTTTAGCTCTAAGAGATCAAGTAAATGGTTTCTGAAATTGTATACCAATTTAACTATTTTTTTGCTTTGTAACAATCTTATTGCCAGGAAAAGCTGAGATTTTGTTTTTTTTTTTCGCTTGGTTTTCTATTTTTTTCAAATGTTTATATGCTAATACTTTACTTTTTTTGAAGTTATGCTTAGAAAAAAATTTTTGAAATTTAAAAAAATCTGCTTTTTTTGAGGTTTTCAGTTTGAAATTTATTTAGAATTAATGTAAATTGATTTGAATATTTTTTTACAAGTTTGTTGGAGCAGTTATTTATAGAAGGAAAACCAGATTTTCCATCCTAAAATTCATCATAAAAAAATTCGATTTCTGTTTTTCTTTTTAATCGAAAACCTTCCGTTTAACTGAAAAACCGAAAAATTTTTCGAAAAATGAGCTAATTTTTTTCTTTTTGTTTTTTTGTAAGGGAAAGTCTCCTCACTTGAAAAACCGTTTCGAAGTCTCCCATACCATGATAAAAAAGCAATTTCCATCAATTTCGCTCAAATTTTCGTCGCATCTGTTGATTTCAGCAAGGAAAAAAATCGTCGCATGAAAACTTAACCAAATGCCGAATGATCATTGCCCAGTTTAAAATCGAGTGAAAAAGCGGCGGCTGGAATTTCTGTGGCCACATGTCAGTTTTTACCTGAAATCAAGGTTGTTACAGCGTTCCAGAGCACTTTCCCGAGTTGAAAATTTTTCTGTTCAAAGGTCTTTTGATAGTTTGTTAGTATTCTAGTGACTTTCAAGGCCTAGGTTTAGAAATTTTTTTCTTCTATTTTTTAGAATTTTATCACTCTGAAAATTGAGAAAAGTTCAAATCCCTAATAACTTGATTTGAATAGTTGTGGTTGCATGCAAAATGGCCATTTGCGAGTTGCACCCGACTTTAAACGATTTTCGCACTGTAGCTTCGTACACCATTAGGTTTTTTGGCAGAGAAATATCAACTTGGTTGACAACCGCCAAATTTCGACCCATTCGAAGTGCGATTTTTTTTTTCTCATTTATCATCCGACCTGAAACGACTTGCGCACCCCCTTTTTCAACTACATTTAAAACAAATTTCAGAATTTCGATATCATTTTTTGGAAAAAGATTATCTGCAGAACTATTACTTTATAAACTTGGCTCATAATTTTTTTTTTAAATTCTCAACTTAATATTTTGTGAAAAGTTCTTGTCCTTTCCCCAGTAGATTCATTATCCCCTCTTTCATAAAGGACAGCTTTTTCAGGCTTTTTTCTCGCCTTTCTTCCGCGGTTGTTTAATGTTCGGAGGTCGTAAAAAATCCCGCAGGCTATAACTTTTGTTTTATTCGGATTTGATGGTGGAAAGTTTTTTCAAGAAAGAAAAAATTCTCGTGCCGCCAAGATCGTTTCGGAAATTTTTATTGACTTGTTTGACTTGGAGAGAAGCTTTGTTTTGGTGAAATTTTGACTTTTTAAAACTGGTTATCTAAATTTAAAGAAAAAAACCAGAAAAAAAGTGAGAAAAAAACGGCTGAGCCATAATAGGAAAAAAATTGATTAAACATTGAAATTGCAACATAAAAAAACTGTACTTGTGTTTCATTCTCAAAAAGTATTGAATGGAAAAATCAATTTCTGAAAAAAAGTAAATATTTTGAGAAAAATATTTTTTTGTGTCGTTTCCAAGTTTTTCAAGTTTAAAAACCACGTGGAATTTTCAGTTCACAGTTATTTAATCACACAAAAAACATGGCCATCGGAGTTTTTTTCCGTTGAAATTTCGACTATGAGTCGAGATAACTTATAGATTTTGTATGAAATAGCCCTTCTAGAAAAAGAGAAAATTCTAAAAAAAATTCACCCTTTTTTTCAATAAAAAAAGTTTTAAATTTCAAATAAAGTAAAAAAATTTTTTTGTATATGAGCTTTTTTTCACAAAAAAATGAGACTATTTTTTTGTTTTTTTCATGGAGATTTCGATTATAAATCGGAAAAAAATTGATAGAAATAATATAATGGTTTTTCAAAAAAAGTGTGTAATAAGATCTTTTTTGTCGTGAATTAGCTTTCAAAATCAGAAAAATGAAAACATGGTAGTTAAAAATGTTTTTTCTCACACCAAAAAAAGTGACCATCTGTGTTTTGATGTTGACCATTATGAGTCACGATGGGAATTTTCCAATTTTTATTCAATTTATTTTTTCAGATGATCCCGTCGAGCGCGGCGAGTTGGCAACTGTTATCGGTATCTCTGCATAGAGTCAGTTTTTTTTCTTTTTTCATTTCAAAGATTTTTGTTGTGAAGGTATCATTTGAGTATATTCCTATTTTTCCTTTTTTCACACTGTATCTCGATTTTTCGTGAAATAGTAAGGATCTGCATTGAAAATCGTTTTGATGGGATTTTAATATTCTTCTTTATTTATATTTTTGTTATCTTTTCTTTGAAATTTTCTCTCAGAGGCTTTCAAAAAGTGTTTTCTTTTCTTTTTTTTGTCTAAATTGACCGGCTTTTAAGATCTTTATCAGACACTTAAAAGCCTTTCAGACCTTCTAGAAACCTTGTCATGTGTTCTGAAATCGCGTGAAGCTTTCCTAAAAGTTTTGCGGCTGATCAACGGGCTCAAAAGCGCCTTCAAATCTTGTACTCTGCCCTTTTCCCATTGAGAACTTTGAAGAAACGGCTTTTTGCTGGTTTTAGCGTCTATCAAATAGTTTGTAAAATCTAGTTTTCTAGTTTTTGGACAAGAATATCTTGAAATTCAGAAGTTTTAAAGCTCAGGCTCTGAGAAGTCTGTAATTACCAGTTTGAATGGAGATGGATTTATAAATAACTTACAAGAAAAATATCTCAACTTTTTGAAGTCTTCTCTTGAAAGCAGACGCTTTCTATTCTCAGAATGAGAAAGATGCTTTTTATTGGTTTTCATGGTTTTTAGATTTTTCTAGAACGGTCTTTCAGAACCTGACACTTTTATAATAGATTAACAAACAGCTAGTTCTCTAGGACAACTTTCGGAGTTTTTTGCTGGTTTTTTAATTGGTTTCAAGTCCTTTTATAGTCAATGTTTCCCGACTTGAAAGGCGATGGAGGCGGGGCAAGGGGCGGGACGCGTAGCGTGTGCATTCGCGGTTCTTGGCACGAGTTCAATTCAATTGCCGCCGACTATATAAAAAGCTCGGCAACCGCTCTTTTTCAATGTTTTCTACTATTTTTTGATGCACACATGAACATAATCAATAACTAATTGAAAAAGGAATGAAAAGAACGAAAAACGGGATTTTCAAAGAGTCGATGGCGGTTGAATTGAACACGTGGCAAGGACCGCGTACGCACACGCTACGCGTCCCGCCCCTTGCCCCGCCTCCCTCGCCTTTCAAGTCGGGAAACATTGACTATATCAGTCGAATTTTTTGTGACGGTTCCAGAAATGTTCACTTCTAGTAATTTCACCCAGGGCGAAATAAATTTACTTACAAAAGTTTACAGAAAAACTATTGTAAAATAAGTTATCAACTTCTTGGTGATTGAGTGAGAAAAAAAAATCTGAAAATCGGAAATTTGGTCAGAGCAATCCTTGAAGTGCCAGATAAAGATCTTAAAGTTCTCAATCACTCTTTTTTTTTCGAGGGTTTTCGTTGACTTTGAGATTTTCTTTCAAAGAAACTGAGAAGTCGTGCAGGCTTAGAATTTCAGGATCAACTTGTGGTACATCAAGGAGTGCTCTTGCCCTTTATCAAGCATTCCTCAAGAAAAAAATGAACTAGGTAGTACTGACGTCAATTTGAGAGCTTTAAAGGAGATGTTGGCCCGTTTCCGGAAAATGGTCCACCCACGTAGGTTTCAAAGTGTTTCTTCATTTTCTCTGTCACACCCACTCAGTGGCGAATGGTTGTTACATTTTGTGACAAGCTAAAAAGCCTCGTCCCCTTGGCGAATGTTTTTGTGATTGGGTCGGATTGTCCTTTCGGTCCATCCCATCAGACCTAATGTACTTATCGATTGAAAAGGGCGGCCGAGATTGTGTGGCGGTAGTTGATTGGGCTGGTGGTGAGGCAGAAGCAGCCGCCTCGCGAACAGTCGTCCAGCTCCCGCTCCGGAGGACAGCCGCGTCCTCGAGCTCGTTCCTCGGCGCTGACCTCTGCCACACTCCGCCCACAACTTCTTTCTCCACACGTTTTTTCAGTTCGAGAACTTCTTATCGAGTTTTTAAGCTACTTTTTGTCGGAATATTTCGGATTTTTTGAATGTTTAAGAGACCTTTTATGCAAACTTGAAGATCCTTGGACTTTTGTAGTTTTCGGAACCTTTTTAAGCTCATCAAACAACTTACAGAAGCTATACTCATAAAAAAAGAAAATACTGTTCCGAAGTTCTTAGCCTCTCCGCCCACAACTTCTTTTTTCAAACGTCTTTTTTCCATGATTTTATTGAATAGTTGTTGAACTACTTCTTTCTACAATGTTTTTTTGAGACTTTTAGTCGAGTTTTCGATAATTCTCAACCTTTTATGGGCAGGTTTGTTTAAGAGTTGTTTTTGGAAAAAAAATTTTTAGGCGTTCAATTTTTAGTTTCCGGAATCTTAATATTAATTATTATAGCCTTAGAAAAATGTTTTGAGTCGTTTTCAGATTTTTTTTTCCGATATAACCTTCTTCAGAACTTTTTCTGACTCAAATTGAAACTAGAAAGAAAAGTTTTCTGGCTTTTTTTTCTCGTCCATGCCTAATTTGGTTAGGTTTCGGCTCGTTTTGACGCTTCCTGGGAGCGTTTCTTCATTTTTGGACCGGTGAAGTTTTTTTTTTGAGTTTTCACTTGCTATAAATTTAATTTTCTACTTCTCCACTGAAAAATTTGAGTTTTCCGTTCAGCCCAATGTCCAGCTTGACGTTAATTCCACGTTTGCATCCAGCAATTTGAGATTTTGCTCTTTTTATTCCGCCAAGCGCGTAACTTGATGCCGGCCGTCTACCGATCAAACTTTTCCATTTAAAGTTCTTTTTCAGAAAATTTTCACTCGTTTTAGGCTAAAGGAAGATATTTTGAGAAGAAATAGTCGCGAAAATTGAATTTTAGTCGTTTTTGTGAGACGAAAATCAGACTTTTCATTGATTTGTAAATCTGAATCATGTCCACATTTTTTGAAATCAGAGCTTACTCCTGATCCCGTTGGAAGTCCATTGCTCAGCTTTCTCAGCCTAAGAATAAAGTTCTCTATGGAGCGCATAAATCTCGATTAAATAGCCATTTTTCACGAAAAAGGCTCAAAATCATGTATGGCTTTTAAGGATCTTTTCTCATCTGGTCTTCAGTTTTTCAAACTTTTCTTTCTCAAATATCAATGGAGCGAATAATCGAAATGAATCTCTTTCTCAAAATTTTCTATCATGAAGCTGTTTTTCCTTCGGGTTCTCTTTTTGCTTGATTTTTGCCTAACTTTTCTTAAATTCTCTAGCGCAAAATTTCTGGTAAAAAATCGAAACTTGAAGGAAAACGAAGGGCTACCACACGCCCTTGTGGTCGTCATTAACACACAGAGACACAAACTGGCCACCAATTCCCCGAGGATCATGTGGAACCTATTTAGTTCCATTTTTTCTCCTCTTTTCTTTTAGCTTTACAACACGTGCATTTGATATTTTTGGCTCTACTATTGTTTGAATCGGTTTTGAATGATTTTTCGGGGACTCAGGACTTGATGAAATTCACCCATTTCAGTTTTTTTTTGTTGGAAAAGTTTGATAATATTGATTTGTTGGCTCTTTTTGTTTGAATACATTTTTTTGAGAGATTTTTTTGGGGGCTAAGGTCTTGATGAAATGGATCATTTTTTTGGGATTTTTGTTTGAAAAAAAGAATAGTGAACAAGTATTGATCTGTAGTAGAAGAAAGATTTAGAGCTGAGTTTATGCCTGAGAAAAATCTCGTAAATCTTCTTTTTTTCCCCGAATGTTCGAGTTTTTGCATAGCCGGAAAGAAAATACCGGCAGACTAAATTATGTAAACGTTGATATAAAATTTGCTGGAAAATTCTTGTTTTTTAAGCCATAGGACTCAAAAGTCTCATTTTTTGAAAGTAATTGTTATAGATTCCATTTTACCTTGTAGGAAGTTTTTCAAGTTTATTTTTCCAAATTGATTTTTTTTTCTAGGGTATAAACTTATCCTTTTTTTTTATGTTGTCAAGACTTTTTTTCAAACTGCGGTTTTATCCATTTTTTTCGAAATGATTATACATATTTTCATTATCGCAAAAACGATTTTTTAAGGAGCAAAGACAATTTTTATAAAGGGTTTGAGTAGAAAAGCCGTTTCCGTGTTATTTTAAGTCTTGTTAGATTTCTGAAACTGCAGAAAAAAGATCATTTTCTTATTTAGAGAGGAAGGTGATAATATTGAACAAGAAAATTCTGTAATTTTATCTCAAAAAGTTGAAAATACGTGAAAAACGTCTAGAAAGCGAATTTTTTTCGCAAATCCTGCAAAAATCCTGGAAGTGTAGAAAAACTATAAATAACGGGAGATAAGGGAAAGTTTTTGGTGGAGTCCGAAGCACCAGCTGCGAGGTCCCGAACACACTAGAGAGACGTCAACACGTCAATCAACTTGGCACACAGAAACCCCCCCTTTTTTGTTTAATAAAATGTCGCGCACCACTTCTTCTTGTTTTAAAACGAGGTTTTTTGAAGAGAGGTTCTTCTAGTTTTACGAAAAGGCCTTTTTCGAAGAATATATCATGACCCAGAATTTCATATATCCTTCGAAAACATGTACCATTTTCTTAAGGTTTTCTTTAGGGTTTCGAACGAATTTTCGCAATTTCGGACTCCAGAAGCACTATTTTTCTGAAAATGTCATTTCCAGGATAATTTAAGTTTTAATTTAAATTTTTGATTTTACAAGCTATGTTGTACGGATTTTCATGTTTTTTTCGAGCTCATGAAGTCAAAAATTCTTCAACTTCTGACCACTCCTTTGGAAAAAAATCTCTCAAACTTGTAGCTTTTTTTCATTTTTTTATGCCTTTCCAAACAGATTCTTTTTACTTTTTGTGTTCAAAAAGCCAGTATTTTTTTCACAAAATATTTCAAATTTTGACCTCCTTTCTGAAAGTTGAATATGTAAATATGTAGCTTTTTTTCAACTTGGATCAGCTTTTTCGAAAAAGATTTATAAATTCTTCGATATGCAAAACCCGAAATTCGTCGCAAAAAAATGCTTCAAGTTTTGACTGTCCTTTTGAAAAAAAGCCGTTCGAACTTAAAGTTTTTCAAATTTTTTTGTTTTTTTCCGAACGGATTTTCTAATCTATGAGATCAAAAAACCATAATTTCTTTTGAAGAAGCCTCTCAAACTTGTAGCTTTTTGGGCGAACGGAGGAAGATGACTGGAAAAGTCGCCCCTGTGCTGGCCGAGATGACACTGGGGAATTGGTGTGAGCAAAAGTTGAGTGCGACGGAGAAACTGTGATGAATTGGCTCTCGGGGAGGAGCAAAAGCCGTCATTTTTCAGAGATTTTGGCCCGGAATATGCGCCGGCCATGCGAAAAGGTCAGAGGTAGAGGGGTTGGAATGGATTCTTGATGGTATTGGAGAGGTTTTTAATGATTTCCCGAAAGAAAGTTGGGTTTATAATCTAGGATTCGCAGTTTAAAATTAGTTCGAGGAAACGATGGTTTTCAGAAGACTGTAAAACGAGCTAGCTTTTGGGAATTTTCAAGTTTTTTTTTATCTCTAAATACTTGGAATTTGAAGAAAAGTTGAAAGGAGTAGCTGGAGAAGTCGTCATTTTTCAGAGATTTTTGCCCGAAATTTGCATCGGTAGAGGGATCGGACTTTATTCATAATTTATTGATTTCTTGAAGGTTTTTGTGGCTTTTTTAGCTAGATTTTTCGCATTCAAAGATTCAAAAATTAATTGCAGCTCACTCTAGGAAATTATGATTCAAAAAAATATCGAAGCTAGCGGAATAGTTCAGGTTTTCGTACTAGAATAACAGTTTGAAATTGAAGAAAGAACCGAATAAAATGTTCATTTCAAGAGATTGTCTCTAAAAAAATAATAATGATAAAATGTGTATTTATGTATTTTTTTCCAATCATCAAGGATTTGAATCAAACTTTTCATCAACTCCAAGTCTTCAGAAACGTTTTTTTATCCCACACGGAAATTTATAGCGCGTAAAATGACACCATAAATGGGATGGTAAACCTGGACATTGCCTTTCTTCAACCATTTGATGATAAAGTTCGAAAAAAATTCTCTCGGAAATCGTTTTGAATCTTTAGTTTGATCCAAATCATTTTTGTGATCCTCAAAGGAGCATATGGAAATCTCGAAAAAGGTCTTAAGACGGAAAGAGGTCCTTTCTTCGGAATTATGCCTTTCCTTTTTCAAAGAACGTTTCAAGTTTTTTCTCAATGACCTTTTTTCCTGGCTTTTGTCTGAATTTAAAAGTTTATTTTTTCACTGATTTGGTTGATTATGTTTTTTTCGAAGGCGATACTTCCTGTGGAATTTTTTTTTGCTTGATTTAGAAGAGCTTTCAGCTTTTTGCAGATCGTTCTATGGTTTTGCTTAAAGTTAGGCCTAAGTATTATTAGTACATGTACAAGAATACATGTACAAGAATAGTTTTTTTAAAGGCTTATTTTATCATTATTTTGACCGGTCATCCTTTTTTTATCACTGTCTTTCCCTCTCGTTTTTTTCAATTTCCATGGCAAAAAAATATAAGATTTTCGGATATGAATATAAGCATTTCGCAGAAGTTTTTCCTGATTTTTTTCCACTTGCTTGATTATTATTTTTTTATCTTTAAACTTTCTTGTCATTTCTTTAATTTCTCTGACAAAATCATGACTTTTGGCAATGAAAATGGGCATTTCGCAGAAGCTTTCCCTGGATCTTGCCTCTTGAAAAACGGACGATTTATTTGCAGGCGGCCAACTTGGGCTTCGGCATCGCCATCTCCGGCGGCCGCGACAACCCCCACTTTACTTCTGGCGATCCGGTCGTCGTCATCTCCGACGTCGTTCCGAACGGTCCCGCCTGGGGCCTTTTACAGTCCGTTTTTGCATTCTTGAATAATGTTTGAACCGGTAATGTCTAAACCATTAATGTAGTAGATTCCGGTGATTATTTCATATTTTCAGACTTCACTTTTCAAGTAAAGAAGAAGAAAGACTAAATAAGTCAAAAACACTTCGGATTTTCTGGGTTTTATATGTACACTAAGAATAACTGACGAGATAAACGCGAGCTCGGTGGCGGTACATTGACTAACTCGCAAAAATGTCGCTTTTTTCTAGGCGCGCCCTCGCATTTCTCTCGGCGCCATCTCGCATTTATCTTGCATTTCGGGAATTTTCAAATTGCGAGAGAAATGCGAGCTCGCGCCTAGAAAAGTGCGAGCTGGCGCTCAGAAAAATGCGAGACCGGCGCGAGAAAAAAAGCGAGATGTTTGCGAGCTCGTCAATGTACCGCCAGTGTCTCGCGTTTATCTCGGCAGTTATTCTTAGTGTATTGTATTTCACTATCCCTTTGAATCGAACTTTAAATTTGGGTTTTTTTCCCCGTAAAAAGTTATCATATAAAAAAATCGTATTGAAAGAAGAAAAAAAGAAATGCTTATAATATTGTAAGGATTTTAAGAGTCTGAAAGAATTTTAGATGAAAAAGTTTTGAAAGTATCAAGTTTTCTCTTTTTTGCGTGAAGACAATTGCTAGTCTGTTTCTTCTATCTAATTGGAGTCCTGACTTATTCGGAAGCCATTTCCATCGAAATTTCTAGCTTAATTTTTTTTCAAATCAAGATTATAGAAAAACGAACCTTTCTCAATGATTCTCAATTAGTTTATTTTTTTGTATGAAACTATTTCCACTGGTTTTTTTAATTGAAGTATGAGGAAATTTTGAAAAAAATAAATTTATAAATTAGATTCATTTTTTTTTCCAGACTAAACGATCGTATTTTGTCGGCAAATAGTGTCTCCTTCGAGAATATCGACTACGCTCACGCCGTTGAGATCATCAAAAACGCCGAGCAAATCAATATGGTTCGTTTCGAAGAAAATTATCAGAAAAAAATCGGGTTTGAAATTCATTTTTTTCAAATTTTTCAATAAAATATTCGGAAAAAAATTATGATTCATATTTTTTTTTTCATTTTAATATTGAAATATCCAAAAAAGTTGGAAACACTTTTTTTTTTTCAATTTTATATTCAAAGTTCAGTAAAGTCACGATTTTTCATATTTAAGGTTGAAAAAAATTGCTACCATTTTCATCAAGTGATTAAGTTACTAGGTCGATTATTTGTGATTTTATCAAATTGGAAGATGGAAGATTACAATTTTTTTGAAGTTTCATGGTTTTTGGTCCATTATCAGTTCTCTGAACAGATTATTTTAAGATTAGATATTTTGTTTTCAGATCGTGAAACGCCGTGTGGCGATGCCGGTTCTCGAGTTCGAACAACGGACTTTGAAGTTTACACTTTCGAAATCGAGGAAAAAAGATGGTTTTTTCACATTTTCAACTTTTTCGATGGTTTGAAATTCCAGATTTTGGAATAGTTGTCGGCTGCAAGTTCTACATTAAGGAAATCCGCAACCCGAAACTCGCTGAGAAGGTCAGATTCTTGTTTCAACTTTTCTTTATTTTCAACAACATTCCCTTTAATTGATCGTTTAAGCTCATGAGTATGAAATGTTCAACAAAAATCGATGAGAAAATGGGCTTTTTTTAAATATATAATGTATAAGATCATAATCCAAAAAAAAAGAAACTCAAAAAAATGAACCTTGTTTGGAAAAATGAACAAAAATTGAAGCTTGTTTTGTAAACCTTTTTAATACCAAAAAAACTACCGTCGTGTCTCTGAAAAATCCTTACAGGACCTAATTTAACACTGAAAAGGAGTTCTTGTCCGGAAATCTTTGTTTAATTTGCCCATGTTTCTTCAAAACCCAAAATGAAGAACTTTAAACAACAAAATAAAAGTTTAAAAATCTAAAAAAAAATACAATCATAAGAAACCATTTTGAACTTTTCATTGTATAGACTTGCATATCTCAATGACAAGATATTCTTCTTTTCATCTCAATCGAAATAGGCCCGAGTTAACTTTGAGGATTCATACATAGAAAACTAGTAGAGATCTTTTTGGGGTATAAGGTCATGAGAAAAGAAATGGAAGTTGAACTTTGCAGGACCCGGGCCTCCGAGAGGGCGACTCGGTGCTTCGGATTAATGGCCAATGTGTGGAGGACGCGACACTCGAAGAAGTGAACAAATGGCTCGAGAGGTCTCTTTTTCCCCGTTTTTGGGCTTTTTCTTCCCCTCTCGCTGTGTTTTAGATGGATGCTCTTTTTGGGGCGATGACAGTGTTTATTTTCCATTGAGCTCTTGGAAACTCCTCTTCCTTTTTTCTCTTCAAAGTGATTTTCTGAGTCTTGATTCGTTTCAAAAAATCCAATTTGAAGATATTTTACTTTAAAATATCAATTTTTTTTCTTGAAGTATGTTCGGCTGAGTTTTTGAATAGTTTTGAGAACAATATTTTGAGTAAATTTAAAATTTAAAATTTTTTTTCTGCCGATTTTTGGTTAATTTTTGAACTTTTCTTGGGTACCTTTTGCTTCTTTTTTTTTCGAAGTTGCTAAATCTTTGAGTTTCTTAGAACTCTACCAGCTTTTTCTTTCAAACTTCTATTTTTTTTTTCTATTTCTCTTCGTTTTAATTTTATGTTCTCAGATCTCGGGACAAACTCTGCCTGGTGATCCAAAGAGACGTCCGCCGCGGAACGTCTCGGTGGCCTTCCCAGAACACCGTCTACGAAAGAGTCGGCAGTGTTTCGGCGACGCCGAGACATTCCCCAAGTCCTCTCCTAAATCATCAGCCCGTTTCAAATCGGTCAGTTATTCGAGAAAATCGCAAAACGGTTTTACAGAACAATAAAACGCATTCTTGAAATAAGCTTGGGAAAATTTCTAAGGAAAAATGATTACTTTTTCGATTTCAGTTCATCCGAGTAGAAAAAAATATCCACACATTCCAAAATTTCATAGTAAGTTAGAGCTAATAATCCGAAAAACTTATGAAGTTTGATAAGACATTTTGAATTCTTCAATTAGGATGCATAAAGGGTTTTATAACAAGGTTTTGAATTGGTTGGTTATTCAAGAAACTTGTGAAAAAGGGTCAGAATACTGTTTTTTCTAGTTCTAAATTTTTTAGATAGTTTGAAGTCTTTTTTTAGGGGCTTTAACGGCAGTAAAACACATATTTCTCAGCAGTTTCAAGCCAGATTTTCCAAAAATTGGGTCGCTCAAAATCTCAAATATTTAAAATTGGTCTTCACGTGATATAATTGAGTTTCAGGTCATATAAAAAAAGGTTTGAACTAAGTTTACTCAGAAAAACACGAAATTTTTTTAATTTTTTTCGAAATTTTTCATTTCAGACAAACCACAAACAAGGATTATAAGAATTTTGTAGACGGAAATAATTTTTGAACTAAAAAAACTTATGTCAAAAAGCGGGCCTCTATAAACACTCCACAAAATTCTAAAAGTTTGTTTTTGCAAAAATATTTCATTTAGGAAACGAAACCAAAAACATCTTGCAGAGCCTCACACGAGTACGTCAACTCGCCGCGATGGCGTCCTGACGGAAGCCTCGACGAGAGAAGAGTTTCCTCGCCGGCCAGTTCGGCCATGTCGGCCCCCAACTCGGCAGCTTTTCCTGTCTCGAGCAACGGCCACGAGTACGAGTTCTACTCGAGACAGCAGCTCAAGCCGGAGCAAGAAGGCGTGCGGACTGTCACCTTCCGAAAGGTGCTGACTGAGTTATTTTTATTGGCTCCGGGTTTTCGAAACTGATACCAAAGCAATAGTCCTTTTTTCGTGAATTTCTCATCAGAGCGGTTCTCATCTCATTACCGCAAAAACGCGGAAGAGTGAATTTTTTTAGAAGGAGAAAAACTTTTTTTACTTTTAGAAAAAGTTAGATTATTGTGAAACTATGACTATGTGGAAGAAAAAAAAAAATCATTTCTAATTAGCCTTCCATAGTTCAGAAAAAAATCCATAAAACACCAAAAGATTTCCGCGCTTTTTGAGCTGTTTTTTAAACTTTTGAATGGAAATATTTCTCAATTTAATTAACTTTGCTCAGGTCGGCGGAAGCGTTGGAGTGCGGGTGATTGGCGGGAACGAAGTGGGCGTCTTCGTCTCTGCCGTCGCTGCAGACTCTCCGGCGGCGATTCATGGAGTCCGGTGTGGCGACAGGATACTGGAGGTAAGAACTCCGGAAAGATTTAGATTTCGAAATGAAGTTATGAGAGAAAACAGACGCAGATAGGCCAGAACGTTTCAAGGCATGCCAAATGTGATTTATGAAGAATGTTTAAAATTTCTGAAGAGCAATTTTTTTGAGTTTCTTCTCAAAATTTCAACAACTTGTCCTAATGCCAGGTCAACGGCCGGAACATGAGAGGAGTTACACGCGAATCGGCGGTTCAACTGCTGTTGGCCCTCGACGATCGAGTTTCCCTGAAGCTCGAACATGCCAGAAACGAGTTCGAACACGTCCGGAACAACCAACTCGGCGACAATTTTTATATCAGGTATGCAAAGTCGACAGGAATTCTCTGGAAGATCTGGAAAGATCCGGAATAATTTTAATTACAAAGAAAATTTTCAGAAAAACTCCCAAAAGTGAAGAAAAAAAGGTTGTAAATCTTTCAGATCGCACTTCACCAAGGAGAAAAAGTCGAGCCCTCTGGAGTTGGCGGTGAACGAAGGCGATATTTTCCACGTCACAGACACCTTGTTCGGGGGTACTGTAGGTCTTTGGCAGGCGGCGCGCGTTTACTCCGCCGTCGCCAATAAAGGAGAACCTGTCAAAGGAGTCATCCCCAATCAGGTAAGCTAATCACTCAACGAAATAACCTATTTCCTCTCAGTAGAGCGCACTCTCAACTTTTTCTAACTTTTTGTTTGAAACCGTTTTTCCCAAATTCTGATGTATTTTATAGAGGAATTCAAAATGAATTAATTATAACAATCTTTTTATTCTTATCTGATTATTATTATTGACAAAAAAAAAAATGAAATGCAAAAAGCTCAAAATAGCCCATAGGAAATGTTATAGTTGTTCAGAGAACTATTTTTGAAAGGAAATCTTTCATTATAAATCAAGGTTTTTCTCTGCAGACCACAGCCGAGACGATCGCAAGGGAAATGCGCAGAATCGCGGACATAAAGGCCAGAAATGGCGGTGGCGGGACGCTTCTGCGACGGAAGTTGGACGCAAGACGGACGAAAAGCCTGCCGAAGAACATGGTGGCCGACCCGGCGGAGCTGTCGGCGAGCATCCCGCTGCCGGCCTACGAGAGGGTCGCCTTGAACACTCCGTCTTTCCACAGGTCCCTTTTTGCAAGTGGAGTTATACTGTCCAGCTTACAGCTTGTTAGCCAGACTTGGAAAAAAAAATTAGGGGAAAATGAAAAAAGACACATGAAAATTTGAAAATTTATTGTTTATCAAAAGAGCTCGATCGGAAGACCCATAAATTCAAGAGTTGCCTTTTCTTCATCTTTTTTTATTCTCAACTATTGAACTAAAAAATCTGATTTTAACTGTTAAATATTCAATATTTCATGGGTAAATTTCCGATTTTTGCCTCAAAAAACCTGAATTTCAATTCTAACGTTCAAATCTCTTCAGACCAATCGTTCTCTTCGGCCCCCTGGCTGACATTGCTCGCCAAATGTTCCTGACCCAGTACTCGGCCCGTTTCGTGGAACCGGAAAGTGATGGAGGCGTCATCCGACTCAGTTCCGTCGATCACGTCATCGCGTCGGGAAAACACTGCATCTTGGATATCAGCATAGAATCGGTACTGAAGAAAAAAGAAAGGAAATCATACACTTGGCTATTTTCCAGGTCGAAAGACTGCAACTGGCCCAGTATGCGCCGATTGTCGTCCTTTTGGATGTCGATGGACGGTCGAAAATCCGGGATATCAGGAAAAAGGTGAGATTGTAGTTTTCACGGAGTACATTCAAAAAATCAAATCAAATTCTATGAAAAATTTGGAAAAAATCTGAAATTTTCAATTTGAAAGGTTTTTCTAATTTTCTGTCCTTTTTCTGAGTTTCAAGATTCATAGAACCTAACTTAAGAACAAAAACCTGGAAAAGTTGATAAAAAACTGAAAAAAAGCAACAAAAAAAAGCGATGGGTTTTTTAAAATTGCAGAATCACTAGTTTTTCTCAGTTTTCTGATTTTTTTTTGATCGGAAAAAAGGCTCCACAGAGAATGAACCAATTTCTTCAAAAAGGGTAAAAGGAGAAATTAGAAAAATATCTTAACATTATCGTTTTTTTTTGTTCAATTTCGATTCATTCTCCTTCTTCCAAGATCTTCCCACAGATAATTGTTCGAAATTATCAAAGTCGCGAAATTTTTTGAAGATTGTTTGTTCAGACGAACGCTCCTCACCTGTCCTCACGGAAGCTGGCCGAACAAGCGACGCAGATCAAAAAGCATCACGCTCACTTGTTATCGGGTAGGTCAAGGGTAAAATGAGATGAGGGGGATATTGTAACAAGTAAACATTTCCAAGGCCTTTTTGCCCTTTCTTTTCTGATTTCATTCCAAAATGTTATTTTCACATTTTTTAAGGATGAAAAAAAGTTTATTTCTGCCATTTTTATTTCTTCTGACGAAAAGGACCTTTATATCTTTTCGTCTCACCTATTTCTGGAAATTGGCTCCATTTTATTCTCATAAATTGTAAAGAGTCAAGGAAAGTCATTAGAAAAAGCTTTGAAATCCGTTTTTTTAGAAAACGTTTTTTGTTATCTTTCGTATTTTTTCTGTGTAAAAGCTTCGGAAGGAATTATTCGTTTATTTCTTCTTACATAAACTTCTCACTGTTGTCGTGGAGTAATCTTCGAATATATACTCCGTTTCCGTGACTTCAAACTGTTGTTTTACTCTGCACCCTCCTCGTCTATCGGCGATCCTCTCAACTTCAAGTGCTATTTTTATCATTCTCTGACCTCTCTGGGAAGGGAACAAAGGGAAGCAGACACTCGAAAAGTTTCGAGACGCTGCGAACGGGAATTACTTCGAATTTTCAAAATTTGAGATTGTTTCAGCCACCGTCGATGCGACCAACGAAGAAGGATGGTTCGAAGCGCTTCGCGAACTCATTGTTCATCTACAACAACGACGACTTTGGATGCCCGAATTCCCGCCGAACCTTCCTCTAGAAGATGTTTTGGATCCTCTGCTCGAAGTATAATAAATATACTTTTGAGGTGCTGTTATTCCCGTTATCGACGAAAGGCGACGGCGATGAATCCCTGAGAAGTGAATATAGCGAATATGGAGGCACAAAAAGGGACGACAGTTTGTCCAGAAGCAAGGAACACATGTCGCCGATGACGAGGTGAGAATAGAAAACATTTTTTTATTTGAAAAAAACAATCTCAGTTTTTTTGTTGAAAAAAATAGAGGAGAAAGAAGCTTTTTCTCACATTGAAATTTTTTTGAAAGCTCAAAGCGTTTCTCAGTTTTTCAAATATCTTCTCTAATATGTCAAGACTTTGTACGGAACTTGATCTTTTTTTCTATATTTTTAAATAAGAAGTTTTACATGCTACCATCAAAATTCATAAATAACGGTCATATAAAAAAACCGCAAAAAAATTTTTGACGTAAAAATTTCCCGCCAAAAAAACTAGCTTTCTAATTAGATTTTCCAGTTGGAAATGCAAAAAAAGTTATTGGTATTATCATTACCTGAAAAATGGGGCTATATATTATCCAGATAGTGTCGGAACCATTCTTCGATTGGCCCGAAGACATCATTCTTTTTTTCAGATCGATCTACGACTGGGACAGCAACGCGTCCTCCTTGCCCCGTCCCGGCCAGGCTTCTGGAGAAGGCGGAAGTGAGTTTCCGTGGGCGACGATGCCCCGACGTCCCGAACAGTCCATGTCCTCCTCTAACGAACCGTCGCTCAACGGAGGCTCCTTCCGAAAAGAACGGCTCTCCGCCGACTCGACCAACGGCCTCCCTCCGCCCAGGAACTCCCTAACAACCTTCTCGTCCGAGTCCAACGGGTCCGTCCGGCCTTTGAGATCTCGGCCCGAGGTCCATAACCATCAGCCGACGACGACCATGTTCTTCCCGACGACGCCCAATGGGAGGGAACCTCTCGATGCGTTTCCCAGTGGTGTGTTTTCGTGTTTATGTTAACGGATTTTGTGGAAAAATAGGCTTTTTTTCCAACATAACTTGGTGTGAAAATGAGGAAAAAGGGTCATTTTACTACTTTTCAATTTTAATTTCCGGCGAGTGTATGCGTATAAAAGGATAATCAGACCAAAATTATGCTATAACACGTTCAACACCACGGATGGAACTTTTTCGCAAGAATACCAGTCAACCAGGACGACAAAACTGGATGACCGATTGCATAAGACCTCCTGGAAAACGTGTGGTCCACGCTTCGATCAATAAAAGGCACTAAAAGGCAATAAAAGGTCGAAAGCGAAGATGGACCATCTAAGTATCTAAGTAAGTAAGTAAGTATGCGTATCCCTTACCTGTGTAATTATTCGGGATTTATTGAGTTTTTGATTTTTTTTTTAAATCGTTTTCCTTTCAATTTCACTCACATAATACACCTTTGGGGCGAATAAAGAGTAAAATTTTCAAAATGAAGTTGGAATAAAATTATTAGAAAAAACTGAAGATGTAAATAAGTACACTAATCTGAAAATATCGAAATGATTTCTTTCCCCCATGGAAAAATGAGTTTTTTTCTCGCTAAAATTTGCGTTGATTTCTGTGTTCTAACTCGCTTCTAACTGTATGTTGGTTGAAATAGTTCATGAAGTTCCTCTTATTTGAAAAAAAAAAATCATGATCGAATTTTCCAGAAAGCAACTTGATAAATAGCCGAAGCGGCTCCTCGCCTGGATATTATCATGTCAAACAGGTGATTTCTATTTCCAATTTCGAAATTTTCAATTTGATGGTGTGAAAATGTTGTAAATCTGTTGTGATGTAGCTGTTGAACGACGACTCGCTGTACCAAGACGCGCGAATCGCCAACGAAATCGCGAACGTTAGGCTTCGCGAGGAGGCGCGACTGAGGGACGAGCGACTGAGGGACGACCAGCGGATCGCCCAGCTTCAGAGGGAACGCTATGAGGTCGTCAAAACTGTATTACAAACGCCGTGGGCGCAGTTGTAATGGCTTGGTGTATGCGCAACTCGTTTCAAGTCGGGCGCTGCAGCTAAGCCAAGCCAAGCCATTCCAAATGCGAACAATGACTACCTAAATTGCCGAGTCTGTTTTCAGGGCTCGTGTTGTTTTAGTGGTTGCTCTAGTTGTAAACATTATCATTGGAGCACTATTGTCTCAAAAATAGTTCGACTTGTAAGCCTTTTTTTCACACACAGATCCAGGGATTCTATTAGAATGATTTTTTTCATTTTTTTCAATTGATAAAGATTTGATTTTAGTTTTGATTAATCAATCTCAAAGTTTCCATGATTATTAATTTTGCGAAGGAGAAAGTTTATTTTAACTTTCGAAATAAAAAAATTGAAAAAGATTGGCTTCCCAAATCTAAAACATTTCTTAGAATCTCCTAATTTCTGTTTCAAAACACGACTCTATTATCTTTACCGAAAGTTAGAAATCAAAAGAATTCTTCGCGTAATATTCTGTATTGTGTGTTGTTTATTGAAAGTTGTTGGCTATTGTAAGCTTCTTTCTGAAGAAATATTTCAGTAAAACTGAACTTTCAGGGTCCAATCCAAGCTCCCACGGCTGATATGTACACTTTCCGGGACGAACAGGCGACTTCTTCGAATAATGCTTCTATTTTGAATAATGGTAAAAGACAAGATGAACAATTATTGTCGTTAGGAATTTATAAACAAATTTATTCTTGAAAAGAAGCCAAAAAATAAAGCCGTTTTATGGAATGCCTTCAGGGCCAGAGCCTTAAACTGCTATATATCAAGGTCCTTAATCGTTTTTTCTCATATTTCCCTATCAAAACTATATTTAATTATTTCAGGACATCATGCGGGCAGCGTTGGCCCGGCCTACGGACATACATCGAGGATTTCCAGTACCAGGGATCACACCAATTTGTCGCCTCGGACCATGTCTGCCCAGCCTCGACCGACTATTGCGCCGAAACCTTCTCTCTATACGGATAGTGTTATTCGGTGAGTTAGGTGAAACCTAAGCCTGAAAATTCAGAGAACTCTCCTATCTCAAAACATTTTTCGATAAATCAATTGAATAGTCCCCAGAAAACTTTGATATGTTATGAGCGCTGGAGTGTTATGACACCAGAAGCTATCAATAATCATTATAATAGCAGAAACCAGACTTTGATCTACTTAATTTCTTTTATTTTTTTGAAATTTTTGTGATTAAAAATAACTATTGATCATCTAGGGGTAGGAAGCTTGTAGGCAAATAATCGGAGCCAAAAATGGCGTTCTCATTGATTTATGTAATTTTTTGAGTTTTTTCCAGTAACCGATGGAACGACAGCCCTCTGGACGCCCGAGACCGAGAAAGAGAAGAAAGTTTGAGTCAAGCGCCTCCGGCAGTACAATCGGCTGCAGTTTCTAATGAGTGAATCAATGCTTTTTTTTCAACTTTATCAATTTTCTACTTTCCAGAGCGAATCTCCTGTCTCGCTCGCAGTACCACTTGCGAACGAACGGAAGCGTTTCGCCGGCGACTGCCAGCATCGCCCTGACCGTCGCGAGCACTGTCAACGCGGCGTCGAAGTCGCCGTCGCCGCCTGAGAATAATACGCAGCACGGCAAGGAGAATGTGGAGGATGAGGTAGAGAACTTTGTGGGTCGCATTTGGAATGAGTAAGGTTGGAAGAAAACTTTCTAGCCTAACTTCTATTCAAGCCTAACTTCGACCGGCGCAACAAAAATATGCTTTTGTCGAAGTTTATTACAACCATCTAGCTTTTTGAATAGACAAGAGAAGAGGAAACTTCAAATTGAGACTGAAATTCCTTTTTTCTATCGATACAAGATGATCTAGATTTTTTTTTTTCACTAGAGGTTTGCTCTACCAGAAAAATGCAAAAAAAAAAGGAGAAAAATTCGACTTCCCATGCCTCAGCTCGTTTTTCGGAAAGAAAGAAATGCATTGAATGTTGCTTGATGGCTGGAAAGTAGAATGACATTTGATTCCATATACCTTTTTTCAGGAACCAATTGTGGTCGAGGAGTCGACTGCTTTGGTCGGAAGCGAAGGCGCGGTTCTGAAATGTGTCCAGTCGCAGGTCGAACTCCGAATACCGCCCGGAGCCATCCCCGACGGCGAGAAACACGAGATTTACGTCAAGGTGATCAATCTTGTCAGGAAAGGTTGAAAACATCGGATTCATTCAGGTTTGCCGGGAAGGCGACTCGCCGCCAATCGACAAGTCCAAGGGGGAAACTCTGCTCTCGCCGCTGGTCATGTGTGGCCCTCAAGGTGGAGTTTCGTTTTAATTCATGCAGGAGCTTGGAAAAAAGGACTTTCGAATGGAAATTGGTACAATAACTGTAGTTTCCCAATCTGGTGTCGAAAATGCTTCTAGTTATTGAAGAGAACTTTAAAAGAAGTTATGAAAGCTCAGAATTCAGAAAAAGTTTGGATCTAATCGATAGAGAAGTTTGAAAAAGACTCCTGAACGAGACCCGGTAGCTACCTGTATGACCTCCCGATTCATTTTTGACTATGAGTTCACATATTTGCCCAGAAGGATCATGTAATTATTTCTATTTTCTTTTTAAAAAATTAAAAAAAAGGCTTCAAGTACCAAAGCACAGTATTGATCTCTTCACAGCCTTCTGAAATTCATTTTCTTTCATCTTCCAGGCCTGAAATTCCTGAAACAGTGCGAGCTGAGGCTCCCGCACACTGGTGGCAACTCCACGGAGAATGAGCCCAGCCAATGGTCATTTTCGCTGAAAGCCGGCGAAGGCGGTCAGTGGAAACACATGGAGATCGAGCCGTCCTCCGCTGCTGATGATCGACTTCTCTCCGTCCCTATTTCCCATTTTTAAAAACAGAAAACTTCTATGAGAAAATGTATTGAAATTGAGAATTTCTCCGGATTACGGTAGCCAGAAGTCCGTAAAAAGTCGTGGCGTGTGTGCTTGATCTTTTGTGAGTATTTGAAGTTGTGACAAGTGATATTTTGAGCTATCCTCGACTTTTCAGAAGGCTGGTTTGTTCATGAAAGTCTGGAGAGGCCACTTAAGGGGTTGAGAGGTTCATTTGTTTTGTTTTTTTCTATGTTCAAACCCTATGAAGTCCAGTTTGACTTTAAAGTTTTCTTCCGAGTCTTCAAGTCTTGGAAATGTCTCAAAGACTTTGGATGACGTAGACATCCTTTTAGGGGCCACTTGGATGAATTTTCGCCTTTTTCGCGGTTTTTATGCAAAAATAATAATAAAAGTTCAAGGCTTCAAAAATCTAGACTTTGAATCAAATACACGCCACGAATTTTTTTTTACTGATTTTCTTATTACCGGACGCCTTCACAAAAATTTTATTTTTGAATCCTGTTTATGTCATTTTTGCTCCAATTTCTTGAAGTTCAATCAAATTTTTTTACGTTAATAGGTACTTTTCTTTCATGATTTTGAAATGGATGCCTTCTTCTTATTTTATCATTTTATCTTTGATTTTCACTGGTACATAGCATATTTTTTTATTCTTGTCAAAATTATTAAATTGATTTTTTTCTTTTTTTCGATTGATTGTATAATTAGACCTAGTCCATTCTGAAAAAAATTGCTTGCCTTATATTTACTCCAAGTATTGATTTTCTGTCAGCATATTTATTCATTCATATATACTTTTTTTGGTGCTTTTTCTTGATTTTTCGCTTATTTTAATATATTTCTTTCAGATTGAACTGATTAAATGTTGCCTTAAAATTATTTCTCAAATAAATCATCTTTTAAAGATTTTTCCCTCCAAAAGACGACTTCTCACTTTCTGTGTAGATCTTTATCAAGGAAACTTGAAATCGAGAGGATTTTCTCTCCATTTTTTTTTGTTGTTTGAACAAATTTTCTGTTCAAGTGTCTGTCTGAAAGACGTTTGTTCAGTGGATTTGGAAGTTCAACCTGACTTTTTTTTTCAGGTTTTTGTAGTTTCAAATCGATAACTTTGCGAAAAATGACCGGTTTCAATTTCGATACTGGATTATGGAAATTTCCTCTGACTTTGGATTTTTGGTGGGGCTTTATTTTAACATTGGTGAAATGAATGGAGGATGAACTTCGTTTTGAATAGAAGCAATAAAATTGATAGTCCTATCTGAAACTTTAATTTTCCTTTAGTTTTAGCAATGTTTCCTAGTTGAATTTTTGGACCTCAAAAAAAGAATATTTTTGATTTTTTTAAAAATTATTTTGAAAAAAATAAAAAGAAAGTTAAACTTTTTTTAATGAAAGTCAGTCTGAAAAAAAGATATTCAGAAGAAAAAAAGTCACCGAATTAAATAATTCCAGTTTTTTTTAAAATTCGAAATCGACCTGAAGCTACCCAAAAATTGACAAAAAAACGTCCGAAAAATAGTTGAAGATTTAAAAAAATTGACTTAATATCGGAATTTTGTGTTTCTAAACTTTTTTTAATAAATAATAAAAATGAACCTGAGATTTGATCTTTCCATATTTTCTGTTTGTCTAATGCTCAACTCGGTGATAAAACATTTTTTCTCGAATTAGTTGAATTTCGCTTCGAGACCTTTTCTAAATTCCTGCGCGCTCCTTCAATTTAAAGAGTTTTCAATTTTTTTGATGAAGAAATGACCAAAATTACACAAAAATCACTTAAACCAAGAAGTAAGAACGTGAAGGTCAGTGATAAAATTGATAAAAATGAGATTGGAACTGACGGATGAACGGGAAAAAGTCAGTGGGAAGGGAAAAGAAAAGAGACATCGAAGAACCGAGTCTGAATATTGCCCATAACAGTGATGATCTACCCAGTGACCGAACACCCGAAACATGTCTCTTTTTCTCTGGCTCTCCGCCTCTCTCCCAAGTGAAAGTCGCCCTCTCAGTCATTCCCCTACTCCCGGCCCCACTTACTACATATTTTCCCGCACCAGACACTCTTTATCATCTTTCTTCTGCCATTTCGAGGATGTCCCTCCCGATAAATTGAGAAAGGTACTGTCATTTTCATTCCATTCATGTACACTGATGTTCGTTAACGGAAACCGGACGCGCATCGGACGTTTTTGAGCAGTTTGAGGGATCATTTAAGAGATCTGACACCCTCAAAGTGCCCAGTAGAAGTTCTCAAAAATAAGTGATCACTAAAAGTGCTCAGAAACGTCCGTGGAACAATCATTTAAAAAAAAAATTTACAGCTGAAAAGATCTGCAAAATTTTTTTTTTTGAATTGTTAAGGCGAAAATTCCTAAACTTTTATTAATTTTCGATTATTTCATCTTTCTTTCGATGCTTCGAGGATTTTGGATGTATCATGGGGCCCGGACTGCTTGAGAAAAGTACCCTATTTTTTTTGTTGAAAGAGTTGAGTCCTGCACAAAAGATCTGCAGTTTTCGCCGTTGCTGTAGTTTGTGGTCTAGTTTGTACTTGTCAATTAAATTTTTAAAGGCGCAAGGTATACAACTTTCGAGAAAGAACACGAAAAGGCGAAAAGAAAGCCTGAAAAATCGTTAAAAGGCCATTTTGTGGCTTTGAGTCTTCATTTCTAAAAAACTTCAAAGTAGGGCAGATTAGGACTTTCCGAACTTTTTCTGGTACATCTAAATAGGATCTGATCAATTTTTAATGATAATATAACCCTAAAGTAGAATGGCTTCTCCTGTAAGGTTTTAGCAAAAAAAAAAAGTTGAAAAATGAGGAAAATGAACTATGAACCGGCCTTGTTCACCGAACGATGTAAAATGGTCCTGTCTAACCTTGAAGTGTGTTTTTTGGCCAACGATTTGCAAATACATTAACGTTTCGTTTCGAACACAGCTTTAAAAAGGGAATCATCTTATTTGGGAACTTGTTTTATTTTTTACTTTTTTCAAATGTTTCAACGACGAGAAAAAAAATTGCCAATAGTACTTCCCCAGTCGAAATTCTCCCAGCCTCTGAAATTTTATAATTGATACGTGTGAAATGTTCGAAAACAGAGTTTCGAGACATATTTCAGTTGGAAAATTTCCAGAAAAATAACCTCTCTCCGTTCAAGAACGGTTGGAAACGAAAAAAGATGGCTCGAAGGACAGGAAATCACGGAAAGGTTTGTTTTTTCTGATGTAATCTTAGTTCATTGTAGATTTTTTGATTTTTCTGGAACGAAATCGATGGGAAAACAAATGAACTAGATAGTTTAAAGTCTGGAATTTTAATTAGAACCGTACTGTGTAAAACATGGTGCAAACACATCCTCGACGAATGCGTCATATTTCACGACAATCATCTTTTTTTAGAATGGTTTTTTGTCCTAAATCCTTATTATATTTTTCTTTTTTCTTGAGCAGTTTTCTTTTTTGTGAAATGGATGCAATTTTTTTTTAGTATCGCTTTGAACAGGTTTTTGTTACTTTGAGCATTTCTTTCGATTCCATGGAAGATGATGTCTTTTGTAGAGAAAAAAGCTTTTTCCTAGTAATTCTTCTTCGTCGACGGGATATTTTGTGCCTCTAGACAAAAAGTTCATTGTTTGGAACCGCTTTTCAGTTTGTTTAGACGCGTTTCACACGTTTGCCATCAAAAAATTGAAGCCCTCACTTTTCGTTTTTCTGTTTTCCTTCTATGAAAGTTAAGAATTCTTCGAATAATTTTTAAAGACTCAGGAAAAAAAAAAATTCATACTTTTTATTTACCCAAAGTTTTTTTTTATGCTTGGCTTCGCAAAAAGCACTTGAAATGTTTGTTTTTGAGCTTTTTGGGGTTTTTTTGCACTTATTCAGATCATTTTTTTGTTGGTTTGTTTTTTTATGGAGTTTGAACTTTAATTATATCTTGCTAATAATGAATTTCAGTTTGCCGTGGTTCCCTTCTCGCCGTAGTTTCTGATAAGATATAATTTTTGTCCAGAATTAATACTTATGTTGAAATTTAGAAGCTCCCTGCCTTTTTCTCTCTTTGGATTTTTTTACAATTTTTTTCCCCTTATTTCACTTCAGTCGCTTGATAGAAAAGCTGATAATTATTTTTTTTCAAAGTAACGTTTCTTTTTTCTTAAAACCTAATAAAATTCAGATTAAAGGGTAAAAAAATTTTTTTTTGAGATACGTCATAAGTTCTTTTGTTTTGAAACCTTCTAGATGTTGAAAAAAATTGAGAAACTTATTCTTGAAATACGTTTTTTTAACATCTATTGGCGTTATAAAATGTGATTGAAATGTTTCTTGTCCAATTTTTTGAAATTATAACGTTTCAAAACATAAACATTTCGTTAACCGATACTTAATCACCTTTTTTCGAGGTTTTCGAGGTTTTTGCGAGTTTTCAAAGTAATCTCCTTAGAGAAGTTGAATCAATTGAAAAAAAATATGGGAGAAAGGGAATTTCTCAAAAAAAAAGTTCTGGAGAGATACGAGAATTAGAAAACAAACTAAGAGGAACTACAGTAATCAGCGCAAATATGGACTTGCAGAGCCGGATTTTATGTTTCTTCTAAACGATTAAAAACGATTGAGAAGCATCAAAATGTTAGAGTTATTGATTTGACAGTCCTCAAGCTTTTCATTCGTCCTCAAGGGAGTTGGGAAACTGAAAATTGAAAATGAAAAGTTAAAATTCACTATTGGGTGGATGGACTAACCCTATATTGAGGTTTTTGAGATTCCTGTAGGGAAACAATTTTTGAGTCAATGCTATCGCCGTGAGGACATGATAACCAAGTAAGGAATCTGAAAAAAAAATAAATTTCAGTCCAATAAGTAACTCTTATCACTGAGGGGGGGCTGATTGATATGATAGCGAAAAATGGGGTATTTGAAAGGAAGAGCGGAGCACCATGATGGACTGACCAACAAGTGGTTAACGCTACTACTGCGCGAGGCCGAGCACCGCCGAATGGGCGATATTGATCGAATCGAGCAGCTGCAGGCTGTTTTTCGTCTTTTGTCCTACTTTTCCGCCAGACTTCTGACTTTTTGCCCCTAATTTTCATTGAAGTTCTTCTATGAGTGCTCCCTGAAGTTTTTAAAAGCTCGTAGGGTGAAATCGCAGTATCTATTGACGCGAAAAACGTATTTAGATGTAGGAAGGTGATAAGGATTTGATTTTCAAAAATTTCTAAGAAGATTTAAATTTGAAAAAATAGTTTTGCAAAAGGGAAGAGGAACATTTTGAAGAGGTTTTGGAAACTTATATGAAGAATCATTCCAAGTTATGTCCAAGTTTTCAATTTTGGATGGAAAATCAGGTTTTTTTGTTTTGTCTAAAAGGAACTTCTTTTTCCTTCTTATCCTTCTAGCTTTTTAACTTATTTTTTTTTCGATTTTTAGAAGAACCAATGATCAAACTTTTTTCCAATGTTTTCAAAAGAGAGTATTTAGGGGTATAATATACTCTAGAGAATTCGAAGCTTATGTTCGAAATTTAGGCTCTGAGTTTTTTTTTTACTTTTTAAGGTTTCTGAGCTGGATTATCTAACAAAATGTTGGTTTTTTGAATTTTAATTTCCCTTTTTTTCTCTGATTTCTCAGATTTCAAAAACCTCATATCATGGCTGATTTTCCATGAGCATTAGATATATCTTAAAATTTCATTATTGAGAATTTGGTTTATTTTACAACAGTTTTGTGATTTTTTGAAAAATTTCTGTATTCATTTTCAAAGTGATTTGACGTACGTCCCCCGTCTGCATTTTATCTAGCGCTATTTACAATTTTTCACTGTTGACGGAAGATAACTTGTCTTCAAAAAAGTTTTTGGAGATTCTGAAGGTCTTTTTTTTTGGGTGTAAACCAGTTCAGACCGGCAGGGATCCGTCCGGTTTTTCGACATTATTGAAATAACAATTATAGGAAATACTATATTTTATTTACTAAAAAAGGTTTTCTAAAATTTGCCACTTTTTAAGAATTTCTGGCATTGGAACTAAATTTTGTGTATTTGCATGTTCTAATTTTGTCTCTAACAAAAGTTGCGGTGCACCCCGCGTCGAACCGGCCATCGGGGTGCACCCCTCGTTGAACTCAGCGCGATTGGGTGCACCCCGCGTTGATGTTTTCGGTGCACCCCTGGTTACACTGCGGGGTGTATCGGAAAGTTCAACGCGGGGTGCACCGCAACTTTTGTTAGAGGTTTTCTTCGATTTTGCCAACTTTTTCGTACGGAAAAAAAACTCGTTGATAATAAAGATATCGCCCAAAAACTGCGATCGGTGTTCGCACAACTGGAGCCTACAATGTGCCGAACCGGACGGGCTGAACTGATGTTTCAACGTTTTTTTGTGGGGAGGAGCGCTCTTTTCATTTCTTTTTCAATTATTCATTGATTTGTTCTATTTTTCGCATTGAAAGATTAGAGAATAGACACAAAAAGAGCGGTAACCGAGCTTTTCAAATAGTCGGTGACCGATTGAATTGAACTCGTGCCAAGAGCCGCGTACACACACGCTACGCGTTCCGCCTCCTTCGCCTTTCAATTTGGGAAGGATTGACTAAATTTTGTTGGCAAGCTTTCTCTTCAGTTCCTTCAGTCAAAAAGTCGCAAGAAGAATGATTGAAAATTCTCATTTTCAAATTCTGAAGAGCCGATGAATATTCAAGACGTCTTTGTATCCTTTTTTGACACATCTGTGTCCTTTTTTCTACTCTTTTTTTTCTCTATGGGAACCAAGACGTTGACGTATCTCTGGGCCATTGTTCAGGCAGGAAACCTGCGTTTTTTTCTTGCCGGCCAATTACTTTTTCAAATTTCGCTTCCTTTTCGAGAAAAAATTGGGTCCAAAATTCTTTTTTTCCAGTTGACATTTAGGGGTTTGGTGGAGATTTTTAGATTTTTTGGAAACTTTCAAATTTTAGGCACTTTTTGAGCGTAATTCGTATACATATCTGTTTCTAATAAAACTCTTCCTTCCACAGGTTTTGAAATGTTGTGAAATTATTTGAAACAAAATAAATGTTTTGTACACGAAAAGAGCCCTTTGAAACCTCAGTTTCGAAACCTCCTTCTAGAAGTTTTGTCGACCCCAAATCGAGGACACAAATTGGACACTTAAGAGGCGCTGAAACCCCTTGAGTGATCACTTATCACTGAAAAGACATCTAAGCTTTCCGCAGAAAAAAGAGATAACCTGCTTAATTTTCTCGGTAGAGCAAACTTGCCGCTAATGAGAACAGGTGGGCTTTTCGAAAAAGCCTCGAGAAAATGTGGGCCTAAATCTTTTTGCTGTTTAATCCTGATTGATCAAAGTTTTCATTTTTTGCATTGTTTCTTGGGATTTTATTTTAGGAGGTTATTAATATTTTTTTAGTGATTTATTTTTAAAAAAATCAAGGTTCATTTTTTTGTCTTGGAAGTTTCGCTTTCTCTATTTTTTTGCGCTACTTTTTCACCAGTTTCAGTGCAAATTATGAAAAATTTTTTTGAAATTGCCAGGGCTTTTTCTCTGAGAAAAAAATGTTCAAAAATACCTCTAGATTTCTAGAAATGGAGAAAAAAACGAAGTGGATAGTAAAAGGTCTATTTAAGAAAAGCTTGGAAACTTTTCGACTCGAAGCCTTTCTAGTATACCTTCTTTTCAGCCTTTCTAGTATACCTTTTTTTGTTTTATTTACGATTCTGCGTGCTTCGTCATGCACATGATAAGGACATTTGGGGGCCGCTTCATCTTTTTTTGTTTAGTTGGAGTTTTTGGTCGAGTCGTTTTAGTGGAAAATAGTTTTGAAAATTTTTTAAAAGATATTTTTTCTTGTTCAATTCCCTTCAGTTTCGTTGCTCTCGTCCTTCAGCCCTGTGGAACAGATGTCTTCACGGCCGATTGGTCATTATTTGCTTTCAATTTCATCGCCAGAGATACTTTTGAACTTCCTCAGTGTGTGAATCTGTCTGGTCTGACCGAAAGATGAAGTACACTTTACCTTTTTTTTTTGGTTCACTTCTATTTTTGGACTTAGTTTCTTGAAGTTGAGCAGATGAAATCGGTAATAACTGAGTTTATTTTAGAAGGCCTTCTTTTTTATTTTTTAAGTTTTGGTCACTATTTTCTTGATTTTGGGCGTAAGAAGTCGAGTAAAGTATATCGATTTTACAAAAATTTCGTTTTTTTTTGTGGTCTTCTCGACTTTTGGGAATAGTTATCTTGAATATTTTATTCGGAAGACTTCCGTTCGAAGAATTTCCTTGTTTTTTAGAAAGTTTTAAAGCTATTTCCCCCACATTATGATCAATAATCACCATTTTCCTGGAGTAGTCCTTTTTCTTAAGCTCGAAATCTTTTAAGCCTCTTTTTTGGCTTCTTTCAACAATTTTTCATTTTTCTGTTAATGTGCTTTGACATTCTTCTCTTCGTGAAGCTTTTCAAAAGTACACTGCATTTATTCAAGTTTTAAGGACGAAAAAATACTTTACCGTTCTTTTTTTGTGTGTGTGGAAAACTAACTATTTGAAAGTTTAATATCGAAAAAAATAATTGGTATTATTCGAAAAGGATGTTTGGATGAGTTTCAGACCTAAAAATTTGAAATTATGGAATTTTTTTCCGATGTTCGGAATCCTCTTGGAAATAAGTGTTTCATTTGGATAAATGAGCTTTTTTCAATAATTGCTTTTTTTTTTCGCAGAGCTCGGCGTCGGAATTCGATGAAACGGAGGGCTTTTCGTTTCATGTGCCCGACCTACGAGAACGACAATATTATCGCGAGGTTTTCCTTTTTTTCATTTCTTACTTATTTTGCATAATCTAACCATTTTGAGGTCATTTTTTTCTTTTTAGCCATTTTCTAATACTATTCTGAACTTTTTAATTTTTTTAGTTTTTTTGCGAGTTTAATTTTTGAAAGATATTTTATTTTATTTGTAAATCATACATGGGCTGGATTCCCCTCAGCCTTTTTCGCGCGAAAAAAAAATTCGAAAATGTACTGAGATAGGCCGCATCCCGGGGTAGAGTCCCGCCCACGTACGATGAAGGTTTTCTGTTTCTTCGCAAAGATTTTTTTTTTAATTTTCAAAAAAGTATTCTACAATAAGTCTTCTTCTTGCAATTACAGTTTTGATGATTTTTGAACTTTTTTTTTGGATTTCTCAATACAAGTTATTTTTTTTTCTTTCACATTTTCATTTAGCTTGAGACTGATTTTTCGGTTTGAGAAGGAAAATGTTCGAAACGTTTTTTTTTCAAATTATCAACTTTTTTGTTGTTTTATTCATTTTAACTAATAAAGCCACTCAAAGCTTACATTCTTCGGAATTTAATGACCTTCTCTTTTTTATATTTTTTGAACGATCCTATGGTTATTGATTAATAATGATTATTTTTTTCAGCGCTCCGTAGACATCCCGGAGAGAGGCCCTGTATGCACAAACAACACACCGCAAAACGAACGAAAGTTGGTTTTTCTCGAAAAATATTTCATTAAAAGCCTCATTTTTTTCGAATTTGGAGACTCGCCGGACAAGTTAAATAGCGACTTTTTTTCAGAAAATTTATGAAATGCCTTTGAAAATCGGTTTTTTACTGAGTTTTATCAATAAAGTTAAAATGAAGAAGAAAACTTTTAAAGCTGTTTTCTAGTCTTTGTTGTACAAAAAGTTTTTTTTGCCTAAGTTTTTCTCTCTCAAAATGTTCTCTTTCTCTAGATTAACGAGATTCAAGCTGAATATTCAGACAAATTTTGCAATAGTTCATTTTGAAAAAAGGCGCATTTTTGAGGTGATTCTCTCTTTCGCAAGCCCATTTTTTTATTTTTTTATTTTTTTATTTTTTTATTTTTTTGATTATTCATTCCAGTTGAAAGCTGAACATCCTGAAAAGTTTTGGTTTTTTTTTTCAATGTCTCAGACTTTGATCTCAATTGCTTCCAGTTATTCCGACGAAATGCAACGACGGTTCGAAAAAGCCCGGAAAGACGAGGAGAAACTCCTCTCTTCGACGTCGCGGAACGACGTCTTCGATGACGACGACGACGACGTCCTCGCGGTAGAGTATTCAGAGAACTCGGGATATTTTGGACTAACTGATAAATCGAAAAAAAATTTTTTTAATTAAAAATTTATGAGACTCAAGCTAACAGAAAATTGAGGAATTCTCCGTGTTTTCTATGATTTTTTTTCCATAACTTCTTTTTTTTGGTCCCTCATTTTTCCCCATAAATTTACTATGTTCAATGATCATTAGAGATCCTAAAAAGGTGTTCTAAAAAATGAATAATAAAAAATAACTAGACTTTTGGGAAAAACCAGAAAGTTTGTTTGCTAAAGAACATTAACTTCTTGACTTTCAACGTTCACTGAAGATAGTTTAGTGAATCAATTTCAAGTAAGAAACCAGTTTTTTTGTCGAAATATTGACTGTCTGAGAGTTTGGGACAGCATTTTTCATGTCAAAAGTTTTTATTTCAAGCTCTGAAAAACGAAGCAAAAGTAAATTTATAATAGAAAACGGATAGATTTTCCCATTTTAACCACGAAAATCGCAAGGAAAGCGCCTGAAAAGTGCACCCGACCTATACGCGACTTGCGCGATACCGGAATTGTTTTTACGAGTAGAGCCATTCCAAATGCGATCAGAAATTATCAAATCGGGAGAAATGAAGAATCATTGAAAAACGGATAGTTCTTACCACCCAACGGATAGTTCTTACCCTTAATGAAAAAAATATTCTAATTTTTCAAGCTTTTTATCTGTCATTTTTTTTCAAAATTCTGATGGGGTTTTTTAATAGTATTATTAAGGAATAATCAAAAATTCTAATTTTTCTATTCAATAATTTAATCCTTGGTAAAAAGAGGTTGAAAATTTTTTCCGTTGAAATTTATCAATTTTTCAATTGTTTTAATCGAAAAATTTTAATTTTTCGACTTTCCTGACCCAAAGAACAGAAATGACGATTTTCTAACTTGTATTATTTGCTCTTGGGATAAGTAAAAAGGGAAAAATTTGTTTAGTTGGGTTTTTTTGAAAGGCTTTTCTGGTGACTTTATTTGGTAATAACATGTGTTTTTCATATTGACGTGGAAATATAAATGTATTTTTTTGTTCTTTGGTTATTATTTTATATTTTCCCGAATTTTTTTCAAAAAAATTTCCTTTTCATTAAAAAAAGGGGTATATTTGTGGGAGTTTTAGAAAAAAAGTTTTAAAGGTTTTGAAGTGGGGAAATTTTTTTGAAAAATGTGAACATTTGGGCAGAAAAAGTCGGAAATATCGAACATTTTTGGGATTGATGCTAAAAGCTGCGTTTTATTGCGATCTTTTCTTCTCGAGCCCACATATTCACCTTTTCCTGTCCCTGAAAAATGATGGTCGAAGTCTTTTTTTCAAACTAAAAAGAAAAACCTACACTTTCAAAGAAATTCCAAAAAAATCAGGTTTGTTGATTTTCAAGTTAGAAAAATTGTAAAAAGTGGAATATTTCCTTTTAAAAAAACTACAAATTCGTCCTTTGAAACGATAACTGACGTCATGAGTTTGCCGCAACATTGTAGAAAAAAAGTGAAATCTGCATACAAACCAGTACGATTTTCCTGTGTTTGTTTTTTTGATTGCCAGACGTGTGGCTATTTGATTTTTTTCCGTCCTTTTTTTGATCACGATCCTTGTAGGTTCTTCTTTTTACTTTTTTTATTCTTATTTTTTTAAAAAAATGTCTATGTCCAACTTCTAAATTTTCTTTCTATCAAAATTTAAAGAATTTTTCCAGTTGTTTTTGATTAAAAACCTCTGAAAAAAATAAAAACATTTTTTTGCGTTTTTTTCCGAATGAAAAAGCTCATAATCATTCTTAGAAGTTCTTTGAATTTCGTTAATTTTTTTAGATGAAGCCGTTGACAGTTCTCATCGGTGGGGACAGTAAAAAGGCGAAAAAAGACGAGGAGAACGAAGACGACCGATTCGAGATGAATGGAGATTTTCTGAAACAGATTCAGAAGAAACGGCGACGTCATCGAAGGAGGAGAAGCGGTAAAAAAATTATTTGTTTCAGTTAAATAGGAGTTTGATCCGTTCTTTCATGGAATAAAAAAAGAAAAAAACCAGGTGTAAGAAAAAAATAAAAAAATTTTTCGAATTAACTAAAGAAAAAGTATTCGTTCCTGCAATAAATATTTTCTTGTTTTTAGGTTATTTTGGAATTGTGAGAAATTCCTCGAATGACCTTGTAAAATACTGAAAATGGGGGAAACAAAAGAAATTATAACTGTGCGTTTTCGAATAGAAAAAGCGAAGGAAATGAAAATATAAGGGAGTTTGATATTTTTTGATATTCGATGGTTTGGTAGTGTATTCATTGATATTGCTTGTTTAAAAATATAGTTTATCGAGTCTACATAGAATTAAGAAAAAGTTGGAACTGTCAGAGTGCGTTTTTTTGAAGAGAAAAAAATATTGAAAAAAAGTAGATTTTCAAAAAAATGTTGTTTGATTTTTCATGAAAAAAAGTTTTTAATTTGATAAGAAAGTTATTTCTTGTTCACAAAATTATGAGAATTGAGGAAAAAGTAACTTTTTTTATTTTATTTAGAAGCTCCTTTTTGAAACTATAAAGAAATCAAAGTTCTTTTTACGCAGAGTTTTTTTGATTTGTGGAGGATTGAGCTATTGAGCAAATAAAAAGAAAAAGTTACTGTATCGAATTGGAATCTTGATATAATCTGTTGATTTCTGTGTTTTTAGGAAAAAAAGTAATGGCTCTAATATCATTGAATTGTCGTTCTAAAGTTCAAAATGATCATTTTTTTGAAGATTTTTTTCAAAAGTGCCTACGGAAAGTAATTAAAGATAACTTTGAAAAACCCAAAGATTTGGGAAAAATAGTAGTTTTCGAGGGAAAAAAATGAATATTTTTTTATTTATAACCGAAAAATAACCTCACAGTTCATTTTTTTCAACGGATTATTTGCACCTTTTTTTCAGGTACCCATCGAAGTTCACAAATCTCTTTTTATCCCTTTTTAGCGCAAAAAAATCTGGAAATCTTTGAAAGTTAAAAAGTTCGCGACATTTTTTTGAAGTTGGAAGACTTTTCCAAAAAAAAGGATTATTTTCGTTAATGCAAAAAAAGTTATTCCTTTTTGAAAATGAACTTCTGAGATTTGAGAATTTTCAAAAAAATTTTTTTACATAGTGAGAAGGAAATCTTGGTTTATAAAGTTTTGAAAAAAAAATTCGCGAATATATTAGCAGAGGATTAATCGTTTAGTTTTTTTATTAAATACTTCTCTTTCTTCTTACCTAAAAAAAAACAATACCCTCTATAGGGACCGCCTAAGTTTTACCCCTCTAGGGAGCACTTTTTGTCCCCTATGTAAGCTTTTCCAGAAAAAACCCTATAGGGGCCACTCAGGCGTTCCTAAGAAAGTGTCTTGGTTCTTTTTCCAGTCACGGATGTATGGTGTTGTCACATTTTCCGAGGGGTTGTCCAAACAATAATTTTTTGTTTGTAATATTTATTTGCATTTCGAGTGTTATTTTGACACTTTTTGACGTGCCTGGCTCTTTTTTGGTCCCCTTCGCACGCCATTTTACTTTATTCTGTCCAAAATTTTGGACCTACTCTTTTTTTTATCATATTAAACTGTTCTGAACGATGCCCAAGGTTAGACGTGTGCACTTCGATAGACATGCGCACTCAGGTTATTAATTTTTATCTTTTTTTGGGATTAGTTTGTTGTTTTTGAAATATTTTTTTGGTAATGTAGTTTTCTGCTGAGTAGATGAATTTTTTTAAAATATTTCTAACTTGAAAGTAAAGGAAATCGGGGTCTTTGGGCTGTCTACAGAAAACCCTACGTTTTTGTTAAAACAATTTCAAGGCTCCTAGCCCTTAATTCTCGAAAATTATAGAGAACCTGTCTCAAAAGTGGAGAAAATCAGAGTTTTTGGTTCGATCTACGAAAAGCTTACATTTCCGTTCGGTTGGAGCAAAAGCTTTCAAAAAAAAAAATGACGGAGTTACGTTCAATTTTATAACGTTTCTGACCCAAAAGTGGAGAAAATTGAAGTTTTTTAGTGATTGAAACTCAGAAGCTTTGAAAAAGAAAAACCGAGTCATGTGGGGCGGGGATCCTTCTCTTAAAGCTAGTTTTGAGTTTTTGACAAATTTGAGAGAAGTTTTTTTTTCCATAGAAAAGAAACAAATTTTCAAGCAAACCTCAATTCAAGCGCTTATTATTAAGAGAAGAAGAAGAGGAAAAAAAAATGCCGCAAAAAGAGCTTCCTGGAGACGTGCTCCATTCATTTAAAAAAAGGAAGTTTTGCACCTCCGCTTTAGGAGTATTGGTAAATTAGCCATGGGGCGCGTTAGATTACGTTTTTGCGGCTGTTTTTTCATATCAGATCAGGAGAAGAAAAATTTTTAATGGATTTATAAATTTCTTTTCATATATTCTTCGCTTCAAGTTGTATATGTTTTAGGGAGCTTCACGGGCGGCGTTTGGCCTCGAAAGGGACACCGGAATCGATCCCTACTTGGCTATGCAATACCACCGCCAAACGTTCATTCGACTGATTGGAGGGATATGTTGGCGATAACTGATTCAAAAGATGCCAAGCTAGCCGCTCGGGTACTTTTTTTATTAGAAATTACAGGAGTACTGCATTTAGATACTTTGAAATTGTAGAAAAAGACCTACGCAAAAAAAACTTTGAAATTTATTTTTTCAAGTAATTTGCTTAATTTTGGCTAGGAGATGTTGAATTGACAGCAAGGTTATCATGATCAGTAGTTTTCTTTGTGAATTTATAAATTCAGATTTGAAATCAGTGGATAAAATTGGGTCTGGTGCTTCTAGTTTGAATGAAGAGACCCTAATGAAAAAGTCCAAAAGCTTTTCAAAAGTTTTTTTTCTGTTTCGGATTCTTGGTTTTTCTCCTTGGAGAAATATCAGTGCGTTCCCTTTTTTCAATCTTTGTTATTATAAGAGCCGATTGTTACGGTTACCACATTACCGTAACCCTTCGAGACATTCCAACTGAGCCAGGTGTTTTGAATCAGAAAAAATATCCTTCACTACAAATTATCTTTTTTGCCAATAGCTTCATTTTTTGGACCCAGAACCATTTTGAGAGACTCAGTCCTCAATTCTTTATGTTTTCTAGTCTTTCCTCTTGGAGAATTCCGCCGACGGGGGTTTTCCCGCTTTTTGTGTCGTTTCTGTGATCGTGAAAATTGGCTCGGTTCTCCGAAAATGATCTGTTTTGATCATCATCAGCCAACTCAAACAAACCGGCGGCCCATTCGGCGTTCGTCTCGGCTCTTCCATTTCCTCGTTTTCCATCTTTACTTTTTTTTTCCCGCGCACCTCCCCCTCAAAAATATGGGCGGAGCATCGGAACTGATCATCTTTTTTTTTGCTTTGTTTCAAAATCACCTCTGTTGAACAGCGATACTGTAGTAGTTTTAATTGGCCTGTTGTTTTTTTTCCACTCGTCATGGGACAGGTTTGGGTTTTCTCTTTTTGCAGGCTTATTTGTTGGTTTTTGTTGTCGATAATTTGGAATGAGTAGAACTTGAACGAATAAGCTAGGAAATTGAACCCTTAATAATTTATTAGAAAAAAATCTGGCTAATTCAAAAATTTTTTTAAAAATATTCATCAATTTATTCAGTAATTTTGATTTTACTTAAAAAAATTCAATCATAAAAACAAAAAAAGGAGTTTTCAGTTGTGGTGGTAAAAATTGAATTCATAGGAAAAAGTATCCTCCTACAGTTCTTTTCTGCTTCGTGGAAGTTATTTAAAACGCTTTTTTTCATTGTTCTTCTGTAAAGAATTCAGTTTTTATAAGACCCTTATAAAAATAACTTCGAAAAAACGTTTTGATTAAATTTATTTTGTTTGCTCCATGAGCAATCGTAATTTTTCGAATTTCGAGTCTTGCTGCCATCTTCTTTTTAGCTTTCATTTCGTTATATCTTTTTAATTTTCAATAATAGTCGTAAAAAAATCTTTATTCTGACGTATTTCTTCTATTTTTACCTTTGATAGAAGTTCTAATATTCAACCCGACCTTAAAACGGCTCATAAAAATGAAAAGTATTAGTTCGAAACACAGGGCGATCGCGACGCGTTGAGCCATTCTAAATGCACCCGAGTTTTTAAAGTTGGGGGATTGATTTAATAATTTACATTTAGTATTTTTAACAGTACTCTTTATAATGGGGGAACGTCTTTAAAATCGAAAGTTTAAAATAAAATAGTTCGAAAACTTTTTTCCTGGCCTTGACTCATGTTTTTTTTCCCTTTTTCGATGTTGCGAATCCTGAAAATTGATTACATTGAGAAATTTTCAGCGGCATGACCGGTCATGGTCAAAATTTTCATTTTGACACAAGAAATAGATGATTTTACTCACCGAGAGAGGAGAAAAAAATTGAAGAAAGATTTTAATCGAACCTGAATCGAGAAAATTGGATATTTTACGAATTTTTTCAGGAGAATTACCAGAAAATGCAACTTAATTTTTTAAAAATTGAGATCTTAAAGTTTATAAGCCAAGTTTTTAAAATTTTGAAATCAGTTTAGGTACTGTAAAAATCTTAATAAATCTGAATATTGATACATTCTACTTGACAAAAAGTCTTCTAAATTTGGTAAATTATCTATTTGTTTTGTCAGTACGTCAATAGACATATATTGAATGAAGGATCCTGATCGCGCTGGGAATGGCTCGACGTTTGGCTGCCACCCGACTTGAAACGACTTACGCAAAAGTTCATCCTGAACCATGGAAAGAACCTTCTAAGATTACTGATCTTCAAGATATTGCAACTTCTTCTAGTTTCCCAAGTTCTCTGATTTTTGAAATAAACTGGTCGTGCGTTTGAAAAATTAAAAATAAACACGAATTTTGATATAATTTCACTTCACGAATATTTCTAAATCCCGAATTTTCATGTTTTTCTTTTCTAGACATCAATAAACATGATTTGAATAAAAAAATTGTAGTCCTTCTTGAAATGGCTCGACGCTTGGCTGCAGCTCCTGACTCGAAAAATACTTGCGCAGAAGTTTCAAAAGCTTCCAGAAGTCTTAAAACTTTTTCAGTTTCTCTGATATTTGATAAATTTCAAAGTAGAGAATAGAAAGGCCTCAAATACAGTACCCAACATACTGTATCTTCTTCGGCCAGCTGCTTTTTTTGCTGTTGTTTTTGGTGGTACGAGTCACGACGGCGATAAAGATCTTCTGAAGTTGTAGGGGCCCTTGTTTCGGTTGCTTTAAGTTTTTTTTTCCATCTCCTTTTTGCCCCCTTCCTCTACCGATTCTCACCTTTTCTTTCCTCTCGATCGTCACCCATTTTTGGCCTCGCGCTATTGAATTACATCGGATAGTGTTTGAAATCAAGGAAATGACGCGATTTGGACTCTTCATTTTTGTATTTTCTTTGACTGCAATTGGTTTTTGGTTGAGTTAGAGGTTATAAAAGAGTTTTTGAAGAAAAGTTTCGATCCATTCTCTGCTAATTTGGGGAAAAGTGGCTGTTGAGACATCTTAACCTCTTCTTTTTGTAAACTGTTTGGCTCATCTTGTCATAAAAATCGATGTTTTTTTAATCCAACGGTGAGAGAAGTTCGATAACTTCTTTGAGAGAATTTGATAACTTCTGTCATTTTTTTTATATTTTTCGGCTCTTTTTTTCGCTGAAGCTTGTCAGAAAAAAGTTGACGACTAATTTTTTTCAGTCACCGTAGGAGCAATTGTTTCTTTGATCATGTAGAACAATTTTTATTTACTCAAAAACCCCCAAGGAACAGAAATTTTACGTCAAGATTGCGCAGATTTTTATCTTTTGGAATACAAAAATCCTTAAATTCTGGCAAAATAAGTTTTTGGGGCATGAAAATTGGCGTTCTTTTATTTTCAAAGTCTCTATATTCTCATTTTTGTTCAGCATGTCTCAACTGTAACGTCAGGTTTAAAGCAATTTTCAAAGTTCGAAGTTTTTTCTGAATCTCCGAAATTCAATTATCTTTTTCACTATCTGACGGCTGTGTTAAATTTAGCGCAATCAGTTTGAACACGACGTTTAAAATTAAAATTTTCAAACTCTTTTTTGCTCATTTTCCCCCAACGAGGAAGTGTTTTATCTTGATTGAAGCAAAGTTTCTGGACAAAAAATAACTTTTTTCTCATTTCGTAGTAACCAGTTTCTTCGAAGTCGCTTCAAGGAAAGATTTTTATCTCATTTTTGATTTTGGGAGAGAAATTTAGCTATTTTTAAAGATTTTTTGGGTTGTTAAGAGGGTTTTTCTCTGAAAAAAATTTACTATTTATGGAATTTGAAGTGAATTGATTAATTTTGAGGCTACTAATTTTTTTGACTTTGATTTTTTTGTTTTTTTGAAGGTTATCTTTTTTTATTCTTTCAGTTTTTCCACTTTTTCGGGTTTTTTTACTGGGTTCACGGAAAATTTCATGTTTCATTATTATTTTTGATACGTACTATTTAAAAGTTATTTTTGAAGATTGAACTTTTTTTTTATCATTTATGATAAAAAATTTTTAATTAGGTTGGAAAATAATACATTTTCTTTTCATGAAATTTTTTTCAGCTGATTTTCGAATCTAGACATTTTTTTGTCATGTGATTTTCAGATGATCATACAAATTTGTTTGTGAACAAGCTTAACCTCTATTTTTTTAGTCCATATATGAGGAAGTTGAGATTTTTTTGGGCTGATAAAATGATAATTTTTAAAAGCTTTTTTTGATAAGAGCGATTTACTGATGTTTATTGTGTTATTTGGTAGCTTGATGATTTGCTGTTTGAAGGTTTGAGTTTCTAATTATTGTAAAGTCAAGATTTTTTTTAGTGAAAATTTTTCGGTTTTTTTGATTTTTTTGAAGTAAGACCTAAGATGTTTCCAGTGTGATTTTAAAGCTTTTTCCCACTGTTTTCTGTATGTTCAGATTCAAACCATAAAACTTCCGTGTCGAGGTTTTTGTTTGTTGTTCTCCTAATGGCCGAACATTTTTGTGAACTTGCTCTTTCTTGTCATTTTTTGACAAGAAAAAGCAAAAATTCGATTTTTGAAGGTGAAAATGATTAAAGAGGCGCTGGAAATAAAATGAAAATAATTTATTGTTTGAGTCTTTCAGAAAAATTGTTATTTCCTCATATGCTTTTTTTGAAAAACTACTTTAGGTTTGAATATTTTGCAAGATCCAAAAAGTTTCAAATCAAATTTTTTTCTAACCATTCTCGATTTTGTTGTTCATTTTGTATCTTCAACCATCTTTTACGACTCGGTGAAAAAAATCACGAGCCCACTGAAATAATGTTTTTTTTTTTTTAAGCTTTTTTTCAAACCTATAAGTACAATTTGAAAAAGATTTTCTAGTAAATTTTTTTAATCAAAAAAATACTTCTTTCAAAAAGAAACATGAGTCTGATAGCCATGAGATGATTGCTCAAAATGTTATTTTTTTTACGGGAATGTTTGAATTCGTTCACGATCCTTTCAGCTTTTCCGAAAATTTCAGAGATCGCTGATTCCTTTCTTTAAGAAATGGCAAAAGAAAATTCAACTCCTTACGTTTCGTTTGTAATTTCGAGAAGGAAATTGAAAAATAGAATGTTTTATCAGTACCTGTTTTTCAACCTCAAAATAATCAATAGATGGCCAAATTTTGCAGCTGGGCGCTGTATCATCCATTCGAAAGGCAACGGAAACGGCGGAAGGCGCGTCGACCTCCGGGGGCGGCGCGCCGGCCGCCGCCAACGTCATCAGCCCCGCGATGACGTCATCCAGTGGACAGTTCGCCGGGTCGAGCGCCTCCGTTCCGGCGCTCTTCAGCCAGTACCGATTTTCCACCTCGAACATGGTTGGTGGTGAGAAAGAGAAAGACAAAAAGAAAAGTGACCATTCAAGAAGCAGTTGAGAGCTTCAGAATGGTGTCTCCTAGAGGGATCACTTTAGATATGCCATGTTGACAAATAAACGGTTGTCAAAATTGTATCGAAGAAATTAATTTCTCTTAAGTGGTCAAGCGCTATCAGGTCATTGTGAAAAAGAGGAAGTGACCACTTAAGAAGAACCTGAGCGTTTCCCAAAATTCTCCTATAGTGATCATTTTGGATTCGCTATGTTATCTGATAAAGTTTACCCGAAAGTTCCTTGATCCCGAAAGAGGCTACTGAAGAGAAGGCCTTTACCGATTCTCGACCTCGAACATGGCTTTTAGTCGAAAACAGGAAGAAACAAGTGGTCACTTAAGAGAAAGCTGAAAGCTCTAGCAAATTCTTCTAAAGTAGTCACTTTTTACAAACCAAGTGGCTGCTTCAGAGATACGATAAAACTTCGAGGCTGTTCATTTTTCAACTCATCTTAAATTTTTATCTGAATAAAAAGCCTTGAAACCCTAGTTAGTTGGAAAAATGAGCTCATTTTAACTTTCTGCAGTCGTTGAACCGCGCAAACTGGATCCTGGAGACGTTCACCCGACGCGAATGTGCACGATTCATTCCGACGCATCGTGACGAGAGAAAGTTGGTTAAAATCCGACTTTGTAACGCTACTCGGCAATATTAAAACGTGATATATCCATTTTGAAGATGTGGGTGTGGAAGGCTGAATGCGGCGCATCTGGACCTGCCGGAACTCACTTCGCAGTATCTGAACCAGAAGAAGAGCCTGGCGATGATCGAGAGATCGCGGAGTGTCGCCGAGAGCGAGGCCGACAAAGAGAATATCAAGGCGATCAGTGACTGTGTGGTGAGTGGAGGGGTAGACCGTAGACGTAGGCGGCTAAAGGGAACATCTAAAAAAAATGAATAGCATTTAGAAGTTTCTCTGATGATTTTGGATGCCAAAGAGCGCAAGTAGTTACATGTCGGTCGCGAAAATAAGCTTTTCAGTTTTTTTCCAAATGCGACTAGCGTAAATCATCCTGGTGAGACCGCATTTGGAATGGCTAAACACGGAATAGCTAGAATTGACCTAACGTTCCCTTTTAGTCGCGTTTGGAATGGCTGAAAAAAGCCTGTTTTGGGTCTCTCTGATTTATCTCGTTATAGAGTTTTCTTAAAAGCTTTGATGATTTTTTTTTACAGTCTATATCGCCACTCCAAAAAGATTTTGTAGCTATTTTTAAACTTCTGAAAGAACATTTTTTAAAGTCGAATATTCTATTTTTTTGATCATGAATTATACGGAATCTCTCGTTCCTAGGAACGTCGACAGAACAAAGGACCCAATCACCATCATCGTTGGAGCATGAGGAAACATACCGTTTGTGTTCCAACTGACGCTTTTGGCCAGATCGAGTTTCAAGGTTGGTTTCGGAATGAGTACCGTTTTTTGAAGTTTTTTTCTTTGCACTTTTCAAATCAGGTTTTTTTTTACAAATTTTCAGGCGGACCTCATCCCTACAAGGCGCAATATGTTAGGATGAATTTCGACACTGAGCCAGCCTACATCATGTCGTTATTCGAACACGTTTGGCAGATCGCCCCGCCTAGACTCATTATTACTGTCCACGGTGGTACCGGCGATTTCGAGTTTGTTCATTGTTTTCAATGAGTTTTAAAGGATAAATTTAAGTTTGCAACCGAAATTGGCGCGAGTCTTCCGCAAAGGTCTGCTGAAGGCGGCGACGACGACTGGCGCCTGGATCATCACCAGTGGGTGTAACACGGGCGTCGTGCGGCATGTGGCAGCCGCCTTGGAAGGTAGTGAGAAGGATGTTTTTGAATCAAGAGAAAGACTGCTGTTCTTGGTTTAAAGGCGCATAAATCATTTATTGAAGGTCTCGAGGTGAAAAGTCGTCTTAGTGTCGTTTTTAGGTTTTTCTGGATTTTTAACCCTCAAAAAACTCAGCAAGAAAAGACAGAAATAAAAGTTGAAGGCTGTAGAGTAGTTTTTCCAATTCATGAAAAAAACTGTTTTTCAACTTTTCTGCCTTTTTTTCGTAAATTAGAGTCTGTTCAGGGTTATTTGAAGAAAAATTTTTCTTTTCGAGAACTCGCGACTTTTCATCTTCAACCTTGGTTTGGTCTAAAATTTTTTTCAGAACGTGTGACTTTCCAAAAAAAAAATTGTATGAGTCGGAAAAAAGCGAGAGAAGTTGCTGAGTTTAACCAGAGCAGTCAAATTGCGGAAAATTGAATGAACCCTAATATTTTTCAGTCGCTGGATCAGCTCAACGGAATAAAATCGTCTGCATTGGGATCGCCCCGTGGGGAATGCTGAAGAAGAGGGAAGAACTTAAGGGCGAGGTCCGGCTTCCTTTTTTTTAGTTCTAGAAATCTGTTCTTTTTTAAATGGTCCGTTTTTCGCGACTTGATGGGACTTATTTGCGCCCTCTTCGTCTCTCGACGACTCTCTCATTTTTACCTGATGTTTTCACGTTTCTCTGACCTCGCCGGTGAGGGAACAGAGAGACGCAGACACTCAGAAAATCGTCAAATCGCGGCGTACGGGCTTGCATTCATAAATTTAAATTCTTCTTTTTGAAACTGAATAAAATGGGAAAACCGTTTTGCAGGACGTGACGGTACCTTACTATCCAGTTTCAGCGAAGGGTCGGTTCACGGGTTTGAATAATCGACATTCGTACTTTCTGCTCGTTGATAATGGAACTGTCGGAAGGTGAGAATGTAAAAATGAAAAGGAAAGAAAAAAAAAACGTGGCTAGTGAATTTGCTGTTTCTTCGAGTGTTTTAATCAGAATTAGAACTTCGGGATTGTTTTCGGGGCGTTATCCAGTCCTAAAGAAAAAAAATAAGGATAGAGGGTTTTTGGTTTTTAAGGACTTCAGAGTGGTCCCTATACAGCCGACCTTAGGGAACTTTTTGGGGTTACCTTCTAGAGACCATTTAGCCTCTCCCTATAGGGACCACTAAAAATTGCAAAGCCGTTTATTCAAACAATATGAGAAGAATAATTTTCATGCTAAAAACTCAATAAATAAGCCTATTTGAAGGAAAACTATCAGAAGAAGACCTAAATTTTAACTTTCTGGAATGTTTTGTCCACTAAAGGGACTTTTATCCCTGAGCCCTCTAGTGACCACTGTGACTTTCCTAAGTAGGGATGTATGAAATAACCGTAAATAATAAAAAAGGTATATTTGAAACTTTAACCAAAAAGTAACCATAAAATAACTTGAAACCCTGAAAGTTGACCAATTTTTAGATACGGCGCAGAAGTGATCCTAAGAAAACGGCTCGAAACGTACATTTCGCAGAAGCAGAAGATTTTTGGAAGCACCCGAAGCGTTCCTGTGGTTTGTGTGGTTCTGGAGGGCGGAAGCTGCACGATTCGATCCGTTTTGGACTATGTCACCAAGTATATTCAGAGGATTTTGACAAGAAAAGTCTGATTAGGGTTCTTGATTTTGAAAAATACAACAGTGCTGGAGAAATTTTTAGTATTTCTTCAAGGTTTCGATGTTTTATTGACCTCTTAAGTGTCTTAAACTCAATGACCTATAGTTGGTACTACTAGACTATCCAAAAGTTAAAAAACTTCTGTAGAGGTGGTCTTAGTGGCCACTGTAGTGTCCTCTCCAAGTAGTGCTTGAGGAATTCTTAAGTGGCCACCAAAGTGTTCCCAGCAGTTTGAGAGGAAATCGAAGATAATCTCTCAAAGTAACACCCGAAAAAATTTCCTAGTCGATTTGTAATCGATATTTTGATTTGCCTTTTAAGTGTACCCCGAGTTCCGGTCGTCGTTTGTGACGGAAGCGGAAGGGCAGCCGATTTGTTGGCTTTCGCTCATCAAACTGTGGAGGAGGATGGGTAAGATTCCTATGATGATAAAAAGAAAACTTTGAAAAAAATTCATATCTCAGATTACGAAAAGGTTTTTTTGTAAAAAATTACTTGATTTTTTTTGAGAAGCGTTACTCAATAGGACATTATAAATTTCACAGTTTTTTGAACTTTTGAGACGATTTCCTACTGAAGAAAAAGGTCAGTTAGTTTCTGAGGAGACGCCAGAGAAGTTATGTAGTTCTTGTTTCTCAGAAACCTCTTGAAGAAGCTGAAATAAATTGATTCAGATGTTTTGGAGTCTAGTCTTTTTTCCGAAAATACGGTATCGAAAAAGAATAGAGTGATATCAACACGGGGTTCCTATTGTAGAAGCTTGCCGGAAGGAGTTCGACCCCAACTTCACACTCTTGTCGAAAGAGTTTTCGGCTGTACTGGATCAAGTGCTGACCGAGTACTTCATGAGCTCATCATTTGTGCTCAGCAGAAGAATTTGGTAAGGATTCGGGCAAATGTTTGGTGTATTTTCCATTACGACTTTGGAACGCCAGAGTGTTCCCTATAGGGGAAACCGTAGGGCCCTTTGGGTTTTCCCCTACGGTCCTTTTCAACGCCCCTATAGTAAGCATTAAAACTTGCAAAAGTAGCCCCTATAGGGTAGAGTTTTTCGTTGAGTGTTTTTTTAAATGCTATCCCTGAGAAAAAAGCGAAAAACTCAATAAACCACCGACGAAAATGTGGACATAAGATGGATTGGTCAAGTTTAATAGAGGTCAGACCTAAAAGGATCACTTAGATTTCGCCTCTATAGGGAGAATTTTTTTTGTCCCTTATCAGTCGGAAAATCCTCCTTCCGGTTTTGAGGTACCCGGAGCTTTTGTGAGTTAAAAACTTTGGGGTTTTACAAATTTGTCAAATTCAAACAAGTTTGAAAAAAAGAGAAAAAGTTTGTTTAAGCTAACAATCTTTCGACTTGGGGAGAAAGGCGAGCACGACGTCGACCACGCGATCTTGACGGCTCTTCTCAAAGGCCAGAATTTGTCCCCTGCTGATCAGCTCGCCCTGGCGTTGGCCTGGAACCGTGTCGACATTGCCAGATCCGACATCTTCGCCATGGGACATGTAATTCGATTTTTTCGTATCAAATATGTGTCCTTCTCTTCAAAGCCGTTATTGGCAATTTCCCAAAGATTAAACTGAACGTTTCAGCCGAGAAAGGGAAAGCCCTGAAGAAACTACTTAGGCGATAATCAGCTGTAATAAGTTTAAACATGTTCGGAGGGATGAAAAGTAGAGTCCTAATCATAATATTAGAAAAATACAGAAGGAAGCATATTGAGACGCTTCTTTATCAATTCTAAGTGTCGGACTTCAGGAATGGCCCCAAGCGGCGCTTCACAACGCGATGATGGAAGCTTTGATTCATGACCGAGTCGATTTTGTCCGTCTTCTACTGGAAAATGGCGTCAATATGCAGAGATTCCTGTCGATTTCGAGGCTTGAAGAGCTGTACAACACGGTTCGTAAGGATTGCCATTTTTAGAGTTTTTGAACTGAATAAAGTTTTTCGATACTTTTTTTTCATAAGAGGGCAAACGAAAATAAGGAAATTCTTGATGGATATTATTATTTTTCTTTTCAAGAAAAAAAAAATTTAACATTTCTTAAGAGCTAAAATGATACTTTTATTAATTTTTTTAACCAACTGGTGTGTTAAGGATTGTATAAAAATACTGAATTCAGATTTTTTAAAAATGAAAAAGTAAATGAAAGGAAATGCATGAAAGACCCAAGAAAATGAGAGATTTTATTTTTTTGCGAATGTTTTTCACAAATTCAGAAAAAATTTTTCAAGCTTTTGAAAAGTTCAGCTGTCTATATTTGAATCATATTCACTAAAAGGCAACTTCGAATATTTTGACAAATTTTATTCCAAAAAGTACAAGTTTTAAATTTTAAACCCGATTTTCAGGACAAAGGACCACCGAACACTTTGTATTACATTGTGAGGGATGTCGTCAAAGTGAAAAGCGGGTATCGATACAGGTAAACTGCTTTTTTTTTAATATTTAAGAACAGTCTGAAAATTAGAAATTTCCAATAAATTTTTTTAGAAGTTTCAAAAAAGACCCCAAACTGCGGTTAGTTTCTGGATGTTGTGTGGTTTGTGATAGTTAAAGTCAAATAAATGTTTTTTTTTTCATTTTTTGCCATGGTCGCATTTGGAACGTTTCACTTTTTTTAAGAATGCGCCCGACCTTTTGCGACTTACGATTTGGTCTATTTTTTTATATGAAATAGCGATTTTTTTAATCTTTGAAAGCTAGTTAGAATCGAGGAGGTATTTTAAGGTGGAGAGGCGAGAGAAATCATAGGATCTTCTCACTTCTCTGGACTCTCCTCCTTTGAAAGCTCTCTAGATTTTCCCTAGTTTTCCCAAATCGATGAGATTTATATTCATTCCTTCCTGTGTAAAAAAAAATCAAGTTGATGGGTTACTGTTTCGGATGAACTTATGCACATTATTACCGTAATTTTTCAGACTGCCGCATATTGGAATGGTTATTGAGAAACTGATGGGAAACGCCTACAGATCTCTGTACACGTCGAACGAGTTCCGGGAGAAGTACCAGACGATTATGAAGAAGTTCAAGGTATGATCAAAGATCTGAAAAATAGATATTCCCATTCGTCAATTCTTCCAGGCTCAACACAAGCAAATGCGAATGATGAACCAGAACCGCATGGCGACTGGCTCGGTGCCAATGTCGCGTCAATCCACCGAACCGGCCTTTTTTGGCAACTTTGGCAACCAAGATACGATCAGCGAGCCCGTCGGAATCTCCGTTTCGGCGTTGAGTGGAAGTAGAGCCCTCAGCAATCACATTCTTTGGAGGAGTGCCTTCCGGAGAGATGTATGCGTTTGGAGTTTTAGCCGATAAACTGATCGAAAGGGTACTCAGGATCGCCAGAGTGGTCACTAGCGGTGCAAACTTAGGGGGCCTTGAAGGTTGCTCACTAGGGACCGACATACATCTTCTCTAGGGGTCACTTTTGCAAGCTTTAGTGCCCTTTAAAGGTGCTGTTTTCCCCTCTAGGGAGCACTCTGGCGTTCCTAAGTTAGTCCGTTTTCCGCAACTTGGAAGAATTTCTCATCAGAACTTTTTTTTCGGCATTCCATTTGGCGCAATGTTTTTAAAGTGCACTCGACCTGAAACGATTTACGCAATGTAATATGAAATTTTAGGCAGATTTATGATTGATTAAAATGATCAAAGCAAATTTTTTGTTGACTTATTAGTCTTTGCAGTACCCAATCAACCAGAGTTCGATGAGGCCGCCGAATCTGAACGATTCCAGAGACGCCAATAGTGAAGTTGAAGATGGTAAGAGCCTCGAATCAAGCAAGGAACATTTGGTCCAGTTGCAGAGAGATCAACGATGGACGGCTCTGAGATCTCCCACAACGAATATCAATTCCGGTATCCGTACAGCGAGTTGCTTTTGTGGGCCGTCCTGACCAAAAGACAGGAGATGGCCCTTTGCATGTGGCAGCATGGCGAGGAGGCCTTGGCCAAGGTGCTTTGAAGAAATAACATTTAGGAAACAGAGAGTAAATGAATAGGAATGGAACGACTTTCTGCCCTTGATGGTTCTGAGCCAAACATGAAGAAAATATCGCAATTTTTCAATCAAGAATTCCATTTCAAGTTTTCTTTTTTTATAGAAAAATGTCTGTCTTCAATTTTTCTGATGTTTGGAGCCGAAAAATTAAAAGAAAAACCGCTAATTTTGTTTTTGAAGTAGTTCTTAAAACTCCTGTCCCTCTCAACTTTTGGAAAAAGTTTTTTTTAAAAAAATTGTTTACCTCAAAGTAACTAGGAAAAAGAGGCCGAGGTGATTGGACTTTATCTATGAATTTATTAAGGTCATTTTTCTCACTTTTAAAATCTTTTCTGAAGTGTTCTGGATTTGAGGCGCTTGTCGCTTGCCGACTGTACAAAAGCTTGGCTACCGAAGCGGCGGAAGACTACTTGGAAGTGGAGATTTGCGATGAACTGAAGAAGTATGCAGAGTGAGTTAAGAAGATTTCAACTCATTCTAAGTAAAGTTCGGATTGATCTTTTAGTTTCTAAGAAAATATCATACAAGAAGAAACAACTTTGTATATTGTCATTTCCTATCAGACTTTTATTCTCTTTTCATGAAAAAATTTTTAGTTCATGGAAAAACTTTCCCGTAGAGATTCTTTGCTAGCTTGAATTATATTTCATTTTTTTCTGTAAAAAAACGAGCTTCAGTCAAGTTCCGTTTTAGAGATTCCTCGGAACTGTACAAAAAAAACCTTCTGCTAGTTTGAATTGAAGGAAAACTTGCTCTTTTCAGGAAAAATGAACCGTAGCCAAGTCTCATTTTTCAGAGAGTTCCGGGTCCTTTCCTTGGAACTTCTCGACCATTGTTATCATCACGACGACGCGCAGACTCTCCAGTTGCTGACTTATGAGCTGTCAAATTGGAGCGATGAGACTTGCTTGGCCCTGGCTGTCATGGTCAACAACAAGAACTTCTTGGCCCATCCTTGGTTAGTGATTTGGGGGGCGGATTAAAGCTGGAAATTATAGAAATTCAAAAAGATACGACCAGTAAAAATCGCCTTCATAGAACTCTTTTTTTTCCAGGTTCCGAACATCTACTTTAAATTTCGCAAAAAAATTATTGGATTTTTTTATAAATTATTTTTTTGGGTTTGGAGACCGCGCAGTTTTCAATTATTATTGAATGAGTCTTTTTACTTATTCTTTAACTTCAATGTGCGGGTGTGTCATCAAAAAAACTCACGTGTTTATTTTATTTGAGTTCTTATATTCCCTACCGCTTTGAAAAAATTGGATCGAATTCTTCTATACGTAGAGATAAAAAAGTTCTCTCAAAGCTTTCTTATGAAAGAAATGAAGAATCCTTGTAACATGGAAAAATAGATACATCATTTTTGAGGCTCTCTCTCTTTTTTTTTTACAAATTTTATGCCGACTTCGCAGTTTCGTCTTTCCATTTTATGTTTCTCAAGGACTTTATTAGGTTGATATTGATTTTAGAGGTAGTCTTTTTCCAACTGTTTGAGTTGACATGCAAAAAAGTAAGTTAATAAATCTTCCTGTGAGGAAGAAATTTTTAAAAATAATTTTAGATGCTCATTCTCGGTTAAAGTTAAAGGAAAAATCATAATATTTATCTTCCAGTTGCCAAATTCTTCTTGCCGACCTTTGGCACGGCGGTTTGCGCATCAGAAGTCATTCCAATGTTAAGGTGCTCCTAATAAATCATAATATCAGAAAAATAACTTTTCAAAAAAAATTTGCAGGTAGTTGGAGGCCTTGTAATGCCCCTGTCGATCCTAATGCTTGAGTTCAAAACCCGCGAGGAGTTGCTCAACCAGCCGCAGGTCTTGAGAAGAAAGCATTTTCCAAAAATTCTGAAATTCAGACGGCAGCTGAACACGAGCAGGACCTGAACGACTCGAGCTCCTCGTCCGGAAACTCGTCCAGCTCCTCGGAAGACAGCAGCTCCAGCTCTTTCGAGGATGATTACGACGACGAGTTGACACCCGGGGAAACGGTCAAGGATCGAAGAAGCCGGAAGCAGAGTCATGGCAGTGTTTCTTCGTTGAACCTGCCTCCGACTCATATCGGATCGGTAAGGATGAAAAGAAGAGAAAGCAAGAAACTTGAAGCTTCCGGACCCCGCGGGGCGGGAGGAAGAAATTCCGAACAATTGACCAAACTTTTTCGGAAATTGAGGTATAAGAATAGTTCCCTGAGGGAATTAGTATTGACTTTGATTTTGCAAGACTTGGGAGGAACCTGTGACAACCTTGAGTTTTCAAATGGAAAAAGCTCTCAAATCATAGAGAAGGCTGACAGTAACTTTACACTGTATGATTTTTTATGGGGTCGTGATTTTTTTCTATGACTCAAGCCATCCGTGAATCGGCTGTATTTTTCAGAGAGTTAACCTTGACTTTTTCGATTGATTTTTTGCCGTTCCGAACGAATTTTGAAACAACCGTAAAGCACTCGTGATTCATTCTGAATTTCTTGATTCCTGAACTCGATTCTCTTTCCAGCTGTTCGCGAGCAGTCGTCATAGGAAAAAACGAAAAACAGATCGCGACACGGACGCCAGCGCCAACGAAGCTGGTCGCATTGGCGCCAACGGCGGCAACGAATACGGTACTTTTCGTGGTGAGCATGGCTGTCGCTTCAATAATCGCATGTCTTCTAATCAAACCTATACTATCCTAACTTTTGCATGAGCTTTTTTTGGTTGATAAAATTTTTGGTAGACTCCGTCCGCCGCGATGAAACTTTCTGCGTGTCTGCGTCTCTCTGTTCCCTCACCGACGAGGTCAGAGAAACACGTAAATAGCACGTAAAGGCGAGAGAGTCGCCGAGAAGCAAAAAGGGTGCAGAGAAAGACAGCAGTTTAAATTCGCGGCGAACGGACTACAATTGATTTTTTCATCGCTAGCTTTAGATGAAAAGAAAGTGATTTTGAATTTGAAAAAAGACAAAAAAGCAGTTCTCTTGGTGATTCGAAATCTTCCCTCAAGAAAAGAGTCTCAAAGTTTGGAAAGTCTATCTGATTGGGGTCATTTTGGATGGTAGAGCATAAGCCCCGAATATTTTTTGAAGGATTTTTTGATAATTTTTCAAAACGGCTTGAAAAAAATCCAGGTTCAAAGGACTTTCTCGGGTTCCTTGAGCTCTTATTTTGCATATAAACGTGCAAAATTTCAAGCTGTGAACTAGTCCTCAGTTGAGTCCTTGATTATTCACAAGGTTAACTAGAATTTTGTGAGAGACTCAAAAATCTATGGCGTTTTTTTCCGTCTGATGCTGGCGGTGAATGGACTGTGACTTAAAAAAGAGGAAAAACGAGAAACTTTTGAAGTGAACTCCGTTTCGCCGGACCGACCGATCCAACTTCGACACCGCACCCGACACTCTTCCTACTTGGCTGGAAAATCGGATGACACCAAAGTTTCTTCGGTTTACGGGTCGAATTGTTGGTTTTGTTTTAATTATGTTGAAATCATGATCTCCCTCTTTCGCCTCGTTTTTTTGCCGGTAGATGATCCAGTCGCGCCTCGACGAGCTCCGAATCATACATCGGCTAATTCGCATCCCAGCCTTCTGCGCGCGAAAAAAAATTTGAAAATGTACTGAGATAGGCCGCACCCCGTGGTGGGATCCAGCCGACGCATGCTCCGAATGTAGCTGATATTGTAGCTGGAGCTCTAAAGTCGTGCTCCGGGGGAGCCTCGAAAAGAGAGCGACCACACAAGACGGAAGACTTTTCGCGGAGTCAAGGCTTTACAGGGGATCTTAACTTTCTGTCAACTTTTTCAGAAACATATTGTTAAACCCTTTGAGACTTGAGTGAGTCCAAAACCTAGAAAAGTCCTCAAACAGTTGAGAAACCTTCTTTAGACCTAATTCAACTGAAAAACTAATCTCAGCGGTCATTGCCAATGCCAAATCTCCTGTGACGTCGTTGATCAATTCCAAGGCGTTTCCGATCAACAGCATCCTTCCTGGCTTCCAGAGAACGGTAAAACGTTTTCTTTATCCTCAACGAAAATTAATTGACGTCTTGATATTCCGGGAAATCGATAAACAAACTTGATTTTCGTGAATTTGACAAGGGAGGTTGAAATTGAAGTTTCCACATTTTTTGCACAAGATTTTATGTTTTGTAATACCAATAAGTTTTTGCAAGAGTCTTGTTTAGAAATGTTTTTGAGCGAATTTCAACCAAAAATTATCTATCACAGCAGCTCTTATTTGTCTTTTCAAAGTGAGGGAAAATGGAGTACAGAAAAAACGTTTGTTTCAGAGACCAATCAAAGTCCGTCGACGATTCTACGAGTTCTACGCGGCGCCGATCACTACTTTCTGGGCCTGGGCCTTGTCTTTCGTCTGTTTCATCATCGGCCTGACTTTCGTGCTGCTGGTGAGGACGCCGCCGAAGCCGTCGTGGCTCGAATGGACTCTTTTCGCCTACGTCGTCTCCTTCGGCATGGAACACATGCGCAAGGTGGCTACAAGAGAATGAACAAAAGTCGAAAGAAGCTTTTCAGTTGAAAAGATTATGGAAGGCTTTTTTTACTGGAAAAAAAAATTCAAGTAGAAGGTTTACGGAAGATCTGAGAAGATTGTCGGAGATGCTTAAAGGACTCACTCTTTTCTGATATTACGAAGAACTGTAGAAATATTTTTTTTTGCACTGAAGTTTGACAAAAATCGAGCCCTGTTTCAATTTTTATTCTTCATGAAAAATGGGAAGATATCGAGTTTGAAAATTGTTGAAGATTGGAGAGTCACTCAAAGTTTTTTGATTTTTCGCTGGAATTTAAGCTCTTTCCGGGTCATAAATAGTTGTAGAATAGAGCGATTTCTGACCAAGTAAATTTTGGATAGATTCAACAAAAAGAAATGAAAAACTGGAAAATTTCCAGATGTTCATGTCGGACATGAAGCCGTTTGTCGAAAAGCTCAAGTTCTTCTTTTTCAATTGGTGGAATTCCGTGACGATGGTCGCCGTGTTGCTTTTCATCATTGGATTCGTGATTCGAGTCTTCGGGTATATATTTATAATACATTGCTTTGGCTTCTGAACTTGTTCTTTTCCTATTATTTTAGACAAGTCGTTTGTTTTAATATTCATATTTAAGAAAAAGAAAGGATATATGTGCATGGTTAAGAGACGATCGAATAACGAATAAAAAGAAATTATGAAACGCGCGGCTTTTTCGAGATGTTACAGGGTGCGCAATAAGTATTGAAACGCGTTTGAAACGTTATAACTTTCTCGAAAATCAACCAAACACCACCAAACTTGGAACAAATTTTATTCATACAATATAGAAACAAAATTCAAGAATAGTTTTCAAAACTTCCTCCTTTAGCTTTGATAACGGCCTTCAGTCTCTTCGGATACGCATCGATCACGGCACGAAGGTAGTCGTCGTCGATTTCGTCCCATTTCTTGATGAGCGCGGTCTTCAGAGCTTTGATACTTGGGTAGTTCTTCGAAGAGACCTTCTCGCTCAGATATATCCACACGGCATAGTCCATCGGGTTGAGGTCGGGCGAGGAAGCAGGCCAATCAGCAGCCGAGATGAACTCGGAAAATTGGCGCGATACCACTCTTGAGTCCCTTTGGTACGATGAGCGGGGCGCCGTCTTGCTGGTAGGTCCATGGTCGGTGTCCGTAGTGAGAATTGGCTCAGGGCAACACCCTCAACTTCAAAATCTACGCCCAGTAGTATACTTGGTTCACTTTGACTTCAGGATCCACAAAAATCAGCGGAGTTTTGCCGTCAGCGGTAATTCCGGCAAAAACCATCACGGAAGCCGGATGCGAAGTTTTATTCAGAATTTTTCCTTTTTCACAGGCACTCTGATAGTCAGTAGCGATGATCGGATGATTTTGGCCGTTCTTGTTCGCCTCCACAGTGAAGATTTTCTCGTCGGTAAATAGCGTCGTCAGGTGCGAGCCATCTTTCGTGCCAGCGAGCAGCTTTCGAGCCTTTTCCATCCGGAATGTCTTGTTTTTTTGATTGAGGAAGGCTCCTTTCTGCATACGGTAGGGAATCATCTTCAGCTTGTCCTTGACAATAGTTCTCATCGATCCTTGACTCATTTCGTATTCTTTTGCCATCTTTCTCATGCTTCTTTCCGGAGTGCGTCTGATTTTCTCTCGATCGGCTTTGACTGCTTCTGGAGTCGTGACGGTGACTGGACGTCCCCTTCTTTGCATGTCATCTGAAGTACCGAGATGCCGATAGCGTTGTTCAGTTCGAAAAACGAGAACACGAGACACTTTCAGCTTTTTAACGATCTCTGAATTTGTCATTTCGCTTTTGACACAATCAATGATTGCGGTACGGTACGGAGATGGGGCCACCATTACCTGAAAACTGAAAAGTGTGAGCTGTAACTTCAAACACATGATAAGTGAGCATGAATAAACGAAATAAACAGAAAAGTTCAAAGGCCAGTCCATTGTGCAAAAAGCAGCGATCAAACAAAAAACGGTTTCAATATTTATTGCGCACCCTGTATTTTTGAATTATCTCATATTTTGAATTATCAATTAATCCCCCAATCATCTTCTCGAGCAAACAACTATCATTCTGTAAAAATTGAAATAGCTCACAAAAAAATCTCAAAAAGGTCTTTTTTTATTTTAAGCTTGGAATTTCCTGAAAATTGGTCAGAACACTCCTTGATGTACCAGAAAAAGGGGAAAGTTTCAACATGCACAACATTTAATTTTTTGAGAAAAGACACCTCAAAGTCAAAGAAAATCCTCAAAATCTGTTGAAATAAGCCTTTTTGGGTCTTGGAGCCCTTATTTCTCGAAAACTAGGGAGTTGTGTAGGCTAAGACTTCCGGGATCTTCATTTTTTCATCAAAATAAGATCTGGTCGATTTTCAAGAAGTTCTGAACCCTAAAGTAAAATGACCTTCGTTGTCAGATTTGGAATTTTAGAGACGTTTCGAGCGGCCGCGTGGTTTTGGCCTGCGACTCTGTGCTATGGACGATGAAATTGTTGGATTATATGAGCGTCCATCCGAGACTCGGTCCCTACATCACGATGGCCGGAAAAATGGTGATTTCAAGTCCATAGAATGAATATTTTATATTTCACCCAATAATTACAAATATGAGCTATTTTCATAGATTTTTTTGAAAGTTTTTTTCTTTTCGTTAGTTTTTCCGATCAAAAAGAGCTTGAAGATTCTTGATTTCATCTTTTTTCAATGTTAAGAATTCAAATAAAAAAGAAAGTGAAATTTGATAATAGAAGTACGAAAAATTGGAAAAAGCTCCCTGAATAGATTGGTTTTTGATAAAACACACATTTATGAATAGCTATTCAAAAACGAAAGGGAGGAAAAAGAACGAAATAACCATATTTCGTCTGTTTTAGATAATGAGCATGTCGTACATCATTGTGATGCTGGTCGTCGCCCTTCTATCCTTTGGATTGGCCCGACAAAGTATCACGTTCCCCAACGAGAACTGGCACTGGATCCTGGTGCGGAACATCTTTCTCAAACCGTACTTCATGCTCTACGGAGAAGTCTACGCTGATGAGATTGACACCTGCGGTGATGAAGGTACGGATTCAGAGCTTTCAGAGCGGGTTTCCCAATAAAAGCGTTAGAAGTAAATTTACCGATTTCGAAATTGACGACTCTTTCGTTCAAAATAAATACGTGAAATATGCAAACTTGTGAGCCTACTCTTCGAAACTTTGCTGGAGAACAAAGCGTTTATTCAGAGAGAGAGAGAAAAAAACTATTTGAACGTAGACGGGGCATTTCGGAAATCGTCGGAAAAGTTTTGTCTTCAAAAAATTCTGCAAATGAGTTCAATATTTCGGAATTTCGTACTCAAAAGTCGCTATGGCGATTCAGGTCCTAATTTTTTCCACCGCTTCTGAAAAAAAAGGATGCGAAAGTGATAAAATGGTCATAGCGCGCAAGATTAGAAAGTAAGTATCAATAAGAAGTTGTATTTAAGCCTGGGACCAGCACCTGGAAAATGGCGGACCAGTGATGATGGGCAACGCGACGACGGGTTTGAACTGCGTACCTGGTTATTGGATTCCACCTGTCCTGATGACCTTCTTCCTGCTCATCGCCAATATACTGCTCATGAGCATGTTGATCGCCATTTTCAAGTGATTTGTAAATTTTAGTACTGATTTTATTCACTGTTTCAGTCACATTTTCGATCAGACGGATGAGATCGCCCAGCAGATCTGGCTCTTCCAACGGTATCGGCAGGTGAATTGGGATTTAGGGAAGAAATTGCACAGGAATATAAAGTAAGAGCTTAAAAAAGTTCTGCTAAAGAATGAGCTTACCGAATAAAAGAAAAAAACAGAATGATAGAAAAAAAGATCTATCTGTTTTTTGGTCTGTACAAATCGGATTCAACTACTGATATTTTTGAAATTTGAAATGTGAAATTAGAAACCTGGCTTAGGTCCGTTTTGAAACTGATAAATTTTGAAGCTTTAAATTAAAAATTTAGAGTGCGGTATGCTTTTTTTCTGCTTTTTAACCCTTAAAGTTTCTTCTTTTAACGTTTTTTTCCGATCATATAGAGCGTGTAAACTACGTAAGCGCAAAACTGTATAAATGGAACACAAGTAGAGGAATTTTCGGAAAAAAAAAAATTCGAATTGTCATTAAATTGTGTGAGAGCTTGATAAGAAGTGTATCTTTTTTTGAAATAAACAATTAAGGAAATTAATGAATAAATAATTAATTGAAGGTGATGGAATACGAAAGTACGCCATTTTTGCCGCCACCCTTCACGCCACTATACCATGCCTACATGCTCATCAAACTCGTTCATTGGCGGCTGACGAAAAATAAAGATTCCAAGGATTTGGACGAAAAGCGAGACCTTTTCGACTTCTCACTGAGTTTTCATATAATCCAAAAATGGAATTTTAAGAGGCGGTTTTCAGAACTTTTCCTGAACGACGACCAGGTTGAGAAGCTGCACGACTTCGAGGAAGACTGTATGGAGGATTTGGCTCGGCAAAAGGAGCTCGAGAAAAATACGAGCAGTGAACAGAGGATCCTGAGGACTGATCAAAGGTTAAAAGCTGGGAAAAAATGAACTTCGCGATTGAGAAACATCAAAAAACTACGGAGTAGTAGACTTCCTTTTTTCGGACCTCGGTAACGAAAAGCGCACGAACTCTGCACGTTTCTGAACAACTCTAGGATTGCTCAAAAGTGTTGACGCTACTAAAGTGGTTGAGACATTTTTTGGCTCAAAAATAGGCTGGGAAAAATAGAAACTTTTATTGAAAATGAAAATTTTCTTTTTTAGAACTGATCAAATCTTGAATCGGATGGTGGACCTGCAAACAAAGGAAACGATGGCTCGTGAGGCGATCAACGATATCGATGGTCGGCTTGGCGCGTTGGAGAAAAACCAGGTAAATAAATCTGAACCACGACTTTCAAAAAGATACAACTAAAGCCACTACTGGCACACAATTATTATCCATAAATAACTTCTTATTCGGGCTTTTATACCCCATTTGGTGAAGTAATAATAATTCTGACATGTCTGCGCTCACTTTTCTCTTTCCGGAAAGGTCTGAGAAACATGGAAAGAGCACGTGAAAATGAAGAAAAGTGATGAAAGAAGTATCAACTTCAACGTTTCGAAATTCCAGACTGAAATCCTGGAGTACCTCCGAACTCTGGTCGCTTTCAACGCAGCGCAGCAAACTTCTCTGCAACCGACCTTCCAACAGGCACGCCACAGTCCCACTCCCGATCAGAATACTCAGCATCTTCGACTTCCTGAAGTCTGAACCGGGAAAAAGCGAAAAAAGAACAAAAAGGTCTTGTAGAACCAATCGACGATAGCTGGCGCCTTGTCGGAAGAACGGCTCAATGCCCCGATGAGCGTCAGAAGAGTAAGGACCTCGACGATCTGCGCCATGTCGTCGGAAGAGCCGACGCTGCTCTCGCCGAGGTCCGCCGGCGCTACGGCCGCTTCCGCCGCCGTTACGGACGCCGTCCGCTTGGCCAGCGTCGCTTCGATGGATCAGCTGCCGATGTCCGTCATGTCCAAGCTGTTAGTCTTGAACTTTTTTTTTTATTATTTCTTGAATTAAAGCCTCTTTAGTGATTTATTCAGATGACCTGTTTGAAATGAGCTTTGGATCATTTAGAAGCTCTTAGTATTGAATTTGTTTCAGTTATACTAAACTTTGAAGATTAACTTCAAATTTATCGAAAAATAAACTTCAAGAACTTCATACTGGAACCAGGTTTTCAATAATTAAAAAATAGTGAACGATTGATTGATTGATTGATTTTGACAACGACCTTTAAGCTATGAAAACTTAGCTGCGGGAAATTTAGAGACATTTCCGAAAAAAAACGAAATAGTGAAACAAGAAAACTTTGGACGAATCTCACCATTTCTAGAAGCACGGTATCGACCCGAAGAAATCAGCGACATGAGGAATATACTTCGATAACTGACTCCATTGCGGTTTGCGTGTTCGACCGACGTCTGAAGACCAGGTCTCACAGCAGTGAGCAGGTGAGAATTAGAAACGAGTTTTGAAAAAATAGGGCGTTTTTATACTTTTCGTTAACTTTGACAAACAAAGTCGATAAGATAAATAGAGTTCGTCATAAGTTTTTTCTGCTTCTCAATTTTCATTGGTTAAGTTTGAACAGCTGGAGACGAGGCTGAATTTAGGAATTCAGGATTTTTCAAAGATTTTCTTCCAACAGTGATCAGCTGAAATGCGAAAAATGAAAAGGAAGAGTTTTTTTTTCTTAGGATTCTGTGCCCCAAAGCGAGATCGACGAGGAGAAGACGATGTCCCCGAGGAAAAGGTCAATGATCGCCCTGCCTCATCATCCGGAGCTCGACGAAGCCGATAATTCGACTTTTGAAGAGGTTTGGGGAGAGAACAGGCGGTGGTTCAAACAAAACTTGGAAAAATTGCTTATTTGCTGCTTATTTGTAGCTTTGGACATCAGGTGTGCTAAATTTGCTTTTTTTCGAAACGTTTCTCGAAGACCGCGAATATGAACGATATAAATTCAGAAAATTTAATTTTTTTTTTTCAATCTTCTTGTTATAGTTTATCTGCTTTTAATTTCCATATAAACCCGAAAATTCTCAGGAGATTTCTCGGCTGGCACGAGATGAGGAAGGCCACGCGGACTGTGAACTGACTGACGTCGACCTCGAAGACGACGAGGAGGAGGAGGAGGAAGACCAGATCAACGCTTCGGAACTCGTTTCTGACGCTGATGATGACGTCGTCGAAGGCCGACCTCATGCTCAGACCTTGGCCAGTATCGCTTCCAAGGTTCTTTTTCTTTTTCTCTTACAAGTTAACTTTTTTTAGCTCCCGGTTGAGCTCCTGGTGGAATTTAGCGATAGTATGTTTTAAGACCCCCTGATTCCAGAAAATTGAATTTAAAAAAAAACATGTGAACAATGATTCCTTTTTACACCACAATTTTTCAAATATGAATTTTGGAAAACGTGAAAAATGGGCTTCAGATCTAATAATGTGATAAAAACGAATTTCAAAAAAAAGAAAGAAGCTCACACAGAGAGCAGCTATGAGGAATCTGAAACTAGACTTTCAGAGAATGTTTCAGCAAATTTTGAATTTTCCAAGCTTCACACGCTTCTCTCTTTTTAGCAATTATTCTTTTATTCTTTGTAAAAAAAGAATTCGACCCTTTGACAAAAAATTTCATATAGGCCTGCTCAAAAATGTTCCATAGAAAGTTTGAAGGAGTTTTTTCGTGAAAATTTAAAGGCATAGGGGCAGTAAAAAATGGGGTTTCAGGTAAAAGCAGTATCTTATATAGTTTTTCTTTGCGAATCGAATGGTGTACTCGAAAAAATTACAGATGTGACAACTCTAGAAGAAAAACGCGATTTCACTTTCCCGCCTTTTATTTTGAAAAAAGCTTTGGATCGGTGCTCAGACAACTGATTACAGTAGCTGTGCACGCGATGTTGCGGACGTCTCATTAGACTCGCATTTCGTGAGAAATAACCGAATATCGGCTTCAAATAGAAGGTTTCTACTCTGAAAAATCGATTAAGAAAACAAAAAAACACACACCGATAATAAAGGAAACACAAAAATCGCAATCCTAATCGAAACCCGTGTAAAATCATCGGTGGTATGAAAAAAACACCGGCGAAAATTCAAACGGCGACTTTTCCGATTTTTTCATATCGCTAGGGAACTTTCCGATGGCCACCTTTCCGACGAAACTTTTTCCGACTTTTTTTTCTCAATAAACTCTTCGTTTTACATCTTCCTATATAAAGTAGGTAGTTTGTTCATAATTAAAACACAAAGAAATATGAAAAAAATGTTCATAGATGTTTTTAACCGAAAAGCATAAGGGAAAAAAAGTCGGAAAAAAAGTTTCGTCGGAAAGGTGGCCGTCGGAAAGTTCCCTAGCGAAATGAAAAAAATCGGAAAAAGTCGCCGTTTGAATTTTCGCTGGTGTTTTTTTCATACCACCAAATCATCATTTTTTTACCAGAAACGTATTTTTTTGCGATTAAAGTTGTAAACTATACATGAATAGAAAGTTTTTTTGTGACGAAAAGAACTTTAATAACAACAGAAAAAATTGAAATTTGAAAGAAACGAAGAAAAAAGCGAATATCCGGAAGATGGCGAAGCCTGTTGTCCATAGAGCAACTTTACTGCAAAGCGCCCTTTTCGCGGGAACTCAAACTTTCCTCTCTCCGACTTTAAACTATTTTTTCTCCAAAACTAGGAAGCTTGGTACGTTTCCAAGTTTACCGTTCCATTCGCAATGAAAATCTCTACAAAGTAGTGCTTTGAACTCAAACATCATTTTTTACTGCCCCTATGCCTTTAAAAATTTTGTTGTCAGGCGTCTCTAAGATAATTCGAAAGCTATTGATGTTTTACTGAGTTTATTATATTCCAGATGTCCCTGCAAGTTGTCGACGAAACCGGCGACGGTCATCATCCTTCGCCTCAGATTTTCTCACCATCTGCCGATGCTTCCCCGCAACTTGTTCATAGACGTCGATCTCGATCTCCTTGACCTTTTTTCTATTTTTTTTCTGACTTTTTTCAATTTATTTTGGTCATTTATCATGTTTCATCCACACAGCCACCCGTGCTTTATCATTTCACATTCCCTGTAAATTGTTTTCCTAGGCTTTACAATATTATTTTTTTTCAAAGCTACAGTTCCTCTTTACGGTGATTATTAATCGAATTTCAGTTCAGTTTAACGAGAACTTCTACGGGATCTCAAAATTTATCAATCTTTGTATGATTTTCAAGAGATTTCTAACATATCTATTTCTGTTTTTATTCTCAAAACAAGCTAAGAATTCCTTCCGGTGCAATTTCATGCTTTCTGTTGATTATTTGAGAAAGTTTACAATATGCGTGTCAGCCGTTTTTCGGCCTTTGTTTGAGTTTTCAGTGTTTTTTGCGTGAATTTTCAATGAAATTTGTCCGTTTTAATTATTTTTTTTTTTGCAAGTCTGTTTCAAAAGGTGAATCATGAGTATTATAAGAATTTTAGGTCTTAAAAAAGCATGAACAATTATTTTTACAGACTTCTTCTTTGATTCACTTGTTTTTCATGCAGAACCGAAAATTTCAATTGTAAGTCTGCTTGAAAGCTTGGAAGTAGATAAAATAAATTATAAAGAAAAAAAGGGAAATTTTTCTTTTTTATATAATAAAAAAAGGAACCGACCAACTTTTGGGAAATTTTCTTCGACTGTTGTCAATTTAAATGCCAGCTGTGTATGTGCCTGCGACGCAAAATTGCATGCTTTTACGAAGTTTTTCCAAACACGTTTTTTCTCTTTCAGCTCTTTCGTAACTTTATTCATCCAAATCGTAGGTTCACGGGAATTTTTTCAATTTTTCGTCCGTAAGACCGTTTTATGCCGTGTTCAAAGTAATTTCCGCGAAATGCGAATTTGTCTCTGACCCTCCAAAATTTAGTTATCTTTCTCTTTCTCTGACGGCTATTTTGAATTTCGCGGAATCACTTTGAACACGGCATTAGTGTTGGCTAATGTCCTAGAAATCACACTTGACGAAACGGATTCCCGGTAAAATATTTAAAAAATATTTTCACTCTCTTTTTTAAAATCGCTTTCTAGTTGAACTCTCGTGCTTCATAGCTTGTTTTAAACAATTTTTTTTAGTTTGCATCAAAGCTTTTCTTTTGTAAGAATATCAATAAGCTGTTTTCACGAATGTTTAAGACAGTTGTACGGCGGCCGGCCAATATTGCGCCGTCAGTTTCCAAGCTAGGGGATTTTTTTTTAACTTTTTTTCTTTTTTGCAATTCGTTCAGGACCTACTTCTCGAGGTTTCAAGATAACTTACTTCACAAAAAGTGCGCTAGTTTTTATTTTATCAACGAAAAACCTAACTAAACTACCGTAATACGGCCGGTCGCCTCAAACAGGCGTGAGAAAATTATACGTTTTATGATTTGTTTTTCAGGTTGTATACTTTTGGCTTATGTATATATCTGTACAATGGTAGGTTCTTATGATTTACCTATTTTAGAAAGACTTTTTTAAGATGCGGCCTGTAAATGATGATGACTCTCGCGATCTGCAAAAAATGACGAGAAGTCGACGGAAAAAACGCTCCTCGGTTTGTATATAGAAAAAAAAACTTGCTGGAGGGTTTGAAGTTCTAGAGATCTTGAAGCGTAGAGCCGTTTTTTTTTCCATTCCTAAATAATTGATTTTTTAATCGTTGTCAAACACTTCAGAAAAGGTTCTTAAACAAACTAAACAGAATGTTCTTTTCAGGCTCTAAAAGTCACTCAAAGAGATTACCTCAATAATCAGGATTTTTTGATGTCAAAGTTGGTTTTTTTTTTTTGATTTTATCCAGGAAAGGAAAGAGAGTTTTTTCAGTCTTTACCTTGAAGATGATGAAGATCTTGATTTTGATGGAGATGATGCAAGCGCAGACGAGACTATGAGCGATGCGGTATTTCGAAAACTCTTCTATCAATTCTTAATGTGTTTTTCCAGTTGTGTACTGAATTTGACGAGGAAATCGAGCCGAAAGTCAATATTACAACTCCGAAAATAAAATTGGCGAGTTTTCAGGCGTTTTGAACAGCTTTCATAAACAATTTTAGGCATTTTCTTACTAAATATTACCCAAGTTTTGGGCCTTTCTAACAGGATCGAACGTTATCATTTTGAATTAACAAGCATTTTGAACAGTTTGAAGAAAATTGTCAAACATTTTTTGTTCAAGCCTTTCTAACATCAAAAAATATTTTTAAATTTTCGGACAATTTTAAACGATGTTCTAGGCGTTTTGGCAAGCTTTGAATAACATTTTTAACATTAAAAGTTTTTCAGAAGTTTTAGGCGGTTTCAATACTCATTTAAAAAAATTTTTTTCAAATTCATTCTTTAAAAATTTTGAACTTTTTGTGCTTTATTTTAATCATTTTGGCGTTTTTTTTATAGAACAATTCTTAAATCTTTACAAACTTCAAAAAAAGTTTCAGATTTTCCATTTTTCATCTCAATTTTTGAACTTTTGATTGGTATTTCTGAGTTTTCTGTAAGTTTTCATTGATTTCAGGTCCCCAAACGAAGAAGCGCTAGTTTCACCACACCCAGTTCCAATTTTCTACAGCCAGAATCGTAGATATTCTCGAAAAAAATATTCAGTAAAAAAAATATTTTTCAGCCCTCCGCCACCCAAAAATGTTACTCGGAAGAATCTTTTTAGGAGGACTCCTGAGGAACAAAGGTTAAAACAATTTTTTTCTTTTTTTCTAAATAATGCAATTTTTTTCGCAGGAAACTCGAAAAAAATATAATTGGAGGCTTCTCGAATTGTTCAGTCCAAAGACCAAGGACTTGAAGGTTGAAATATTTTTTTAATCGAGTTTTCAATTATTTTTTTCAGAAAGAGAAAAAAAGACCGATTTTTTTCTTCAAGGGGAAGAATGGACGGGCGAAATCGTTGAGCTGACTTGCCGAATTTATTTTATTTTTTTAGGTGAGTCAGAAATTAAACTACGAAAATTATGTTTCGAGTAAAGTTACCTTTTTTTCAAACCATTTGTCTATGGGTACATCATATCTTCTGTGCAAAAAAATTCACAGATTTTACTTCATTTCCCAGTTTCAATCAGGTTTTTTGATTTCGAGCAAAGATTAAAACAATAATTGCTGAGAACGATTTCTGAAAGTAAAACCAAATTTCGAAAATTTGTAAATTTTTTTCCTTTTCGATCAGTTTTTCACTGTGATAATCCGTTTTATGTTTCGATTTTCTACTTTTATAATTTTTTCAGAAAGTATCGCCCCGATGACGGCTTTCCCTTCACTAATATTCCTTCTTTCCTTGTTTTGCCATATTTTCATGTTTTATCGCCCCTTCTTCCGAAAGTAAATATAGATATTTTTTTATATTACTTTTTTTCACTTTATTGCGTGCTTTTTATCAGAAGAATAATTTTAAAATCCTGATTTTAAAATATTTTTTTACCCTTTTTTTCATTGTTGAACAATGCAGATTTGCCCCCCTTTTCTTTTTTGAAATGACAATTATTCATTCGAATCTCAGTTTTATTTGAAAAAATGCCCAACTTTATAACCCATCGAACGATTTTTTTTTCTCTTTTTGCGAATATTTATTAAATTTTTTTCAGTGCAATTTTTTTGTATTCTTTCAAAGTCGGAAATGATCCTTTTACTGGTGTTCATTCTTTATTTTCAGATAATTTGAGTGTTAAAGAGATTGCTTTGAGGGATAAATTGGTCAAAGGAAATAATTGAGCAGAAAAAAAGGCCGGCAAGACGAGAAGTGGAGACGAATTTGCCGAAGTCTGGAAACCAGGTTTTTTTCATCTTACTGTCCAAATATTTATTACTTTTTTTATCATTTTTTTAAAAAAAGTACAAATAGGAAAGGATTCTAGAAAATTGATAGGTTCAAATTTTTTTGAAGTTGATGCCCGCGAAAGAAAAATAAAAAAACTAGCGCACTTTTTGTGAAGTAAGTTATCTTGAAACCTCGAGAAGTAGGTCCTGAACGAATTGCAAAAAAGAAAAAAAGTTAAAAAAAAATCCCCTAGCTTGGAAACTGACGGCGCAATATTGGCCGGCCGCCGTACAACTGTCTTAAACATTCGTGAAAACAGCTTATTGATATTCTTACAAAAGAATTTTCCTTTTTTTCATGCTCAAAATTCATTGAAACTTATCGGCGCAATTTTCTGAATAGATATAAAAATTGTGTAGAAAAAGTTATGCTCCTGGTGAAAGTTCACTCAAAATCCACTTATTGAGCTTTTCATCGATTTTTGAGGCAAGAAATCCATTTTCAACGTATTTTATGTTCACCCAAAATCGTGGACTATATCGCAGCGAGAGAAACGCTATACCGCGGGGGAGCCGCGAGCGATATCGCTCGCCTCTCGCTGCGACCTTGCAAACGTCTTGCGCTATATCGCTCTCTGAAAAAAATTTTTTTCTTCGAAAAATGTTTTTTTCTTGAATTTGATTGATTTCATCATAAAAAGTCAAAAAAATAAAGCAAAAAAATGTTTTTTTCAAATTTCAAATTTTTTTGAGTGGGAGCGATATGGCAGCGAGACTTTGACGAGGTCGCAGCAAGAAGCCTTGGCAATATCGCGTGCGGCCCGCTGCGATATCGGCAATTATGTTGGGTGTTATGTAAAGGCACAAAAATCTTTTTCGACCCATAATCACACTGAAATCGTCTTCGTCTTTTAGCTTCGAGATCTTCGGAATTTTTAAAAAAAGTCTTTCAAACCATTTCAATTTTCACGAATTAGCTTATATTAGATGAAGGTTTAAAAAAAACTGAAAAATATACTTTAATGTTTATTGGACTTTTCCGGCTGTGAATTTTACAATTTGGACTCTATCCCCGCATTTAAAGCTACGTTAAGATATTCAAGGATTCGCGATTGAGCCAAAGTAATCCCAATAATACTTGACTGTCCTACAGAAATCCCTTGAGTTCATTCCAATTCGCTTCGAGAACCCGCCTTGGGAACATTGACGACGCGAACGTTGATTCGCTCCATCTTGGTCTCGAGCTCGCCGCGGACGACCAGCCGGAAGGTGTCGTTGGCGTGGGACCGATGGACGATCATTCGCGTCGCGTAACAGTAGGGCAGGGAGGTCGCCGGGCCGCCGGCTCTCGGAATCACCTGCGAGTTAGATATTCGAGTATAACCTATTCAGTGCAAGCTTCTCTCTTCCTGGCCAAAAACCCTTTCAGTATACCTCTAGATCAGAGGCATTTCAGTGCATCGCATGAAAAGACTTTGTGGACTGTGATTTTTCCTAATCTTTTACATAATTGAACGTGAGAAGTACGCGCTTAATTCAAGGAATGAAATTTTAGTGGTATTTTTTCAATGAGATAAAAAGATTTAAAAGTAGATACGTGAAAAAAAACCTTTCTTGGTAACAAAGAAGTAGTGGCGAAGCGATGAGATCGTTCCTGTGGCCTGAGAATTCCTTCTTCTGTGACCCAGAAGAGCTCAGGGCGTGGGTTGGCGCAAACCTAAGTGATTTGAGAATCGAAGTATGTATGTTGGAAACAGTTAGCTGACTCGAATAGTTGGTTTTTCTTCATTTTTAAAGTTCAATCAGACAAAGATGGAAGTGTGAGGAAAAGAAAAGCTTTTTTTTTTGCCAAACTTACTTCCAGTTCAATATGGCCCTCTCTGTGATACGGCAAATGATAATCGATCAGCTTCGGCTCTTCGATCCCGACAACGTTCACGTTGAACTCGGAACTGCAAGAAAAATAATCAAAAATGTCGTTTTTTGTAATTTAAAACTTGTAAGAAAATGCTTTTTGAGATGGTTCTTTGAACTGAGAAGATCGTGTTCTCGTGCACCGTTTGAAGTATATGAATAATTAATTTTTTTTTCATATGGAAAAGACTTTTAAATTTTCAACCAATAATTCCGCTCGCGGCGATAATTTTTGTATGAATCAAATCCAGAAAATGAGACGAGAGAATTATTGGGTTCTTTCTAAGTTTTTTTTTAACTGAAGATGAGTCCGTGTTAGCCCCAGGTTGAGTACCTTTCTGAGGACGAAAAGAATTCAAAGAGCCGAAAAACATCAAATCTAGTAAACTGTCTAGATTTACCTGTCTGGATATTAAAACCCGTTTTTGATTCAATGAGCATCAGAGTATGTTTCGATCAGCCACCCTAATGAAACAAGGTACGGTTTGTCCGACTAACCTGTAGGCCTTGTACCTGGCCTCGACTTGATTCGGAATCGTGGCGTAGCAACGATAACTCCCGCTCATTTGTAGTTGGTTTGTACGGAGGGTGCACCGAGATTCCACGAGTTTCTCTTCGCTTCTTGAAAAATATTATAATTTTGGAAACTTTTCGGAAAAATAGCTTGGGATATTGGGATATACTCTACAAATCTGTAAATTTTTCAGCTTTTTGGCTTGAAATTTGATCTTTTCTCTTTATTTTTCCCATTTTCAACTTGAAAAAAATCCTGGTTAGGAGGTTTATACAGCGTTTTGTCTTGTAAAGCGTTTTGTAATACTGAAAAAGACTCTTTTCCTCGAAATATTTATCGAATTTAGAAGTGTTCCCTTGAAATCTTACAATCAAAAAGAACCAACTTGCAAATTTTCTTCTCCTCCTTGCTGGCACAAGCGAACTCGCGCCACTGTGGCAGACCCTCACTCGGTCTGAACATCCACTGAACTGTCACTGGCTCTGGAAGTGAGGAGAACGAGCAGAACATCTCGACGACCCCGCTGTTCAACTGCAAATCAAGATTTGAGACAATACTGGGGCTAGATCCAACCCCGGGCCTACTAACCCCAGACTGCGACCAATTTCAGTACATTTTGAATTTTATTTTTCCTTCGCAATTATCGAGGTGGGTTCTAGCCTACGGGTGTTCCAGAGTTCTAGATGAGATAATTCCGATTTAGGCTTGGAATTTTGAATTTCTCCCGTCATAACTGCATGGTTAAGCTCTTTATCATCTTTTTCAAAACCTGAAACCTACATATTTTTTTCTCTTAACTGAAAAGTCCAATTTTCGAAGATCTCAAGTAGCAAGTCGTGCTCAAATATTTTCTTGTCATTGATTCTAAAACAAAAATCTGAGAGATCGGAGATGATTTTTGAGTAGATTGCTTCTGTAGGCTTTGATTAAACTTCATATTTTTTTCAATCTTTAAAAAGTCATTTTTTTATTTTTTTCTGATTTTTTTGATAATTTTTTTAGGTTTTTTTCTTCGAGGAACTTCTTTTTCAAGGTTTTTTTGATTCAAAAATGTTTAACCTGATAAGTTCCTGAAACGACTTTGGTTTCGTTTTTTTGAGCCAAACTCCGCACGGTAGTGGGTAGCCTTCCTGAAATGTGTTGTTATATTGAACAAAAATACGGATAAAAAGTCTATTTATGAAAAATTTTGACTCAATAATTTTTCAATTTCTGGTCATTCAGAACAATTTCACGTCATAAAAAAAGCTTTAAAAAAACTTTGAATTAAAAAAATGTGTATAATTTGAGATTCAGATCCAATTTTTTTGGAGTGAATTTAGAAATTTGTCACGATTAAAAGTAAGAACTACCCACCAATGAACATTTACCCGTACAAGATTCATCAGCGGCAACGAATTTCATCAAAGAAAAAGTCAAAATAGCCAGATTTGTCCACCGATTCCTCATTTTTCTGCTCTAGTTTGGAACCTGCAACAAAAAAGTACACGAAAAAACGAAATACATAATGAAAAGGAAGAGAAAGAACCGTACAGAGACGTTTCGATGACCACGCATTTCACAACATTTTTTGGTGACATTTATGAGCCCATCGTTTTTTGGGACGCTCTTTTCAAATTTCCTTCCAAAATATAATGGAGTGACCAACGCGTCTATTTGGATATGTTGTGGGAAGGAATGAGGTTTTAGATTATTTGGTCCTTTTGGGTTCCATTTTTCAATTTTAGTAAAAAAGTTGAAGAACTCGTGGATAATTGATCGAGGAGTTCAGAGAAAGATGGAAAGGGAGCTGGGAATTATAAGATTTTAAAAGTAATATCTAGGAACTTTATATGACCAACAGTAGGTTCAACTTTCGAATAGAGAAGAGAAAAAAAGTTAGAGAATAGAAGGAAAATGGTACAAAAAGATTATTTCCAGAGAAAGATTAAAGTAAATTAGTATTTCTTTAAAAAAATTTCGAGTAAAAACTTAGCCTTTTGAAACTTTTTCTTACACAATAAGTTGAGGTTGGAAAGAGAAAAAGAAGCAATTTTTGAGAAAAAAAGTGAGAAATATTTTTCTTAAAAAAATACTTTCTTTAGCTAAAAAAACGAATTTTTCTTACTATTAAAAATTCATGACCCCTTTTTTTCTTATTTTTCAAACTTAATTTTTGAAGAAATATGTGATTTTTTTTCCAAATTGATATTCTCAGATTTGGGAAATCTGAGAAGCCAGTTAAAGAATAATAAAGTGAATTTCGGTTAAAGTTTAGTCATTTAAAAGATAAAAACGAATTTCGACAAAAAATTTCATTTTTCGTTCAAATCGATTTTTTTTGTCTTGGAATCAAACTACTAACACATCACAAACACACACAAAACAGAAAACGCTAATTGTATCAGAAAGAAGAACGAAATCGACCAAAAAAGTAAGCATTTCCGCCGCGAATTTTCCAAGAGTGTCTAAATTTAGACCTTTTGGAAAAAAAAGGTAAAATTTCCGGTCGGCTGTTTTTCGACGGAATCTTGATTTATACTTGGGTGGCGTCTTGTCTTTGAACCTGGCCTTTCAACTTTCCGTTTTAATGGCTTTTTCACGGTTTCATTGGTTTTCCAACTGAAGAGAGGCACTAAGAATTAGGGAAAATATGAGGGTTTTTTGAAGGATAAAAAAAAGTGCGTTTATTTTTTTCGTGTAAACTGAACTGATACGTCACTATAAAGGATAAAAAAACATTAGGAGACTTTCATTTTTTTTAAAAACGCAAAAAAATGAATTTAATTTTTTTCATTGAGCCTGAACCTTTTTTTCGCGCGTCAAAAATCTGCAAAAAAAGGCTCTCGGCAAGAAATGCGCAAAAAAAGAGATTTTTTTCGAGAAATTTGACTTTTTTTCTGTGGATAGTTAGTCGGTAAATCACGGAGAAAAATAGGAAAAAAATTTGAGATTTTCTGTCATAAATAATTTTTTTGAATGAAAGTATGTTTTTTTAATGGTTGCCCTGAACATTTTTTTCCGCAAACTTAACCAAAAAAATCTCCGAAAAATTCGAGAGATAGGGAGAATATGAAAAAGAAATGAGCCGCAAGAGAAACCAAGAGAGCGGGGGAAAAATAGACACTTTGTGCGCTCTTTTTTTGAGCTCGAGGTTTTTTTGAAATAGAAAGGACTGAATTTAGGCCAAATAAAGTACAGATCTTGACAGAAACCGTCAAAAAAATTGATTCAAATTCAAAAATTCTCCCGAATTTCTAGCTTAATCCTGTCACAATTATTAGCGTCTACCTGTAAAAAAATATCAAGAAAAAATTCCGAGCTAGAAAGTTATGGAAAAAAATTAGGTAAGATGAAAAAAATTTCTGAAAAATCTGGAAAAAAATGTTTTTCATAATTGAACCTGATATTCTAAGTCCGACCTATTTCAACTCGAAATTGGATTTTTTTCTAACTCAATTTTTTGTATTCCAGAGCGTTTTTTGACAATATTCCTAGGGAAAACTTTATATTTCTTGTTATTAATCTTTTGAAAAACGTATATTCTTCAACTTGATGCAAATTTATAGTAAAGAACGAATAATTTGAAATATAGAAGAGAAAAATCGGAGCGAAAATCGATACAAACAAATGATTATGTAGATTGATAAGGTTTTGCTTGTGCGATTAAAATTCTGTTTGCTTTTTTTCTTATCTCGTTTCGAAGTTATTGTGGCTCGTTATGGAGAATTTATTGTTATCTTCCCATTTTTCAAAGTTCTAGAGGACTTTTGGGAGAAGCTTTTCAAGATTTGAGAAAAAAAATAGGTTCACTAGAAGGGTCGGTCGGTTTTTTATGATGCCTATCTTTTCCGAGTTTTGAATTTTGAAAAGGGATCACTGGACCTCTCCAAAAAAGTTCAAAAAAGTGGTCTCTATAAGGGAGATTCCCCCAACCTCTATAGGGACCACTCTGACTTTCCCAAGTTATTAAAGTTGAAGTACATATTTCCTCATGATATAACCAGTTTCTAAGTCTGATTTTCAAAAATCTGGTCAATAAATGTTCAAAATTTCCTTTTTTGGAATATGTTTCACCGAAAATGCTCTCAACTCACGGAACACTATTTTGTATCTCGATTTCAGGTCGAATTTTAAAGGGTAACTCAGAATTAAACCAAAAAAAAAATACAAAGTTCGTGCGGCCAAAATGCTATTTTTTGAAACCTCAGAACTAACCACAATGAAGAAACCGACACATTTTTTTGGATTTTTTTGAACAATTTTGAATTAAAAAAACGGCAAAAATTCAAATGACGGCCTATTAAACAAACAGATTTTTCCAGTCTGCAAATCTATCTGATAACACCTTGAAACTAAAAGAATTGATTAGACTAACCAGTTTGGAACGGGAAGGAGATATAGTTGATTTTTGTTTCGGAATAATCCCATTTCGTGTCTTCAATGAGCTGCTTTCTCATTACCACGGCTTTATATTCCTTTTTACACCTCAAATTAGTTCCTGACTATATTTCTCGGTGATTTCTGGCTCATTTCCAGCTATTAATCAAATTTAAAAATTTTCTCCGGGTTTTTTGGAATATTTAGAGTGACAAGAATTTTTTTCAATCATTTTCCAAGTGAAAACATGACTCTAAAATTTTCTTAAGGTTTTTGTGGAATTTTTCCATTTTCAATCAATTATTTTTTTCAAATTCTAGATTTTTTTCCCTATTTTTTTAAGCTCTATTCCCAGTAGTTTTTCTCAATAGAATTGACTTTTGAACTGAGAAAAAAAAAGTCAGAGAGAAGTCGGCTGAAAACAAGTTTGTTGTCCTATTTTTGGTCATATCTTTACTGTTTCGGGGTCGGTTAATCAGTGTTGATTGCCGTTTTTTTTCTAGAAAATCAATCAAGATTCTTTTTGTCAGTGTTAACGCAGAATTGAGCATATTTTGTGTCGGAAAAAAATTTTAAAAAAAATTTTTTTTTTTTGAACAAGGACTTTTTTTAGCTTTCCAGTGGTAGGTTTGAATTTCTTTCAGATAATTAAAGTTGACTTTTCGTGCAAAAAAAGACTTTTTTTCCTTTTTTTATGAACCAAAAAAATTTTTTTCCTGTTTCAAAGGTTTTTTTAAAAGAAACTTATATATTTTCAATGCATGAATAACTGATAAAACAAGTTTTTTTATTAAAGGAAGAAATTTTGAAGTTTTTTTCAAAAATATAATTTTTTTCCATTAGAAAGATATCAACTTTTTTTCAAAAAGTCGTGAAAAATCAGGAAATGAAATGAAATCATACTTTTTTTGAGATTCAATTTTCTACCACAATTATTTTAAAATGAATTGGAAAAAAACAGATTGAACAGAAAAAAATTATATTTTTTTCGTCAATAGAAAAAAACCGTTTCACTGTTTCAAGCGGTAGTTTATAACTTGATTTGAATTTTCAACTTTACTCTTTCCACGTGATACGCTAGAAAAACAAATTTTCAAAGATTATGTTGTTTTTTTAATGGTTTCTTAGGACTTCTGTGTCTCTTGTCTTTTTTTTCATGTAATTTTAAGAATTCTCAATTTTTCTTATATTTTCGACGTGAAACTTTGAAAGAAAAACTTTATTTCATTTCTGAACCCATGTTTGTCCTGTTGCCATTGATGTTTGAGCGTTACAACTCGAGAATGCCCAGTTATGTTTTCCGTCTTTTTCATTTACCCTTTTTTGTCTTTTTCGAATTTCTTCGTTTGCTGAGATTCTTTGCTTGTACCAGTTAAAAAGTAAGAAAAATTTGAGTGGCCGCTCTAGGGTTTTGACGTTTTAGTGGCCACTTTGGTAGTCGACGCAGTGGCCACTAGAGTTTTTCGCAGTTAGTTCAAAAAACGAACTTTGATTCACAAAGTATGCTCCGTTCAGCTTGAAAAAAAAACTGTATACTTCTGAGTCTCCTCTTTTCGCTAAGTATTTCGCTTATATAACTGAAGAGACTAAAGTGGCCACTTAAGAGGATCCTCAAGGATTACTTGGAGAGGACACTAAGTTGTCCACTACAACCATCTTAAAATTTTCTCATTAGGAGCTTCATCAAATGTGTCTCTAGCCAGCGGTGAATAAAATAAGTTTTTTTTTTATTTTTCAAGTTTTATCATTATTTTCGCAGGAAAATGTCATTTTTTTTTCTGACTTTAAACGTTTTGTTCATTTATATGGTCTTCGTTGAATTTTCCGTTTTAATAGAAATTATTTTTTTTGCAGACAGAAAATGTCGTTCTTCAGCGGGATTCCCGTCGCCCCGCCAATCGAAGTTTTCCATCGGAATAAGCAATATTTGGACGAAAAAGCCCCTGAAAAGGTCAATTTGACCATCGGAGGTCCATATAATGTTTTATTATGATATTTTATTTTGAAGTAGAACTTTCAATAATATCAATGGGAAACAGAGAAGACTTGAAGATTCAATTTTTTTTTCTGTATTTCGTATAACATAGGCAAAGTCGGAAGGAACCTCCGAGGGTCCATGAAGGACCATAGAAATGTTCCTTTTAGGGTGATGAAGGCTCTCTTTTTGCTGCCTCTCCCTTTCTCCACCATTTCTCGAGCCTTTAAAATCCCAGAAAAATGGAAGGCTCGATAAAGGGAGTCTCTTTGCTGCCTTTTTGCTGCCTGTCTGCGGCCTTTTTTGAGCCTCTCCCTTTTAGCAGCCATTATACACCATTCCGACTTTGCCCGAGAAGTTGAGAACAGAAAAATTCCGTTAAATACATTTTAAATGGTTTTTTATTCAAAAATTCAACTTTTTCTTTCTTCTTCTTCAACTAATTTATCAGATTTTTCTTGATGAGAAAGTTGAATTGGCTTTTTTCGGAAGTCCAACATTTTAAAGTTTGTAATTTATTATTTCAGTAGAGAATAAGAGAGTTTTAGCGTCAAAAGTCGTTTGAAATATGGAAAAATGTGAACTTTTTATATAATGTATTGTATCAGGGATATCTTGCGAACATTGTAGGAATATCTCTTCTAATGTTTCACAACGAATTTTTGTTGAGTTCGAAAATGAAATATCATATTTCTGTTGATTTGAAAAAGTTTGAAGCCTACCGTACGAATGAGGGCGTGCCGATGGTCCTACCCGTAGTGAAGCAAGCCGAAATCGAGCTGGCCAACGATTCCAGTCTCAACCACGAATATTTGCCCGTCCTGGGCCACGAAGGCTTCAGAAACGCCGCCATGGAGCTGGTCCTAGGAGAGGACTCACCAGCCATCAAGGAGAAAAGGGTCAAAAGTTCAAAAAAAAAAAGACCGTTTCCACTTTTTTTCTACAGTTGTGAATTAACTTTTTCTCTCGGACGTTTCATTTTAAAAAAAACTTTTTCATCAAATTTGACATTTTGATCATTTATTTACTCGTTAAATCTCAATTGTTTTTTTTTCTGTCGTTCTTTTTCTCGATGCTTCATTTTTTTGAAAAAGCTACTTTTTGCAAGAAATTTTATAGTTTATTGACCTTTCAAGCGTTTATCTATGTACTCGTTCATTTCAAAAATTTTTTTATAGTTTTTTTATTTTCACAATAATCTTCCATTTTTGTTGGAAATTGATAAGTTGCAGGCTTTCGGAATCCAATGCCTTTCGGGAACCGGTTCCCTCAGAGCCGGTGCTGAATTTCTTGCCGGAGTTGTCGGTTTGAAGACGGCCTATGTTAGTCAGCCGACCTGGTTTGTCGTTTTATTCGAAAATATAGTAGAAAAGAAAAGAGTTTTCTGTTGGAAAATAGACGAAATCTTTCTCATTATCGAAAATTAGTAGAAAAAAATGACAAAAGAGATGAAACTTTTTTCAATTTCCGAAATCTGCGTTTGGAGAATCGAAACGTTCAGGGGAAACCACAAACTTGTGTTCAAGAACGCCGGCTTCACTGCAATCAACACTTACACATACTGGAACGCTGAGAAACGATGTGTTAATATCGATCAGCTGGTCGACGATTTGGACAATGCGCCCGAGAAGTTGGATTTCGACTTTCCAGAAAAAAATCATTAATCATTCAGAGATAAGAAAAATCCGCTTAGTTTTTTCCACGCTCTTTTTCAGCCCAAGCCGCACTTTTTTACGATATAAATTCATTTTCTCAACCCAGAAATTCAAAAATTTTGTTCCTAGAACGCGTTTTTTCAAGATATTTATAGCTATGTAAATTTTTCAACGACAGAAAATGAATATTTTATTTTTCAATCAAAAAATAGTTTTTTATTCTTTGATGAATTTAGCGTCGAAGTTGCAGCAGAATATCTCTTCGAATCTTTATTTTTTGATTTTTTATTGGAGAAGTTCAGATCAGTGATAATCCTCCACGGCTGTGCCCACAATCCAACCGGAATGGACCCGACCCAAGAACAATGGAAGCGAATCGCCCAGGTCATCAAGGTTCGGACCCTCGCAACGAAAACTACCGTAATCCTCGTCGATGCAGAAGCGAAACCTCTTCCCCTTCTTCGACATCGCCTACCAAGGCTTCGCGACCGGAGATCCCAACGCCGACGCCTGGGCAGTTCGGTATTTTGTCGACCAGGGTTTGGAAATGGTCGTCGCCCAATCTTTCGCCAAGAATTTCGGACTCTACAGTAGGATTTTTGGATACTGTAGAGCTTACTGTGATTTTTGTAGATGAGCGTGTTGGCAATCTGACTGTGGTGGTTAATGACAAGGAGGTCATTCCCGGATTCTTGTCCCAAATGTCGCTGGTTATAAGAGCGAATTGGTGGGTTTGGAAGAGACGCCAGAGAGATAAGAGGGTTTTCTGCTTCTCTGCCGTCTCTTCAGAACGCCTTGTTCTCTAACTTCTTCCGTTTTCGGACTGATTTTGATAAGCTATAATCAGTTGAAAAACCAAATTTTGCCCAAGAAGGATACCTAGTTTTGGTAACGAAACTGAGATAGCCGACAGCTAGCTTGGGAAGATAAGGGGCGTGGCCTGTCTGCTTTTCCACCAACCTGGCACTTTTTTCTTTTTCAAATCGTGTCGGGATTGTTTTTGGATGTCTCAAGCCAGCCGTAGATAAGCTATAACCCAGCCTGAAATAGAAACAGCTGTATATAACTTTTCCGAAAAATGAAATGTTAATACCATTTTTTCGGAATTTCCTTTGACTCATCCAGGTCGAACCCGCCGGCTCACGGAGCCCAAGTGGTGCATCTAGTGCTGACCAATCCAGACAAACGACAACAATGGATGGACTCTATCAAAGTTGAACTTCCAAAAAACAGTTAAGAAAAAGATATTTCAGGAGATGTCTGGTCGAATCAAGACGATGCGAGAAGCTCTTAGGACAAAACTTGAAGCTCTTGGAACCCCTGGAACCTGGAACCATATCACGGAGCAGATCGGAATGTTCAGCTTCACTGGCTTGACTGGTAAAGATTTTAGAAGGACATTTTTTTGAAAAATTGTCGTCAGAAAAAGGACAGCAATTAAGAGTTTTTGAACTTGGAATTGCGATGTTCTTGTTTCGCTTTATATGACTTCGTTATCATGAGACTCCAGGATTGCTAGAGGATTTTGGACACTTAGAATACTAAAAAAAATATGTAAGCGCAAATGCAGCCCATTTCGCGATAGGTTGTCATAATTTTTCTCTTCCTCTGAGCTACGGAACCCTTCCGGGAAAGTCAGTCTAAACTTTCCTTTATATTAAAGGCGCACACGCGGAGACGGGCCGCGCGTATCGAAGTGAAGCTTCCCGAAAAGGTTGTGAAGTTTAAGGATAGTAAAAACCGTGACAAGCTGGTGCGGAATGGGCTGCACCGTGAACTATTGTGCGCGTTGAAAAGAGCTTCCAAAATATTCGCAGTTTTTGCTAAAACGAAGCGTTCCAAACGCGATCATGACTTCATAGTAATTCGTCAAAAAAGCTTCAGATTTTGATTGTCAGTTCGTCGCTCAAGCTCCGCCCCTAATGGCGCTATAAACCAATCAGATAGCGAGCCATCCACAAAGAATTTTCGAATGATTTCATTATACTTTACATTCAAAATCTTAACAGACTATATGCTGAATATTTGTAAAATCTAGCTTGAAAAATCAACAACGCAACGTTTTTCGTTCTTTCAGGGGCTCAAGTGGACCACCTGATCAAGGCCTACAAGATTTTCCTCCTCTCCGACGGTCGGATCAACATCTGCGGCCTCAACACTTCCAACATTGACTACGTTGCCAACGCCATCGACAGAACTGTTCGCTCTATTTGAAAGAAAATCTACGAAGATTTTTCACTTTTCCGTTTTATTTGGTCTTGAATGTCGAATCGAGGGTTGAATGAAAGACTTCTACTGCTGTCTTGGTTCACTCTTTTTTCTAATTCTCATCCCAACTTTTGGCAGCTTTCCTCAACTTTTTCCAAATTTCGCTGACGGCCCTTCAAAACCAACAGCAGCGGAAATTTCTTGATTGATGTCACTTTATATTTCCAGCTTACATCTTTGTTTTTTTCCCGTTGGAAAGATCACTTCGAGGCAAATCGATTGATACGAAGAAATAAGCTGAAGCCCTTTTTCAGTCAAAAAATAGTAGAAGGCGGGAGCCCGTTCGGCATGACCTACTAGTCGCCATGTTTGAAGTTCATGGTTAGGTGGTTCAATCGGTAGCCACTGATGGCACTGAGCCAGTGAATACCGGGAAAAAAATCTCTTGTAGTCAGTTCGAAATAATCTCAAGAGATCAAAGTTTGATTCAAAACTCCGGGTGGTCTTCTAGAAAGAAGAAAATTTGACCACTGGAGTGACCATTTCAAATATCGTTCAGAATGTTGTTTCATTAGTTTATCATGACGAAATCGATATAAATTAAAATGAAAAAAACAATGAGCAGAAAAAAAAATGCAATGATTGGTTATTTTTCAAAAAATGCCGGTCAGCCCTGAGAATGTTTGAGGTAGTAGATTGAAATACGAAATCGAAGAAAAAAGGAAAAAAAAGGCAAAAAGAATAAACTAAAAGGCGACATCCAGAACGGTTTTCGGGATTAAAGGCGCAGGACGTGGCCAAGAAAGAGGTCTCAAAGGCAAGCAAACTGTTTTCATTTGGAAAATAATAGGTTATTGATCCATTCCGGAAACTTCTTCAAAATCTATCAAAGAGTAGTCGCTGTCGGAGTGACTGAGTTCGCTGTTTCCATCGGCCTGTAAAGCGAAGTTTTTTTCTTTAGGATTTGGAACAATGAGAACCATTTTTTCAAGATATTTGCCCAGGACGTATTCCGAACCACTGTTCTGGAAAAGTTTAGCGACATCCAGGGGTGTTTCGCCGTTCTGAAACGATAAATATTCGACAAAAAAGGAAAAAAAAAGAGAGAAAAAAAAAGATAAAAAATTCCATCGTTTCAAAAAGGCTAATTTAAAGAGTTAACAACTTAGGTGATTTCACTAAAAGAAATTTTTTCAAAGAAATCCCAAAGGGCCACTCAAGAGGCTCTAAATCTACTCAAGTGACCACTGGACGAAACTCTTTCGATGAGATGGACGCTTGGGAGTCACTGAAACTTCTCAAGTGATCGCTGGACGGAATTTCAAGGGTTTTTGGAGACTTTAAGACCACTTAAGTAGTCATTGAACGAAATCTATTCGATAAGTCGTTTTTGGTCGGGCGCACCTTGAAGCCATTCCAGGTGTACTTCAATTGGTCAGTTATGTCCAGAAAGAGGCTTCAAAAACCAAGTCATTGGAGAAAGGTCTTAAGGGAACACTACAAAAAGCGGTGCGTAAGTCGGTAGCTTTCAACGCACGCGAAATAGCTCACCATGTTGCGAATTTCGGGATTCGCGCCCCGATCCAGAAGGATTTTAATATTTTGGACGTAGTCCAATGAAGCTGCGAAATGGATGGCCGTGTTGCCGTCGTCGTCCTGGACGTCGTTCAGCTCGATTCTGCGCCTGCCCATCGCCCTCAAGGGATTCGGAGTGTTCAATAGGGCTAACTGGTGCAAAATCGTCTCGCCGTTCTGTAAATCGCATCGGTTTTGTCTTGAAATTGTTATGATACAACTTTATTGCAAACTCCGCTCCCCAAGGCTACAGTATCTTTCGCGTCGATATTTTATCGCGATGCGTTTTAATAGCGCTTTATTTTTTGACTTTTTATAAGCTGCTGAAACAAAATTTTCAGAAAAATTGAGCGCTATGACAAGATTTTTTTTCACCCTTGGAACTTGAAAGACGAGGGAGGCGGGGCAAAAAGCGGGACGCGTAGCGTGCGCGTACGCGGTTCTTGGCACGAGTCCAATTCAACCTTCAGCGACTATTTAGAGTTCTTATTTATCGCTCTTTTCATTTTTTCAAAATTGAATTGGACTCGTGCCAAGATCCGCGTACGCATACGCTACGCGTTCCGCACATTTCTCTGTCTCCCCCGCCTTTCAAGTTGGGACAGGTTGACTACAGCGCTATCAAAGAATTATCGTCGCGCGTGATAAACATCGACGCGAAAGATACAGTAGCCAATGGGGCGGAGTTTGCAGTTTGAAATATAAAAACCGAATAAACTGTAAAGATCACATCGAGAATTACCTCGTTCTGTCCACGGATGCCGACCTTCTTCCTGACGAGCCAGGCGGTCACTTCGAATGCATGTTGTTCGATGGAGCGACTCATCAACTTCTTCCCTTGTTTGCCCCGAACGGCGGGCCACAATCCGGCGTCGAGGATCCTTTTCAAAGTCTTTGGGCAACCTGATATTGTGGCATCAACTACAAGCGATCGACTGCCTAGACGAGGAGACCATCCAACCTGAACATACAAGTTTTTTTCTTTTCTTTCCTTCGACTTTGGTCATTGAAATGTCAGGCGACGAACTACTGGTTCTAGAAAGTGACCCTCGGAATATGCTTTTTTTCCAGTATTTAATTTAGTGTGTTTCATTCCATTTCATGCTAGTTCTCCCCTTTTTTTGAATTTTTGAGACCCTTTCTTCAGTTTTGTTTTGCTTATTTTTCAAACGTCTCAATGAGGAAATGCACATAGAAGCTGTGTTTACTGTAGCTTTTATTCAGCTGTGTTCTGAGAGCCGTCCTGCGCAAAATTAACTATCTTTGCGGTCGGGATTTCCCTAAAAGTTGATCAGAGTACAAGTTTCTTTTTCGGAAACTATCAAGTTTTGAACTTTAGAGATCTTCAGGATCTTCATCTAATTCACCAAAAAACCCTCTGACTGAAATTTTCCCAGCTTCTTTTTTTTTACCCTTCATATCTTTATTTTTTTCTGAGATGAACTACTAAAAAAACGGAAAAAAAGAATTGAGAAAAATTCATAAAAATTTGGGAAGAAAAGGTTTTTTTTGCAAAGATTATCCATGGAGCGCACTTCCTCGATTATTTTCAGGCCCTTCCAATATTTAAGGCCGGAATAAAAAAATGAAAATGATTTTCCGCAATTTTTCTTGAATTTCGAAAAATAACTTAAATTAGCCTTTTTTTCTTTTTAAATTTTTTTCTTGGATGTGAATCTTCTTATGAACATTAAAAAAATCAGAAAAAAAGTCAAAAATCAATGAATTAATAGTGAGTATGAGGCCTTTCTCATAATCCACTTTATTGCATACGGCCTGTGGTTATGGTCATCACAGATCTATGGAAACCCATTTAATTGATGAAAATCAAACCGGTGATAGGAGTTTGACGTCGGCGCCATAACGGAGCAAGAGCTTTATCAAATGATAATTTCTGCACTTGACGGCTGTCATCAACGGCGTGAAGCCATAGTCATTGCGCATGTTGACTTCGAAGCCTCGCAACAGAAATTCGTTGACCGACGGAGAGTCTCCGATCGCCACGGCACGGTGCAGAAGTTGATGGCGTCTCTGAATGATGGAATGAAACAGGAATCGATCCAGAGATGTAATTGAGAGAGTTCTCCGGAAATGAAAGAATTCATTTCGTTCATAAAGCAACTCAGGCTTGTGCGTCAGGCCGGGCGGCCCGGCCCGGGGAATTGAGCAAAAACGTAATTCTTGTCGGAAAAAAAAACTTGATATTCGACTAGAAAAATTACGCGTTTTGGGCCTGGCGGGCCATTTTTTTGAGGCCCCGCTAAGGCCGGGCCAGGCTTACGAAATGGTCGGGGGACCGGGAGGGTGACGGGCCGGCCCTCGCACAAGCCTGAGCAACTTCACTGCAAAACGCGCTCTTGACGAGGACTGGAACTTTTTTCTTCATATTTTTTTTTAGCTCTTTTCCATCCAAAACAAAAAAACTTGTGTATATTTTCAAGCTAGAAACGCGATGAAGGCTGTACAGAATGTCACATTTTTCTAAAACCCGAATTTTCATTATCAGCTTGCCTTCGAAAAGTTTTCTCAGAGGCAGAGTTCAAAAATAGTTTATAAAATTCGGATCAGAGGAAAAAAAACATTCTGAAATGAGTTTTGTATCCCTGAATAATTCTACAGGCGTCCGTGCAAGTTTTGTCACCAAAATGGAAAACAGCGGGAAGAAATTTCATTTTGAAAGAAAAGAGAGGGCGACGCGATATTGCACTGTTGCACACAGCCAAATTGCGCACACAGTAACCTCGGCGAAGGCAAAGAGCGCTTTTTTACATTTTCTCATCATTCCGATCGTTTTTGCCTAATCGGGAGTATGTTTCACCCGCCCACCCTCATACTCCCTCTCTACCACTGGCAAAAACACCGTCGACCCCACCGCACCAGTTTCAGCGATAGTCAAAAATTCTCAAAAAGAATTTGTAAGTGTAAACTTCAAAAAGGGCGCTCCGGCGGAAACAGCTTCTTTCCAATACAAAAGCCCTTTTCCGCTTGCTTCTGAGATTAAATCCAGCGACAAGCTGGGCGCCGTACTGTTCCTACATGGAGAAGAATGGATCGTCGAAAACGCCCGAAAACCGTCGACTACTATCACAAGAGAGGCCTGATGCTCTACGCTTGATCAACGATAGTTTCTCAAACGGACAAACAAGTCTTCAATTATTTCATGATTCAGAAGAGAACCTGTAGACTGAGTTACATAAAGCCCTTAATAGAAAGCTTGGGAAACAATACCTCAACACTCACAGTTCCCCCCCGTACATTCAATCGCCAAATTTTTTATCTGTATCGCCGCCCCTTGATTTTTGTCGCATTCCTACTGGGTTTTTGGTTTGGGTTACATGGCAATAAACGCGTCGACTCCGAATAAATGCGTCGACTCTCTTGAATGACAAAAATACATTTATGATGAAATGAAATGGAATTATAAATGGTTTTGTTGAAGGTCACTTCGGCCCTTGAACTGTATTAATCTTCGTATCGAATAAATGATGAAAACTGCTCTCTCTATATAAACCTAGTCTCATTCAGAGGCCGATCAAAAAAACTCAAAAAAAGTAAGATTTCAATTTATTTTTCCTTTTTGCTTTTTTTCAAATGAAATAGTAATTCAAAAAGAACAAACCGCTTTTTTTGGTGAACGGATCGGCGCCGTGGTCCAATAGGGCTTTCACGAAAAACGAGCTATTTTTCTTGGAAAGAAGGGCCAAGGACAATGGCACGTGGTCCGAGCAGCCCACTTCGTTGACATCAACTTCCTGTTTCAGGATCTCCCGGAACGACTTTTTACAATCTTTGATTATTGCCCTGTGCAGCGGCTGGACATCAACCTGGAATTATTCTTCATTTCTTCCGGGATTTCAGAACTCAACTTCGAGTGGAAAAGTTCAAAAGTTATCTTTACATATAGTCAATCCTTTCCGACTTGAAAGGAAAGATGAGTAGACTGGAAAGAGTGACGCTCTTTCAAGTCGGGAAGGATTGATCATACATCCCGACACCGGTTAATTCTTACCGCGGCTGCTTTTAAAAGTGAAAAAGAGCGAAAATCAGTAGGTCTGCGGAGTCGAGAGAAAGTAATCGGTAAAAGATTGGCATAAACGCGAAGTCCTCTGAAAGCCGAGAGAAGCAGGCTTGGGCGAGGGTCGGCCCGTCAACCTATCGGCCCGCCGGCCACTTTCTAAGCCCGACTTGACGCGGCCTAAGCAGGGCTTCAAGCAAAATCACGTTTTGGGTTCTTTTTCACTCAAATATCAAGAGAAACTATGACTTAACGAGTAAAAAAATAACTTTACGGTGAAAGTTAGAGAAAAAATTGTTTGAACCTTGGCCCGGCCCAAGGCTTCTTTGCAAAAATGAGGCCCCAAGCCCGGGCTAGATGGCCCAGCCAAAAACACAAGCCTGGATAGGAGGGAGAACACGGGCGTTCGACATCTACCCGCGCGAAGAGCCCCCGCCAATGTGCACGGAAAGTCTCACTTTGTAGGCTAGTTTGGCGTCTGCACCGGCTCTGAGAAGCGTGGAGAGGTGTTCGTCCCGGTCCTCGACCATCGAGTTCATCAGTTGGACCAACGGAGTTTTCCCGTTGTCGTCTTGGGAGTTGACGTCGGCGCCGTGGGCGATGAGATCTTCGATCGACTTCAACTTTCCGGCTTTGCAGGCCCTTGATAGGGGCGTTCGACCTTTCTGCAAAAAACATAGTTTCGACTTGAAATCTTCTGATCTCATTCATGTGAAGCCTCAGCTCCGATTAGCTTCGAAATTGGGCCTTTTCAGTAGGATTTCGGTAGGAGAAGGAACGAAAATTGGCTCATTTGTTTTTCTAAAAACGTGAACTAACATAATCTCTGGCTTCGATGGAAGCTCCAGCCCCGATGAGCATCGAAATCAGGCCTTCCTGGGGGAATTTGGCGGCGATGTGGAGGATCTTCTCGCGTTTGCATCTTTCAGGGCTCCAGCAAAGATGGAACCTTCGCTCCACCCAATCAGCGTATCCGCTCTTCGACGCCAAGCCCCACAGTCTGACCTGAAGATCTTCCGATTTTTCCTTGAGCAAAAAGTGAAAAACTGACTTCTTTTTGATACGTTTCGTCGTTACATTCCTTCAGAAAATCCATCAGAGACACTTCTTCGTCCATAATCTGTAAAAATCGGGAAAAACGGTATGCCAATCTTGTATTTTATTCAAAGAGATTGTTGGAGTTTTTTTTATCCTAAAGAAGTAAAATATTGTGTTTAATATATATAAACGCTAGAAGGGATTCGTTTTATCAAACCTTCCAATTTTTAAAGAACTTTAAAAAGGCTCGAAAAGGGAAAAAAAAAACTCAAAACAGGTTCAAAGGCCGCAAAAAGGCCGCAAAAAAGGTAGCGATCATGAAAATATTTCCATTTAATCAGGATAAGTTCCGAAAATTTTCGGAGGATCACTAAAAAGTCCGTTTTACCATTGAAACGGAAAACGGCATTTTTCTAAAAGAGCCTTGGAGGATAAGACTTCAAAAAAAGGTTGAGGATAGAAAAACGCAGTGAAAAAGTCACAAACGGCTGATAAATGACCGCAAAAATGCAGAAAAACTAATAATTTTTTTCATTTATTTAGGAAAAATCTCGAAAACCTTGAAGGATCCGTAAAAAGTCCGTTTTTATCTATGAAGGTAAAAGAATGAGTCTGGAATGGCTTTTTTTTCGACAAACCTTGAAAGATCAGGCTCTAAAAAAAGAGGCAGAAAATGAGAAAACGATTAAAAAAGTCGCTATAAGATGATTTAAAACAGCAAGAAGACAGCAAAAATGAAGATATTTCCATTCTATCAGGAGCATATTCAGGAAACCTCGGAGGATCCTTAAAAAGTCCGTTTTTACCTCGGAAAGAGGGAGGATAAGTCGGAAAATGGCACGTAGCGGCTATTTTCCGTTGCCATGTGAACCGACGTTACCTGAAACCAATTAGAGTTTATCTCAACGCTCCGGAAGAATATAATTGATCACGTACAGAAAATATCTCTTGACGGAACGAACAATTCATAAGTCAAGAACGACTTTTGCGCATTTGAATGCGTCAGAAAACTATTCCGAGGACCGTTTATGATTTTATACGATGAATGAGATCGAGAAATCTCCGCTCAAGAAAGTACGACTTTTGCTGATCATTTCTTATTTTTTGCAAAAATCTTCAAAAAATAAGTCCAAAAAGTGCATTTATCTTGGTCTAAAACTCAAATGATTCAATATTTTTGAAGCAAACAGCAATAAATAATAGTTTTCCAAAATTATGCAAAAGATCAAAAAGAAGGAAATTTCCGACCCATTTGAGTCCTTTTTACTCGAATAATCGTTAGTATCGAACTTTCAGTAGTCGTGGTCAACTTATCTTGTCAATTTTCCCTTTTTTAGGACAGAAATCATCTGAAAACATAGACTCCTCAGATTTGGACAATTCTCGTCCGGAACTCAAAACTCCGGCTTCCACAACAAGTGCGCTCCGCGGCGAATTTGGCGTCTCGCCAGAAAATATTTACGCGGCAAGTTTTATTTTTTCTTTTTGAGCATTTCAAATTTTCGTTCTGTTATTTTTGTCGGTGGAGACTATAATGATATGCTTTTGATAATCGTGGATAATTTACTAAATAACTTATTTATTTAGTTCTTAGGTAACTCACTTTTCTAGAAACTTATATTATCTTTTCAGGAAGATGAATAAATAATGGAGAGCGAAGACGAAAAAGATGATTTTGACGTTTTTGTCAACGAGGTCGAAACGACGCTCGAATTATTTGAAAATGGGTACGATGTGAGTTTATTTTTCGCTGCGTTTGAAGCAAATTCTCGAAATTCGACAAACTCCTCAAAATGTTGTTATGGTGAACAAGTTTTAAAAAAAAACGTGGACGGAATTAAAGGAATCTGATTCATTTTCTAGATTTCCCGTCTTGTCGAGAACATCGAAAAGCAGGCGTCTCTAATCGGGGACCAACTTTTGCCGTCCACAAGTTTCAACCCAAAACTTATTGCCGACGCCATGAAGGTTTTTTTTTAAAACCAGTCCTCAATTTTTAGCTCCTAGCTTATGCCGCGAAATTTTATGAAAGTTATTGTTCATCCTGAATTGATCAACTATTACCCTAAGTTCGACTTTTCACACAAAAACTGTACAAAACAAGCTGAGGCATAGATTAATTAACTACTAACTCTTCTCAACTTAGAAAACTTCATAACATAGCTCCAAAAAGAGTTTTTCATGCGAGTGTCTTTTCTTATTGAGACATTGATACATTGGTAATAAGCCAAAAAACACCTTTCCTTTTATATGAAAATAAAAATGAATCTTAGGAACTCCTCACCGAGAAAGAACGGCCGGTCAGCAGTTTCGAGCCGCTTTGCACGTCGACGCCGCATCAGAATCTCCGACGTCGATCCCAGAAGATTGTCCTCAACGAGGATGACGTCACCAGCGAACATCATGACGTCATGCGACGTCTTCAGGGTCTCCAAAATCCGACGGTCGTCGTCGTGCCTTCAAGCTCTGCAGTTGGTCGAACGGAATTCATTTACTTGTCCATTTTTGTTCTAACCGTCGGTCTCCTCTTATTCTATCTTTATTATGACGTCATCCGCGAGCCAAAATGCTTGCCTGTTTATTGATTTTCTTTCCATTCGTGTACATTTTTCTTGTACAAAATGCCATCAAATGGTTACTTGCCTCAATTATTCGGTTCCTTTAATAAATCACGTTTTCATGTCTCAAAAAATCACTGTAAAATTGTCCACTAGTGGTCTCTAAAACTACAGAATCCTAAAGGGACTCCTCCAGAATTCCTCATTTTCTCAAAACGTTCTCGAGGTGAATAGCATTATCAGTGCACCTATGCACCTTTAAAAAGAGAATTAGACATTTTTTAATGAACGTTTTTCTCGCCTAAACTCGATTCACCGCTATCTTATCACGAAAAATTGGTTTAGAAAAGTCGATATCTCATTTGGCAATATTTCTCTCTCATCCTGGATCTTTTCGTAGGATTTTATGAAAATCACGAAGGATCCCGACAGGACCCTACCTACGAGTTTTTATCGGTTTTTACCTCATACTTTTTATTCAAATATCCTGTAGTATTGATCAAATTATCAAGTTTGGATGGAAAAACCGAGCAATATATTTACAAGAGATTTACCACCAAAATAAAAAAATTAAATTAAGAACTAACATCAGAGAAAAAAGAGTGAGATCTGCGAAGAGCGTGAAATTTTGGGAATTGGCGAGAAAAAAAGAACAATTTTGGTTATTAGAATAAAACAATACAAATTAACAGATTGAAATGAGAAAATGTTTTGGATGAACCCGCAAAAATGAGGGACGATGATCGACAAAATTATGAATAAATAATTATTCCAAGCTTCATCTAATCACATCTTATCATTGGAAAAACGATAAAATCTTAGATTTTGAAATAAGTGATAGAAAATGAATCGCTATCTTGTCGTTTTTCCTGACTTTTCTCAGAAAAATCAACCTTTTTGACAAGACAGCTTCAAAAGTGAATAAAATTTAAAATAAAGCCTCAGAATTTGCAAGGCAAGAAAGAAAGAGCAGAAAAAACCTAGAACGGTTTGAAAAAGCACGGTTTTGAGCACGAAATTCGATATTCTAGAGCGAAAGAAAGCAAAAAAAAAAAACCAAAGAAGGAGAAAAAACACGTTATCGATTTATTATTGAAAGATTATGAATCAAAAGCGTTCCATGATTTTATTCCGAAGGGCGACCATCTCATCGGTGAAAGGCCTGTTGCAAAGGCGGCTGAAATAGAGAAATATTGAAAAAAGATCGATAAATTGAAACGAATTCTAGCTTTATTCAAAAACTTTTTTAACGACGGAACTTTTTTTGAGTCTCGATTGAACTTCCTTTTTTTATTACTCAATTTTTTGGAGTTCTGAAGCTTCCAGAGCTTCAAATAATGCTATACTTTCTTCATTTTTGTGCATTCAGCAGGATTTTGAGCATCGTTTGCAAAGTGATGTCTCCTCACAAAACTCACAGATACATCTTCCTGGCATCAAGTGACCACTCGAGGGTCTCTTTCCGTTTCGCCGCCGCGATCGCGTCACTCTTAGCCTTCTTGGCGTCTTTCTTCTCCTTTTTCAGCACCTGAAAATGAAAAAAGGTCATTTTGGACAAGATCATGAAGAAAAACCTCAGAATGGGCCAAATGATGGAGGGCGCCAAATTTCCGAGCCTCTTCCAATTCTTCGTCGTCGGGCAAATCGTTGATTTGATGGCCTCGAGCCACCGAATTGTTGTTCTGGAATCATTTTCCTTCATTTTTCTTTAATAAAAATGAAACAAACCAAAAGAGGATCCCCAAAATCGGGTTTCGGTTCACCAGCACCCGGAGAAAAGCGTAAAGCAGCTCGATTTCGCTTCGAGACCTGGAAAATGTTTTCTCATTGATGAAATTGAAAAATAATCTCACTAAAAAATGACTAGCTCAATCACAAACTTTTTCTCGGAGTTAGAGTCTTATTTATTTATTTTTGTTTGTTAAGTTGTTATCGTTAATGAATAAAATTCAAGAGATGAAAATTGATAGATTCAGCTTCTTTTTTTCTTTTTGCAAAGATTCGGGCCTTTTTCTCGATTTTGCAGTCACTCTATTTTTTTTAAAAACGTACTTCAATTGTTCGCTTCAAGTCTATACATTCATATGATTATTGTTGGAATAAATTTGATTTTTTAAAATGTCCAATGAATATTTTGCCAGAAAGCCAAGGTACCCAATAATTTAAGAGGTGAGAAGAGATACAAAGAGTAAATCCGGTGATATCAATAAAAGATGAACGACTTTCTCAATGGCGACTTTGCCGATTATTTTCACATCGGGAGAATTATCCGACTTTTCTTGTTTTTCACGGTTTCTTCTACATCATTATCCTGTTTCTTCGTATTTCCATATAAGAAAGAACAGGTCTTTCAAGACGGTACACCGAAATTTCCAAATTTCATTAAAACTCGTGAAAAAAAAAGAAGAACAGTTAAATGAAACCATCTTCCTTTCTAAAATCGAAGTGGAACGGCCTCTTTATTAATTGAAGAGAATAAAGTTACAAAATACTTATAAATGTTAACGGTTCCCGCGGAGAGATTTATCAAACTATTCTTGCTGATTTTCCCGTTTACCTTGCACAGTCTCAAGTGGGACGCGATCCGCATGGCGCTAGAAGTCTTGAATCCGCAGGGACATTCGATTTTCGCATCTTTGCCGATTTCGGTAGGCCGGAAACCGCCCCGATCCGTATTGAGCGGCGCTTTTTTCCTCCTTCGATCTGCAACAAAATGATTATGTCTTCAATCCAAAAACTGGGCAGTAGATTGATTCAACTGAAGGAGTTTTGGAATAACCGCATAGTCGTTTATTTTGAGTCTTTTCAACTGGAACAAGTGATGATCTCAAATTTAGGCTTTCTTTATCAATCCCATTAATTGAGCTATTTATGGCATGTTAAACTCAAAAAGCCAGCTTCAAAACGCACCAACAAGCGTCTTGATGCACTCGTTCCGAGACTTCTTGAGGTCGACCTTCTTCGGCTCGCTAAACTTTTTCTTCCAGTTCTTGACCGGCTGAAACACATAAAAAATAAGAGCAGAAAATGAAGAAATATAATTCTTAATGAGGTTAATTTTTTGAGCGAAAAGGATAAAATTTCGATTTTATCAAATTTTCTGCTCCTTCCAATTCCTTTTTTTTTGCAAGTTTCAATTCGAAAGGGCAGCGAAAAGGTAATTGAGAAGGTAAATGAGGATGACACTATGAAAAAACTTGAAAATAACTTCACTTAACAGGTGCTCAATTCTTCTTTCCTAATCTTCTCAATAATTCAGTGACCACTCGACGTTAGCGCCTCTTAAACGTGACGTTAGCGCCTCTTAAAAGTTCACTGGAAAGAACAGAACCGTCCTTTAAGTTTTGAACGGCTTTTTTGAAACTTTTCTATCCGCAGCACCCTAACAGGGAAGGTTCACCTGGAAACAGTGAACAGTTGATTTCGTCATTTCTACTTCAAAATCTCGTTCAAGATTTCCCAAATTTCCCAGATTAACATTGTTTTTGTTACATTTGTATACCGATATCAGTTTTTAGGCCGTAAAGTTAAGAATTTTGTTTCTTCAAAATTTCTATAGCCTCGACTATGTTTATAAATGGAGTTGATGCGAACTGAGAATGAGGGGCCTTTTTTCACGACTTTTACTATCGAGTCGTTCCCTACCCTGACAGTAGAGGTCCATTTGGACGGAATCGGCACGTGATGCTTCTCTTTGTGTTCTTCGCAAGCACTCTTGCTGATGAACCGCAACGCACAGCGGTCACAAGGGAACGAAACGCCTGAAAATATCATTTCGATTCGATGAATTCGAACACTTTTATCACGAAGTTGTATCTATAACGTATGGAAATGTATCAAACGTATAGAGGTCTCAAACGTGTTCCCCCAAAGTGACCACTTTTGTCATGTTTAGTGCCTCCAAAGGACAGTAAGGTGGCCCCTAGAGTGCTTCCTCGAAACGACCCTAATAAGATCCCGAAGGTTACGGAATTTTCCAGAACAACTCGTCTCCCCACCTCGATGCTTCTTCATGTGCTCGACAAAGTCCGGAACTTTGATCGCGTCTTTTTTTCGGCAATTTGCCGGCATTTCGACGACGTGCGTACAGTATGGACACATAAGGGACCTAAATTCGAAATTGCACATGTTTTCGAAGGGAAAATTGATTGTTTACCCATCATCCATGTGGTCACGGATGTAATGATCAAGTAGATGAGTTCGGATCGAAGTTCTATAAGAGCATCTCTGGCACCAATACGGGGCCTCCTTGTACTTGTGCTTGGAAAGATGCTGGTTCTTCTTCAACTCGTCCGAGAACTGTAGAATGATTCACGTTTTCAAATGAAAGAAAAACTATATCGCGAGATTCGAATTTTCGGACTGTGCAAAATGTAGTTATCTTTTTCACTGTCTGACGGCTATTCCTCTTGAAAAAACTGCAGATTTTCCACTGGAGAAAAAAAAATTTAGTCCTCGAATTCCTTCAAAAATAGTTCCTAATTTAAAAAAAAAGCAAAAAGTGTACGAAATCTCAAACACCACTGAAAATAGCTCTCCGCTTCGAAACTTTTTGAATTTTCGCTTATAGTCCTTTAAACATACGAACCCTTTTTTTTCGCGCCGAAACTTTCATTAAATTCTCCTTCTCTCTTCGAAACTCTAACAACATTTCCTGAATGATTTTTAAATTTTTTTCAAATTTCCGTCGGCGAAATACATCCCCTGATCTTCGAGACCATCTTCCTCATTAAACTATGCGCCTTTAAAAATTTTTTTCAGACTCACATCGTATTCACAAATGTGACAAGCCGTATTCGTCGATGATTCCGGTTTCGAATGACACTTTAAGTAATGAACCTGTAAAAACGTTGATTTCATAATTTTTTTCTCATTTTTCGACAACCTGGAAAAGATACGGGGTCGCGAACATTGTCAAGCACTGCTTGCACTTTTTGTAATTGTCAAATTCGTCGACAATTCCTCGAACCCTGGAAAAAAAAAGAATTATGAATGGAGTAAATTTCCCAGAAAATTCAAATTTAAAAAAAACCAACATTTCTTGATTTTTCTTAAGTTTATCGTCTTCTCCAACTGCCGGACTCGTGACGTGAGAAACCAGATGATTGATGAATTCGAAGGCGTTTTTGAAGCCCCGATTGCAGTATTTAGGGTTGAATGTGCACTGCAATGCGAATGAAAATCATGTCATTCTTCTTGACAAATTTTTTTCTCAACCATTTTTTTCAAGTGTCGAGAAAGGTTGATTTTTTTACGACTTGATAAAAGTTATTTCTTTTTGAAAAAAAGTTTCAAATGTTTTTTTCTTTCAATGCGTCGGAAGCGATTTTCAAGAAAGAAAGTAGCGAAAGAAGTGAAGAAAAAATACTCGTAAAAAAATAGGACTTCGATCTAAAAAAACTTCTACTACTTTCTTTTTTTACGGGAAAAATATTGAAAAATCTTCCTTGTCAAGAAAAACGCAAGCAAGGCTGATCTTAGGCTGAATACGAACTTAAACGTACAGAAAAGCGGGAATGATTCCCGATAAGGTTTCAAAACACAATTTCAAGTTATTTGAAGCTGTTGACATTCAAAAAGCAATACGAGAAACAAATGCATTTTTTGAAAAAAGAACATCGAGAAAATAAATGAAATCAAACTCACCAACCAATTTTTTTTTTTAGAAAAAAGGTCTTTCTTATATATCCACCTAAATAAAAAGTAACTTTTTTAAAGGATAAAACTACTTATTCTCAAAAATTTTTTTCTCCAAACATATATGAAGTTCTGTTTTTTTGGAACTGTCTACTCCTTCTCTCCCAAGGGAAGTCATTTTACTTTGCGAAATTTTTTGAAAAATGGCCACAAAGCTTCTTGATGTGACAGAAGAAGTTCTTGAAAGTCTCAACCTGTAGATATCTCTAGTGCTAAAGAAAGAACACATCAAAATCCGTTAAAATGGGTAACTTGGGAGCTTCGAGCCAGGGTTGCACGAGAAGTAGTTTTTTGAGACCGAGACGATAAAAACCCCGAGACTAATTTTTAAAAAAAAGAAACGAGATCGAGAAAAAAACTTAAAAGTGGTCAAAAAAAGCGAAAAAAATGTTCGTAACATTGATTAAATAGAAAAAACGGGAAACGATAAAGATTTTCAAAAAAACTTCTGAAAAATTACTTTTTTTGTTTTCTTAACATTGAAAAAAATTCTAGAAAAATACTCTAAAAAAATAAAATAAAGAAATTCCGAAAAAGCGAAACCCTTACTTCTCGAAAAATTAGGAAGTTATGAAGACTGAGAGTCTTAGAACCTCATTTTGGTACAATGAAGAGTGTTGTGGCCAATTTCCCGGGAATTCCCAACGACAAAGTGAAATGACCTTCCTTGTCAGTTTCTTGCTTCAAAACAAACCGTATAGGCTCCTTTGAACTTCCGCCTATCGTCATAAAACGAATCGATTCTGTAGGCGATCTCGCCGCTCGCCTCGATCATGTACTCGTTGTTGCCAACGATCATGATTTCCTGGAAAAAAAAACATTACATTTTCTAATTAAAATAATATTCTGAACCGGCTCATCCTCTTCATCGGTCGAGTCCTCGCTACTCGAAACCGCCCTCCTCCTTGGCCTACCACGACGGCCGCCGCCTCGACCTCTCGTTGGACTGGAGGAAATTTATTTATTCATTTCAAAATTCCTCAGTTTCAAGGATTGCATATGTCATGAATACGAAGACGTAATCAGAAGCGCATAGAATAACTATAGTCTTTTCATAATTTGAATGTCAAGCAGTTAACTCTATGGCTACAGTAACTTTCGCGTCGATGTTCGACGATCCTTCAATAGTGCTACAACTTTTGATATTTTCTGATCTGATGGCTATAAAAAGAAGTCAAAAAGTGTAGCGCTATTAAAGGATCATCGTCACGCGCGATAAAAAATTAACGCGAAAGAAAATGTATCCAGGGAGGCGGAGTTAGCAGCTTGACATTCAAAATTTAAACAGACTATAATCTTCTATTTTTCTGCACAAAACTAACGGCGTGGGAGGCGGGATCGGTGGCGGCTTTCTGATGGGGAAAACTGAGGCCAAAGTTGGGGCAAGGGTCATTGGAGGCCTTTTGACGATCGGCATGGGTTTGGTCAAGACTGTCGTCCTCGTATAGGTCCTGACCGGGTAGTGAGGCTTCGAAATTGTGGATAATGGCGCTGTCTGAATAATATTTTTCAATTTTCAAATTTTTTCCTTTCAAAACCTGTATCATAAAATCGATATTCGTCCCACTTTTTATCCGATTCGCGTGCCACGTCTGCTGTGAGTACTTTTTCTGGAAACCTCCTCTGAAAATTGGGTGTTCAAGTTTGTTTCATTTCGAAAACAATTACACCTCGTCATAGGAATTCCCATCCCAAAACCGTTCCGTCCAACACTTGGAATTTTCCTCGGCGGCTCGAAAAGAGGATTGTATTCATTTTTCCGCTTCACCTGAAAAAAATAATACATAGAACATGGAAGATCTCGTTATCAGTTTTAAAGAAACTTCTAAAAAACCTAAAGAACTATAAAACTCGAAGAAAACATGGAACTTTCGAAAAGAATGAAAATTTTATTCACATTTTCTATGGAATTCAAATTTTTTTACTTTATTTTTTTAACATATATTTCACATATTTGTTTATTAATATTTCTCAACTGGAAAAAAACTTGAAAATTTTGAGGTTAAATTTTTTTGTTTCTCGAAATATCATACTCAGGCCAAAAGTGCGCGTGCGCGGCGCCTGCTGCGCGCACGCGCGGGGGTGTCTTTTTATTTTTTTGGCTTTTTAACTAACTAAAAAGTTATAAATTTAATATTTTTTTCATGTATGTTCATCTCCTATCATTGCTCTGCACCAGTTTATAACAATTAGAACGCCCAAAAATTTGAAATAACAAAGTTTCCCTTGACAATTTTTTTTCATAAATGTGTTCGAAAGTGCTCGGAACAACTTTAAAACGTGAGCAGGGGCACTAGGTAGTGTTACAAAAATATGAAAATTATATTTCAAAACCGTATTTCATTGGAAAAGGCGAAAAAAGAATTAGTACCCCCACGCGTGCGCGCACCAGTGCCTGAGATAACATTGGGTTGAAAGAAGCAAAGGAAAATTCATTTAAAAACAGATAACTCTTTTCATAAACTATATGAAATCATAAAATATTCTACGTCTTTAAATATCATGAAAAAAAATAATTTTACTTTTAAAACCACAAAAAAACAGAAAAACCAAAAGACACGCCGAAGTTTTCGAAAATGAAGTTTTTCCTACCTTTCACGCACAATTTCCGCAAACACCTCTATGATCTGGAGCGCCTCGAGGCGCGTCCGTATTTTTCTCTGCCGCGTACTATTTCTTCACTCTCTGATTGCGAGAAAACGACGAAATTGCATAGAGAAAAATTCGCAGCAGAGAAAAATTCGGGCGTGCCTTCAGGCGATCCAGCTCAGAGCTCACGTCAACTTGCTGGTTAGGGTAAAAAAATTTTTTTATAATTTTTTTACTCTTAATGCTTAGCCTGTCCTTTTGGGAGGGGAACTTTTTACTATAAAATATTTTTTTGAAAAAAATTTCAAAATCTTGCTTACTTCATTACTAACAGGCGCTACGATTCCATACGAGACCAAGTCGATGGGCCCGCCGGCAAAGACGTTGGCACAGGCCGAAACCCCTTGGCTCGGCATCAGAGGCGAGCGTTGCGGCTGTTGCGGGGGCCTTTGCGGTGGCCTTTGCGACGTCGTTGCCGGCATAAGCTCCGGCTCGTCGTCGCTCAGTTCAATGACTTCCATGTTAACTGTAATTCCTTTCTTTCGTCAAGGAAAATATTCAAAATTAAAAAAGAAAACGTACGAGTATGTGAAAAAACGATTAGTTTTTGACTAAACTATGGAAAAGCAGAAAACAGCTTTGAAGAACGATAAGTAGTGGAAAGTCGATCGGAAGAGTGATTTGAATGCAAAAAAAAATGATAAAATTTGATTGTTTTAAAGGAACATAGACAAAAATTCATGAAAGCCTTCAGCGTGAAGGTGCGCCTTTAATAACACAAAACTTGAAAGCCTCCCTCATTTCTCGTTTTTCCAGCGTATTTCTATATTTCCAAATGTTTCTCACCAAAAAAAAAGGAATAGAACAATGGAAAGTTTTGACAGAAAAACAAAAAAGGCACAAAACTGCAAGAAAACAGTAACGCGCGCTAGTTCGGAAAAATGCGGGAAAAGACGCGACGCGACACGCGGCGCATAAGAAAATTCTCGAGCCTCTGACTTGGCGCGTAGGTTGGTGCGACTGTTAGGGGAATTGAAGATTTTCTTTTTTTGAAGAGTGAATTTGTTCAAAAGCAAACAAAAAAACGACCAAAAACATTTTTTTATCAGTAAAAAAAGTAGAAATGATAAGAGTCCATTTTGATTTCAAAAAAACTTTGTTAAGGCGAACGAATCTATATTTCAAAAAAACAATGAGAACGTTTTTTTAAATCAACGCATTTTGAATCAGGGAACTTATGTAAAAAAAGCTCATTATTTTTGACGTTTTTAACGCATTTTTCCAAGGTTTTTGAGGATTTTTAGTGAAAATGAACTTTTTTTGATTCTCAATTTTCTAATTAAATCTCAGTCTTTGAGTAGAACAAAAGATCTTTCAAAGATTTCTTTATAAAATTAACCCTTTACTCCGAAATTTTTCGAATAAAATAAAACTCTTAAAAGATGAATGAAATAAACGTTAAAAAAGTTTCTGGCTGTTTTTTTACCTAGAAAATGGAAGAAACAGCCGTTTTTCAATTCGAATTGCAATAACACGGCTCAAAATGTACTTAATTCATACAAAGACAAGGCTGAAGGTTTTTCCGTTCGGCGGATGGGTGCCAGGCGGCACGACTTGGCACGGTGCCCAGGGTCCCTCTTTTCTTCAGCTGCCGTCTTTTTTTCTTCTTTCCTTGGTCAAAACTGGATTTCGGCTCTGCCGATGCATATTATCAATTGGAACTGGTTCTAAGCCATTTACGATTTGACTGACCATCTAAACATTTCTACAGATTCAAAATAACTTATTTAGCCTTTTCGTTGATCCACTTCAGAACCGTGCTTTTGCCGAATTCTCAGTGGAGATAATGATTCGCCCGGCGAATATAAATTTGAATTCAAAACTGAAAAGAAAAAAATCAAAGCGGTTTTTACGTTAGAAATTGCCTTTTAACATTTCATTTAACTCGAAAAACTTGCTTCAATTAAACATTTTTAACGTTCTTATCAACGAAAAAATTATTAGAAACAACCTTTTCTGGCTTTTTTTCAATAAGTTTAAAATAAAATTCTGAAAAGTTCCTCTTACTCTTTCTCTTCTTTGTTTCAGTTCTGAAATACCCATGAAAAAAAGAATAAATAGATTATAAAATCGTTAAAAAAATTTGAAATCGCAAAAAAAGTTATTTTTTTAAAAGTTCATTCACCTCTAGATATATATATATATATATATATATGCATGATATATATATATATATATATATATATATCATGCAATTTTCCAAACGCATGCAAATTGCCAAAAACATTTCTACAGAAAATTACATGTTATTTCCAAGTTTAAAGCCAAAAAAACTTGAAAAATTAATGAAATATAAACTATATTGAAAAAAATAAAAAAATATTAAAACCATCTATTTTCTTATTAAACCAACCTTTTCCAACAACTGTCATTTAACACAATCACTAAGAACGTCACAAAAATAGTCAAATTTGAGCGAAAAATGAAACAAAAATGAGCAATTTGTAGCAATTTGAAACGCACGAAATAGGAGAAAAGAAAACACAATAATAAGTTGAAAAATGAAAAAAAACGCCGTTCTCTGGAGCATCGTACCGGTAAATATCTCAAAAAATGAACTGTTCTCAGGAGCATCGTTCCGATAAATATCCAAAAATTATCAACGATTCACTGGAGCCTCGTACCAAACATTTCCAAATACGGGAAACCTTAAACTGGAGCCTCGTACCGAAAATTATCCAAATATGTTGATATATTTCTTCCGTAAAGCGTAGTGTGTCGTGTGCAAGCACTGCGGCGCTCTCGCACATGCCGTTCTCAAAATAATTTTCGCAAAATTCAAAGCCATCTCTGAATTTCCGAAATTCAGTTATATTTTTCATTCTCTGGCGGTTATTTTGAATTTCGCGGAATTTTTGAACACAGCATGTGCTTTTAAATAAAGAGAAACAGAAAAATCGTTTTTTTTTTCAAGTGTGAACACGATTCGTCTCATGACCCATTGAACATGCGCCTTTAATATTCCATGTTGTTTACGCGTGTTTCTCATGACGTCACATGAGAACGACGGAGATTTTGACTCCACCCTCTTTATTTTTGGTTTCGCATTTTTTTTCCCACTAACAAAAACGCCGTGCTTAGCGGAAACTAAATTTTGTCGAAACCGCGTCGCGTGAAGTGATGCGCAGCGGTCGAGCTGAATATTTTAAAAAACCGAAATTTTCAAATTTTCATGAATATTCGAGCTTTCTCTTACCGAAAATAGGGCACGTGTTGATCATTAAAAAAATTTCCATCAATTTTTTCCCGCATTGAAACAGGGAACATGGCTTGAACTTACTCTTGAACTGCGAGGCAAAAAGTTGCAAAAAAAAAAAACAAAACTATGTTTGAAAAATTTTTAAATTAATCATGATTTGAAAACGCTTTCCGTGCAATAAAAATCAAGATTTTAGAGAAACATAGGTTAAACGGTGCGATAATAATTGAAAAAAATCAAGTTAGAAGTTGAAATTAGTCAAATAAAAGGTGAAGTCAAGTTCGAACCACCGGCCGCTATACGATGGTCGGTGCGGCCGCGAAGCAATCGCCTCGGCCTAAAAGCGAGGGCCGAATTGGCGCTGGAGCAACCATTCCCCCCTCGCCCGGCGATCGATAAAAACGCGGCCCGCTCGCGATTCGGCCGTTCGTCTCGCACTTTTCCGTGCGTTCACGTCGCCTGACACCATTTTTCAGCCCGTTTTGGCAAGGTTCCAAAATGAAAGATGAAAAAAGGAGCTGATAAGGTTATTGACATGAACCCGAACTTTCTAATTTCAGCAGCCTTTTTCCGAAAAGAAACTTGATTTTCCAGACGCATTTTTCAAGCTAAAATTTTGAATCTACATTCAAAAAAACTTTTTGGCATTTTTTTCCGAATGAAATTAAATCTAATTGATTTTTTTAATGAACTTGTTAAAAAAATTAGGTTATCACCAAAAAACGACTCAAAAAAAGTTTATTATTTTTTTAAAATACGGTTACGACCAAAAAAACATTTTTCTTTGGGTCTTCTTTCGATTTTATTTATAATTTACGAGTAAATGAAATTATAGTTTTACTGTTGAAAAATTGAAAGTTAAAGATTAGAAAACTGAATATAAAAGGAAATTTTATAATTGAATAAAAAAATTCATCAAACTAACAACATGGCAAAAACTTATTTCATTTCTTATTTTTCAATTTCATTTCAATTATACCTGGTTATTCTTATAATTTATCTCATCAAAGTTCAGTAGTTCTTGACAAGGACACATTCCCGCTATCCGAAGTTTTTTTAAAGTCCTTTCAAAAAAATTTCCTAATGCACATATTGATATACAAGTCGTTCGGTTTTTTTAATAAATTTTTGAAAGTTTTTTTTAAATTCAGAACTTCCAATTTCCCCCAAAATGGTAGATTTTTGATTGTGGTAAGTTAGTTTGAAGATTTCGAAAAAAATCAAAAAAATTAGGGACCGATTTTTTTTCTTTAATGCGGCCGTTTTTTTAAAATGCGACTGCATCTTATTTTTCGTGAAATTAATTTGAATCCGTTTTTCGCGTCTTCAAACTGCTGTTTTTCTCTGCGCCCTTCTCGTCTCTCTCATGTTGCCGTGCTATTTTTTGTTTCTCTGACCTTTCCGGTGAGGGAACAGAGAGACGCAGACACTCGAAAAAATTGAAGTTTCGGTGAATGGACTATGATAAATTTTAAAATAGAAAAAAATTGAAGGAAAAAAAAATTAATAAAAACGGTAAATCCCAAAAAGCTGGGTGCGAAAAAAAGTTCTTTAAGAGATAACAAAATCGGTTCAAAAGGGAGCTTTTTCCAAGCAAAAAAATCCAACAAAGGTCAATTGAAAAAAAAATCTTTATCATTCTAATAAAAAAAACGATACGTTCAATCGGAATCAATAAATGGAAATACATAGAAATCTGTGTTCTCTTTTCTCGAATTAGTAGATCAAAGGGTAAAGCGGTCCATCGACTAGAATTATTGGAGGATTTGACAAGAATCGATGAGGATAAAAACAAAAACAAAAAACCGGATTTTCCCCGACTTGGCCGCATTTGGAATGGCTCGAGCCATTTCAAGTTGCGACCATCGACTAGAATGACAAGAATTCTCGGATATATATTAAAGCTACTTCAGTATATAAACTCTAGACATTTATCTAATACAATCTGTGCAAAAGAAAAACAACAAGAAATTCAGAAAATCTAGGAAAAACTAACTTTTTTTTCGGAAGAGAAAATTAAACCTGAGCTTGAAAAAAGGTGGCTCGGCGTATTATTGATGAAAAAAAATAACAATGAAATAACAGTGAAAGATTGGGCTCTGTGGAAAATGCAACAATTATGATGGTTTTGAAAAAAAGAAAAAGACACAATTTTATTGAATTTGAGAGTTTTTTTTTGCAGAATATTAGAAGATGGCAAGGTAAAAAAGCCGCAGTGATGATGGGAATGTGCGCTCCACGGATAAGAAGAGAGATTTAGACTCATTCTTGTGGAATTATTCGTAGAGAACAACCAGAAGGGTATTTTTCGAAATTTTTTTAGAAAAAATTACAGAAAACAGAACGAAAAATGGAAAAATTCGACGTTTTCGAGCAAAATCTGCAGAAAACCTCTATGTCCTTGGAGCATTTTTCAATCTACTTAAGAGGCTTTTTTTTCCTTATCCTCCCAAAAAACCTTGCTCAATTCATGAAGCGCTTTTTCACCCGATCCCAAGGCCAAGTTTTCATGTTATCTTCGAAAAAATCGTCAAAAAAACTCTCCTTGTCCATGGAGCATAGTTCGATCTAGCCACAAGGCTATTTTTCCCTTAAATATTCAGAAAACACAGTTGTATCCATGGAGCACCTTTTCCCATGATCTTAAGGCCAATTTTTCGCAAAATTATCAGGCCATTTCACTCAGTTTGAAGGCGGTTTTTTTTTTCAAATTATCTTTCGACAATTACCAAAAAGGGTACTTAGTCTCACCTTATCAACACCCTGCTCGCAAAAAACAAGGAAAATGTCAAAAAAAAAACAAAATCTATTCGGGCATCATGAGCCGACCTTGTTGGGCGGCCGAGTTTCGTCTGGAGAAGGACGGGGGCGTGGCCTTGGACTTGCCCTCGAGCTTAATCCCAAAACAATCAAAACCGTCGTCGGTCGGGTGCACAGTTTCACCCACCTTGTGCACTTTGGTGTGTCGCTTGCGTTCGTCGCTTCGGGCGAACTTGCGACCGCAGACGTCGCAGGTGAAGGGCTTCTCGCCGGTGTGGGTCCGCATGTGCGTCGTCAGGTGGTCGGACCGCGAGAAGGCCCTCATGCAGGTTCGGCACTGCAAAGTTTTGACTTTTTCTTTTTCTTCACCAGTTTTGAAATGGTTGTTAATCCGTCGCGACTTGAGAGGGGAGATTGGCAAAGACGACGTGGTCTGTGCGCGGGAAACTCTATGTCAAACGCCCCCCCTTTCACGTCTTTTTTTATTTTTAAAGAGTTTTTTTCAAATGCTTTGAGATTTTTAAAAGCTTATAAAAAAATTCAATTCAACGGATAAACGTTTAAAAAAACGAAAAAAACCTTATTTTTCTGCTAATTTACCAATCTCGCCTTGCAAGCCGGCAAAAAAATTTGCTATTAATATATTCTTTCTCGGCTTTAAAATATCCCAAAGAAAAAGATAATCATATTTTTTTTTGCAAAGAGATTCCTTCAAAAGCTTCTAGATGCGGAAATTTCGCGCTATCTGAACTACTAAAAGTCGGAAAATGATACCTGGAAAGGCTTCTGGCCGGTGTGGATCCGAATGTGGCGGGTCAGTTCGTCGCTTCTCGTGAATCTCCTGTCGCAGCCTTCCCTCGGACATTTATAAGGTCGGTCTTGTGAGCCGCCCGTGCTCTGAAACTTCTTTTTTCAAGAAAACATTTTGAAATTGAAAAAAATTTCAACCCAACAAAAACGGCACAGAATCATTGTCTTGTTCAAAAAAAGCTGATTTAAATATTCTGAAGCAGGAAAACTTGCTAGTTGAAAATACGATTTTTGAAGCCCAACATTCCCTACTAAAACCTTCCTTTTTGAGTTTCCGGACGTTTATAATGACTATTGACAGCCGTCTTCACTCTTTTTTTCGATATTTAAATTCCAATTATCTCGTAAATATACCAAGAAAAAATGCTAAAATCTCAGAACCTTTGAATAAACTTTCTTTTTTCATCTTACCAAACATCTTTAAAAAAAAATTCTCATTGCGGTTTTATTTGAAGTTAGCCGGTATATCCAGATAGTAACCTATTTTAGAAAAAATCTTGATAAAAACTTTTGAAGTAGAAACCATTTTTAAAGCTTGATATTAACCCCTGGACACTTTTTTCTGTTTTTGTATATCCTTATCATATTTATCACACTTTCTTCTCATTTTTCTTTACCTGTCCCAACTTGATATCATCAGGCGAAGGTGGCATTCGTCCCATCATATAATCGCTTGTATCTGCAAATTTAGTGTGATTCTCAGCTTCTTAAGGGGTCTTTCAAGGGTCCCTTCAAGGAACTCCTTGAGAGATCTTTCAAAGACCGCCCAGAAGTATATTTAAAAGATCTCCTTTTATCCGACTTTTACATGGAATTTTGTAGAAAAACTAGAAAATAGTAGCAGTAAAGACCAGAAATATCATACTATAGCCATTAAAAGAAGACATTTTTCAAATATCTCCCTGATTAACTCACCCATATGTTGGGGGTACATCTGTTGGCCATAGGTGTAGTCGTCGATGGGTTCCGGTTTGGGCTCGAACATCATCGAGTCACTGAGAGAAAGGAAAATCATAAAATGTGTACATTTTTGGTTTCCAAGGGTACCTATAGTGATGGCTACCAAAAGACGACGTTACTGGAATGTTTGGCGGCTGTGCCGGTCCCGGATGACACTGATTTATGCCCTTAAAAGAGATAAATTTCGTTTGGAACGAACAGAAAAAAATAGGATATTTCTCTCGAATTTCTGGAAAAAAATTCACTAAACAAAGTTCTATAAAATTGAGAAAATATGGAAAAACCTAAATTCGACGAGCTTTTCATATTCTGAAAAAGACCTACGAGGTGAAAAAAAAATTGAGAAAATCCCGTATTAAAAAAAAACTGTTCACAGAAACAATCAACAGCAGGAAATGAGCAGAAAAACCGCAAATTAAATTTTTAGCTCAAAGAACGAAAAAATTAGGAGAGAAGTAAACATGTCTTTTTTTGAATTTAAAACCAATTCGATCATTACCCAAAAGTTTTAAAACTCAAGGAGAAAAAGTCGATTCGATTTTCAGTTTCAATTTTTCCATCTCTCTCTTCTTGTGAATCAAACTATTATTATTATTATTAATATCCAAAACAATTTCAAACAACTTCTGAATAAACGAAAAAAAGAAGAAAAAGCCGAGAAATGAACCTGAAGAGGGGGCGGGCGGGTCTGGGACTGGCCCTTGGTCCGCCTTTTGTTGCCCGGCGGCGTCCCATCTTTCTCTTTTGTTTCCGTGCCGTTCTGCGAAATTTTAGTTCACGTTCAGTTTTTGAGCAAAAAAATTATATAATTTTTGGGTTTTAATTGACGTCAGATCAGGAGCCGAATCACGGCTAGCTTGAGATTCAAGAGGGCGTGGCCTGTCTGCGCTCTCCCAAAACCATACACTTTCTCTTTTCATATCGTGTCAGGACCCTCTTTTCGAAAGCTCAAGCCAGCCAAATTAGCCATAAATTCTGCTTTTTCTTGTTCTTTTCCGTACAAGAACAAACTTCCCATTTTCTTCTCCCGTCATACATTCTTCTTGAAATTTTAAAATAATCTAGCACCAACCTTCATTAAATCGCTCGAATCACTATTCAATCCGGGGATTTTAGATTCGACAATTGTCAAATCAGGCAAACCACTACTCTAAAAATAACGAATTTATGAGAGAAAAATGGAAAATTTGAACCTTAGAAAGAGACTGAAGGAAATGTTCAACCATCGGCGAAAATTGGAACATCGAGGCGGATAGACCTGAGAAAATCAATTTTAAATGCCGTTTTTAGATAAATTTGGAATGTAATATAATGGAATGAACTATTTTTTTTGTTATTAAGAAACCAATTGAGTACCCGGAGAATTTAATCCGCCGCTCAAGCCGACGGGCATGTTCGTCGTGATGGTCCCATTGAACTGAATCGTCGTTTTTTCTCTTCGGGCCGAAATTCCGCCCGAACTGCTCCCGGGAACACTTCCAGTTGGGATCAGGCTTTCTAAATCGTTCAAAATAAGCTAGTCGATGAGAAAAGACATTCAAAAACTGAAATCAACATAAATAGTTTTCTCACTTACAAAAAAAATGTAATACAAATGAGTTTTTAAAAAAATAAAAACTATTTTAAGAAACCATCGTAGGTGGAGCTGATGATTTTTTTTTAGTATAATGCAAAAGCTACCGCTTATAAGGTTCCTCAAAGACTACTTGGAGAGGACACTAAAGTGGCCACTCAAAACACCTCTATGGAAGCCACTATTTTGCGTCTTAGTGAAAACTGTAGTAGTTTTGGTAGTCTAGTAGTATCGCTTAGACTTCTAAAGAGGTTACTAATTTGACCACTACAGTGGTCACTAAAACGTCAAAACCCCGAAAGGGCCACTAAACGAATTTCGATAGCTTTCAAGGTTATTTCATTTTTGAATCAGTTCATTTTCTGACTAAAAAGGGAATTTCCCACGTTCATGATTTGGAACCGGAAGGTTCGTGGTGGTCGTCGGCGGCGGCAGCTGATGATGATGGACAGGACCCGGCATCGCCTGGTGGGTTATCGATTGAATCTCAATGTTCCCTGAAACATAGGAAACTTTTGCAGGTTGAGACTCGGAAGCTTCTTTTGGTGTGTCAAGGAATTTTTGGCCAAACTTCAGGAAATTCCCAGTCGCAAAGTCAAATGACCTCCCTTGTGAGACATTCAAGAAATGGGAAGTAAAAATTCGGAACCTCAACTACCTTTTCAGTGATTTCAAGACACGCCAGAGTCTATTTTTCCGAGGATTTTGAGGAAGTTTAATTGTTACTCATTAATCTACCCTCAAAGGTAACTCAAACAGTCAGTTTCACCTGAAACTCAAGCAGGACCTCTTATCGAGCTCAAAAATTAAAAACTACTGTTATTCCATTCTCTATAACTTTAAACAACTAACTTTTTTTCCCCCACTAAATTGCTTTTTTTCAAAAATTTTATTCTTATGATTTGGTTATTGAAAAAAACTGAATCCCTTAAAATTAAAAATACTACGAATGAATTTGGCGAAATTTCTAAAAATTCAAAAGTAAACTTTACAGTAAAATGAAGCTTTCCCAGTAAATCTATCGACAAACAGCAATCTTCCGTATTTTTAAAAAAGATTTCTCGATACCTGAGTTCTCTGAAAAAAAAAAAAACATAGATTATTCTCAAATTTTCCCACAAGCTTGATTCGGAATAGCCTGCAACTGTAAAATTACAGCATTCCTCCCAAAAATCAGAGTTTCCCGACAATATTGTGATGAAACGGGTCTTGTTGGCGACGATCTCACCGGTCAAAAGGGGCTCGTGATCGCCGAAGAAGGTCTGGTTGTTTTGCGGGGTGAAACCGCTGAAATGCTGAAACCGCGGAGTGCCCTCCAGAGTCAGCGGCGTCTGCTTCGGCGAGCTCAAGATCGTCGGCGTCTGGAGAATCGATTTACTTTTCATCTTTTAGTGCTTTATTGAACATGGAGAATCTTTCTGCTTTTTGGTTGGGAATTTCCTGAAAATTGGCTGAAGCGCTAGTCGATATATCAGGAATAGACCCTGGGAGTCTCAACTTGCAAAACTGCCTATTTTTTGGGATAGGACATCAAAAAATCAAATAAAATCCTTAAAATCCATTAAAACGGACAATTTGAGGATTTGGAGTTTTCATTTCTAGAAAAAAAAACAGTTTTGCAGGTTGTGACTTCCAGGATATCATCCAAGAGTTTTCCGACCAGTTTTTCAGGAGATTCCTAAGGACTCTGCATTGTTTCCAAGTAATAAAAAAGATGATTCAAGACTGTGTTTTTGATTTAATCATTGAAATTTTGCGCACCTTCGATTATCATCAAAGGCCAAGTTTCAGAAAAATCCAGAGCAAAAAGTAAATGTGTTAGTGGTGAAAGGAGTATTATACTTCAAAGTTCGAAATTTCCTGCGATCCAAAACGACTCAGGCAATATTTTCGGAACGCAGGCCAAATTGAAGCATTTGCACGGAGATTTGCCTTTCAAAACTTTTCGTCAACTGTATTGGATGAAAAAAAAACGAGAAATTCAACAAAGGATTTGAGTTTTCCAGGGAAGAGGAGTTTTTTTTTGAGAGAAATTATTTTTAAAAAGTTTAGAACAAAATAATCTAGGCTGAATCCGCATGGATTATTTTTATTTCTAATAAAACGCGTCCGGAAATCGTTCTTAGAAAGGCCAGAGTGGTCCCTCTAGGGTTTAAGGGGGAAAAACCGTTCTCTTTAAAACAAAAATAACCCCCCTATAGAGGTAAAATTCAGGCAAGCCGAGTTATCTGCTTAACATTAAAAGTCTAAACAACTTAGGAGGGGATAGAGTGGTCCCTATTGGGGCAACGCAATGGACGAACCTTCAACATATCGCTCATCGTAGGTGTCCTTAAGCAATCATGGTCCGACAAGGACAGAAGCGGCTTCGAAGGCGGTTTTAATAAACTAGGTGCCGTCCGCATTTTGGTCGTCGGCGCGTGCAGCGACATATCTGAAAATAGAGCCGTTTTGAAGAGAATTTTCGATATAATCTGCTCATATTTTTAATTTCAATGACGTCATTCGGAAAGGCTCTCGCGCTCTAATTGGTTAAGGGTTTGAGCGACAGCTTAAAATTCAAAATCTGGACAGAATGAAACGGTCTGAGAATATTCGAACTCAAAAAAGGGGATAAACAGGAAAAATACAAAAAATTTCCTAAATACGATTTGTTTAAAAAAAAAGTTCATGTCCGATTCGATTCATTTCTCTGTTTCTTTCTTCATTAATTGCTAATTTGATCAATCTTCAGGAGTTTGAAAAAAAGTTAAGGATAATAAAAACGAACAATTTCAGAGTTTTAGATGAAGTAGGACAATTGATGAAAAACGAATATTACCCAGCTAAAAAAATTTTCTTTGGAACTGTAAAGTTACGCGAACTTTTCTAGACTTCCTTGAATAACTATTGTTTTTAATTTTCAAAGTTCCATCTAACATGTAACATAGGAACGCCAGAGTGATCGCTATAGGGACTCTTTAAAGCAAAAAAAAAAAACCAACCTGATCCCAAAAAGAAAAATCCTCCTTCTCTAATAAATTTGCCTTCAAAAACGCCTTCCGCTAAAAAACATCCGCCTGAAAATCGGAAATTTATGGAAAAAATTTGATTGTATGAAAGGTATTAAAAGATCCCCTATCGGAGAACTTTATACCAAAAAAGCGAGAAAAACGATAAAAAATGGGGTAATTTTATTCGCACAGAGATCCTTAAAAATTAATGAAAGCATAAGTTACAAGTTAAGATTGAATTTAAATCTAATTAAAAATTTGAAAATAAAATAATAAAGTGGAATGTAAAAAAACGACAGATGAGCGAAATTCACAGCCAAAAAGTGATGGGAAACTCGTAAATTCGGAAAAAAATAAAAAAATACAACAAGTAGTTACAGATTTCGAAAATAAATTGAAAAAAATTAGTACTAAAATTAATAGTCAACATATTTATACGGGAAAGATTCGATGGAGACATTTTCATTGACCAAATACATGAAAATGTACTCGAAATTGAGAAGAGGCACGTCCGCGTGTTTCAGTCGCTTCATGCTCTGAAAAAAGTGTATTCGAAAAATCTTTGAAAGGAGTCTAGAATATGGACAAGAAAAAGCGCTTTGGGAGCGTTTTTGGCGCCAATTTTCGATCTTTCCGAGTTTTTTGAGGTAAAAACTAACTTTAAACATCAACTATATTCAAGTTCAAAACTTCAACTATTGCGATCATTTTTGAATTGGCGCCTGAACGCATCGCAACCGCTTCGCAGACGAACTGCAAGTGTGTTTCCGGTCAAGGGAAGGGAAGGAATGACCTCGCGATCCCAGGGGAAGGAACTCGAGACGAAGACGAAGCGAGGTCGGGTCGAGAGGACGTCCAAGAAGTCGTCGACGATGTTGATCGTCGCGCCGCCGGCCATCAGAATCGGGATCACGTTCATCGTCCGCTCGTCGTCCTTGTGCACCACGCAGCGCCATCCGACGAAGGCCCCGTTCCGTTCCTGGAAAATAAACTTATCATCCAGACTATCTATCAAATCTCGACATTCTACTCAAAGATAGAGTTCTATGCAAAAGTAGAGTTTTTTCGTTTAGTCTTATCAATAATAAAAGATTTTTTTTTGGAGAAGTTGAAAATAATAGAAAAAGTACCGTCAGAAAAGACAATAATTATTTTACACAAAAAAGCCAATTTCAGAAGCCTCTACTCATTGAATGAAAAACGAACAGTTTTCTGTAAAAATTCACAAAAATTTATGATTTTTCCCATCGCTCTCAAGAAATGGAGCTTCAAAAAGTGATCAACCTTCTGAAAAACTGAAATTCAACTCTCTAAAGACACGCAACAGGTTGTGTGCCAGTCTACGGACCAGAGGGTCACAAGTTCGATTCCCGCCGCGATCCAACCAAGGGGTTTAAGGAATTTGGATAGTGGGAAAGCACGACTTCGAAACCCCCACAAGGACGGATAAGGGACTAGAGCCAGTCCACTGATAACAGGACAGGACCATTCATCATCGAATTGGTTCCACGAGGAACAAAGGCGTAGGAAGAAGAATATCCAGCTCTCTACAGTTGTTTCCCTTCGAACTCACCCAACAATTGGAGTTCATGGGCGGCATTTCGGAAATGCGCTGTCGCCAGCGTCGACAGCATCGCGCCAGTTGGATTTCTTGTTCCGTTGCAGATCTCTCGACCCTTCCTTCACACCATTCGTAGCCTTCTTCGGGAAGCCATCGTCCGGCCTCAAAATGTTCATTAGCGCTTAAGGAGTCCCTTGTGCCATTTTAGTCCTCTGCGAAATAATTTACTAATCTTTGTTCAGAACATTTCGTTTTCTATTTCCAAAATTGCAAAACTTCCATTAGGCAGTCCAGGACATGAAACTGTTTTTCTAAATTGCTCTTTTACAATTTATGTCTGTTTTAATAAGTCCATTTTTCTAAGCAAATCGAAAGTGTGAATAAAAACCGAAATTTCGCTTTCTCAACTACTTCAAATTCAAATTGCTTGAGAAAAAACGCAACTTTCATTGAAAAAGAGCTTTTCAAACAACAAAAGAACCTTAACACAAGCGTCCATATATTCCGGTACGAGGCACCACTTTCCAGCCGCCACCATTGCAAGTTGTTTCGTTCCTCGGATCTGATCAGAAAGAAAATGATAATAATGACAATTTTATAAAAGTACGTGAAAACCTTAAAGAGCCAAGAAAAATGAAAACGCAAAAAATCGATTTTTTCATTTATACGGGCTTCAAAGACAAAAAGAGCCAAATAGTTTTGAAATCTTCGTTTTTCAACTAGAAATAATCTGTAAACTTTTTCTGAAACGTGTTGACTAAAAAATCGTTCACGACGGTTCGAAAATTCATATTCAAACCAAAAATCGTCATACACTTCAAATTTTCCCCCTCTTTTTGACTTAATTTTACGAGTCTTTAAAATTAAAAACATAACCCAAAAACTTTCTTCTCACTGACTAAAAATAAATTACTTTTTTAAAGCTCAGATGAGTTTTTTTTAATGTTACCTTCCAAATTCTTCGGAGTTCAAAGAAAATGGACAAAATAAAGGCGATTAAGAAAGTTGAAAAAGGGACATTTTCCCGTTCTGTGGCCATTATAAGCTTTGAAGGTGGGATTAGGAAATTTCTACATTAGAAGAATTGATTCTCGGACCAAAAACCATAATCCCTCACTAATTTCGTGCAGAGCAGATGGGTCGAATCGCGGTGATAATCGGGATCGACGCGGCCGCCGAGGCCTTCGATATCGGCTTCCAGTGATTTTCGGACCTGCAAATGGAGCAATTTGAATCAAGAACAGAAAATGCCTAATATTTGGAATAAGAACAAAGAGCCTGCGAAAACAGGAAGAACGGTGTAAAATCAAATACGAAATTCTTCAGAGAGATTAATTTCTTTTTTTAAGAGTTTATTATATATATTTTTTTCTTTTTTTCTATTCATTTTTCATTTTCTATTCATCCTATTTTTTTATTTATTTTTTTCTTTGTAAATTTTTAACAGAGCTTACACCGCCAGAGTGGTCCCTACAGGAGTATAATTCCGGCGATCCTTGTAGAGGATCAGATATAGCCTTGACCTTTCATTTCTTTGTTGTAACTTGAAATATAAAAAAGGGTATTTAACAAAAATTTGTCGATTATTCCACTTTTGATATTTTTTCATTCAAGAAGCGCTAACTTATTGAGTTTTTCATGGAAATAGCGTGCACCCTTATAGCCCATTTATCCCTCAAGTACCTCCTTGGGGAAGCCGCTGAGAAGAAACCGCCGCTGATAGTCTTGAACAGAAGACGGATCCCGGGTGTTCTCGAAATCCTCATCCATCAACGCCGGCCGCATCGCTTCTGGTGTCGAACGACGAAGACTGAATCCGATTATTTTCCTACGACGCTCCAAATTACGTTGAATTTGATAACTTTCTCAAGAAAAGTTCTTTGAGAATTTCATTAACTCATGACTTTTGCTGCATCAAATTAGGATTTTAAGGAATCCGAGGTGGTGTGAAACGCCATCTAGAGCTTGTGTCGCTGGGTTTCTAAAAGTTTTCAATCAAAAATTTTCCTAACTGGTTGTTCCTCATCTTCAGCCTTAGTACTACATATGAAAAATTCTCGATACTTTTAATTATTCCATTATTTCCCTACAATGCTACGAATTACGTCGAATTTGGCAATTCCTGCTGAACTTTCGAATTTATTCAATCAAAACCCATCAATAAATAAATCACCTTATTTTTTGCAACATCAAGATGGTATGGCGATGCTTTAGGGAAGAAGAAGAACACAAGGTAATTAACCACCTATGTAACCCCCTTCATTTTTTGGGAGTTAGCCTTGACGATAAAGGATGTTTTGTAACTGGATGGGAAATCATGCAAAAAAATGATTGGGTATTACCAAATCTTCTACCAAACGTTTAATAAACCAAGGAAGTTGAAGATCTAGAAGTTCAGTACATTATATTGTACTCTACGGAAACAAGTCTTCCTTGAATTTCTCTGGACAGATTTCAACCGATTAACCTCATTTTTCTCATTTTAACCTTCGAAACTTACATCAAACGTGCTTCCGGCGGCAAGCTTATAGTGCTGGCATTTGAAACGACCGTTGAGAATTCTTTCCGGTTTGGCTCGAGTTTTTTGTGATTTTCATTGGCCGACAGATTCGTTGCTTCCATGTTCTATATAAAAAAAAGAATCTTCCAAATAAAATCAAAAAATCAGGAATTTTTCGAGTTCTAAACTATGTTAAATAAAATTCCAAAACGCTTTAAACTCCATTCGCCAAAACTTGGAACTGCCTGACTTGTCTGCGCTCTCTTTTTTCTCACTGGCGACGTCATAGGACATGGTAATAGCGCGAAAGAAATAGAGGTGCAGAGAAATCTTGGCCTGAAATAGAAATAATGAATTTTTCCTCACATCGCAAAGCTTTGACGTTTCTGAAGATCCTCCCGACGGCGTTCTTTTCGCTGGAGGGACATTTTCAAGAGGTTCCTGAAACAGAAAATGCGAAAAAAAAAATGAAAGATTAAAAACGGCAGCATCTACGCGTGAATAATATGTCGCCGAGATTTCATTGCTCATCTTGCTTTCTACAAAGTATCAGGACTTTTGAGTATTGAGAAAAAAACTTTACTCTCCTATTCTGGAAAAAGAGGACAGAAATTCATAATAAGAATGTAAAATCTCTACTCGAATTGGTCGCTCTCTTTTCGAGGCTTCCACCTATAGGTATAAAGCCCGGTTTCCGGGCACCAGCACAAGGGCAGCTCGTCGTCGATCTACCATCAGCGACCTCGCTTTTATCCCGCGCCAAACTAGACAGATAAATTCATTTCACAAGAAAGCGAGCTCTTTTGCATTGGATGATAGCAAAATTGTGCCGTTTGTAGCCGCGCCTAAGATGTATCTTCTTCGGAACAATATCGCATTTGTCTCGCACTCAAAAGTTTCTTTTTAATTACTTAAAAGCGAGACCGCACCAAGAGAAATGCGAAGTCGCGCCTGCAAGAATTGCGAGATCGTCGCGATCTCGCACCGGACTGAGTAGTTATCTTAGAAACATTTGAAAACACAAAAAAAAACCAAGAACCTTGGTCCGAAGTCGCTTCAGACCATTTGTCGAGGTGTTCGAGGCGATTGAGGCATTAGCAGATGCGCCCCGACGCGAAATCTCGCCTCCGTTGCCAATATCATTAGTCTGGAATCCGAAAAAAGGGCGGTCTGATATTCCGGAATCGAGAATGAGGGAGAGAAAACGAGGAAGGTTTTAACTGATGATGAAAGCAACAGATTGCGTGCCGCCCTCTCTTTCCAATCGGAGATCAGAAAAAAAAGCCCTACTAAGGTCTTTAAAGGAACTTATTAATTAAAGGTCTCGAGACTAAGTCTCATTTTTTAAAAGTTCCAGGGAATTTGGATCTTTCAAAATCGTCAGGAAGGTCTTTCAGAAGGTCCCTAAAATATAGGAAACTGGTGCCAAACTGGCAAGCTTCTCAAAGCTTCCAAAAAGGCTTCAGAGAAAAAAAAAGATTATTATAGTTTTTTGTTGATCTTCATTAAATGATGTCTTGCTATTGAAGGACTTCTTTCGCTAAGTTATTTTTTGATTCCCTACATTTGTCACTTAAAAAAATAATATTAAAAAAACTACGCAAATCTTTAAAAACTTCAAATAAAACCTAGGAAAATCAGAAAAAAAATATATTCATCCCCAAAAATCTATCCAAATGGTTAAAATTTTGAAATTTTGATCGTAAAGCTTTATAATAAATTGCAGCTTCTGAGTCTTGTTTCAGAGATTAGGACTAGCTGGCGCTCAGAAAAATTCCAACATTTTTTTCTTCAACCACAGAAAAAAAATTTTTTTGGATTAAGTCTGAAGTCCTTTGCAAAAAATGGTCGGTACATTTATTAAAAAAAATTCGAAAAAAAAAATTAGAATTAAAAAAAATTCTTCTTTTTGTTTGTTAAAGTTCTTTTACTTCAATCACCCTTGGCTTTTTTCTAGTGATCACTTTAGGGGACTGACGTCACAGTGTCCGAGGCGCATCCGGTTCGGTCCGAGTTTGTCAGAGTTTGTCTTTAGAGCGAACTTTCCGCTTCCAAATCGCCAGACCAACCTTTATCTTCTCAAAGTGTACACTAGTGGCACACTTGACATCCGCCGGCGGATCAGCCAATCTTTTGAGAACGTCTTCTCTCCGTTTCTCTCTGACTTCTTCTCCAAGGCTCGGAACTTCTTCCTTGACTCCGGTGCGTTGAACCGCCTCGTGGAGGATTCGTCCAACGAATGTGGTTGTCTGGAAATGATATGATATAACCGATAAGACTGAAAAAAGCCTCCAAATTACGAAAATCGGTTGTCAAACTCTTGGTGGAGTTTTTGAGGCGCAAGGTCTAAATTCCTTGAATGTTCCCAGTAGGAAAGCTGTTTCCCAGTCTTACAGCTTTTTTTTTTGAAGTTCGAAGCATCAAAATCTGGATTTCGATGTTTTTTTTTAGAGTCAACCAAGTCTTACAAAAATCGTGTTGATTTGAACACGAATATTGGGATTTTGAACATTCCGAGAGACTAATCTAGCTTTTAGAAATCGATCTCATTTGATTTATAAAGAAAAAAAAATTCCGAAAAGCAACCAGAATCCGAAACAAAAAATCCAAAACTTTCAGAAAAATCAACGAACCATAGTTTCATTGGCCTCTTTCTGCGCCTTCGGCGACGGAATCGCGTCGAGAACTTGAGTCAGACCGTCGAGGTTCAGACTGTAATCAATTAAAATTTGAATTGAATCAAGAAATGAGAATATATTCTCTTTCAAGCCTGATAATTCTCAATTTATTAATTAAGGTTTTGAATCGAAAAGTCACAAACAATTCAGGTTATTTGTGTTTCAAGTAATAATTTATCCAAGAAAGAGAAAAAAAGTTGCCATATCTTCCGTTTTTACCCAGATGAGAACAGAGCTTTCAAATTTGCCGAAAATAAAATATACAACAACTTCAAATTTAAAAAAAAAACGTCTATATACACTTTTTGGTTCTAACTGTAACATTTTTCTCAACTAAAACGCTTCGAGCCATTCCAAATGCGACCAAATCTTCCAGGATCGCTTAATGAAATGTATATATATATATAGAAATGAAAAGCAAAATCGCAACATCAATGTCCAGATTTTCGTCCTAATAATCCAATAAAAAGGCGGATTAGGATGCAACTTTTTTTCTCTGTCTCTTTTTCTCTGGCCTACTTCATTTTGAACGGCTGTCGATAATCCAAGACTTCCTTCGACCGGGGCAACACGTGTTCCGGCACCTCGGTCTGCAACAATTAATGGGTTCAATGAGAAGATTGGAGTCTGCTCGCAAAATCTTTGCCGGAGGTGTTCAAAGAACCATTGGGAAGATTTGTGGAATTATAATAAAAAGCAGTTTTCAGTGTTATTTTAAGCTGAAAAGTACTTCTTGGCTTTCAAAAATAAAATATTTGAAGAACTTTAACTCGGAAAAAAGATTATTTTATAAAAAAATCAACTCAAAAAGGAATTTTTTTAGTGCAATTTTTGAATCAAATTCGGTTCTTAGGATTTTTTTCACAAAAACCGACTTGACCTTGAAAAAAAGGGCAAATTTTATGAAATGAGAAATCAGTTTTTCCGTGTCATTTTACAACATTCTATCCTTCTAGGCCTTCTAACTGCAATTTTCGACAGACACTAGCTTGAAAAAGAACTTAAATATATAAAAATAAACTAAAAAGAGTTGTTTTAATGTTATATCGGGAAATGCAGAGCTTCAAAGCCTTCGAAAATCGATTTTTGAATGAAATTCGGTTTTAAGATCGATGAATATTCTTTCAGGGTTTCTTCAACTCGGAAAAAAAATTGAAGAAAAATCTGAGGAAATAATTTTTTTTCTGCATCGAACATCGATCTTCTAGGTTTTTTTCATTTTTTTAAAATTAAAATTGTCACAATTTTTTTGTAAATTATGAATATTATATTAGTTCTGAATAGTTTGAGTGTCCAAAATGTGTAGAATTCTCAATCGTGCTTGGGTTTTAAATTTTCTGAGATTTCGGGTTTTTTAAACAAATTTCATGTCAATTGTAACCTGACCAGAAATCAAAGTATGTTAATTGCGAAATAGTTTTCATTAAGATTTGAGAGCGTTTTGTGGCGCAAATTAAAAAAATCTTAGAAAATAAAGAAACTTTTGTGAATTTAAGAAAACTGACTCGGAAATTAGTCAAACGATGAAGGAATACGTACTTCAAAACCTTTACCACATCAATAAAGCCCAGAAAGCATTTTAACAATTGAAAACTTAAAAAAAAATTTTGAACATCTCTGCTTCCGAAAAATTTAATTCTTTCAAAAGTTTCAAAAAATGCATTGATATTCTACTGTATTTTTTTATTGGATTTTTTTCTTTGAATTTTCCTAGTTTCTATTGTTTGATTCATTTTTTTCGAAGAAAGTTTCGTAAAATGAAACTAAAAAAATCCAAAAATAATCCGGACAGGAGCCAGATTAACACCCTCACTTTTACGCTTTCAAAACTTTATTTTATACGTCAAGAAACCAAACAAAAACCTGAAAAAAGATGAAGCTTCAAACGTAAAAATGGATATTTTAAGCTTCCAAACCAAATTTACACCCCCGTAAATTTTGCTCTCCTACGCAGGTATGGATAATTCGGCGGATAAGCCCGGCTTTTTCCTTTTCCAAATCGTTTTAAACAACAGAATTTTCGAAAGTTTTGACGAAGGAGGGCGAGAGCTCGAAAGGGTAGCTGAAGGAACTGTAAAGTAAAAAAAAAATTATAAGGCTAAATTATTTTTGGAGAAATTTATGAAATTCAGTCTACAGCGGTTTTTTATCTGAGAAAAAATGGCCGCGACGGATTGAGCTTGTTCGCTCCATGGAAAAGCAAATTCTACATTTTTTAATTCCGATTTCGATCCTCCATCAAGTTTTCTCAGACTGAATTTCAAAACAGCTTCCCGGATCAACTCATTTCGAATTTTCTTTTAAAGAATTTACCTCTTGAGGAGCTTCTTCTCCCGGAACTATGACTTCCGTGAAATCGTCCTCATCGACAAAAGGCGCGACGAAACTCGACACTCGTTGGGAAATATTCGGCAACAGGTAGATCTTGGCGCATTTCTCCCAAATGATGTCCGTTCGGCCATTGTAACCGAAGAATTTGGTTTCCTACAAGATATTCGAATTTCTGATATGTCCGGTTGTCAGAGGACACATTTACTTCAAAAAATACAAAAAGAATTATTGATATTTAGAATTAACATTTTCGAATTAGATAATAAAAATCTTATGAGGAGAATAACACTCCAAATAACTCCTTAGCTACTTTTCTTTTCAAAAAATGTTGAACCTTTTTTGGTGAGATTAGGGGAATCTTTTTCAATTTCATAAAAGAAATGAACCTGAAACAAAAACTTGGAAACGGGGAAAAGCTTGTTCCACGAGGCACACTCGATGACCCACGAGAGATCGACAATCTGAAAAAAATCCCTCTTTCTTCTAATTTCAAACCAAAAAAATTCTTAAACTATTCACTGCTCTTCTAAAAGTCTGCGACAAGCACTTAGGATGTAACCAAATTTCTCAACGTTTAGTCATTCTTTCACATCAAATAAAAATTTATCTATTCATATAATAAAAAAAGTATGTGATAAGCATTGTAATGGTCCCTAAATGGCTCATAATATCATGATCTAACAAGGAAAGTTCAATAATTATTTTTTTCGAGAAACCGCTAGAAATTACTGAGACTTACTTTGAAGCCATGTCCATTTTCAAGCCCCAAGCTTCAACTCAAAACTTTATTCAACAAATCGATTTTACACAGCTAACTTCTCGAAACACAATTTCATATGTTGAAAACGACCCTATGGTAAGCTTTAACCATGAATCGATTCTATTTGGACTTTGAAAAAGAGTTAAATTATTATTGACGCACTTTCATCGGCTTAAACCTTTATTTTTATTTTCAAGCCTGCGGGTTAAAAAAAAATGATTTTTTCAAAAATTCGACCATATGCTTGATTTTTGACAACTAGCTTTTCGAAATACGATTTCATATGTGAAAAGTGACTCTAATATAGACTTCAACCATGAATCGATTCAATTCTGACTCCAAAAGAGGTATAATCATGACTGGCGCACCTTCATCGACGTGGTCCTGGCCTTCTGCACCCGCGCCGTCTCGCTGCCGACAATCATGTGCGTCACGGCTCGCTGTAAAGAGAATGAACGAAATCCCAGGGAATGTCTCGGGCCGCGTCCTATACACACTTCGAAATCGCCACAACCAACAGAGCGACCAAAAAAAAACTCCCAAACTCTGGTGCTTCATTCTTTTTTAGTCATGGTTCAAAACACATTTCTTGGAAAATGATGTAAAAACGATAAAATGATACCTGAAAAATCAATTTTTCCGTTATGTACACCCCGCTAACCGCTATAAACAGCTAAATATTCAAAAAAAGCTCGAGATTATTTTATTTTCTATATTTATCGCAGCTTTCTAACTGAATTCTTGATTTCCTTCAGAACCCACCACATGATCCGACTTCCTCTTCAAGCTGATCACTTCCTGAACGTGGCCTCCTCGATCAGAGATCAGTTTCCCAATAACTACCTGAACAAAAGGTGTTTAGATACAAACAACTCTTCTTGATGATTTTCCACCTTTTCCTGATCCCCGAAGCCTTCAATGACGGCCACGACGTCCTGAAAAACTGTGCAGGTTCGATGGGAAGGAAGGGGAAGATTCAGTGGATGGGAATCCACAGGGAGGATCGTCTTTTCTTCGACGCATCTTTTCTGAAAATCAAACTCTTCTCACTCTTTCTCATGGGCTTTTCATTTCTTCATGCTCTTTTTTTCGAAAACAGGTCAGATCGAAATCTGAAAATCTCAACCTACAGCCAACTTTTTCGCCGGAGAGTCGAAGAAAACCCACAAAACACGTCAAAATAGGCTTTCCTCAACTTTTTCCTCTCAAAACCGGATGATTTTCAGGTTGATACTTTCGAGAACTTTTTCTGGAACTACGAGAGAATTTCTGACCGATCTTCAGAAAATTCTGAACCCCGAAGAAAAATGACCATCTTTGTGGGAAAAAAAATTTCTTAGGAACACCAGAGTGACCCCTAAAGGGGTTTTTGGTTTGACCCATAAGTCCCTAAAGCTTAAATGGTCCCTATAGACTTTTAATTTTTCGTTGAGATTTGAATTCAAAAAACTGACAATATAAAACAAGGTGACAGAAATCGATCGCAGACAATCAACAGGAATATCGTCCAAAATCGTGTCGTCCGAAATCGCGTAGTTGGCAGCTTTCGCCGTGACAAAAGTACCTGGAATTGAACAACTCTAAGATCGAAATCAGAGTCTAAAAGAAAAAGATGAACCCTTCAACTAACCTCCATTCTTCCTTATTAAATCGGCGATTTCCTCAGTTTTCTCCGGACTCACCGCTGAGCCAAACGTCCGGAACGTCAAACCACTGAATTTTCATAACTTTTTTCTTTTTTCCGATCTTTTCAGGTACCTAAAAATCCCCTGAACAGGTGGAACTTCTACAGGCGGCGCTGTTTTTTCCTCAGAATTGGTCAAAACGGCCGAAACGTGCTCGGGCGGTTCAATCGGAGTAATTGATCGTCTTTTCTGAAAAATTCAAATGTTTATTTCGAAAAAAAGGAAACGAAGGACCCTGGCGATTTCTGCTATGGAAGAGGAGTCGTTTTGAGTCGCATCTTCAGACCAAAGAAAGTCTGAAAAACATAAAATTCAACAAATTTTATCGAAAAATGTATAGTATCCAGAAATCCGATATTCACAAAGCATTCAATGTTCAACAGTTCAAAATTATTTTTGGAATTCAGACGCAAAGCAAAGAAAAACCTGAGCAAGCTCCTATGAATAAGTTTCACTTCGCTAACTCTCGACGAACCCTCATGTCCGACGAGGTCATTCTGATTGAAGCACTCGACTATCCAGTGCGGCGTCACGACGACGACGTCGGTCCTGCCGGACGCCTTCCGGAGGAGCGGCTTGTCCTGCGGAGACGCAGAGACGACGATCACGTGGGTTGCGGCCTCGATGCGTTGGACGCGCGTAGCGCCGGTTCTGAAGCCGATTTGGATTTTGATGAGTAAAAATTTTAAAAAACCCTTATGGTTAGAGAAGCTCAGCCTATGTATGAAAAAGTTTTTCGACAGGGGAATGATAATTTCTATCTTTTTTTCGAACTTCTGTGAGAAATTTTTCTCTTGTAATCAGGAGATTTTAAACTGCCCTAAAATGGACTTCATCAATGAAAACGTTCCCTAGTAAACTTCAGTGAAAAACTCGGGCAGAAATTTTCGAAAAAAAAAACTATTAGCCTGCAAAAAAGCCAAAATAAAACCAAAATAAAACTTGCAAAAGGCCAGACTGATTGCTTTCCGACATTGAAAAGAAAGGTAATATAAAAGGGCGTCGGTTCATTTCCGGAAAGGAAAGTGGGAAAAAAACAGAAATATAAAGAGAGATGATAAAAAGTGCACCTTTTCAGGGTGAGTCAACAATCGTTTTATGGTGTTTTTCTCACAAAATGTTTCGAAAATGGACTTTTTCTTTTCTTTTTTAAAAAAACATAAAGGTTACTGTAGAACGCTCTCATTCTCACACACTATTTCTATACTTTTCCCACGACATTTTCCAGACACCTTTTTTGCGGACATATTTCAAAAGACTGAGAAAATATCAGTGAAATCCGAGCATTATTTTTCAAACTGTAATCTTTTAAAATCCTGATTTTTTCCTGTTTTGAAACGAACCGATCCAAAATTTTCCTCCATCGCTCAGTTTTCGTCGCCTCCACGCCACACAGCCACACCAGACAGCCCTTGAAAAAAAAAATTCATTGAATTTTCGTTTGAGGCCCAAAATCAAGCAAACAGGAAGCATAGTTCATTCACCGCGACTTGAAAAATTTTCGAATGCCTTCGTCTCTTTGTTCTTTCAACGGCTTGGTAAGAAAGACATGAAAACAGCACGGCAATATGAGAGGGTCGCCGAGAGACGAGGAGGGCGCAGAGAAAGTTTTCAAGACGCGACCTACTTTTCAAAAAGTGACAAAAAAGACCTCGAGGAAGTCAAAGTCAGCGGCAGAAGTCACGTCGAGGACATCCGTCGGATCGAGGGTTTTCTGAGGGAAAATTCCTGTCGTCGGCGTCCCGTTCAGTACCATTCGACTCGAAGATCTTCTCGACAAGATATTGCTTCTGAAAAAATTGATGTCCTTTATTCTCACTCACTATTTGACATGTCGAGTCTTTTCATCTAGTATTTTGGAATTGCCTGTGAAAGTTCTCAATAAAATTTCGATGTTCTCGGAGTTCCAAACTTACAAAAATTTTAGCTTTAGGGATAAAAACTTTAAAAGTTGCGCAACATGGGTTTCAGACCTAAATTCGTCTTGAACGCGAAATTCGAAAACTCATATCTCTAAAACATTTTCTCAATTAGATTCCTGGTCAAGGCAGGAACTTTTCAATGTTCTTTCTAGCGCCTTTCAAATAGGCAAATGATTATCAGAGGAAAAAATTCAGAGAAAGGTCCAGAAAAAAGTGACATACACTTCGAGGAAAAGGTTTTCGCAACCGAACGTTTCAAAAATAAAAGAAGTCAAATGTCTAGTCGAAGAACAAACTCACGCGTCAGCCAATGGAGTTTTGTTGGAAATCATCGAAGCGGCCGATTTCGTGACCTGAACAACCGAGGCGCCACTTGAGGCCGACTTCTGACTGAATCTTCTCATCGCGACGAACGAGGAAGACGACGTCGGCGTGCCCAGAAACGAAGAGCAAGACGTGTTGAGTTTGCCGCCGGGGCCTGAAAGTTGTAGCTGAACAAGGGTCCTTGGATTTTCGAACCAGCGATTGAGGAAACATCGGCGAATTGCTGACTAACGTTGACCGCGTCTTTTACCGGAGTGCTGGATCGGATCTTGTCTATCGTCGCGATTTTCGGGTGGTATTTACTAAAATGATATATTTATCATTTTGAAGTTTAAAGATAATGGGCTTTTAAAATAACCATCTTCTTAAGCTTCTCCTTGTCACTCTAACGGTCTGCTCAAAATAAGGAAATTTGTAGTCGATTTTTAGAATAATACTGAGGAACGGCAAAGTGCTCACTGTAGGGGCAACCCCAGGGGCCCCTTCAAGGACCAAAAACCCCTGAAAGGACCCTCTGAAGTTGACGCCTCTACACACCCCTATTTTGTCTTCTATCGGGGCTGTATTTTCCCTCAACCTTTCTAGGGACCACTCTAGCGTTCCTAGTATTGCGAACACTCCTGGAATTTCCAAAAAAGATTCCACTCTCCGCCCATTTTCTTTTCAATTCAAACTAACGCTTCATCTAGAATATAGCCAGCTGCGATACACTTCCGAAGCCAACGTGAATGAACTATCCGGACAGTTCCCCACTCGGTTGCCTGTAAATCATCAGAAATAAACTTCTCCTGATCTGAAGAAAGATCAAAAATAGTTAATCTGCGGCTCGGAATGTGTGCGAAGCGATCGCGATGCGGTTTTGGCGATTGTTCAAAAATTACGCAACTCCGTTTGACTTTTTTAGTTTTTAGTAAAGAATGCCAAATTATCATTTATGAAATGTTTGTCTATTTATGAGAAATTTTGATTCCGTCATAAGTTTAAATAAAATGTTCATAGGCCTGGAGATCCTATATTTTTGGAAATTTTTCCAGGATCCCATTTTTTTTTGTATCTAAATTAGCTCCTTCATTTTTTGGATGGAAGAACAATGACGAATCTCCAAAACTGAGCTTCAAGTGATTTTTCTCCAACTTCTGTTCAAAGTCCTCGAGATTTCACCTTGTTGAACTTCTCGCCGGCCACTTTATCCGTTATCAAGTGTGTGCACCTCGATCTCGGCATGTTTGGCAGCAGTTTCCCGCCATTCAGTTCAATCAGTCGCCCGTTTGCCGTTCGATCTTCTCCGACGATTCCCGACATTGTTATGCACTCAATAAGTTATACTAAACACTGCTATTTTTTAAAATCAGAATATACATATGACGAGGTCAAATACACTGGAGAGCTCTACTCGAATGGAGAAAATTGAATTTAAAAGTAGCTCGAAATCGAATTTTATAACAGTAAAGTTTTTTTGAAAAATGAGTATTTTTTTCCAAGAAATGGTTATCCATCCTCGAAAGAAAAAAATCAAAGATAGCTTATTTTTGAAATTTAATTTTTGTTCTAAGTAATTTCCGCCAATTGCAAAAATTTCTCTGAATTTCTAATATTTAGTTTTTCTTTTTCCACTCTGACGGCTATTTCGACTTTCGCGGAACCATTTTGCCGGCATATAAATTTCAAAAAGTATTAAACATTGAAAATAAATTCGAAAATAAAATTATTCCATCTTAGCAGAATCTCTTCTCTAGAGACTGAATAAATGTGTGGATGTGTTGGAAATAGAAAGGATTTTGCTGTTTTGAAAATGAAAAGTATTCACCAATCCCTCGAACAGGGGCATCTTGTAGGCCTCGAGGATGTCCGGATGTTTCGCCGTGACTTCCGAATTGTTCGCCGCCTTTTCCCACAAATCCTCGATCCATTCCGGCTTCATTATTGGGATCCCAGCACGGCCGCATTCCTTCAAACGAACATCTTCGATTTATTTTTTGAGGAGTAGTTCCTCTGAAAAAGGTTGAAAAAACCGAAAAAAAAACCTTATATTTTTCCGATTGAGAATCCGCTTTCGATGCAATCAAATGCGTAACTCCAGGAAATAATTTATCAGTGAAAATTCCGTTCATCCACGAGACCTTTTCTCGTAGGGATTTCTATAAGCAAAATAATAATCACAATTTTTTTCCATAATTGAAAGTAATCTGAGGGAAAAATTGTTCCTTTGCCTGTGAATGAATTTGAATAAAAAATAATTTGAAAATAATCTGTTGAAAAATCACTGCTGGATTTTTTTTTACATTTTCGCCCTACTTTTGCAATTAAAAGACATCGAAAATAAAAAAAACTAGAAAACTTGATTCTCAGCAAATTTTCACCATAAAACAAAGGAAATGTTTCATAAACGACCCAGAAAAAGCTGAAAAGGTTCCTCTAAAAGTTCCTAAAAGGATGGAAAAAGGCTTTTCAGCTCCTTTTTCTGTTAGCCTCTAAACACCGTTTTGAAGACCCTTAGAAGATCTTTTCTGACTTATTGAGGAGCTTTTGACGTTTCGTCAAAGAGCGAAAAAAAACGAAAATTTTTTGCTATCTTTATGATTTTCACGAAACCAACCCTTCTGTCCATCTCGATACCCGTGAAGCAAACTTTGACTCCTTCGAAAACATTCGAAAAAACGGGATGTTTCCAACGAGGCAGCGGCTGCGACTTCTCCACACATTCGATTACAATCGGGGTGCCGTAAATCCTAAAATGGAAACTGAAAAAAATAACTTTTTCTCTATTATTTTTTTGAATCTGTTTGAAATTGTTTTTTTAATATTCTCGTATGAAAGCGTCACTCCATGTAAAAAAATTATTCCGCGAAACACAACCGTCAGAGAATAAGAAAGATAACTTGTTTTTGGAGGGTCAGAGAAAACTTTGAACATCGAGGAAGACACTTTGAGCACTTTCTTATTGCTTGAATAGTTACACTTTTCGTAAAAAGTTGATTTACTGAAAAAAACAGACTTTGCTAAATTTTTTTATAGAAGATAGATTTTAAAAAAATAAAGGGCAGGTTTTCGGCAAATCTGAAAAAGGTCAAAATTAATAATAAAATGAATAAAGCATTACCAAGGCGTAGTTTTTTTGCATGAAAAAAATCTTGAGTTGAAACATTTCCTTTTTTTAATCAATTAAACCTAACAAAAAAAGATTTTTTTTAAACCTTATTACTTATTTTTTTCCCTAGCTTACCAGAAATCCTAGAAGAAATAAGAGCAAAATCAAAATAACTCAATTCTTTTCTCGTTTCCCACCTCAATCCGATGCTCAGTAGCTTTCGGAAAGTCTCCCCGCGGAAGCACGGAACCACGAAGAAATCCTGATTTTCCGGCGACAAATGCAGACAATCCAAGGCGTCTGTCCACTCCGGCTCGATTCCGCTTTTGGACAAGTCCTGAAAGAGTTAAAATTGGGGAATGTTCTTTTGAGACAATCGAGAAAAAAGTCCTCGAGTATTATTTTAAGGAACGAAAAAAGACTTTCGTTACATTTCGACTAAAAATGATTTTATCAGAATTTTCCTCGCATTTGAAGTATAAATTGAAAGAAAAGTTCCTCTCACGGGGTTAAAAAGTTTATAATTTGATAGAAATTCGCTGAAGTCTCCTCAAAAAATCCTGTTCCTTGTGATTTTTTTATCGTATAAGATTTTATCATTATATATTCAAGTTCGGATGTTTCCTTTTTGAAGTAGAAAATGAGAATTTTGGCTTTGAATGAAGTTTTGAAACTTTCACCCAAAGTTCAAACTTTTTTCTCTTCTGCTCACCTGAAAAAGTTCGAACTGTCTCTCGATCTCTTTTTTGGTCGGCGGATCGACGTCGGTCGGTTGGATTCTCACGAAAAACAACGTGGAAGACGTGTCTTCGCTGGAAGTCACTTCCAGAATCGACGGATCTTCTGTCGAAATCCCTGAACTGGGATCCGTCACAGAATCTTCCTCGGTCCTTTGAAGCATCTGGAAAAGATTTTTTTTTTTTTGAAGCTTTATAAAGGCAATTTTAGTTTTAGAAGGTACGAAGCTCAGCGAATTTACCTGTTTTTATTATAGCGCTAGGGAGATTTTCGATCTTTTTCCGTCTTATTACTAAGGAACGTAGGAAACTCATTATTTCCTTTTCACATAGCATCGAGAAAAACTGCATTCTGATCTAGTTATAGCTTCGAAACATGCAAACTACCACTTTCGTGGAGAAAATTAGGATTTTCGCTCTTTTTTTTTCTTTACTAAATTTTTTCGAGCCTTTACGAATATTTAGCTCTTATCAATAATCGGCAGAAAATTTTCCTATTTTTCGAATTTATTTTAGAGCAAGACGTACTCTAAATTGAATTTTGCAACCAGGACCTTATCTTTTAATCAGCCGTTGAAACCTATTTGAAACTCGATTTTCAGTTTTCATTTCTAAATCTTGCCATAAATTCACGTAGAAAGCTTTTTTTGATTTGATTGCTTCATTTCTATTGTTTTTTTCTTAAGAGAAAAACTTTGATACACCTTCAACTTCAAAAGTAAAGTTTATATGATTCTCTGATGCTTCAGAATCATAGTTTCTATCATTTATTTTCTCCAAACTTCAATCAAAAGAAGCCAAATGCCCTCCAGTGGACTTGAACCAACAACCCTTCGAGCCCTGGACATTCTCCTTAGCCACTCGACTAACCTCGCTTCGTTTCGGCTTCTTCGGCGCATGATGCAACGACGTCGTTGACATCGTCAGGGGGACCTAACTTCTTTTTTTTTTCCTTTCTTTTATCTTTCTTCGAAAAATCAAAGGCGTGGAACCAATGAAAAATGTGCAAAATTGCTCAAAAAAAACTTTTTTATTTGTAACGAAAAAACATCACGACCAAAAATAGGATTAAGGCAACAAAAAGGTTCACAACACAAAAAACACAGTCAACTGAACAATATGTACAAGAAAATCATGCTTCAAGACAATAATACTTATTATTGTGTATTTCACTTTCTGAAAACTGAAAAAATTTGATTTTTATGGCAAGGATGAAACTTAAAACCAGTATTTATAGATCTATCCATTGAAATTATACATAAACTTTGACGAAAACAGCGGCGCAGAAAAAAAAATTCCTATTATTTTTCTCATTATAATGTGATTTTACAAATAGGATCATTATAAAGAAACAAAAAAAAATTTTATAAAATCAGGAAAAACTGAAAAAAGCTGAATTCGTCGAAAAATCCTCTGGCGGTATAAGAAAATGCCAAAATTACTGACTCATATTGAAAAAAACACGAAAAACCGGAATCGTATAAAAAGAAACGCCTTTCAAGCTCTAGTGTCAAAGTTATGAAAAGACAGCAGGTTTACCATTTTCTCGGCGAATTTTGAATAGGAAAAGCTTGAAAATCTGTGTTCGTGAAATTCAAAGTTTTCTCTGACTCTCCAAAAACAAGTTATCTTTTCTTTTTCTCTGACGGCTATACATCCACAATAATCACGGCTCTAAGAAAAGCTACGGTCGTAAGAATTTAGACGAAAAATCTGATGAAAAGATCATTTTCGGACACGTTCCAACTCCACCAGATGACCATTCCAATGACGAAACTTGACGGGAAAGCCATGCGCATCAAACTCAAACCGAGGATGAAGCTGATCGCCGAGTTTGTCCCTCAGCAGGGCGAAGTCCGCAAAGGGGGCCGGGTGGTAGAGTCGGCCCGATTCCTTCATGAACAATCGGCTGGGCTGCAAAAAACACTCGATGATCTTCAAACAACAAAGGCCGTATGCAATGAGAAGGAGAACTATAACTGGGATTTTCCTGAAACTTGCTATTAGTCTGATAATTATGAAGTTGTTTGAATTAGTGCGGTTTTAAAAAGATTTAAATGAGCAAGAACACATTCCGATGTGAAAATAACAACTAATCGAAGTCATCAACAAGTTTCAGAAATTTCGAGGAAATCATTTTGTCCTTCTTCCCATACGGCCTCAGGAGAATTATTTATTTAAAACTGTAAACTTGGCTCAAAAATCGATAAAACACTATTCGTTGAAAAGTTTCAACTGTTCTAGGAATTTAGTCTGTTTTATATTTATATTTGTGAAAACGAAAGAAAAATAAAGTGCAAAGTCAAAAAACGAGTAAAAACGAATTTTATAGCCGTTCCGAGTCTTGAAAATAGACTAGACAAAAAACAAAAAATGGACAAAAGAAAAGGTCATTTTTCACATGTTTGATTCCCATTTTATATCTATCAATTAACTGAAGTTGAGCGCCAAAAACCAGACTTTGAAAAGAAATTCCAGCATTGAAACAGCAAAACACTTTTCTTTTCTCAGTTTCTACATTTTGTGGTAGAAAATTGAAATTTTCTAGGTTTTCGAAATGAAAACCCTCAATTTGGATACGATTTCTCATTAATCTGGAAAAATTCGATGCTTGTAATTCATTTTTGCGCTAAAAGCTGAAAATACTGAAAAAAACCTGAAATTCATGGAAAATGTCGGATTGCCCGACCCGAAGCGACTTCCGATCTTCGCTCAGTTGCGTATAGACTATTGGCCGATCGTCGCATTTCAAATAATTTCTCTCCCGACCACAGTGACTAATGTACGGGAATTCCTAAAACGCTTACTTTTTCTTTTTTTTGAGAAAAAAATAGTTTTGAAAAATTAAAAAAACATGTTCAAAAAAATTCAAGGATTAGGGAACGAAAAATTTCAATAAATTGAAGCCTTTGAAAAAAAGGTTTTCCCTCCGAATAATCAAATTTTTTTCAAATATTTTTTTATATTTTTAGGTATTTTCAAAAAAATTCCCGATGAAAGTGTGTGGCTTCCAAAAAAATAGGAAAACAAACGAATGTTGCTGTATTCAAAAAGAAATTTCAATCTTTTGCTTCTTCTTCATTCGAAAAAAAGGCTTCAGGGCTCGAAAAAAAGTCGAATACGGACGAACTTTCACACTTCTAATTCAAACCAGTTTTGGTTTAAATTCCAAAAAGATAATCCAAAAAAATTAAAAAAATCTTGTAATTTTAAATAATAAATTTTTTTCTCATTAAATACAAAAATTTTCGAAAAAAACCCACTTCGAACCGTTTCGTCTCGTTGAACCGCAACTTCTTGTAGAAGAAATTCAAAAAAATTCGACGTCTGAATCGTCAAAAATTTGCTATAAAAAGCTCCAAAATACTCATTTCCGCGGGAAAAAGTGCATGGCAATTACCAAACGCCCACATGTTATGTTATCGTCACGAAGATAAATTGTCCCCTTGCGGAATTATTTTTGAAGATTTTTAATCAATTTGAAGAGAAGAAAGAGCAAAAAACATACCTTTATAGGCGGAGGTGAAGTTTTTCATTCGAGAATCTTCCAAGAAAAGCATTCCCTCGTGGTTGATAAAGTAGAAATATTCGCTGAAAATAGAAATTTTTTCAAAAAAGTTTCCATCGAAAAACTAAAAAAATTATGTAATTCAGATTATTTATATCATAAAAACTTCAAACTGCATTGATTCAATTTGGCTCCAAGTGACGCGAATTATGTTTCTACAAGAAGAGAAAACGATACAAAACCGCAAAAAAAAAACTACCTCTATCTTTCACGTCATAAATTTTATTTAGAATAAAAACTTCATTCTCTGCAAAAAAAAACGTGAGCCCGTGGCAAGGTCATTTTCTTGATATCGAAAAAAATAACATTTACAAAAAACCACGTAACAACGTGTCATTTTGTCTTGCATGACCAGGATTCAAATATCATTTCTCCTTCACTTACGACTCCATCTTGCTTCTGCACTTCAACGTCAAGATAAGTTTTGAACCTCCATTAAATTTCTAACTTCCGAAATAGGTTTCTGAGTTGTAAGCGCTAGTAGATTAGGCCCGTGGGACTCCCGGAGTGCCGATCCTCTTTGCTTGCAAATTGGATACGCAAAGTCACGCCGAAGCCCATTCCAGTGGCCGAGGCACAAACTGTTGGCAGCGCGATGCTGACAAAGCGATGATGGGACCCCCACGGAAAATGCCGTCACGGCTTTCGGCGTCTAGGATTCTTAGTTCTGACAAGGCCGAGCGGAGCTCTAGCGCGCCGCCTAGCTAGTTCTTCTGACTGCTTAAAGCTTCCCTAACTTACTCACGACTTTACATAGCTAGTCTGTCAAAACATTGCGATTCGAATAATGCAATCGATCTGCTTTTTTCAATATTGAAACTATTGCAGGAAGCGTTTAACGGATGTTTTCTGATCAGGAGATGGAGATTCGACAACGACTTCAAATAAAGCAGTTTCATATCTTGAAAAAACCTTTTTTTTAATTATTTTTCCTTCAGAAAGAAAGTCTGGAGCATATGATTGGAAATCGGAAACGAAAAAGCGTATTGGAAATTATCGATCGATTACTACTGCAACTATCGATGTGATGTTTTGAAGGTTTTTGTTTCGAAAAATAAAAAAAGGCGTGACTTTATCAACACTGAATTAAAGCCAGAAAAACCTCGATCCGATATCATAAGCAAAATAGGAAAGGGTGGAAAAATAATCCATAGAAATGTCCATTTTAGGGTAACAAAGGCTCCTTTTTTTTGCTGCCTTTTCGCGCCATTTCATCGGCTCTTTTGCACCATTTTTGCTGCCTCTCCGTTTGTCCACCATTTCTTGAGCCTTCAGAATTCCAGAAAAAATGGAATGCTCAATAAAGGGATTCTTTTTGCTCCCTTTCTAGCAGCTTTTAAACACCATTTCGACTTTGCCCGACGCTGGCAAAGTCGGAAGTGCGGAAAACGAGTGCAAAAAAGAAGTGACTGCAAAATGGCCGCTAAAAGGGTTTCGTTTTACACGCTTTATTGAGCCTTTCTTTCTTGGTGAGCTGAAAAAACTCAAAAATGGTGAAGAAAGAGTGAGGGTGCAAAAAGGGGTGCTGAGCCTCGGCCATTGATGATTTCCGATTTCATTACTGTAGAAGATTTTGGTTTATATACAGTCACTGATATGGATTATTCTCAACTTCAAAAACTTTTTTTTTTCTCAAAAGGGTCAAAAAGGATGGATGAAGGCCGATGAAAGGACGGAAAAAGGCAGTAATAATAAAACCTTTGTCATCCCGTTTAGGAAAAATGAATAGAAACTTTTCGATCCGTAACGGAGGGCCCGTAAAGGTTCTTCCGACTCTGCCTATGAAGAATATGAAAATTTAAAAAATGTGGTTGTTGGAAAGTATCGCGCCAGATTCGGCGGTTTTATTTAGTTTTTTTACAAATTTTATTCGCAATCGCGATGAATAATCGATTATGATTCGAGGACGCAGACAATCTGGCTGCGGAAAAAAATTATTTAACTTTCCGATCAGCTCTTTTTTTAATTCAACTTTTGTTTTCATATCCTATTTTTTTCCGTTTTTGAAAATATTTCATTTTTGAAAATTTAGTGAATTGCGATGGCAAGAAATCGTCGAAGATGTTTTCAAACAAGATCCATGACGGACAGAGTTCGATCAACTGCGAAGTCGGCTGAACAATACCAGGTATTAGCCCGATGTTCTTAAAAGCAGCTGAGGGCTTTTTTGTTCTGTGTTTTTGCAAAAGACAAGTCAAATAGCAGTTAACTTGAAATCGCGAAGTCGCTTTTCACTGTCTGATCAATTTTTTGAATTTCACGGAATCATTTCGGAATGGGCATGAAAAACTTCTAAAAAGAAGAAAAAACTCGGAATAGTAACGCGAAACGGACGTGTCCGGGCATTTCTAGTGACCACTTTAGTAGCGTCAGCATTCTTAAGTGATCCCTAGAATTGCTCTGAAAAGTTCGGAGACTTGTGCGGTGGCCGGCCCTGCTCACAAGCAAACTGTTTTTACAAATCAAGAATAAAATTTCTCGACTTACGCCTCGTAATCGAGTTATGACGGCTCGAAGTTTGCACGTGAAATGAGTGGAACGCAGCAAGAAGGAATGGTGGTATGAAAAAAACACCAGCGAAAATTCAAATGGCGACTTTTCCGATTCTTTCATATCGCTAGGGAACTTTCCGACGGCCACCTTTCCGACGAATCCCTTTCCGACTTTTTTTTCTCGATAAAATATTCGCTTTAAATTTCCTATATAAAGTAAGTAGTTGGTTCATGATTAAAACACAAAAAAATAGAAAAAAAAAATGTAAATAGATGTCTTATAAACCGAAATATATAAGTGAAAAAAGTCGGAAAAAATTTCGTCGGAAAGGTGGCCGTCGGAAAGTTCCCTAGCGATATGAAAAAATCGGAAAAGTCGCCGTTTGAATTTTCGCTGGTGTTTTTTTCATACCACCGAAGGAATGTATCACGCGCACGAACCCTCATTTTCAGTTGGCCGCTTAGTGTAGTGGCTAGCGTGCCAGGATTGCGGAGACTGTGGTCAGGGTTCGAATCCTTTTAACGCAATTTTTTTTTCTTTTCCGGAAGAAATCTATGAAAACTGTTGAAATTTTAGCAAACTTGTTCTCAAAACATAAGAGATCCTCAATTTCGGTAGTTAAAACAAGATTTTTCGAAAATTCATCGGTTTTCGCTTGTAGATAGTCAATAGATCTCTCTCTGGGAACACTTTTTTCGCCGAAGTCGTAGAAAAGGTACAAATTTTCTGTTCTCTTTTTGCCGTGTACTCTGTATATCGGTTTTTGTCACTTCATCGCTAAAAAATACCAAAATTTCTTTTTACAAATCTTTTCGTCTCACGAGAACATCCTGTAGAAGCGAAAACCGAGAAAATTTTCGAAAAATCTTGTTGTAAACACCGAAATTGAGGATCTCTAATGTTTTGAGAAAAAGTTTTTGCTAAAGTTTCAACAGTTTTCATAGATTTCTTCCGGGGAAAAAACAGAAAAAATAAATTGCGTTAAAATGATTCGAACCCTGACCACAGTCTCCGCAGTCCTGGCACGCTAGCCACTACACTAAGCGGCCAACTGGAAATGAGGGCTCGTGGGCGTGATAGATTCCTTCTTGCTGCGTTCCGCTCATTTCACGTGCGAACTTCGAGCCGTCATATAGTCTGTTCAGATTTTAAATGTCAAGCAGCTCACTCCGCCCCTGCTGAGACGGTACCCTTTCGCGTCGATGTTTTAACGCGCGAGACTAATTTTGATCTTTTTTGATCTAAAAGATAGAAAGATAAGTCAAAAATGCAGCCTTATTAAAGGGCCATCGTCATCTGTAGATAAAACATTGACGCGAAAGATATTGTAGGGTAAAAAAACAGTTCCCTTGTCAGCCTCTCGGCCGCGGCCAATTTCGAAACCCGGCCCACGTCTGACAAACAATCCTGGTCCGGAGCACGTGCGTTTCATTTTACCAAGGTGCGAGAAGATAAAAAAAAAAATGAATCAAAGAGGTATTAAAAAAGAGCGCCCTTATGACAAAACGAAAAAAAAAACGTGATAAACTCGATTTAAATGCTTGTCTCTTCGTTACAAATTGAACTGAATAAACTAAAATTTGATTTTAAATCCAAAAGATTAACGAAACAAACCGAAACTTGCCGTCGTACTGGCCCTGGGTGTAGCAGCGTCGCTGAAAAATCCTCGCCATTTTACTCCCATCACCTGTAATTAATCCTTTCTCACCTGCGAAATCAAACATCAAAAACGTTAATTCCACTGAATTATTGACGACGAAACTCGAAAATCAGAAATAAATGGCAGTTGGGGCAACGAAATACTTCCTGGTCATTGATTACTGAACTTGGGATGAGATTTGGCGGAATTTATTCGGAGAAGAAAAAATAATTTTTGATTCTGGAATGAGGAAATCTAGCGAAAATCTGCATAACTGAATAGATTTGCATAATTTTTGAGTTGTAAGAATGCTTGTTAAAAATAGAAAATTGTGATGAAAGTTCGAAAATAACGACTTTCCTTAGTATTTTCTATGAAACTTTTCAAATCGATAAATTCTTCGAAAGCAGCTTGATTGACTATTTTCGAACAGTTCGGAAGTCAGCTATTCTCATGTAAAATGACTTGAAATCAGGAAGACAATCCAAAAATGATTTTTCGGACATAAAGTTAGAATTTTTTTAACAATTAAACAATTAGCGTTCTGAAACTCAATATACAACATTTCGACAAAAAAAAACATCGCCAAATCTCACTTCAAAGTTCAAAATCAAAAGAACCATCAATATTATTCCAGAATTAACTAACTAAAATCTCTTTATCATTTAAAATAAACAAAAATTATAAAGAAGAAACATTTACACATAAGAAACCATCGTATAACTTCACAAAACACACTAATTTCAAGCTAGAAAACGAAAATAACATATGGGAATATCAAAAAGAGAAGAACAACTAGAAAAGGCTGAAGTTCGACTTCTTTCCCTGTTCCTTGTCGAACTCCGGGTCTTGGGCCACCTGCAAATTTCAATGTTTTCTTTTGAAAATTCAACTCGGAATTCTCTGTTTTCGGACCCTTTCAAACCTTTTCTACACAAATTTTTTTCCTTACTTAAAATCCAGTGTTCAACGGCATTTTAAACTCAACGTTCTACTTATGACCAATTTTTGGCACATTTATTTCTCCTTTTTTGTAGTACTCTCCGTCCTTAAAAATTCCCTTAAACTTCCTTTCCAGTCAACTTTGCATGAAAAGTATCGAATCTCAAGCAACATCTAATCCCAACTTAAAATCTCTCAATTCCAACCATTTTGAGCCCAGTTCCCTACCTTCTTGTAGTACTCCCAGTCCTTGGAGAGGGGCTTGTCGCCCTCCATGGTCGCCTTGGAGAGATGGAACTCGTAGGGAGGCTCGTAGTTCTTCTTGTCCTGATAGAACATCCCCTTCTTCCAGAACGAGTAGTCGAATTCGCCCTCGGTGAGCTTCGCCTTGTGCTCTCCGAGTTTGCGCGCTCTCTCGCCCATGATCTCCGGATGACGTCGTTCCCAGACGAGTCGATGCTTCTGTTTCATGTAGGCGTCGCGGACGTCGGCCTCGCTGCCCAGCTCGCCGTACTTGATGAAGAAGTTCAGCTCGTTCTCCTCGACGTCTTCGATCGCCTGGCAAGAAAACTTTCAATCCAAATCGCTTTATTTTTTTCACTTTCTATTTTATTACTCGAAGAATAACGGGGTTAGACGCTAGCTTGAAAAAAAACCATTAAAAGACGTCTACAACCCTTTCCTCTACACCGTATTCCTCGTTTCGCGTCAAAACCATACTTTATTGGTCCAAACTAGCGGTGAAAGAAATGTGAAGACTATCAAAGTTATTCGCAATTTATTCTTGTCTGGAAAATTGAAGAATCGTTTATTTTTGAGCAATTTTTCAAAACAGAAGAAGCTTGAAATGTCGATTTCATTTGAAAATTTCTTCGATGCGTAAATTCGAAAACGGTTCTTCACGATTTGCGAAATAACGCGCAAAAAAAAAAGATAAGGTCTACTGTATCGATTGCTTTTCTTGTTTTACAGGGTTTTCTCGTTAAAAGATTGAAGATTTTTGAGAAAAAAAGATCATTTTTTTGGTACAAAATCAAAAACGAAATCCCAAAAAAATTGTCTTTTATTTGACTTATAGAAAAAGGTTATCAAAACGCCTTTTTTTCCAACTCGTTCTGATACCCAAAAAAAAATTTTCAGGAAGCTTGGAAAATTTATTTCAATTTTTTCTTAGACTCCCTGTAATCATCAAATGTTCAAATGAATGAAATACTTGGTAATGTCAAAGTGGTCCCTTAAGAGGTAAGAGGGAAGATAAGAAAATGACGAAAAACAAACCTTGACACACGGAGAATGGTCGGGATTATTGTAGAGCATACAACGGTCCAAACGTTGTCTCAGGACCTAAAGATCAATAAGTCAAGTAATTAAGGTAACTGAGCTTTTCACCTGAAGAATGAACCCGTCAACCATCTTGTCGAGACGATATTGTTCGTTGGCCTCGAAGTAGCAGGCCTGGAACAGGAAACAATTATAACTTCTCTAAATTGGAGAATATCCACATAGCAAATAAAGTCGAAGATCCATCACTTTTGTTTTTGTTCACCTTATCATTGACACCGCATTCGTCGATCTCGGGAACGCGGCTCAACTGCCGATGATAGTAAGGTAGGCGGTTCTTGTTGTTCAGCGGTTCAACGACGGTTTCTGAACAAAAGTTCTTTTTTCCTGGATTATTTTTAAAAAAAACTTTTTTTTTCAGTTCGACTAGTCTGTTTTCGTCTTCTAATTGTCAGAAATACCATTTGGAAGACCAAACTCAAAAATTACACATTTGCGAGCCGAAATATTGTATTTACTTTGTACTGAAGAAATGAAAAATGCTCCTTCGTTCCGCGATTTGAAAAAAAAAACAGGTGGCAGGCTTGTCGAAAACCATGCGGACAAAAAACTGAATCTCTAAAAGCAAAGAGAACAAGTTTCGGCTACTTTTTTCTTCAAAAATCGTTACTTTTTAAATCTACTGCTACTATTCAATTCATGAGTAAAATGAACAAAAGTGAAGCAAAATGAACCTCGGAACCAGGTGGCGGGCTTATCGAAGGCCTTGTGGACGTAGTAGCGCATCCGCGGGTAGATGGTGCCTCGGGAGTCGAGGTCTCGGACCTTCCAATAGGCGTCCCAGGCGGCCTTGTCTTCCGCCTGCCGCTGCTCCACCAAACTCTCGCCACCCATCTTGAAAAAATATATTTTAATGAGAATAAAAAGAATAAAACCAGGAATAATCGTGAAAAAAATTAAAGCCTTTAAAAAATGGGAAAAGCGAGAATTGTGGGAAAGCCTACCAAAACTCATTTTAGGAAAGAAAGGGAATCTTGCAAGAAAAGCATTGAAAACCTTTCATGAAATGAAAAAAAGAAAAAAATTAACCGTCGTGAAAAATCCTTCCAAGAACTTTTTATAAAAAATAAGAAGAAAATCAAGAATCATTGTGGAAAAAAAGCCGTCAAAAACACAATACTTTTACTTTTTGGTCCGTCGTTTTTACATTATAGAAATTTATTTGAAAAAAAGCTTTATCGTGTTCAAAAAAACGACTCAAGAAACTCTTCGAATTCTTTTTAAACGAAGAAATATTGCATTAATTGATCGAAATAAACTGTTTGTAAGGTTCAAATAATGAAAAAAATCGAAGATTGTCTCACTTATGATACAAAAATTCTCTCGCTATTTTACCAATACTAAATTTTATTTTTTTACTCGAAAAAGAGTGTAGAAAAAAACACTTTCAAAAAAATTAAAAAAGCTATGACTGCGACGTTGAGACGCAGCTCTCCACAAAGGTTAATTAGAACATTTTTTTCAACCTTTTTTTGAAAGAGTTTTCATCGTTTCATCAATCTTCGTAGCTTGGTGTAGAACATTTTTTTGAGCTGAGGATAAAAAAATACAGAAAATCTTCGTATAATTAGAGAGGAGATGGAGCTCCATATTAGGTAAAAGTGAGCAAAAATAATTATTGTCTTTTCTGACGGTAATTTTTCTCAACTTCTCCAAAAAAAAAAACTATCTTTCATTATTTATAAGACTAAACGAAAAAACTCTATGACAGCTTCATTTCAAAAATCAGAAAAAGGTCCAACAAAAAATTCGATTTTGCTCTTTGTTTTCGCAGAAAAAGGGCGCTATTGGATTAAGTTTCGGAGTCCATTTCATTATCTCAATGTTGTTGTTTTTTCTGTTTCTTTCAAAATTTGGCTTCGGAAAACGTCACTGATCACTAAAGCTGTTGTAATTATACCAGAAAAACAGAAAAATTAACAAATTGAATTTTTCAAAAAAATTCATTGATTTTTGCTATGAAATGGCTAAGATGTCTTCTAAAAAAATATAGAACAAGTTCTGTATTTTGTTATATCAAACTGAAAAAAAGTTCAAAAAAATTATATTTTAGTAGCCGATAATTTCATTATTCTGGTGACCACTAAAAAAATTTTTCCAGTAAAAATAAAAAAATAAAAATTCTTTTTAGACTTGAAGAAATCCGATATTTCATCTATAAACGTAAAAAAATATCTGAAGCGTGAAAAAAACGCCGAACTCCCCAGAAAAAAATGAACAAATGAGGGCTTTAAAAGCGATTTATGAACATAAAAAAACAACAAAAAAACAGCGATTAAAACAAACAAAACAATAAAGATTAAGAATCGGAATGGATCCCTCGGAATCTGGCGTGCAAATCGGCAACCAAATCGACAATCTCGCCTTCGCCAACGTTTTCAGAAGCCTTGATAATGTTGTAAATCGCGATAATCTGAAGAAAAATCATCATTTTTATCGTGAAGGATCGGGAAAACCTCATTAGAATATTGGGCCTTGATCCAAATTTTGCCGTTCATTCCGATGGTGATTTCAAATTTGAAGAATCGGCCAGTAGTCGGCAAAATTTGGCAAGTTGGGCTGAGTAGCCGCCGGGCGTGGTTCAGGGAGGTCTTAACATCCATTTTTCCTCTGATTCATTGCGAAACTATCAAAAAAACAAAAACAAAAAAATGAAGCTGGCCCCACAAAAAGAAAAAAAGTTTTTAAATGGTAAAATTTTTTTCAGTCTTCTATTCAATATAATCATCTTTATTAGAAGATTTGTTGATTTCCGAATGTTTTCTAGAAAATCGGGGATTTCATCTTGATATAACATAACTGTTAGGATGAATATCTAATGATAATAACGGAAAAAAACACATTTTAAATCTTGAGATTGAACTGAAAATACCAAAAAATTTCTGAGCCTTCAAGGTCGGAAAAATCTCCCAAGTTTCTTCATTAGCAAGCTTTTAATCTACCGTGGAAAAAAGCCCGTTTTCAGTTTTTTACAAGACCTATAAATATCAGCCAGAGCTTTTAAAAAACCTAAACGTAAAAAAAGTTAATGGCGTGTTCAAAGTCATTCGCGAGAAATTCAAAATTTTGTCAGACACTACAAAAATCTTTTTCACGCTCGGACGGCTATTTTGGATTCTATGGAATGGATTAAAAACGACATAATCTTTTATAATTTCAAAGCTAGTCAGCCTCGAAACTTGTGTGAAACTTTATGAAAAACAATTTTTTTTTTCTCTAATTTTATGGTATATTCTATGATTCCACTATAATCTGGATCTTTTCAATATTGAGAACGGTTAAAAAAGAAACCTTGAAAAGAAATCCGCCGTGGAGTTGTCCCATTCCCCGGGCCTTCGCCTCGTCGTCGACACAACTCAATTCGGATTCCATCTGGGGCGAAGATTCTACGACTAACGCATAGATTATGTCGCCGGTTTTCAGATTCGGACGGTTCCTTTTGGTGGCTCCTTCGAACTTTGTGAAACAAACCTATAATGGTCAATACTTAGTCAGTAGATCTCAAGAAAAAAATAAAATTTTTTAAAATTTTCCTTTTTTTTACCTGAAAAAATAAAACCAACCACAGAATATTCGGCGGCGCCAATTTCAACTCGGAAGAAATCTCCAGCTTTCCCGACTATTACGCCGATTACATGATCGCCTTCAGTTGGGATGTACCTTCAAAAGAATCCGCAATTTCGAACTAAAAATCTCGAAAAACCTTTTACTATGGACGCTGATCCAGACTTTGTTCTCACTCGTTCGTAATAATCCAGGTTGAACGGTTACCAACTGGTCATTCTGCAGATCAATGCCATAACTGTAAATATAAGAATTAAAAAGAAAATAATAAAAAAATAATAAAAACTAGAGAAGTATTAAGAAAAACTAACCCAACAATGATTTTCGCGTCGCTCGAGGACGGCGAATCGATATGGTCACCGGGCAAATAAACACTCATTTCTTGGTCTCTCTAATTGAATTTACTAAAGCGGAAGCAATTAAGTTGACGCCATTGAAAAAAGCAATAATCTAAAAATAAAACGGACGAGCAACAGGCGTCATGGTGTCACAGACGCGATGGATTGCGGACGGATGCCTTACCGTAATAATTTCTCCAAAAATTGAAAAAGCTTCTTTTTAGAGAGCTTTCTGTGCTGCTTAAACAAGTAATAATTTTAAATTACTGAAAAAAAACACGGACAATGGGGCGAACATGTGCTTTCAAATTATATAAAAAGTAAAACCTAGAAAAAGATAAAGAAAAGTGTGAAATGAAGTTCAAGCTCATTTCTGTATAATGTCGTCCACTCCAGGGACTAGCAGGAGCAAAGAAAAGGTTTTTCCTTTAGAGTAAGCCTTCAAATAGGTGAAGTAAAATACTTTAGTCCGAAAATGTCGAAGGGAAAGCTGGGAACCTTGGAACTGAACGTGATCGTGCTAGTAGAAGAAAGGTAAATTGTTAATTTCATTGATTATTTCGAAAATATTTATTGTAGAGAACAAATAGAGTTGTCCACTCGTCAATTCAGCCCTCCACTCATCTTGAAGAGGTTTTCCGTATAAAAAAAAGCCTTTTAAAAGGCACATAATGGCATAGAACACCACCACTGAGTTCAGTTTACAGGAAAAAGGGTTTTCGCCTTGAATCATTCCGAAAAAAAAAGTGTTTGACTCAGAAAAAGTCTGATTTAATGTTTAACCAATTTAATGTGCTTTTATTGATTTAATTCAACTTTCTTTTCATTTTGAGGAGGTTTTGGCGCTACGAAATCACGTTTAAAGGTGCATAATGACTACCACTGAGAAAGGCTCTTCGCATCGAAATTATTTATTAATTCAGGCTTTCGACTTTGAAATCTCGAACAAAATTTTTAGCCGATAAAAAATCATTGAATCCAGATATCCGTCAACAAAGAGGCTCCAGATGCGAGCAATATGACATCAGTTGTGAAAAAATCTTCATCGGTAATCCTTTTTTTTAATATTCTGCTCAGATTTTGAATGTCTAGTCGTCGCTCAAGCTCCGCCCCTAATGGCGCGATGAACCAATCAGAAAGCGAGCCTCCCGCTGAGCCTTTTCGAATGACGTCATTGACATTCATAATCTGACCAGACTTTATCTGAAAAATGATTTTTTTAAAATAAAATTCCAGCCAAAAGAACTCCAGCCATCATCGAATCATGTTTCTGTAAAAACCATTGACGAAGTCGTAGATGAGGTTGATTTTTTTGATAGATTAAAAGTAAAAAAAAATTTTTAGAACATCAAAACGACACTGAAAACACTGTCACCGAAGGAAACGCCGAAGAGCAAAAAACAGAAAACACCGGTGAAATTGGAACAATGAATATTGAAGTAACAGAAATCATTTTTTCTTCAGAGCAAAGGAAAATTGAAAAGTTCCCGGCGGAACAACAAGAGGTTCATCGAACTGAAAAGGGTATTTCTTGGAAAAAAATATCTCAAAAAAAGTTGTGATATTTGAACTTGATAATGGGTTTTCGTATTTTCAGAAAACTCAAGAATTTCGTGGAACAATCTAATTAATTTATTCTCAAGTAAATTCCAAATTAATTCTACAGGTAGGCAGTTGGAACGGCGCCAACGGAGCCGCTCTCGACGACGAGCCGTTCTATCACGGTTATATGGCCAGAGAAGAAGCCACGCGGCTTTTGAAGAAACAAGGAGAATTTCTGGTTCGTAAGGCTGTCGTCAAGAAAGTAGAAGTTTGAAAGACATTGAAAATTCAAAAATGAAAAAAAAATGGTTGAGTGCGTGGTCGTTTCTGTTTATTTCAACGAAAAATGTCATCATCTCGCGATTCAACGGACCAAAAGCAAGAATTACTATCTATTGGAATATTGTTTCGAGGTAAGTTCAGAAGACTACGAAAAATGACTTCGAGTGCTGCGAAAAGGTTTATTCGTGCTTCATTGATAAACCTGAAAACTCGGACCTCGATAATAGAAACTAAAGCTTTCGAGGCGCGTCCGGTTTACGTTACCAAGGTCCGGAAGCCTCAAAGTGTGACCTCACTGATGAAGGCAAGAATGAGAAAGAAGAGCCGCCAAAAAGTCAAAATTTGCTCTATTGATAATCAAAAAGAAAATATGATTCTTCTCACAAAAGTTAACCGGTTTGGAATGAATATGAAGTGATTTAGTAACTTCCTATAATTTTCAACTTATCATTAGACCGTAAAAGGTCTACGAATCTCTGGCTTTTTTCCTGGGCCTTTTTGCAGCTTTTTTCTTGAAATCTCGATTCAAAAAAAAGTGGGATCGATTTATAATTGTTTCATAATCGATCGATAACTGGTTTTAAATGAAAAAAAATTTCCAGACAGTTCCCGACCTGATCCGCTACCACCAACAAACTCACAAGCCTGTCTACAAAGATGGAGTTTCTCTCTTTAATTGGATCCAACGAGAACAGTGGCAACTTTATCATGAACAGGTTTTTTTTAAAACTAAACTAAAAAAAGTGATCTGCAGAAAACGCTCATAGAGTTGCTGCAAGCGCGCTCTGAAGAGAAAACTTAAATTTTCCGAAATTTTTGGAAAACTCACCAAAAAGTTTCTAATCGTTCTAAATTCTAATCGTTTATGAAGATATCTTCAGTAACGCCAGAGTGTTGTCTATAGGGATTAGGAGAAAAAAAAGGTCTCTATAAAAGAAAGTGAAGTGGTCCCTAGAAGTTGACCTTCAAGGGCCTCTAAGGTTGCCCCTATAGGGCCCACTATAGGGTCACTGAGTCAGATCTTCTGCTCCAATTTTTTCTGAATTTTCAAATATTTTTCTCCAGTTTCTGCATTCATCAAATAAATGAATTTGAGGTGAACCTCGGGAAAAAGCTTGGAAATGGCGAGTTCGGCGAGGTTTTCCGCGGAAGCCTGACCCTCGGCCTGTTCACAAAACCTGCTGACGTGGCTGTGAAAACGCTCAAGGGAAATCATTTGAGCACCGATGACAAGTAACTATTCAAATACTAACTATATTAAGGGCCAACATGTAGAAGTGAGATTTTTGACGGAAGATACTTATAAACGCCTAGTGCTCCTTAGGGTGATAAAATTGAAGTGATCCCCATAGGGATTCGAACCCTAAGTTCCTAAAGCTCGAGCGGTTTTTAGTTTCTTTCTTCAATTAGAAAAATGAAAAGACAAACTTTTGCAAGCTTCAGTGCACCCTAGAAGGAGAAGTGAGGCAATATAGAATCTTTAGAGTGGAATCTTCTCGGACCCTGGAGACTTCCCCTGTAGAGACCACTCTGCATTTTCTAAGTTCAGAATCACATTTCTCCGGGAGGCGAACCTGATGCTCAAGCTCAACCACAAGTACGTTGTCAAGCTCTACGGAGTCGCCACACAGAAAGAGCCGATCATGATTGTCATGGAACTGTGCCCGGGTTCGCTCTCCGTATCAAAGTAATTCACTGAGCATCAACTGTTAGGTGGAAGTTTGGTGGAAGCGATTAGAAAACCGGATCAAGTCTGTCTGGAAACGAAACGGAAATATTGTCTTCAAGTCCTCAGCGGAATGGCCTATCTCGACAAGGAGCAGGTTTTTTTGGTGTTGCACTTGGAATGGATCGAATGATCTCGATATAACTAATTTTGTGCTTTCTAGCGCAAGTAGTTTC